CTTTGCCTTAAAAAGCGGTCACTGGTGAGTGCTTGTCAGAGTGTGTTCGCGTGAGATCATACTTGCTGATTTTTCGTTCAGTCTTAGAGCCGGTCAGCTTGCTTCTGACAGCTCAGCGTGTGGTGCGGTGGTAACTTTGCACTCGAGCGTAGTCGCATGACTCAATTGTTAGTGTGTTATTGGTGTCAATGGTATTAGTTGAGGGTTTGCTGGAGATATTCGTCGTGCAGGAAAGTTCGTGCAATTTTTGGATTTGAGAGTGTTTGAAGTGTTCGGCGGCACTTGTATTCATTGGTCTTCTGTTGTTTCTTGGTGATACCAACGGTTCATGTTGTTTGCGTGCGCGACGCGTGCGCGGAGCGAGTGGCATGTGATCGCGAAGTTTGTGACGTCACGCGTTTACTTGTAACACGCCAAGCTCGGAATTTGGAGAAGCAGAAGTGCGGCGTTGCAGTGACCGCGGGCTGTCGCCAGCTGGTCGCAGAAAAACGCGATAGGTATGACTCGAAAGACATTATGTAGTAAGGAGTGCAGGTGCCCCCCTCGCGTACATAAAGTATTAATTAATAGGCAAGCAGAAACTTTACAATGAGAAAATGAAATCATAGATCACAGTCGCTCCCTTCATAGCCTTAGCTTTGTGGAAAATCTGAGATGTGCTTCAAGGCAGCTTCGAGAGGACAAAGATGGCAAAATGCAGTAGCAAGATAGCAACAAGCTAAATTTAAAGGCATTCACGGAAGTGTAGATGATCCAAGTTGATTCGGCGAATTATTTAACCATAATTCGTCCCATCAACTTTGACCATCTGTTTTCTTGAGCTGCTAAGGTTGACACGAGACCCTGATACGTGTAGGGAGGGAAGGTGAAGGTGATTCCCACGCTCGTGTTCTTGTATCTTTGTTCTATCGTTTGCTTCTCGTGTCATCACCGACTGCGCTCCACCTGAAACGATGGTGACTTGAGTAAAGTACGAACGACGACAAGAAGCAGGGCGGATACGTCAGTGCCATCAGCGGAAAATGCCTTTGATGTCTCGGGGCGCCTTTGTTGAGGATATTTACGCGCAAAAGCTTGCTTGCGCGCGCTCATCGTTCCGTCGTTCATTAATTTCGGTGAGGGGAGTCCGCATTGTTGGAGGCTAAGAGCTGGCGCCTCCAATTCGGGCATAGCGAAAGCCAATAGGATAGACTACTGCATCGTTAAGAAAAACAATTGCAACAGAGAAAAGTATGGCAAAACCCCAAGCCCGTTCGCCCATCCGCGGACGTTTGGAGTGTTTGGGCAACGATATTTCAAAGCGATTTCCGCGGGCCAATTAAGTTGAACAAGACTGTGTTGGTCGCTCGAGGCTGTCGCGCTCCTACGGCTCCAATAGTGTTCTGTTGGTCCGGCGCATACATGGAGGTCGACGTACGCATCGACGCGGGAATGGGCCACACAAGGCAAGAATCCAGAACACAACTGAGTGCACCGCCCAGCGTCCACTCAGCGGCGAAACACGAACGACGAATACATTGCACCGCGCCGCGAGCGACCAATCGGGGGCCAGGGTTCCCTATCTCATTGTCCTGAAGCACTAACACGTCAGATCACTGCCTACCAGGCCAGTGCCAGAGATCAAGCCATCTCCTGGAAGAGTGATGCATGACTGATAGCCGCCGGGGTGGGAGAGGAGACGCAATTTCAAGCTGAGTGCCGCGGAAGGTTTGCCCCCGGGTCGTTCCTCGCTGGCTAGACCGAATACCTTGAGCGAAGTCGAATAGCGCGGTGGCCGACTAATGAAATTTTGGTGTCGTTGGTAAACGCGGAGCGGTGGTAAGTAGCTATTCCTCATTGCATCACTTAAGCTCTACGCAATTGACGCTTACAGTCTGGAACGGTCCAATGATTGACGCTTTCACAGAGCCTCGCTATATCCACCGAGGAGTGGGGGACACAATACAGAGAGAAAATCACAAGGGCACTCTCTTCCCGCGGCACTGGCAGTGGCCGCGAACGGCCCTGCTGCGACGCGGGGGTACAGGTTGACCGAGGGTGACGCAACGCAGAAGAGTCTGATAGCGATAGTAACACCTCTCTCTTCCCGCGGCGATGGTTCTGAATCACAGCATTAATACAATGTGGAAGGAAAAAGAATTCGGCGTACTGTCGCCTCCGCTGAGGTTCGAAACACCGGAGGGTGTGAAAGGCAGGTATTCCCGCTAGAAAGATTTTTTGTTTCCCGTCGTGGTGCAGGAAAATATCCCAGCACCTTTCTCTTCCCGCGGAGCTGGCTGCGGACCCATGTCAATACGATGTGGAAGTAAGGAGAAAACTGACATCCTTCGTAACACTGGAGTCTGAAGTGGATATTTTCAACAGAAAATAAATCTCAGCAATGCAGAAGGGTCCTCCTACTGATCGGTTGGGACCTGAAGCTGCAACAAATCGCTCGCATTAACGCATCGAGGATTTCGAACCCCCAACCTTCACAGCAGTAGCTCTTGCTATTGGGATAGGATTCTGACGCTCTATCCAATTGAGCTAGATGGGCTATGGGATAGCCCGTAGAGAACGCTACGTTGTAGACGGCCGAAATCACCGGCGTCTGGAACGCTCGGAAATAGCTCCGAAGACATTGAGCCTCCTAGAAAGAGGAGCTGGTGCTGATAACTGGCCCATACAGGCTAGCTCGTGCAGAACACTAAGCGGGGTCGGACTCCCGCAGGCCCTAACGAGGTAGTTTGGAGGAAACGGCACCCAGTCAAGTGGATCAAGATGAGAAAAAAGGGGGGATGTATGGAGAGCCGACTACACCCGCCTCTGGAGGCGTCACAGTGCTGCGCGTGTGGTAGTCTTGAGCCACCAACCACCACCGGCGCCGCGCTCGGTAGCGTGCGATCGAACTGTAATGAAGGTTAGCCTATGGCATACAGCCGTAGGGCGCTGGCAGGAATGTGGCGCGATTTACGCCTACGTCATGCGGTGACACGCACGCGTTGAGCCAACCGCCCACCACGGGTGGCACACGCAGGCACGATAGCTCGCGATAGCACGCCGGCGGCCTATGCACCGCACGTTGAAACTTTGCTCACGCGGAGCACGCGTGATGGCGATGACGAGCAGCTTTGTTCTCTGGACGTGTTGTGGTACAACACGTTGCGTGGCACGGGCAGCCGGTGTTGAGCCATAATAGGCGCCCTATCGAGCTGCCATCAACGAAAATCAAACACGACTACCCGCGCTCACATTGCGAGGGTGGAACGTGGAACATGGAGAAATTTATGCCTGTATCAGTCGGGGGCGTCGGGCGACTGGTATCGGCGTTGCTTGCGAAGGCGGAAACCACGCAGTGCAGCTTGCGGACAAGACGGCGCAGATGGACAAAGAGGAGATAGAGTTGCCACACGAGGTGGTCACGCTGCCCAGAGATTGTTGTCAGTGGCGTTTGAAAGTCGAGCGCAAATGAAACACCCCGATGGCGCAGCACTGTGGGACCGCTGCGGCGGAATTCACCGGGGCCATCAGCACGCGCAGGCCAAGAATGAACGTACGATTCTAAGGTCGGGGATTTGTGGCGCACCTACAGTACAATGGACGCGTAAAGGGAATCATTGACCTTGTGCAGCCACTCACTCTGCCGCAGCGTTACCGCACGGAACAATGATAACAAAGTCACGCGGAGAAATCTTGATACTCGAGACGTCAACGACAAAGGTGGCGGGCCCATCGGTGGCTGCAGCGGCGGCAATCCCGTTGCCGCGAGTGAGGACGCGGGAAGGGGTACTGCGCCGAATAGCTACTACGACGTTGGCGAGATGGGGCAGCAGTCACCGAAGAGCATCCTTCGCTGTCCCGATCGCTCTGATCACGATCACTGCGCTGGCAAGGCGAATGCCGGAGGTAGCTTAAAGGCCATCTCTGGACACTGCGGATGCCGGGCGCGCATGGCACGGGGCGTATGCAGAGAAGTCGAAGCGGGAGAAGTCGAGATACTAAGATAGTGAGAACGCCCGGGTATCGTACTCTGGACTTGTATGGATGTATTGGCCAGTGTGGTGGACCGGGGCGGGGTGGCCGTGTAGAGTGCGAGTCATTCCTGAATTTCTAATTGCTGCGGGTGGTTCAGACTAGTCCTATTCTTCGACCCTTGTCGCTCTTCAGCAGGCTAGACTAGATCCCTTTTTGCGGTAGCAACTTTCCAGCGGGGACAGGATAATGCAGGCACTGGCGCGCGAGGACTGCATTGCGTGACGTGACGCGCCATCGAACTCGTGTCTCCTGAACTCTATGCCATGAGATGGCAAGAACAGCTTGGAAATACGTGTACTGATGAGCCACCGGGACCGGCGCGTGCGGTGGCAATTTCCGCTGGGCACACTGCAAGAACAAGACACCCTTGGCATTGATTCATGCAGATCTCCGTCGCGATGGACATTCACACGATACAAAGTGCCAGAAAGCAACTTGAGACATAATGCGCGTCGCTGCTGCGCGAACGAATCAAGATCTGAGAACAATGGTGGTGGAATCACTGCGATCTGGAAGAATGAGTGCTGTGAGGTGTCGCGGCCCTGGCTTGGAAAGAGGAACTGCCTCGCGAAAACGAGGGGAAAACGGATCAAGAGGCGGAGGATAGACGGAAGAGGGCCCAGCAATTCGAGCCCCAGCTGCTGCAAGAGGTGATGGGCGGCGCGGCAGCCACCGGCGTGACCGCGGCTGTGAAGATCCAAGTTCGTAACCGTGACATCGGCGTCTACGGTTCCCTTGCCACCTTTCCTCTCTTGTGAGCGCCCCTTCCTCTCCAGAACTTCTGCACCTGAATTGAATTCCTTTCTGCGGTCTACACACGCTTCTAGCCCGGAGTGCCACGCGTGGGATACTAGGATCTGTGGCTCGCTGGTGCTGGCGGTGCTTGGAGATACTCCGCGGTCGAGTCATGTCTTGGTGACCGGTAGCTAGTTCCTGTCGATTCTGGTTCAATCACGGTATCCAGCGTCTACCTTGCTGTGCGCAACATGACATATGTCGCACCCGACAAAGGCTTCATCAAATATATGGCCCCTCCTTTCGAAGGTCTGAAGCTTATTCTCCTCCGGCTTAAATAGCCCCTTCTCCCGTCTCTCATCCTCCCTTCACCCACACAGCTACCAACTATTTTCCTCCACAAATCCTACTCACAATGCCTTCCACATCCAAACACGTTCGCTTCAGGGAACCTTGCGAGGAGGACCAGTCCCCGCTCCCGCCCATGATGGCCTCCTCGCCGTCGTCGTCGCGCTCCTCGATGGACTCCCCGACCCTTCGCACCCCGCCGGACTACGTGACGCCAGTCTCCCTGCCATACATTCCCCGACACGCTCATCCTTTCCCCTCACAAACAAATCTGTGGGGCTCGCCGTTCGCGCAGGCTCGGGCGGCGCCGCTCCCATACTCCCCGTACCTTCACCCCCTCCTCACCAGCGCGCATCCGCAGTACCCATGTTCCCTCGAATGGGACCTCAGACAGTCGCCCGACCACGCGCGTTTCCGCGCCCCCAATGGGCAGTACCTGCATCTCACCGACGAGCAGCTCGCCGCGTCCGCGACGTTCCCGCCGCGCAGCTCCCTCCTCATCGTGTGTGAGTACCTCGCGTGGTCCATCGACGTCTCCATTGTCCCCCAGGCGGCGTGGTCCCCGCCGCCGCGCGTGCGAGGCGCCCGCCCGCCTGACCCGTACGTCACCGTCGGCGACGTGCTCTACTGCCTCTACCGCAACCTGCGCAACTCGGTGCGCAGTGGCGAGCTGCGATGGGCGGAGGAATCTGGGACGTACGTGCGTGTAGAGGGCGCGTTCAAGGCGAGGGCGACGACGGTGGACGACGCGCGGAAGGGAATTAGACGGGTGGACTGCCTGATGGAGATGAGCCGCTTCGCAGGGCTCTCGCTCGTCGCGTACCACCCTCAGATGGAGGGCGACAGTCGGAAGGAGGTCGGCCAGGTCTGGTCGTTGTTTGTGCGATAGTCGGCTCGGCCCGACGCCACCGTCGCCCGCCGCCGCCCTCGCCACTTGGCTCTTCCGGTCGACGCGTCTGCCGCGCTCCACAATGTGTCCGCAATGTCTTTGTCCCCTCATACCACAGCACTTCCCGCACACCCTCTCTCCCCCAACACCCCCAGTCCACGTGACTCTAATAATCAGTTATCGTTATTTGGCACAAGACCCTTCCCCAACATGGACGCTGATCCCGGACTCTTTACGATTGCTCTGTACTCCCCCGCTTTCTCGCTCGCCTTCGTGTTCTAATTCTGGTTACTTATGGCTATTTCCTCCTTCGGCTCTCCGCGACGACTTCACGACCATAGACTGTTGTACCATACCCGCTCCTCCGTACCAATCCTCGTATTCTCTCGATCTCGATATCCCGCCTTTACAGATATAGCCCGTGCGTTTCCATTGCCTCCACGCGAGAGTGGTGGGCAGTGGCTAGCGTGCGTAGTTGGTATAAGTTATTCTGGCTCCCGTAGCATACCGTCGCTCTCGTCGCATACGCAATCCCCCGTGTTCTGTCTGTAGTGTTCCATAGACTGTACAGTGTACTGTACTCACAACAAATGAATGATCAAGTGTACTCGGAATTGTTGAACGAGTGTGATCCAGTTAGCATCATTTGTGGCTCGTGACACAGCGGGCGGGCGAGAGTGCCTTCCTGCGCGAGTCAGATTGAGGAGTTCCTTGTCGGAGTTCTCGTCGCACTACCGCCACAGCGACTAAGTGATTTGCATATTCCGGACCTTCAAGCCCCCGCGGTGTCTAACTCAAGTACGCTAACCGTAATCGGGTCTGAATGCTGCCGTCTACACTCGGGTGGCACAGGACCCCCGACAATTGGGGAAGGTCCCTGAGCCAGTTACGGACAAATTTTGAACTTTCGAGAGCCTCATGCCTGGTATTCACGGACAAATCAGGGGGGTTGACCGCCGGATAGCCTGAGCCATTTCGCGGACATCGGGGAGGCAGCGGCCTGATTCGAGGCCGGACAAACGCTTGTGGAAGGCCGGCGAGGGAGAGCGCGCAGGGCCGAGGAGGAGGCGGCATAGCCGCCGGCTCAGAAGCGCCCAAAATTACCTTTTTAGGGTTAAAACCTGAAGAGAAACGTGGACCGCGGAGGCAAAAAATGTGGTGAGGCGGACATTTTGGGCCCGAAACGGCCTTTTCCCAACGGACATTTTTGCCCTCTCCAGATCAGGCCTATTCACCAATTGTCGGGGGTCCTGGTGGCACGCCTACTCGGCATGCAGAGAGTGTACAGACGATGACCTCCGTCGGCTCGCGACCAAGCGTTCGCCGCGTCGTCAAACAAATCAGGTAGACTACCGGATGTGGTAGGTGTCGTGGAAAATGCCGGATCTGGAGATCGATTATCGGATTCGATCACGCCACCGCGCAACGCCTCGCACGGTGGCGCGGGCACAGGCTGCTGCAGGGTTTGTCCCCGCCCACATCGTTCTGTTGTTCAAACTTCAAACCCATTCCATCTGCGTCGTCTCCCTCCTCGTGTTTTGGGCCTGCTGACGGTGGGTGCGCAGCATGTTCCGCCGTGCTCGTTGTTTTCTCAGATGCCTGGCCGATAGGCTTATCGGAGCTGATCTATCATCGCAGACGATCTTTTGAGCGGCGGAGATATTAAGGGCTCACGAACGAGTCTGACGGTGAGTGTTTCGCATGATCGTGCGCGAGTGTTGTCGCGCGAGGGTGGAGCGTTTGCTACGTGTGCGCGGCTGTGCCGCGGTGACTTGTCAAGTTTGTGGGTTTCTGACGCGGCATCGATTCGCTGCAGGATCTTACAGATAACCCGTGTGTACGGGCCTGATACACGTCATGGTGGCCAAGCTGTGTTGGGGGGATGACGATCAGACGATGAAGCTCGTGTATGGAGCCCGCCATTCTGTTCGCGCCGTCTCAGCTAATCTTGGTCGCCTGGCAGGCAGCGGGCACACGGTCTTGTTCTGCCGCCGATCTTCCTCGACCAAAACGGCCGCTTCTGTCAGGGACATACTCTCTTGTGGTTCTCCGGCATGTCATGCCGATACCCCCCATCCTGAGTTACCGTCGGAAGAGCTTCCTTTCGCCTAACTATCAGGAACGCGATGAGGTTCGCTGGATGGCTATCGTTATCGTTGTGGCCGGCTTCCCGAGGAAGAGGAGGTGTGCAGCGCCGCCACGGATCTTCGACCCAGCCCTTTGGATACCGAGCCCTTGCGGTGCCAGCTCTGGAGAACCGGAAGGTCGGAATGTTGCCCTCTGCCCTCGAGCGGAACAGTGCCCCGCGCACATTATTGTGGGCGTAGACGCCGTATTCTCCGACTCCACTGATGTCTGCGGCGCACCGTCGTTGTGCGGTGCTCAGCTCTGAGGAATGGAGCCCTCGTCGCGTACGTCAATCTCGCCGTTATCGAGAGGCTGCTTTCTCACTTGTATTGGTGTACAGCTTCGTGTTCTGCACCTATAGTTCCCCCTGGACGGACGGCTTCGGCCAACATCGGAGAGGGTGGCGATACCACTGAATTGGGCCGGTGTCGGCACTGTGTGGATTCTGCCTCGCGGCCTTAGCACATCGCGCAGCATTGCTACTTCGGATGCGGCTATCCCGAGCCTTGTCTAGGTTTGGTTCGGAAGAGAATGCCGTCGCGTGTGATCCCAGTCATGGCGGTACTCGATAGCACGGGAATATGTGCGAGGCCGTGCGACATGGAGATCAATTGTACGATTGCGCTGCGCTGTGTGCGGACGTCCTGTCGAGTGCAGCGCAAACCCATTTATGAAAGCTTTCTCAGGGCACCGCTGCCGAAAGCCGCCCGCCTCGTCGGGTTTGAGGGCGGAAATGGGCGTCTGGTCGCTATCGCGGCGGCCGCCAGGCATGGCAGTGCCTGAATAGACTTATACGCTGCACCGTGCGCGGTCGTTCGTTCGAACGCGATGCAAGGCCTTCGATGGAATTTTTGACGGTCGTGCTACGAAGAGTGGCCTGCCTCATCGAGGTGCGGGAGTACCATGCGATTCGTTAGGTTTTGGCGCCGGAGGGCGTGCTCGGGTGCGGTACCACCGGCGGCAAGCCATAGCGGCACTTAATGGACTGCTGCACCTCAGCGCGCGCGGTCGTCCTGTCAAGCACAGCGCAAGACCGTTTATGGCATGAAGGCAGCCCACTCCGTCGGGTTCTGCGGCAGGAAACCGTGTTTTGTGCCGTCGCACAGACCGTCAGCTTGGCGATATTCAATAGAGCTACTGCGTTTTACCGCATGTCCCATCCTGCCGACCATCGCCCGACGGCTGTTCTGATGCTTTCCTTGAGAGCACTGCTGCCGCCCACCTCGTCCGATTTGGGGGGCGGAAATGGGTGTTTTCCCACCGATCATCGGTCGTGGGCGGTGTCCCTGGACCACTGTGCTGAATCGTTTGCCCGTTACCCTGTTCTGCAAGGCGCAAGGCGTTCTATTTTTTTTGAGAGCGCTGCTACCGAGGGCGGCCCCTTTCATCTGGTTCCGGTGTGGGAAACGTGTTTTGTGCCGTCGCAAACGCTGCCAACGTGGCGGTACCCTGTTACACATTACTGCCCGTACCATCCTGTCAAATGCGCACGATTTTCTATGGATGCTTCCACGGGGAGCTGCTACCGAGAGCTGTTGGGGTTTTTTTGGGGGGGGCAAGAGACCGCCCATTGTCTTACCGATTACCTACTGTGGACGGTATCCTTGGACTGCCATGTGTACGTACCACCCTGCTCAGGATGACGCAAGAATCTCTATGGTAATTCTTTCCTAGGGGCGCTGCTGCGGGCAGGAAAGAGTGTGCTGTCTTGTCGGCGGCCAACCATGACGGTACTCAATTGAGTATTTTCATGCAACTATCTCCGATGTCCTGTCAAGCACGATGCAAGACCTTCTGTGAACTTTACCTCAGGACTCTGCTACTCACGGAGGACCGCCGCAGCGCGGGTGTCTGTCGAAACTTAAACCTAATGCAAGATGTCATCATATCGGCGTGAGTTGATTTTCCGCGGTGGGCGCTGTGGGCCACGATTGTCGAGGGTCAGTTGATACCGTCACTGAATTGAGCGGCTATATCTCATTGAGTTTGCTCGCGTAGATCTGTGTTTTAGCACTCCAAGACGATGTTGAAGTAGCGCGCGGCGCGTCGCGTCAGCTGGACGCGTATCATCCATCCTCAAGGCCTGACGTTCGGCCACGTTCGGGGTGGCCTGCGATACGGGATCCGCGACGCCTGAATTAGTCTGGCGCTGGCGGCGGGACTAGTGCAAGCACTACGTGGATGCTCCGCGGTGACGTTGGCATGTCATCACTGGCGCCGTCGAACGCAACTGGAGCCGTACCGCGTTTGGGTCTGCACTCTGACCAACAATGGCTTAATGGGCAGTGCTTGTGTCGGAACTGGGTGTTGTTCGGCACGCGAGTTGTTCTGTCAAGTACAGCGCGACCAAGGTTTCTGGGTCCTGGATCCCAAGGCATCGTCACCAAAGTCATTGGCTCATGTCGCGTCCGCGTCCTACGCGTTGGCGGTGCTGCCAGCTGCGGCGCATCCGAGTTTTTGGATTCCTGTTTCTCGCTGCGTTGCAACTGAAATTTCTATCGCGCGCCATAACCATGACGTTGCGCTTGACACATCCCACAGCACCTGTCCGCTGCATATAGATCCTGTTCGTCGATCTTGCCGCACATCTGGCAGGGTTCCCGCAATCAAGTCCGTTGGCCTGTGCCCTTTCCAGTTTTTGTGCGACGAACCACCTTGGGATTCTATTGGAATCGGACGGGGCAGTTCAGGACGGTCCTGGCGTTACCTGTCTACCAGCCGTTCTGTCAGGTGTCAAGTGCAGCGCAACGACATCTTGACTGTAAATGGGCCATTCGATCGGTCAGTCTTGTTGCTCAGGTTCTGGAACGCGTATGCTTGGTATTACGTCCCGTCGGACGAACGTTTTCCTGGACGCCCAACTCGCTATTAAATTCTGGATGCCGTATCGGCAGGGAAATTGGCCTCGGTGCGAAGCCCCAACTTCTAGCGTGATACCGCAATTACGGTGCCCTGCTGCCAAATGCATGTATGGTTCTAGGTCCTGTCTAATAAGGTGGCCTGGTGGCTGTACGCTTCTATCCGCCGGCCACGTTTTTGTCTTCAGATATCGCAACGTCAGGTTCGCTGGCTGTTTGTGGGGGTGGCTGCGACCAGGCGAGACCTTCCGGGGCGTCCCTGGTGCATGGGGAATTTCATGCGGATGGATCATGATACGGGTGCAAACTCCTGCAATCTGTTTGGCCTGCTTAATGTTCCGAAGAGCGGTGTCGACATGTATGCTCGCGATTACTACACGTGTCTTGCAATTGGATTCTGTGGCTCGTCCGACTGTAGCGACGCTTTGCTAATCAGCGCTGCCCGCTCCGCCGCCCATTGGCTCTATCAAATACGGGATGCGACAATAACTATACGGTTTGCCACCGCATCTTTGAGTCCAGCCGCGGTGACCGTTTCACGGTGCGCACTTGGTAAAAGCGACTCTACGAATCGCCGGGAGAACAATCTTGCTAGGTTTGGCACTCCGAGGGCAAGAATTGGTTGCTGCTTCGCCGGTGTTCCTGTCCCAATCTCTCCGAGACAATTTAGAGCTATCCACTTTCGGTTACTTCTAGCGCTACCGGAATAAAAGATTTAATCTTCGATGAATTTATGCAGTATGCTGCGTAGCTGGCCGTCCTGCTCGGAGTTGCCAAGACTGTAAGTACATATGTACATTCGCTGATAGGCTAGAATGATATCTACGCATACGCACGATATCCAAGCTTCTGTCTTCCGTATTTTCCGTACGTCATCAAAATAAAAGTCCAAAGAACAAGGAAAGCGATGCACAACGTGCCCGCAGGCATTGTCACTTGGAATATCTGAGGACCACACATATGATCGTGCACATTACCTCGGGCAGTGCGGAACGATCGAGGGTCAACACGGAGAGCATCGTGCCGTGAACTAGGACCCCCGACAATTGGGGAGGATCCCTGAGCCGATTTCGGACAAATTTTGGACATTTGGGAGCGCCATCCCTGATTTTTCACGGACAAATCAAGGGGTCAACCCATGGATAGCCTGAGGTTTTTCACGGACAAATGTACCGGACATCATGGATGCCTGATCCCCCTCCGGACAAGTTCAACTCCGGCCGGAGGCCGGCATCGGGACGGAAGGGGGCTTGGACAGGCTCAGGCTTACCATCTTCAAAGGGCCATGTCTAGATGCTGTCTAGTCGGCCTCGGAAACAGACATGCTGCTTCCAAGTTCATAGTTGACAACCTTGCATAAGTGTCTTCCTGATGACAACTCACTAAGGACAGTAGAAAGTGATTTGCAATGTCACTCTCATAGTAGTCTTGAATTCTATCTCAAGTAATAGACACTTCAAGCATGGCTGTAAAAGTTAGTTATACTATCACTTGATACCAGATTTCTCCTGATCCGTCCTCAACAACATGCAACCTGCCAACAGGAATGACATGCCTGATAAGAGTCAGAATGAATCAGCCCATCCTTCATCCTTGCAGTTTGGAAGGCTGTTCTGAAAATTGGAGCCTCCCGAGGCCTGGTTCGTGAATACGGACAAAATTAGAGCCTCCTGAGGCCTGATCCGGGAGCCCGGACATTTCTGCAATGAACGGATGCCTGGTCCAAAACCCGGACAAATTTGACCTCCGAGGGCCGGAGGCCTGGTTTTTTGCGGACATTTCAGGCCAAAAACCGGCTTCTACCAACGGACATTTTTGGCCCCTCAGGATCAGGCATTTCCGCCAATTGTCGGGGGTCCTCGTGAACTGTGGTTGCACTATGGTTGCACATCCCCCGCCGCCGTCGCTCCGCGAGCACTGTATGGTCACATAGCTAATGTTCTCCACGAGGCGTGAACTTATTCTCAATTTCCCTCGCTGTCCAGACGGTGCCGCCAACTACGCGAGCGATTTTCTGTCACATCGGGAAGGCCAAGCGCTTACTTAGTTTAAATGATGGTGTCAAAATAAATGCATACTCACCGGTGTTCTTGACCATCATCTCAACAAGCTCCAGACCCAGTGCGAGTTACGAGTGTCCATCATCCACGCCCTCACTGGGTGCTCCGCCTGCGAAGTACGGCCATTTTGTGACATTTTCTTGTCGCCGTACGCGCACTTGCTCACCCAGTTACTGAGGCAGGGCGAGGCACAGCCGCAAGGAAGAATTGCACGAAATTATCCCGCGGTGTATAAAGGACCACATACTCACCTTGCCTTCACCTCCACCTCTCCCCATTTCCGTCTATCCACTCCCCATCCCGGTCCTCCCTTAGGCTGACTCCATCGCCTACGGTCCCATCCGTGACTCTCTCGAGAGCTATACCTAGTAGCACGCCCAGTCGTGGTATCAGGTGAGTTGTCCGTCGAGTGTTATACGTCTGGGTATTTGGAGGTGGATGCTGCTTTGGTTCGAGGTGGTGGTTGAGAAGCGCGGCCCGTGGGAAGCTTGCCCACCGTCTCGACCGTTCATCTACGAGCGCGTGCGCGACGCACTGTCGGCAGCTGTCCCTGCTGTGCATACACTGCGACAACTTACAGACGGCTGAAGTCGACGTCTCTATGCCATGTCGAATTTCATAACTGCTCATCTATGTTTTGCGTCGTGGGCTTCGATGTCGAGGACTGACCCGGGAACATGTCCATGACAGTTAACTTTATACAAACATGAAGATAATCGGCTCCCGCCGCCGCGGCTCTACCATGGCCAGCCCAATCCTGACGAAGCCGGCCAGGGCGGAACCCAAGAAGAAGGCGCTGCTCGTCGGGATCAACTACGACGTGATTAAGAAAGTTGCTCCGAGTATAAAGCAGTCCTTCAACCCGCTGCTTACTCCGCGCAGCGACGCGAAGGACATGTGCAAGCTGCTCATCAGTGAGTGCATCTCCCTTCCATGACATTTGTTCTGGGCGTCTGACCCTGTGACGCAGAGGAGTATGGTTTCAAGCGGGAGGACATTATCCTCATGCTGGACAAACCGTCGGAGAAGCGCCTCTTACCCACGCGGACCAACGTTGTCAATCCCTTTACGTGCTCTCTTTGCAGTTGTATGTACTAACCTTGGCTTTTGGCAGAGGCGCGAGCTAGCCAAGCTGGTCGAAGGTGCACAGCGCGGGGATCGCTTCGTGTTTCTGTGTAACGTTATTTCACTGGCACGCCGATGGACTGCATCATGCTAACCAGGATCCTGGCGTGCGCAGTCGCCGGTCATTCAGACCAAACAGTCAATAAGACCGGGAGCGAGGACGATGGGTTGGACGAACGTGAGTCCTGCACTGCGCTGCGCAGACATCTGCGCGATCCCGATCCGCTTTCTTATCCGGGGTGATTTGCGTCCACAGAGGTGGTGACACTCGATGGGAAGATCATCGATAACGTATGTCGCTACCGTATTGTGTATCCACCACGTGTTACTGACTTTTAGCTTGTTCCTTGTACGCATATGTGGGTCCGTGGTGACTGTTGCGTCTACAGGATCTCCACGAGCTCCTCGTCAAGCCGTTGCCGCCGGGTGCGCATCTTACGGTGAGTATCCCTATGCCTTTTCTCGTATTAGCCATACTCACATAACTCAGGCAATCTTCGACTCGTGCCATTCTGGCACAATGCTGGGTAAGAAGTCGAGTGAAACAAAGTGGCGTGGACTACTCACTCGCAATATTTGCACACAGATCTTCCGCACTACGACTGCAACAGGGTCGTTGTACCTTGGGTTAGTAAGGTGTACCAACACCCCGAGCGCTCGCGGTGGGCGACAGTCTGTAAGATCTTCCCTCGTATTGGTGATATCTGTCTGACTTCCCTGACCACATAAGTACGTCGCAACGCCACACGTGAGCTTATCTTCCAGCGGCTTGAGTATCGATAGGCGCGCTGACTGTCACGCCCAGTTCCTCGCATGTGCTCCTTCGCACAGCTAGCCAATATTACTCGCCGCTCGACCGACCTTTCCTTCGGTGTGGTCTCGCTCAGGATGGCCGAGCAGAGCAAGGAGATTAAGATTACGAAGACGAACGAGAAAGAGCAGGAGCCGGAGCCGAAGCCGAAGCGGCGGTTCACTCTCAACCTGAAGAGGAACAAGACAAAGTTGCAGCGTAAGCCTCGTCCGCTGTCGATCGCCGTGCCGCTTGCGCAGGCGTCCATTGTCGCGATTGCGGCGACTTCGAAGGAAGTCGCGGAGATGCACAAATTCAAGGATGCGCTGTTCTGCCTGTCCCCGGTGTCTTCCACTGCATGCCAGGGATTCTGCCCGATCACGCCAGCAGAGGATATTCCCGACGTGGTAAGTTGGCTTGTCATGAGAACTAATTGCGGATTTTCATAGGATGGCGGACTGATGAAGTTCTGCAGGTATCTCTGTCCGCTTGCGCCGATAGGGAGATAGCATGGGAGGGCGAGAAGGGACAGTCTATGACCCGCGTGAGTATCTGTACTTTTCTTCACTGGCGGTAGTATACCAATCCTTGTGAATTGCAGTCCCTGATTAACTACCTGGGTAAGTTATTTGTATGGCTTCCTCATCCTCATCTTCTGACGTCGGCCTTTCAGAGGCAACCCCTCATCCAACTTACGAGAAGTTGTATGTGGACATGAGGTGGGTCTCTTGGGTTTGCTCTACCCCATGTCTTGATCGACAAAACCTGTCCGTACAAATAGTTACAACATATACGACATCATTCTCGAGGTTAAGCGCTGGAAGTTGAGGCAGAATGCCCCCCAAAATAGCGACACCGAGCCGCAGCTGCCCCAGGCCGTTATCCAGACATTCCAGGTGAGTAAACCGAACCCGTGCCACTGATCAAGTTAGCTCAGGAGACTGATATCGTTGTGCTTGTCCGTATAGATGGGCAGTCTGCGCAGAATGGTAGGTGACTCGCGGTCGACTCGCGGAAAATAAGTACTGATGTGATTCTGTCTATCAGGACATGACTGAGATTTTTACCCTATAACTCCCATCTTCTCTCGTACACTCTGTACACATTTACCCCCTCATATGTGCTGCTCCAGGACTGTACATCATCCACATTCACGACTGACTCCGCGACCGTGACGGGACGATACTCATCTTGCATTCATCGGTGTATTCACGCTCTAGCCTTTGTCCGGATGCTTTTAACCTCTACATATTCATCACACACTCCCCTATCGTCTTCATGTTGTCCATGCGGTACTCCTCCATATATCGGCCACGAGGTTTATGCAATATGGCCTCTTCTGTACAATACCACCCCTATACTATATGCTACTTGTACTGACGTAATTGAAATACGGATGTTGCTCTCTGATGTTTCAGTCTGATTTGTATGTTACGTACTGCTGGATCTCTACGAAGAGCTGTACTCAAGTAGGACCCTTGGCACCTCCGTAGCGTTTGTTTGGCAACAGCCTTTGAATCTAACAGTCTACAACAAAGCCAAAGCGACATTGCAGAGGCTGTGGCTGAACATTTAGCCGAGGAGCTCTCTCAGGCTATTCACAGTCCTGGCCTCGAGAAATTAGTTCGTCTTCCTAGATTTTCTTTGCGCTGCCTGTCATTTGACATAACCCCTTGTGATCTCTGTGCTATGGCTGGTGCGCGAAGCGTTTGAAACGGTGTTTTGTCGCTGAACCTGATGTGAATGTGGTCTTGAATTGCAGAACAAATCGAACTCGTGTCGCCACCGTTCGATAGTGTCTCGTCTGTGCGGTTCTCGCCGACTAATCCGTCACATCTGCTTGTGTCATCGTGGGATACGGTTAGTGTTGTCCTGTGCGTATTGTCTTGACGAAGTGTAGGGAGGTCCGGACTGGATAGGTCCTGTGCAGCTGTTGCCTTATGCTAGCGTGTGATCATCGTGGCTCCACATCACGTACGCGTTATGCATAGGGCTGTCTTGTCTGTACCCATATGACAGGATGAGCATTCCTTAATCTTGCCGATACCGAGACCAGGGCAATTTATGCTACGCTTCCTTTCCGCTTCGTTATGCCTCTGTGATCTGTTCTGAACGTGCCATGGTAGACGGTCCGGTTCTACGACATCGCAGCAAATGAACAGAAATCAAAATTCGATCACCGAGCAGCTGTCCTAGCATGCTGCTTCGCCGACGCGTCCCATGCATACAGTGGTGGCCTTGACACTTCGGTGCGAGAGTGCGTAGCTTATCTCTGACTGCGTGTTTACTTTCGATATTCATGTCTCATATGAGTACAGGTTGGAACTCGAGACGGACAAAATTAATCATCTTGGGCAGCACTCAGACTCTATCTCAAGCATGAACTACTCCCGCGATCTCAGTCCGTCTCGTTCCCGACATCCCCCTGTTTGTCATCCTCACGTCCCGTTACATTATTCTAGACGTCCTTATCACAGGGTCTTGGGACCGGACAGTCCGCTTCTGGGACCCGCGTGCCTCGTCTCCACAGCAAGCGTCGCACGATCTTCCCGAGCGCGTTTACAACATGGACCTCGTGAACCACAACCTAGTCGTTGCGATGGCGAGCCGGTTGTTCCACATATATGACATCCGCAAGATGGATTCCCCCGCGCAGACGAGGGAGAGCAGCCTCAAGTTTATGACGAGGGCTTTGGCATGTATGGTTGACGGACAAGGTATTCACAGACAAATATTCGCTGATTTGGAAGCTGTAACGTTTCTCTGTTGCTTCACAGGATACGCCACTGCGTCGGTGGAGGGTAGAATTGCAGTGGAGTACTTCGACCCCAGCCCAGAGGCACAGGAGAAGAAGTACGCGTTCAAGTGCCATCGTCAGACTATTGATAATGTCGATCACGTCTGGCCCGTCAATGCCCTCGCGTTCCACCCTATGTAAGACTTTTCGTCACCATCGCCCCTTCATCATCATGTACTTGTAAGTCATTGACGTTGCACACAGCTACAACACCTTTGCATCGGCCGGTTCAGACGGCACGGTCTCCATCTGGGATCACAAGCTGAAGAAGCGCTTGCGACAGTATCCAAAGTTCCACTCCGCGGTGCCGTCCGTCGCGTTCAACTGCGATGGCACGAAGCTTGCTGTAGGCGTGAGCTACACATGGGAGGAGGGAGAAGATGGCGCGAAGGCTGCGGAAAGGCCTAGTGTTTATGTGCGGACGACCGGGGACGAGGTCAAGGTGCGCCATTTGCTGCATTCATGGATTCATGCAGCTGACAGTATCGTCTTTACTCAGCCAAAAGGATGGACTGGCAGCTAGATAGCTTTCACGCTGCATTGCGCTGCTCGGTTTGTTGTTCAGTGATGTACAATATAGGTGTACTTAGCTGTTAACGGTGTCATTCAGATATTGACCATTTAGCTTTCGCACAGCTTGTCGAGTTGTATTGTTGTCCTCCAAGAAAGCATCTCGATTCGTAAAGTATACATAATCGTAAATGTACGAGCTCGGTCTCTACTCAATCTTCTTGCTTGAAAACTAGCAGGACCATACCGATCGTCAGGATTGTAAAACACCAGCAGGGACACCACTCACCAACGTGACCACTGTCCCGTCTGTAAGGGTGTCTTTTCGAGGCACGAACTCGTATCCAAACCACCGCGGGACGACCCGCCATGCGGCCCAGTACAGCACGCCCACGAACATGACCCCGATGCCCACGAGACAATATCTACCAAATATCTCAGTATCAATGAGTCCTGATATACGGGAACTATTGGCGTACAGGTAGTAGGGCAGCGGGGGAGTGTCGCCGACACCGCCTGGGGGGCGCAGGAATGGAGCGACGATAACTGGACGCACACAGACATTAGAATGACAGTAATTTGACTTCGGGTTCGGAGGGGACTTACGGAACACTGCCGCTGCAAGGAAAAACACGGCGAAAGGCAGCCACACTAGAGCGACGAGCTTCGTCAACGAAAATCCGTAGAAATAGAAAGTTTGTAACTTGCCTTTGAACGGCCGCACCGCGTGTGGTTTATGCCATCTCAGCCAGAACAGTCCCTGATATACGTCAATGATCTTGACTTCCACTTGCTCTTGGCAAGTGGACTTACAATGACGACGAAGAAGTTGATGATCTGGCCTGGATATCCCTCTACGTCGAGAATGAACGGATATGCCACCGATGGTGGTGGCCCAAGGATGATGATGACCTAGAAAATCTCAGTAGATGGATTCAGCTCGGGTGGAAGCTGGCATACGGAAGGGATCAGGTGGATGATCAGCCCGGGTAGAGGTGTCTTGCCTGTGGGCCAATTGGACGCCCAGAAGCGGTTGCCGAAGGGAAGCGGGATACCCTCTTTCGCGAGTTCTATGAGGTAGAATAAGGTATGGCTGAGTGGGAAGGATGAGAAAAGGAACACACCCTGGTTGATACGAGACGCAGCAAAAGTCTATGCACATGTGTTATGAATATACTGTTCATTGAGCTACCCGCATAGAACGTACCACTGTAATGACATTCTGGGAGACAGGATGCTCAGTAAATCAGGTTTGTTCTTAAGGTATGGTGACACTTACTCTGTGATTGCGATGTGAAGTGAAGTTAAGGATAGTCAATCCACTGTATCTCGATATTGGTTGACTCTACGCACCCCAACGAACTTCACGCAATTCAGTACGCAACCAAACGGTACATCAAACGTAAGACTGACCTCAACGCAACGAAGACCGTCAATGCCTTCTGGGCTTCGGTACCGAATACCTTTTTGAAGAACAACGACGCGACCGTTACACCGCTACTCGCGATCTCCTCCTTCGTTGCAGCCCTGCACACTGTTAAGATAAAGACTGGTTCCATAGCACCAAATGAGCACTCACGCGAAGTAAGCGACATTCGCTAAGAGGTAAAAGATAGTGCAGATCCCAAGACCAAGAGGTCCGGCGATCTTCAGCGTTCTGATGGGGTCCCGGACGTTGTTGAGCACATAATTGACATTTGACCACCCAGCATACGCGAAGAGCACTTTGAACGTTGCAGTAGCGTACTGTGAGGGAACTTGAGGACGAAGGTAAAGTGAAACTAACAAATCGACCGACCTCGTAGCTGCTGTGAGAACTGCCGGCAAACGCGTTTCTGAAGTTTGCATGGGGATCTTTGACTCTTGTGCGGCCGGATAATACAACCCAGCCTAGCTTGTATTTGAGTTGCCTGCCATGGAAAGAAAGTGCGAGAAACTACCTGTGACGACAATAAAGAGCAAGATAAAGATCTTGAACACGCTGAGGATCTAATCCACAATGAGCGAAGGTCAGGATGGTTTTTGCACATTGCAACCTACATTCATGATTAAGATTCCGAGCCTTGGAGTCAGGCCATGCAGGATGGTCACGAAGAAGATGACTGCGATATGTGAGAATGAGTGTCTCAGTCGGACTGCGACCGGACGAAGATATGACCTCCTAGAGCAATGCCGCGACTGGCCCATTGCGTTGACTCTTTCCCTGCAGATACCAGGATACTAAAAGGGGAAGGGGGATTCAGCACTCTTTTGGGCCGCTCATTCTCTGCGGCGACTCACTTGCTCGCAAATGCCTACGATAAGTGATTGGCGAAAGCAGTTTAAACCACCAAAGGAGCAGCACTCACGATACATCCCGACGCAGTGAACCCCAGCAGAATCGCGTTCGCAGCAAAAATGACCGTTGCCAGATACTTCGGCTTCGGATACGCAGCCTCGAGATACACTTTCTCTCCGCCTGAGCGGGGAAACATGGTGCCGAGCTCGAGCCAGATGAACAACCCGCAGAACGACAACACGAAACCAAGCACCCAGAGCATCAGAGACGCGCCCACCGAACCGACCGAATTCAGGATCGACGAAGGCGTGGAGAAGATGCCCGTACCAATCACACGACCAACACTGTTCGGCAGTCAGCACTTCATTACCAGCAGACGAGACAATTCGGTTGGTAGAGCCCCGGCGACTCGTTCAGATGTAGGTCCCAGACATACAGTTCTTTTCGGACGAGTCACGGTGCAAGTTAGGACGGCATAGCAAGTATTTCGTCGGTCACATGCCAGCATTCGGTCAGGCTTGAACGCAGCACCGCAGTGAATCGTCGGTACCCCCGTTCCTCCTCAAGACTTCTCGATGTATACCAAACGGAAGTAACGGCAGCTGACTCACATGAGGAGCGTGCAACTGAATACACCGAGGTGACGGCCCATTCCTCCAGCAGTATCTAACGATCAGATCATGATCGTCAGTATGAACTTCTTTCTACAGAGCAGATCCTAAGATGCGCGCACCCTCTTCAAACGTCAGCTCTCCGGGATTGAGGTCAGGGTCATGGTCAGGTATCGCTTCAGTCTCCTTGATGTCCAACCCTTCATTTTCTTCCGACTTTGAAGGCACTTTCTCGGTGTCTCTGTCCTCTTCGTTATCTGCTGACCCGACTGGCCCCTCAGACCCTCGGCGCGGTAAGGAGAAGAAGCGCGAGAGAGACGACATGACAGACAGCAGCAAAGGCAGGACAAACAAACTTGGGCTTCGCTCGATGCCGCGCTTAGATATAGCAGTCTTCGAAGACCTGATGGGCAGACTTCTTCACGCCATATCTGCGTATCATTGCGTATTAACGCCAAACGCAGGTGCTATCAGCGCTGAATTGATGTGCGACATTGCGTTGATGCTGTTTCGTGTGACAAGTTGCCGTATTCGTCAGTCGCACGAGGGCTATCATTCTCGGTATGGATATAAGACGCATCGATTCGTTGAGCCGCAGGCGCTCGTGCAGGTATACACATGGAGTCCTTACTCGATTTTTTGTGACGAAAACTTTCAAGTAGCAGCAACCATCAGTGTCATATAACATGCGACAGAAAGATACCACCTACCAGGGTAAGCACTGTACCGTCCGCTAAGGTATCTTTCCGCGGTACGAATTTGTACCCGAACCATCGCGGGACAACACGCCACATAGCCCAATAGAATACACCGAATAACATAACTCCAATACCCACAATACAATATCTGTAACAAACATAGTGAGTAGGGAAGGGTACCAAGTAACCGTTGTTGACGCACAGATAGTAAGGCAGGGGAGGTGTGTCACCAATGCCGTTGGGCGGGCGCAAGAACGGGGCCACGAGAACTAGAGATCAAGGAGGATCAGAGATAAAACAGCATAGACGACGAGTGCACAAACGTACGGAATATGGCTGCTGCTAAGAACAGTACTGCGAGCGGCAGCCATACTAAAGAGGACGGCCGCGTTCAGTACGGAGCAGATACAAACGCGTATCTACTTACCTTTGAAAGGTCGGACAGCGTGCGGCTTATGCCATCTTAGCCAGAACAGTCCCTATACAAGTTTACGAGCTCTGGCGTACGTCGACGCAAGGCATAACTAGACTCACGATAACAACGAAGAAATTGATAATTTGTCCCGGATATCCCTCAACGTCCAAAATGAACGGATAGGCTACAGCGGGCGGAGGGCCTAGAATAATAATAATCTGGAAAAAATTAGTTAATGAGCTCATCTCAAGGGTAAGTGTAACCTACAGTGGGTATGATGTGGATGATGAGCCCAGGAAGAGGCGTCTTTCCCGTGGGCCAGTTGGATGCCCAAAATCTATTGCCAAAAGGGAGCGGAATGCCTTCTTTCGCGAGTTCTGCAAGCGAATAATGAGACAGATATAGATAGTGATGGCGGCAGTGCTAAACAAACCTTGGTTGATGCGAGCTGCAGCGAAGGCCTTTGCACATGGGTGTGAATATACTATCGCAATTGATGGGGGAAGAGACGTACCACCGTGACGACGTTCTAAAAGCAGCGATCAGTAAATCTAGCCTGTGATACACGCAGATTCTCGACTTACTCTGTATATGCGATAGGTCGAAAAACATCCTGTCAATTAGCTCGATCTTGTGAGATCGATTGATTCTACGTACCCTAACGCACTTGGAGCAACTAAGCAACCATTTTATATGAAAAGCATATAAGAGACCTACCTCAAAGCAACGAACACCGTCAAGGCTCTCTGCGCCTGCGTGCCAAACACCTTACCGAAGAACAACGAAGCGACGGTGACACCGCTGTTCGCGATTTCCTCCTTGGTCGAAGCCCTGTGCTCCCTTCAGCCCTTGACTAATGAACACAAGCAAGCCGCGACCTACGCAAAGTATGCGACGTTCGCGAGGAGGTAGAAGATCGTGCAGATCCCGAGCCCAAGCGGCCCCGCGATCTTGAGTGTACGGATCGGGTCGCGCACGTTGTTCATCACGTAGTTGACGTTTAACCAACCGGCGTAGGAGAATAGGACCTTGAACATCGCCGTGGCGTACTGCGGGTTATATGAGTACGGAGTAGCAAATACAGGAGTGTACACGACACTGACATCGTAGCCACTGTGCGAACTGCCGGCGAACGCATTCCTGAAGTTCGCGTGCGGGTCCTTGATGCTCGTGTGGCCCGACAGAACGACCCAGCCTGGACCGAGTCAACAGTGTTCCATATTTACAGCAAAGCGGTCAACCCACCGGTCACGACGATGAACAACAAGATGAACGTCTTGAATATGCTCAGAAGCTGAACAGAAAGTAAGTAATGGACGAGCGACGAGACGATGTGATGTACATTCATGACGATGACGCCGAGCCTCGGGGTGAGACCGTGCAAAATGGTTACGAACACGATCACTGCATTGAACGAAGATCAGTTATGGTCCTTCACCGTTACGAAACAAATGGCCGACCTCCTAATGCGATGCCACGGCTCGACCACTGCGTCGCTTCCTTTCCTGCAGAAATCAGGATGCTGCAAAGAAACTAAGTGATCAAGCATGGGATCAATCGTCATGACATACTTGCTTGCAAATGCCTACGCAAGAGTAGTCAGAAAACGCACGACCGCACCAACGTCAGACTCACAATACATCCAGATGCGGTGAAACCCAGCAGGATCGCGTTCGCGGCGAAGACGACGGTCGACAAATACTTGGGTCTCGGATATGCGGCCTCAAGGTACACCTTCTCTCCGCCCGAGCGCGGGAACATCGTGCCTAGCTCGAGCCAGATGAACAGCCCGCAGAACGACAGTACGAATCCAAGCACCCAGAGCATCAGAGATGCGCCGACGGAACCGACGGAATTTAGGATTGACGAGGGCGTAGAGAAGATACCTGTGCCAATTACACGACCGATGCTGCGCAGGGAGACAGCATCACAAAAGATCAAGAGACTGCAGTCAATTTCGTGAATCGACCACAAAAAAAAACGCACATGAGCATCGTGCAACTGAACACGCCAAGGTGACGGCCCATGCCTCCAGCGGCATCTAACAGATGCACGGATCAGTACATACGTCCAAAAAGTGCTGCAGTCAAAATCACATACCCTCCTCGAACGTGAGCTCTCCCGGATTGAGATCGGAATTGTCATCGTGAACAGGTCCCTTGATCGATACGACATCGTCACTATCCTTGGTAGGCAGCTTCTCGTCGTTGTCTCGTTCTTCTTCCACGACGTTGCTCGGCGTTGCGACCTGGTCTTCTCGACGCGACAAGAGAAAGAACCGCAAGAGGGACATGGCGGGAGAGCAGCAAGAAGGATAGGGTGAAAGAAGTCCCTCTTATGTCCAAATAAATATATTATCTTCGACTTTGTGGCTGCTGGGTTCTTTGCGCCACGCCTTCGCCTACATTCATGGCTCGGTTCTTTCACGCCATAACCGCGCTGCATGGCGTAGCGATGTCTGCGTTGAGATAATTCAGGAACAAAGTTCAGAGGAACAAGGGGGAGACCGTGCCAGAGGTTCTGATCGTCGCGTCCGTACGTCAGCTGGGGAATGTATGTTGCAAGGAAAGAGAGATGAGCTTTTTTCTGGTTAAGTTGCGCAAGCGGCACGGCGATCGTACTCGATATCACGTGATCATGATCGAAAATAGATAGAACACAGCCACTGGCAGACCTTCAGATGTTTCAACCAACTGTTGCCAAACACAATTGAACGTTGAATCCTCCGAGTGAACCTCAGCATAGCCCGTTGATACCCTGAGTGCGAGTTTCCGCGAATGAGGACTGAGGGCTCACCTAGGTTGAACCCGGATGAAACTTAGCCCCGGGCTCAATTTCAAGTTGCCCTGATCATTTGGCATGGCGCGACATTATGTACAATGTCCAACTCATTTCCTTACCCGTTCTCTTTACTTGGGCTGCATCTTGTGGGCACGGGAAGAGTGCTGGTGATTCTAGGGGAATGCGAGTACAATAGGACATCAGATAGGATGGCTAGCTACGATCCTAAGGAAACGCTGCGGGCTCAATATCCGTGCTGCATGAGACCGCCTGCCATTCTTCTAATTCTTCCAGCGTGTTCTTGCAAGCTTGCTTCACGCTCAAATAATAGTCCTGGCCGAGACCAATTACTGGAGGGACTTCTCTGCCTTTAGCAACACCCTCTCCTCGAACGAGGTCTACGAGGATCTCTGCACCTTTCACAGGGTCTCCTGGCTGAGTGCGATCGAAACCTGACCTGCTATGAGAGGGGATCATGAACATTAAGAAGAGATAGATCTCACTATTCAGCTGGGCACGGACCGGAGCCATCAGGGAGTCGTAATCGGCGATGCGAGAGGCAGAAGTAATCAAGTTGGTAGGAGAGCACACCGCCGTACGGAACCAGCCAAGGTCGACGTGGATACTCCTTAAGCCGAGGTGAGATATCTCGGCATTGAGACTCTGCGATATTACTAGGAATAACGACAATTTCGGTGAGCCTTAGATGGCGCTGGCAAGAGCGGCCAAGCTAACCTCGCATGGCAGCCTTCGTAGCCGAGTACATTCCGCTCCCTAGCACGGACGGCCTAGTACTGAGACGTCAGTGCAGGCACCTGACTGTAGAAACACACGTACGTCCAACCAAGGGTGGAACCGATCCATACAATGGTACCAGTCCTCTCTTTGCGCATGAAGGGAAGGAATGCTCGGGCTACATTAACACCACCAAAGAAGTTGGTGCTGTAAGGAATACCTCATCATCAAACCTCCGAATCATGTATCACTTCTGAGAACCACTTGCTGGAATTGCCTGACCGACTCTTCATGAGTCATTTCCTCCACGGGTACGTTATGGCCGTAACCTGAATACGGGTGTTAGCTCAATTGCGGCTGAGGAGTCGTGACAGTTAGACGCTTGCCTGCGTTGTTCACCACAATGTCTACCCTCCCATGTATTTCGACAGCTCTGTTGGCTATCTGCTGCAATTTCTCGCAGGAATCCGTGACATCCAACTCCAAGATATCGGCGCCCAAAACCTCCAGATCATCGAGCTTGGACATCGACTGAGGTCGAGCCGTTGCTATGACGTGATCTCCTCTCTTCAGGGCGGCCAGTGTTATCTCTCGTCCTATCCCAGACCTGATTGCCGAGGAAGTGAGCTGAACGAGCCAGCATGATAATTGAGAGACGTACGAGGTTCCAGTGATTATCCATACAAGTGGCCTTTCAGACATAGCGAGGACGGTGGGGTGGCGGTAGACATGGATCACCTTGAAGATACGCTTATATATTCAAGTGATACCGGCCGTGGGTGTCTGCAGCAGGAACCAACAGCTTAGATTCATTCAACGAAGAGAAGTTGGGAGACACATCTCATATCAGACGAATTGCGAATAGCCGCTACCACTATCAAATATACTCATTAACCGCTGTAAGATTCGAAAGATATTGAATTTACCCGAAGCCACCACGGCCAGGTTTTAGCAACGCTAAAATGCCAGTACGACGCAATAGCTGAGTGACCATAAACAAACCCAGTGCCATGATGTTTCAAGATCATTGGCCAAAACCGGCCAATTGGAGTGGTGCAAGGGATCCAACTTCGATCAGAGGTTCTAACGGTCGCGAGGCCTTGACGCTCAGCGTGACGGTTCAAAGTCGAATGGAGTAACATGTGGGTCGTCTTGTCGGTTCACGTACATAAGATCACGAGGCAAAGTAATGAGCGTTGAACTGAGCTCACAAATTTAAGTACAAACTGTAGAGGAAAGAGAACACCAGGTGTTGCAAACTGCTCGAGAGAATCTCAGCTGCCAGAGCGCCAGAAGGAACTACGATATCAGCCATCCATAGAACTGTCAGCTTCGGTACTCGGTACGTCCCCGTTACATTTAAAGATAGCACTTCACAATGCACAGCATAACCACACCGATTGACAGCGAGAGTGCCAGGGTGGTCTAACTGTTATTGCTGCAAAGACAAGTCATGCGGGGTCCAAACGTGCAGAGAGAGAACTCACGTTTATCCTGTCTACATCATGCACATCAGGAAAACCCCACTTTTCCTTAAGAGGACACTTAAATAATTTAAATGGACTTATAGTCCTTATTTAAGGACATAAGGACAAAAAGGGCCTAAGGCATATTCCCTGAGTGTCTGAAATTCGACTTATTGAGACTTATTTGAACACTTGACTTAAATAAGGGTTGCCAGACCCAAAAGTCTAAATAAGTCCCTAAGGAAAAGTTGGGTTTTCCTGATGCATTTGAGAGGAAAAACTTGTTTTCTCGCAAAGGGCAAATGTGCTTCCCTCGTGTATAAGTATGCAGGGACAATCATCAGTGGCATACAGTACTTGTTCTACATAATACATTGATTTCTCGGGCGCTTGTGCTGGAAAACATTTGCCATCACATGACAAATACTTGATATGGCAATCCCTGCGGTAGTAACCGCACGACTTCCGTGACTACGACGACGACGCCAAAGTGTTACCTTGTCTGAACTTCCAGACTTGCATACGCTCTGCACGCACAGCACGAGCTCTATGAATCCTTGTATTCGTGTCATACTGGGATTGGAGAATACTACTGAACTGGTGCGTACAAATAATGTCATAAGTGAGCAGGGGCGGGCGTGGTTGGTTGTTAGAGGGCGTGTGCGGAGGGTGATGATGGTAAGGGAGGAGATGGAGTAAGGCGAGGGGTATCAAGAAACGGTAGGGAATAGTGTTAGTGGTGGAACAATAACTGGGGGTCACTGATGTTCGACATCATCCTACGAGGGGCTAAGGGGAGGGTAACGCGAGGTGAGTGGAATACAACAATATGATCAAAGCATCAGTGACGAGTAGTACAGGAGCTGATAAAGGTACAGGAAGCGCGTCCTCCAATGACAGAACGATGAGTACAACGCAAACCCAAGGAAAGAGCTGCAATGATGATAGCGATGTTTTGTTACAAGTCCATAGGCGAACGTGAGGTCGTCCGAGTCATCGCGCGCCGGCGCACGCTGACGAAGTCATCACCAGGGAATGTTCTCGTACGTGTTCTCGTACAAGAACACGCCTGCGAATGGGTCGTGCCCTGGCGTCGTATCGTTAAAGTCATCATTGTTCGCCTGTTGCGCGGGCAAGAACTCGCCGCCCTGGAACTCGCATCCCTGGAGCCGGGACGAAAGCGCCGCAAACTGCATCTCCCCTTCGTACTGAGACATGCCCATCTCGACTGGCGGAATGGCGTTCAAGTCAAAGTCGTCTGGGATCATTGCATCCGACTCGCTCCAGATCGACTCGTTCTGCCACTGCGACGTCATGTACGGGCTGTTGCTGGATTGCATATCACAAGAGACGTCCTCCGGAATTCCTTCGACGCACCGCTCGTGGGAATTGGAGACAGAGAGCATGGACAACGATAGCGCGTCGGCCGGAGTGAAGGGACCGCCTTGCTGAGAAATTGGAGATGGCGAGAAAGGATCTAAGGGTGAGACAAGGCTCGATGCGATTGAATCTGCGGGAGACATCATCCCTGGGGACATCATCGGGGCGCGAGGAATGGTAAGCGAAGGAAGCATAGGTGCGCTCTGATCAGGATACTTGGGCTGCTCGGGAACTTGGAACATGCTCTGGAGGAGCTCATCTGACGGCTTCGAAGACTGACAATTAGTCTCTGCGGCGCTGAGAAGGTAAGCCGGTACTCACTTGGAAGTTACCCTCGAATATCGCTGGCTGCTGGAACGACGACGGATAGACCGCACCATTCGGCAAATACTCGAAATGCGTCAACGGATCTGTATCTGACGGAGGAGGTATGTTCGGAAGAGGCGTACGGCGGCTGATTCTAGGTATCAGCGACGGGGACGTCGGGCACGACGGCATGATGACCTGTGGAAGCTGGATCATCTGGTACGCTGGCGGTGGCGTCGGCGCCGACGCTGCGCGACGACCGTGGCCATGGATGCGCATCTGGCCGTAGGAGGCGCGAGTCGGACTGCTCGGGGGTGAAGAAACAGGAAGCACGAACGAGATATTGCTGTCTGCGTCTGTATCGTGCTCACCCCTTGCCTTGCCCTTCTTCGCCTTCTTCACCCGCTGCGGACGATACACGTAGTTCGGGTACATGGTCTCGTGCTCCTTCTTCTTCTCCTTCGCCAGATCCTCCCAATACTGACGGTCCTCCTGCGACAAACCCTTCCACTGCTGGCTGATGGTCTTCGACAAGTCTGCCTGACGCTGCTTCTTGACTGGCGCTGCATGCTCGTCAGCCTCCTCCTGTGCCTGGCGGTCTTCGCAGCACTTGCGGCGGAAAAGGATGAACGCATTCTCGGGACGCTTGATGTAGTCGTCGTCGCCCTTCTTCGGTCGCCGTTCCCCGATATCGCTAGCGGCGGATCTACGTCGCTTGTGCGAAGCCTGCGAGGCTGGTGCCGAAGGTGAAGAAAGAATAGATGATGAATCGGTGTCAATGGAAGATGTAGGGGAAAAGGTGCGCAGTGGTGGCGGTGTGCAAACGATCAGCTTCAAGTCTGGCTCGAAGGGCGAACTGGACGTGGAGGCATAGGGAGCGTTGTGGATAGGGAAGGTGAAGGCGCGCGGCGTCGGGGAATGGATGGCGACTTGAGGGAGTGGTGCGTCCGTCGCCACTTCGGACGCTGCGGAAGACACAATTGGCGGTGAGTACAATGTGGCTATTGAAGTTGAATGCTGCATACTCACGTCTGGAGGGGATGTCGCGGGTGCGATGTACGGGCATGATTGTTCTCGTGAAAGAAGAATGGAACGGTGTATTTGATCGCACGGGGGGAGATCACGCAGAGGGAGTATCCTCGAGGCAAGACAATTAGCTCCTGGCGAGGACGTGTTGCGGGGTGGCTCAGAGCCCCGAGGAAAACAATTGGAGGACGGACGACGGGTAAGACAATACGGGGCGTATGGCTTTATAGCCTTCTATGATACGAACCCTCCGCCGAGTGCTTTGGTCCCCTCGCACGAGATTACGCGTGAGATCCCTTCATTGTCTTGCCCAGTCGGCCGCGTGCAGAGATCTAAGCCGAAACGGGGATCTGTTCCATTGTGTGGCCAAATAGGCGTACACATCCTCCAGAGGTCAGCTCTTATTGTTTACTCTCTCTTCTGCGGTTCCTGCTCCGAATAACCGGCTGCCCTCTGACCTCCCATATGCCGTTATCGCTTTTCCTCGAATCCATTTCCACATCACTCACGCCTAGTCACTCGCCCCCTTCCCAGACCACCACGCCTCGTTTCTCGTCATCCCCGCTTTCCGTGCGCCGTCGCGCGTTTACCCGCTCTCCGGTTTCGGTCACAGACTCTCTGCATCAGTCAGTAAATAACTCCCCCAATGACACATTTCTCCCCGTATCGGATTATCTGGGATCGCCTTCCCACCACGTTCTCTCCTCTGCATGTGGAAGGAATTGCCCTGCTGACAAGCCTGTGCAGAAAGGCAGGTCCTAAGCGAATCCACGGAGAGTGCGTTTGCGGATCCGATCGTATTACTGCAGGTTCTGCGCTGCGCTCGCTGCAATCATTGAGATAGATCCTGCTGGTGCACCGTCAGCGTCGCCATCGCATGGCTCCCACCGCCCGCCCATCGGCCCTGACGGAAATGAAACCTAAAGTCTTACTTATCCCGGCCTAACTCACAGAGCATGCGGAACGACGTCGGCCGCGCAGCTGCACAGTTCAGCACATACATACAGTTTTAATTCCTTTCCGGCTGCGTCCTGCAGACGAATGTTCAAATGTTCAGCCTTTGTCGACAAGTATGGTAACATCGTATTGCTCACGCGGAGACTCACGGGAAGTTGGTATCGTCGATATATGCTGCAGACGTCCTTGGTAGTGGAACCTGCGCGCCGTCTATAGCTTGTGATGATCCCGGATCTCAATCTCCATCAAGTGTCTATCTTTTACTTCCGGAACTTCCTCCTGCATATGCTCGTATTTCCGTCTGTCATACAACCCTCCATTCCGGGAAGTGCGTCTGGTGGCGCCCGCGGTCGAAGAATGATTTCTTCGATGGTCTTTCGATGGATTTCGCAACATTTTCCGGCTGCACCGTAAATATCATATTCGGAGGTCAGACCACCGCTTATAGCACGTTTGTCGCGGATGCCGGGGTCGGCATCTCGGTATCTCCGTTTGAAATGATTTTGTCTGCTCTTGTGAAGCTCTTGTGCTCTCCTGAACGCCCGCACCCCTATGACGCAGTGGGCGGATCAGTATTCAGAGTCTGTCCGAATGTCCGACAACCTGCGCTGGGTTTCAGCTTTTGTGAAGTGGACGCAAAACAGTACTGGATTGTTCGCCTGGACGACGAGCCTAGCAACAGTAGGAGACGTGACTTTAATTAACGGGTGTGGCGCCGTTCTTGCTGACCATGACGGCCTCGCTCAGCGAGAAAGTTTCTCGACACTGCCAGGCCTGCGCCCCAATCAATCGCGTGGCATCGTGTCTGGGTGGGTATATGCGCGATATCAAGAAGCAATCTATTCGTCATAAGAGTCAGCACTTCGTGTACGCTCTTGAACTGTAACGCACGCGTATCCCACATGAGGCGCAGGACACACCGCCATACCAGTATCTACGCGCGGATCCCTACCTCATCGGTGCAATCACGGGCCACGGGCCAACGACGGGCACTGGGAGAGCTCGACGGAACGAGTACCGGAAAATACTTCCGCACGCCCTAGCCGCCGCCCAAGATGCCTCCGTGCGCCCCCAGCTGGTCGCGGGGACACAAATTCACTGATATTATATTATCGCGCACAATCGCAATCGCACCGTGATCGCCGGCGCATCATGATCAGGAGTCGCCCCACATCTCCGCGAGACGTAACCTCTCCCGGGGTTGCTCCAGGGACAGTCGGGACTGGACGCGGAGGGTTGCTGGTGGCGTCGCGCAGCTGACCTTGGCGCACTGCTGGCTCGCTGATGCGGCGGAGCGATACGCTAGCGCGTTTAGCATGCTGATGTCGCACCCTCCATACTCCGGGCCACCCCTCTCACTTAAGAAAGGAAAGATTCGAAGCCCGCGGGCGCGGATACAGCTGTGGGTCCCATCGATATCCCGCCTTCCCGCTTCCCGCCCGTGTAAGCGCACGAGAAGGCGACGTCGAGAGAATAAGAGGTGAGATCTAGCATGATAAGCGTCGCTTCTAATCGTAGAATGGTGCCTAGCGTGTTGTCACCGCACTTCTCTAGTGCGTAGACGTTCGTAGGCGTCGTCGAGCTAACCACGAATCGCATTTTCGACTATCCTTCGACAATCGATGGGTCGCGATGCTCTTGGTCAGAGGACTCGGGAGGGCGTAGCCCGGCGTCAACAAGGACCTATACCGCCCTCGCTTGCGCGCATCCCGTCTCCGCTCCTCATCTGATTCTGGGAGGTTTCAGAGCAGCCGTCTCAGTCTGCAATCGAATCGATAATCTGCACGGAGACGGAAAGGTCAGCCAGGTGGATGCAATCAGGGCTCATCAATCATCGTGATCACACCGGTGCACACAGAGAAAGCTTAACAGTTAAGGACATGTGGCCCTCTTATCTATCACGTAAAATTCGGATTGGCGAGGCTGTGAAGCGAGTGAGCAGCATAAAAAACACCGTTGTAAGCGTAGAATTGACCGTACCATCAGTGACGACATTTCATGACCTGAGAAAGACGTGATAAATACGGATGAAGCGGCCGTGTAAGATGAGAGTTCAAGTCACCGAAGCCGAAGATGATGTGTCTGCCGGATGTATGCGTGGCAAGAGTATACCGTAGACGTCAATCGTGACTGCGCAGCAATCCTCGAAGTTTTCCAAGTGGAAAAAAATCTTTTGAACGAGAACATCTGAGTAGCGATGAACGTGCAGAGGCCTTCGTCCTAAGATGAAATGAACATTGAAGACGTTTGTTTCTAGCGTTATGAGTCTGACTTAGTACGACGCAGGACAATACAGAGGGCGGCACGGTCACGGTGCGCAGACCCAGGGGTTGCCACCGCAGTGTTTCAGCCAAGTTGTTGGGTCAGCGTCGGTATGTACTCTTTTGGGATGATCGGCGCAGACAAGACCAAATCGGGCCGAGCGACTTGGAGTCAGAACCACGTGGTCGATCTGCACGATCGGGAGCTTTCAAGTTCGACTCACCTCCTCCATTCTCAACGGCGTAAGTAGTTAAATACATCCACCGAACTTGAGCGACGACGGCCCAGCTCATCTCATTTCATCTTCCAGTGTTTCATACTTCATCAGGTTCCTGTTCGTAATGCCTCCGAAGCTGAAGCGGTCGCGCTCCTCTTCGCTGGCCGCCCAGGCGGTATCCAGCGATCCTTCATCTTCTCAACGAGCCAAAAAGTTGAAGCTACTAGCTTCTCATACCATTGACTCACCATTCCACGATTTCATACACCCCACGCCGTCGGAAGCGTCTCAAGTGCACGCGTTGCTGGCAAAGGAGCACCCGAGTGTCGCTTCAGAGCGCAAGGCGCCGTCGGACGCGAACGACTCCGCAGGGACCTGTGGCAGCGTGCCCAACGTGCTGGAGTCGCTCGTCGGCACGATCCTTAGCCAGAACACGTCCTCGCAGAACTCGACTGCGGCGAAGCACAGCCTGGACAGCACGTTCGGGCGGAACAACTTCGCTGCGATTGCGCGGGCGCCGCGGGCGGACGTGGTGGAGGCGATAAAGATGGGCGGGCTTGCGAATAAGAAGGCGGGAGTCATACAGAATATCCTTAATGAGGTGTATGAGCGTCACGGCGCGTATTCTCTCCAGCACCTTGCGGGAGTGGTGGAGTCGGAGAGCACTGGGAAGAAGGCCGGCAGTGTGTCGGATGAGGAAGCGATGAAAGAATTGGTGTCGTATGATGGGGTGGGGCCCAAGACTGCCTCGTGCGTTCTCCTATTTTGTCTTGGTCGGTCATCTTTCCCAGTGGACACGCATGTCTTTCGATTGTCCAAGATGCTCGGTTGGGTACCAGCAAAGGCGGACAGAGTCACCGCTCAGGCGCATCTGGACCTCAAGATACCCGACGATCTCAAATATGGGTTACACGTTCTCATGGTGGGGCACGGTCGGCGGTGTAAGGGATGCAGGGGTGCAAATGGCGGAAAGGGTGAGTGCGTCCTGAAGAAATGGATGAAAGAGCGGAAGGGAGTCAATTGAAAAACTTGATGCGAGGGTGACAAAGACAGAGGAAGATATCCCAAGTAAATCAGAGCATTATGGCATTTCCTTTGCATCGAGGATGTACGTGAGCAGATTCATAACTTCGGACAACTTGAAATTATTGACAATGATCGTTAATCAATTCGTCAGTTTAGAGTCCATTTTTTGGATACCTTCTCCACCCATTTTCTGTTGAGGACCCGCTCTTTCCGCTCTCTCTCGAAGTTGCTCAGTTAACTTACTTCCATCCATAATATGTCCTCACTAGGTCGCTGCAGTAATGTAATGAGTCGCGACGCGTGTTCACGTGACGCAGACGCTCGGTGCACGCTCGAGAATTCAATTTCAAGTGGTGCATCGCATAATACCTGCCGTACGTGAGAGCCTGAGCAAGGAATAGATGCTTGCTGAACGGTATTCAGAACTGGACCGCAAGTTCGCCTTGGTAGGCCCAGGCAGGGGTTGTTATCACTTTGGCAATTCAACGGTGTTTTTTCCCTCCTTCGTAGCAGCTGATTCTGAAGAGATGATGATAACGGGGACTATACAGCACTCAAAGGTAAAGACAGAAGTAGAGTGCCAGCCAGTGCCGCACAGGATTGACAACGCAACTTACTGGCAGGTCGGACTAACACAGGGCGCTACTTGGACCGACGATTATCCATCACTCGCTCAGTCCCCACCGGCAACGGGGATCCAGCTAAATCCGCTTCTCAAACATCACCGATATAGGTGTGGTACCGGTGACTGCCCATATTCCTCGGACATGCGACCATAGGCGCTCTGCACCTCGTGCCACAAAGTTCGTAACTCGAGGAACCATACCTCGGCTGGTATAATCACTGACGGTGTTAGTAGACTGTTGGTGGCACGAGCCTAGCTGGGGTCAGTCTGCTAACTGCGTATCGCCGCACGGTCGCACCTCGGCACGTTCACGAGTTTCGTCTGGCTCGCGACAGCGGTCCTCCATTATGACGGCCTCCCGTTACTCGTGACTGACATGCCGGAGGCGCTCGTTCCAAGCTCCGTGCGTGACGCCGTAGAAGTGCAAGCCACAGAGCGCGCGCTCTGCGTGATTATATCAGAAGCAGACCGAAAGTAAACCTCAGGAGTCCGCGCCCGGTGGGAGTGGACTGGTGGGAGTGGATTTGTGGAAGTTCTGCAGCGCTAAGCTGTCGATGGCTTAGGCCACAAATGTTACTTCGGACTGTCTCTGGTCGTAGCCTGTAAGTTAGATATTAGACTATCGTGTGCGTCCTGCGGAGTTCGTAGGGCACCGAAGAATCCACGCGATGTCTGAAACCTTGATTACTGCGCAACGAGAAGCGTGAACTGAACTGGAATTCATGTCAAGAATAAAATTACACGCCTAGGAGTATGACTCATGCGGCGCTCCTGAACGATCTGGAATATCCAGAATATTGACCCGACGGACACGACGTGCCACGAGATATATTCTCTACATTCAGTAAAGTCGGGAAGGTCGGGCTGAGGGTTGAAAATGGCGCCGAACGCCTGCGCGCCATCGCACACATCAGAAGAGTTCTGGGGAAAAAATCAGCCTCCGTCGTTGAAATGGAAATCGACAGCATGCCTTTGGGCCGGTGGGGTAGAGAAAATGGAAAAAAACCGACACGCTGCTGTCAACGCAATTGGAGGGAGTCCAGGTCTACAGGAGGAGCAGCGTGACAGAGGCATTCACGACTCGTCCAAGATTTTTCCATACCACACGAAGAACATATTTCGGTACTTTTAATAACAGTTATTTGCGTTCGCTTCGTGTGACCGAAACAAGGGACGGTCCACGAGAAGTAATCAGATTGCCACCCCGACCAGAGGTACTCCAGTCAAATTGACAAGGATGCATGTGGCGTCATCCAAGATGTCGAGATTGCTGTTCGCCGCGAGGCGGGAATTGGGGGGTATGTCAAGCCTGTGTCCCCCCAAACCCGTGACGGCGTGCCATATGACCCAGCAAGTAAATCGGTCCGGAAAATCCGAGGGGAAAGTCGGGTATGCGGATTTCGTTCGCACAGAACGTCAGTAAGGGGTACTGTGGGGGGTCTGGGGTAAGTGCTACTCGCAGCGTCCTAGCGCACGAGAGTGGCCAAGGAGGACAAGGTTATCCAGGGGATCAAACCGGACATCACGGAAGGGCGCTTGTCGAGGGACGAGCGCTCCGAGTAGTTCAGTAGCGCGTGCAGGCGGAGGTGAGCTCGGAACCTATTACGACACTGAGTATGGGATGAAAATACGTAGCATGGGAAGCAGCGCATGACCGCAGTGGTTGATGTCATCAGTACCGCAGAGCAAGAAACAGTCCCTGAGAATGCGTAGGTGTAAACGCCGATGCCGGGATATAGGCAGAAATTGGCCCTGTATGTAGCGTGACGAGCACCATCATTGCGAGGTGCGTATGCTCAGAGCAATTGCAGCAAACGGTCTGTGCATCAGTCGGCACGCCTTCGGAGTGATAGCGATTGCATTCCGGGTGGCCACCATCGGAGCCGATGAGCTGGATGATAAAGGTGACGAAGGGAGTGAAAGGTCCAAGTACTAGTAGGGATCTCAACTGATACGCTCTGCAAGACACCCTAGAGATCGGGCCGGCTTCTGACAAGATGAATATGAGATTCCAAAAGCAGAGCCATGAGTCCCAAATCAGAGTTACGACGCACCACGCTCGACGCGAATATGACAGCTGGAGTCCGAAACGCATCAGCTTTAGGCAGCTGCAATGGTCGCACCTGCGGATGTAGGGCGCCGCAAGGCACAACAACGTTTCGTGGATGTAGCTGATAGCCTTCTGTGCTTCCTACAGTGCCGCACACGTGGAGATGCGAACTGGAAAAGTGGTCACATATCGGGCAGATGGCCCAGCTTGAACCACTCGTGATGAGTCGATTGCGGGATTCGCAAAGAAAATTCTCGCTAGCATATCGCTGAAGTGTGGTGGCAGTTCGGATGAAGGGTTAAAAGTACTTTACTGGGTCAGAGGTGGATCCGGCCATGGTGGTGGTGGTGGTATACGTGTCGGACTGCGGTTACGAAAATGTCCGTCAAGCAGTGCAGACTGACTTAGCGGAGACAGGTGAAGGACCTACGACACCGCAGATAATCAATTTCAAATCTCCATCTTTTGATCTTAAAACTGCCCAGCTCGTAGAATCTCTGAGCCATAGGCCCTCACTGAAGATCGATGTTAAACTTAAGATGTAGTCAGTGCATGAACGAAATTTGGTTCGTGTTGACAGAAGCGGTATTCGGGGACTCACCCGCACAGGCAGCGAACCGGATGTGCGTAAACCCACGCGCGAGGACAGCTCGTCAAAAGAAAGCGGTCAGTGACATATCACCGGATAACATTACGTCTGGCTGATATGCTGAGCGAATATGCGAATTTTCGGGGCGGAACAAGGTCATGCGGCAGGAGGGATGCTTGACGGAATGGCACCTGAGCTCAGTAGCGTACCGGGCGGACATGAGGGGCGAGCTTCGGTGTCCCGCTCCTCTTCCATGCTGTTCATCCGTCATATCGCGACCATTTCGCAGCAGGGAAGATGAAGAGATCGAGAAGACATTAATCCTTCTCTGGAGCGCCAGGCCGAGAGGTGCCGAATGCAATCTGATTTCATTTGAAGTGAGAAAACATAAGGAACTATCACCGTCTCTCGACTATGGATACGAACTGTCGTCAAGCTGTTCCGAAGTGACCTGCGCGCTCCCTCTGAGACATGTGGCCTTCCGGAACGGTGCTGCGAGGAAAAAGGATAGTACTAGCCTGTATCGATATAAGTGCAAAATTCTCTTCCTGCGGAGCCGCTAAGGGAAGGTACTGACAGTGAAGCGTGCAAAGTAAGTATTACTTACCCTGGACCGAGGCTGGGAAGAGGAGTTCGGAAAGGTTGATCTATTGGGACAGATTGCCTAGAAGAGAAATAAGGGCGAGAAATACTTTGAAGCGCCCGCAGCCAAGTGATATTCTTCAGATCGCTGCCTGACGTTCCCCAGCCCGTTTCTGGCCGTCCTGCTCCTTGACTTACAACGTCGACAAGCCTCGAGAATGTCTGCGATGCTCGCCAACGACGTTGTCCTCGACGAGGCCAACGATGATGGTGCGTCTGCATTTCCGCATTTGGACTCCGTGCGCGTTATACCGACTCATCCACGACCATGGCGCGCAGATGGCATGCCCCCTCTCGTAGACAACCCCTACCCCGCTATGACCTTCACTTTTGCCACAGACATGACGCCTATCACCTACAGTACCGACGCGACCAGTCCCGAGCTTCCCCCCGAAGCCGCAGGCGCAGAGTTGGCCGTTTACTCCCCGCCCAGCTCCCCCGCACTCGGTCCCTCCCGGCCTTCGCACGCTAAGAAGCGAGAGGCGTCATACATACCTCGTTCGCCGAACGCGTTTATTCTCTTCAGATCCTCCTTCATCCGGGAACGGCACATCCCCGAGAAGATCGAGGGAAACCACAGCGCTCTGTCCAAGATCATTGGTGCGTTCGCATATCCATTCTCGCAATTGTTTCTCGCTCATTCAATTATCTGTATGAAGGTAAATGCTGGAAGGCGCTGCCCCGCAAAGAGAGGGAGGTCTGGGAAGCCAAGGCGATTGTCGCACAAGCCGAACACCGCCAAAGGTACCCTGACTGGCGGTTCCGACCTGCTGCAAACGCGCTTGCCAAGGTCAAGGATGGTCCCAAGCGAAGGAGTAATAAGAAAGGAAGAGGGGAGTCAGAGAAAGAACAACGAAATCGCGAGAAAAGGTGCGCCAAGATTGCGGACTTGCTGGTTGCGGGGAAGAAGGGTTTAGACTTGGAGGCTGCAATCAAGGAGTACGACTGCAATGCTGGAGGAGGGGTTAAGGTGAAAGAAGAGGCGAACGCTGTCGTGACGATGGAAATTGCAGCCGAGGAGAAGGTCACTAAGATTTCTGCAGGTGTTCAGTCTCAGGTGCGCTTCGCGACTGAGCAGGGTCCAATTCAAGATGCAGACTTCTGTCAGGACTCGGGCAGTCTCACAGCGCCCTGTCTGACTTCATTTGATGCGAATTTCAAAGTCCCGCTCACCGCCATGTTCAAGCGGTCCTCGTCTGCTCCCGCCTCACACACCCGCAATTCTAGCGGATATTTTGCGAAGGGAAACTCTACTTTCGCCGAGCGGCGCTACTCCGTTGATTCAGTCCGCCCTGCAATGATGTACCCGCCGTTCTTCGACCACCTCACTGAACACGAGGGAAAGCCACGTGTTGGAAGTGTCGTCAAGTTGGCTCACGATAGCGGCGAGGCAGTGGCTACAGACTGCATGTCTACCACGCAGCAGTCGCTTCAAAGCTTTGTTAAATCCGGCAAGACACAGCAAGTCGGAGACACAGCTCTCTCGTGGAACAACGTGAGTGCACCTCTCCTAGAATGCTACCTGCGTCATTTTCTGAAATTTCCTTAATTTTCTCTGATGGACGTAGGCATACCCTTTGAGTCCCATCTCAACCGATTGTTACAGTCCGAGTCTGCCTGCGTTTGAGCCCGACCTGGAAGGCGCAAGCCCTCTGCAGTCCCCGCTTTCTGTTGCACTCAGTTTCGTCCCCGAAGGCGGTATTCCTGGTTATCTTCCTGTATGCGACGGCAGTCGTGATCAATCTTACCAGTCCTCCTATTCATCGCTGAGAGGATGGGCAGGTGACGACATACCCATGTCTCCGCTGTCGCTTCCTTGCATGGGGGGGCCTCCATTCGTGTATGACGCTGAACCTGCCAGTATCATGAAAGACGCGTTCGCCGCAGCTTCGAGCGCGATCTACGGAGACTGGGACAACGGAGTCGACTTCACGCTTTCCGGTCGAAACTATCAGAATCCGTTCAGCTGGGACAGACCCATCGACGTGAAGGGTCTGGGGCAGTACGCTCAGGGCCCCAGAATCTGAATTGTCGCCAGGACGACTTCCAATTGTCTGGCTACACGCCGGTCCCTTCTGCGAAGGTCGGCATGTTTGCATAATTGTGATTGTTTCAGATTTGCCGTCCCTTTCCCCAGTGGGCGCATCTGTTAAGATGGAAGATTCAACTCTTCATTACGAGCTATCATAGATTTTTCCTCGTCGACTCTCTGCTCTGTGCACCTTCTGGGAGATTCAACTCTTCCGGATTTCTTTTCTCTCCATGACTCATATCGGATCAATCCACAGAATCACTCGTTGAACTCTCAGACCGTTTAACATTCATTAGATTGTGTTGTATCTCCTCTGCACTTGCGTATTCCCTTCATGATTTCTGGCACTGTCGCCTGTACATCATACCATGCTCTTCTTTTTTCCCTGCGACTTCCTGTTGTTTGTACGGTACTATACCGGCGCTCCGTGCCTCGGTATTTCTCTGTCTTTTGTGTGTACCACTGCCACACCCTCGTTATTTGTTACTGGCATCTCACCCATCTCTGATGTATACACCAAGACCGTTGTATTATTTACGTATCGCGGCCGTAACGAATGCCATGACTAGGTTATTGACGTCAATGTTTTCGATGCCCATTACCCACCGTCGGAAAGGCTCGTGCGGACTTTGGAATCTTGATTGCAGCGTTCATAGGCGTTCATTGACGCCGTCCGCTCGTTGGGAGAGATTTGACCATTTTGACTTCCCTTGACTGTCGTGCACGTGAAGGACCGATGCTGCCTAATCCAAGCTGATCTTCCACCATCACTTGGGAATTCTGGCGTGACGACTGTGCATCGACTCATCGACGGTCGAGACTGGAGATTGTAAATAATTGAACTCAATTTCACGCTGAGCCTCCGAGTCATCTGCGACCAGGACATGCCGCAACCATGAGGCACTGTGAGAGCACCGGGCGTCGGTGGTGAAACTCTGAGGCGCATATAGGAGCAGGTCCTTCGCTTACCCATTGTCCCCCTCTTTCGCTCACTGATCAGATTGCCCAGGCTTTCTAGACGGCGACTTCGAAGATCTGCACATACCAATGGGTTATAGTTATAAGTAGTGAGTCTGCCGTCACGTATGGCACCCGCGTCAGTCTGTCGTAGCACATGTTTCGTTCCTGGGACTCGACGCGTCGAATGGTGTTCTGGCCAGGTGAGCGCGCATCTCAAGTTTGGTCAGCGATAGGCTTCTGAAATCACGAATGGGCTGGTCGGGTGTGCCGTCCGGCCCTGGTTAGATATATTCGCTGGAGGCCCTGCATGTATATCATGCGCAGACTTCCCATCGTCGGTGCATATAGGCAATTATGCGGCACGGCGATCACACAACTCTACTGAACTTTCTTCACTTTTATTGACAGCTCGAGCTATCCTGGGCGGTCAGGTCGCACGGAAAGAAATCGCCACCATCAGTGTATCGGCCGATAAGGGTCAAGAAATCAGCCAATGACTGTTCTGCGGTGTCCATACTGAGAGTACCCCTTCTTCCGTGCCGAGGGGGTTCTCCTCGGTCTCGCCGTTCATTATCGAATCCAGAGATCCATATAGAAAGACGGGACCCCACTCATCTTGCTCGCCTCCGAGCCCAGACTAATACGGATGCTACTACTAGCATCATAACCGGCACAGTTCCTGTAGTAGAGATGGAAGGATCGCGAGACTGTAGATCAGGTGCAGCCTGCTCTTGTTTCTACACAGCCGCACTGTTCGACAGCAAAGTCCTCTTCCCAGGAATATCTCGAGTAGGCCGCCTTGGCGAGAGGGATCATTGATCTCGGTGCTAACACCCCAGATGATCTTTCTTCGTAAGGTTCGACATTGGCACATTGTTATGAAGGGCAGAGCGCTTTTTTCTGAATAATCCTGAGACTCCATTGTGTCCTCCCTTTGTAGCACGAAACCGGCTGCTTCGCGAAGGCTCAATCCTGAACTTATTTAGGTCTCTTTGCGCAGTTGCATCTCCCAACTGTTGTGCTTACTGTGCAAGAGGATTTTTCATCCACCACGTTTTGGTATGTCGCTCCGAAAACTTTATGTATATTGAATTGAAATCTCTACATTCGGGCGAATGGAAATCAGGATGTTGCCAGTACCCTGGAATTTAATTGACAGTCAGCCTATGCAATGTAGTGGACGCGAAATCCCCGCGTTTCAAACGTTGACAGATAGAACCACAGTCACCTTCCACTTCACGAACCGAGTCATGTACCCCATACGCGGGGAGCTGAGATAGAGTTCATCTCGGTGCTACTGGTAGGCGCGTAGTCCATATGTTCTGCTGTAGCAATGCGCGCTCTCGACTTCATGAATCCATGTCTGACACTGGCATACGCTGATAATCACGGCTTCCCAGACCCATTGTTCACTCTTTTCGTCGTAAATAACTTTCACCTAACAATGGACCAGTGGTCTCACGTCACCGTTGGCACGCTCCGCATCTCCGTCACCGCACCAATGATCAATAGAATGTCGCGGCTCCCCGATGGCAATGTCCATAGAGTTTACTGTCTGCGCCGGAACACATCCATCGCAACCTTGGCACGCAGTTCCCCGTGACACAGTAGTTGTCTGGCTGCCCGTTTACTCCGTTTGACTAACGGTTCGACTTTACCTCGTACTTTCTCGGCGCGAATCTCGTGTAAGCCAGGACTGGAGCTCACACTTGATTTCCCATTGTTCGCTCCGGCGGGTCGCTGTTAGATTTCAGAACTTGTCTCAGATATCTCACGCACGCAAAACCGATCTGTCTGCCGCTCACGAAACGCGCGTAGGTGCCGTGAGCGGTTGCAGTTATGGAACACACCTTCCTCATCTTGATGTGGCTACCTGCTCAGAGCCCGGTGTCATGCTCCATCCATGCTAGCTGCTGAGCAGCGTCTGCACAGTGCGCAAGGTGTACGGCACTGCTGCACTCATGTGACTAAATATTAGCTCAGGCGATTAATTGATCCACAGGTTTGAGGTGCTTTGTACGAGAGATATGCGAAATAAATCTGCCACGCCGCTGTCGCAAAGGTGACCGGGGACGGTGGTGTTCAGTCGGTCTGTTAAAAAGCACGCGAACCTCGAATGCCTTCCCTGCTCTACATATTACTTCAATCTCCATTACAGAAAGCACTCGTATTGGCTGAATTTCCACATTGACCGTTGGAAGACCCCGTCACTCAGCTCCATTTGTTGAACTACGCTGAGATAGACGACAAGCTACTATGAAGCACGTATGATACTGCGACTGGTGCGCGCTCGAGACAGTGGCTTGTCTGCGTCGTGAATTTTATGTAGTCGAAGATGAGTTTTGGTACCGGCTCGAGTTCGAACTATCGACCGCCTGCAGCTGGAGATCTCCGTGCATCTTAAGTTGCAACCGAGGCCAAGGCCGAGCCTGCTTTATCAGGGAACTACAGTGATTTGTCAGCTTACAGCTCCTTCAACGCGAAGCCTCCACGTCTCTGTATCATTTCTAACCTCTTTGTAACGACACACTCCTCTCCTTTATATTTCCCGGCAGTCCGCTTTGAAGGCGCATACATCGATTATGAAGTTTGTGTTCTCTGTCTTTGCCGCGGCGGTGTCACTAGGCGGCGTATGGGCGTCGAACGTCCTCGAGCTCGATGCGAGCAACTTCGACAGCGTGATCGGGCACGGTAAGCCTGCGCTGGTGGAATTGTGCGTCACCCGTTCCCATAGTCTGGGAACGGAGGAATTTCGCAGCGCATCTCTGCTGACGCAGTTTCTCTGCAGCTTCGCGCCGTGGTGTGGGCATTGCAAGGTGCGTGTCACGTCGTGTGGCTCGAGTGTGTACTAAAATATTCATGCATAACAGAATCTCGCACCTGTGTATGAGCAACTAGCGGATGCATTTGCGTATGCTAAGGATAAGGTGGTAATTGCGAAGGTGGACGCGGATGGCGCTGGCAGGCCCCTAGGGCAGAAGTACGATGTTTCAGGCTTTCCGAGTGCGTGTCTTACCTTGCCCTTGATTGCACGTGGAGTGCGTTCATTGAAGCCTGCTGACATTGCGTACGTTGTTCATAGCATTGAAGTGGTTTGGCCCTGATGGGGGCGAGCCAGAGAAGTATGAAGGTGGTCGGGACTTGGATTCTCTTACCGCTTTGTGAGTGAACTCTTTTGTCATGGGACGATAGTGCACGCCTGCAACGTTGTGTAACTGATAATTGACAACCACTTACTCTGTTATTCCCGCGTTGGTGTATTTGAACGGTTACTCACACAAATCGCTTTCAGCATCACAGAAAAATCGGGCATGAAGTCCTCCATCAAGCCTCCCCCACCACCAGCGTACCAGATTCTTGACGTTAGCACGTTTAACGATGTCGCGCTGGTGAGTGGTATGGCTGTATCGCGTTCCCTAGTGATCTCATCTCGCTACAGAACAAGGAGAAGGATGTTCTGATCAGCTTCACTGCACCCTGGTGTGGACACTGCAAGCGATTGAAGCCCATCTACGACGAAGGTCCGTATGCGCTCGTTTTGTTGCTCGCGGTAGTGGCGATTGACTCCGAGTTGCAGTCGCAAAGGACTTTGCGAACGAGCCTAACGTAAGTCTGCTGTGTACGCTGTCCCCCGAATTTCGCAACTCATTTTGCGCTGCAAGTGCGTGGTTGCGAACGTGGACGCCGATGCCGCACCTAACAAGCCCCTCGCGACTGCGTACGATGTTCAGAGCTTCCCCACCATCAAATTCTTTGGCAAGGATTCCAAGGGTGACCATCTGACTATGTATATCTCGTGTGAGAGGATGCTGACTGTTCACTATACTTTCTAGAGAAGCCTGAGGCGTACGAAGGCGCACGCACTGAAGAGGCATTCGTTGAGTTCTTGAACGAGAAGTGCGGAACGCAGCGGACTGTCGGTGGTGGACTTACCGAATTTGTAAGTGTCATACCTTCCCCGTATTCTCTTTTGTCTCATCTACTCGAATACTCGAATACTCGAATAGGCCGGGCGTCTTCCGGAGTTTGACACCCTCGCCTCGCAATTCTACGCCGCTACCGGCGCAGCGCGTGATGAGGTCTACAAGCAAGCATCTGCCCTCGCTAAGACCGTTGGGCCGGCAGCGAGGCACTATGTCCGCGTCATGGAGAAGGTCGTGAACGGCAGCGAGGAGTACATCCAGAAGGAAACGAAGCGGTGCGTTCCACATCGATAATACATCGAGATGGTATGAAACTGAGATGACGTACGCGGGTTCCACAGGCTTGTATCTATCCTGAGCAAGCGCACGATGTTGCCGACGAAGCTCGACGAGATCAAAATCAAGGCGAACATCCTCGGGGCATTCGCACCTGTCAAGCGGGAGACAGGCGGGAGGGCTGCTGCGGAGCTCTGAGCTTACGATAGGCTGTGGAGGACATCTGGCGTGTCCATGTAATGCATGCTTTGGATAGCTTTTTTCTCTTCAGACCCTATTTATGGAGCAGGGCATTACACTCATACAGTAAGCCCACGAAGTCAGTCCAGCAAGGTAAACACCACCGTCAAAATGATACGTGAGTCCTCCACAAGAAATATCATAAGGTAGCAAAATAGGTACACGTTGTACGCACAGGCTTCATGGCGGTTCTAGATAGCAAGACTGTACTCGTACTCGCTGCTGACGCTTTGTGAAATCCAGAGAGCGATAGCGGAGAGCATAAGTGCGACATTCTGGGAGATGTTGGCGTAGCCGTAGTACAAGAACTGTTCCGGATAATCAGGCATGACGTATTTCAGGATATGAACCGTCTGCAAAACCCCCTGATAAGCACACAGACGGCAAAGGATAAGACAGCACGCACGACGCTCCCAGCCAGACCTCCAGCCATGAACGCGAACCCGATGAACAAAATCAGCCGTGCGCGCCACACCGCGTGCGCATCGCCATCACCGAGCCCTCCTTCACCACGCACGCGGTCCTTGTCGATGAGATTGATGATGAGCATGCCGAGGAGGGAGCAGATGCCAGGCACCCAGTCGACGAAGGTGACGTGCACCGGCGGTGGTATCTGTGGGTCGTCATACGGCGGGTGTGCATGCGCCGAGAGCACTGCGGCATCAAGGAACGTCCAGTTCGCTAGCGCGAACTAATGAATGACCGGAGCAGGTTGGTCAGTGCGATGGTGACTGCGGGTGTGAAGGTGCTCACCAGGCCGCCCGCGAGATATATGCCGATGGTTCGCCTGTGCTTCCCGAGGTTGAGCGCGGGGAACGGGTTGAGGCAGACCCTACGAGGGTCATAGTTAGATCGGGGAAGAGACATGGTCGGCGTCGTTGGCGTCGGTGGGCACCAAATGGTATGCACAGATATAAGCGTGAGAATGAATGTGCACCTCTGCCCGATAAGGAAGGCTACGTCGTTCGCTTTAGCGTCCGTCTTTCGTTGAAGCTCAACTCAAAGATACCTACAAAATAAGGACACTAGTCGAGAGATGCAATATATAATGTAGAGCGGATAGATTGGGAAAGAGGCGTTGGCAAGATAGGCCCAAGGGGGTGGATTCACAATGAACTATTTTACGAACTACTATTTACTCTTGCATACGAGATCCTAAACTTGAGTTACTGTCAAGCCACCACTATATCTAATTTAAATACTAACGAGACCGGTGTGAAATCACTAACCTTCGTCTTGCAGCGAGTTGGTGATCCCAGCGTTCGTACATTTGATCCATACCGTGACCAACGTTCGTTCACACGCAATTATCGGGGGAAGAATAAGAATTCGCTAAGATGTTATTTGGAAATTCTAGTACACCGAAGAGGAATCAAGCCGAAACGACGAGCTCTTCTCTCTCCCTTGTGATTCTCTCTGATGCCCTTCTTGTGCTCGCGATACGGGCGGGCACTACAGATTGCCTAGAGCCCATTTGTCACCCTAATGCCTTTTGGTTTTGAAGTTCTTCCTTCATGGTTGTTTGCCGCTGCTTGAAGGACGTCCTGTGAAATAGGGCCAATGTACTCAGACTGACAGTGTGGATATTAGCTGACCTGGAACAGGGAAAAACGTTCATCAGGTTTCTGCCCTCAGAGCCTCTTCCACACAGCCACTACAAATACACAAATTTTAGAGGTGCCCGCAGGAACTGGACGTTTTACAACGCAAACACACTGATAATGCATGAAGTGTCGGTGACACCCCCCCGTGGATACCAAGCGCGACATTAATCAGTCCGCTTTTTAGTCTCCATGCAGGAGTATACCTCCATATACCAATTATGCCACACCTTATGTCAATAGAGTTCCATCGCTACCCCCCCGGCAGCCACCAACGCGTTTGTCCACGTGAGCGTGTCGCGAGAACGGCGACTGCCTTTTCGGTGTTTTCACGGCTGCTCTTCGAACTGCTTCGTGAATTATTTTGAGAGAATTATATCCTCGACCGTCGAATTGAAACACAAAAGCCGGAATGCTGTCCAGTCAGGCGACGTACCCGACTTCAACAAACGTGGTGGAAAGTCCCAAGCTGGTCGCTGCTTTCACTGCTCTTCTGCAGGAGCAGGCTCAAGGAGGTATGCAATGAATAGCTACTTGATGACGGACTTCTTTTAATGATGTCTATTCGCCACGATATCAAGAGCTAGAGTCTCGCTACGCAGACTGCGTTCGGTTGATAGAAACGGCCAATAGCCTGTCCAGTCGGAACTTACACGAGGACCCGCGATCGAGTTATTTTAAGGCGATTGCAACGCTTCTAGGGGATAGCTTCACAGTTCCGCTCACTTATTCTCGGGATGGTGGCGTCATATCAGAGGTGTACACGAATCTTGGCATGGACGAGAGGGTGCAGCTGATGGTGTGCTGCAACGGGATTGCTCGTTGCATGGCGAAGTTGTAGCACAGGGAGGAGGTACGTATTATCGTAGGCAATCACCACATCATTGATCAAAGTGGGATTGACTAGGCTCTGAATTGATATGAGGAAGTTGACGTGTTGTACAAGAATGCTCGTTTCGCGGCAAAGCCTGCACTGTTTGGTAGGTGTAATTGTGAGAATAATCGTTGTTTCTCGACTGATAGTCTACTCAAGAGTGGGCTGTATACCATCCGCAACCACAGAGATTGGACTTCCATCTCCACTTCACACACAGGGCTCGTTGGCGCATCCGATATGTTCTTGGCTCTCGGAAACACCGGTTCAGCCACGCATCGCCGTGTCGTCGGCGATGAGGCCATCCGTGCACTCCCCGGGCCCGGCGAAACTCGTCCACTGCGCGCAATTCTACCGTCGGGCTCTGTCAACAGTCTCACACAATTTCGGCATCCTGATCCAGAGCTACATTCTGACCATAGATTGTCCGACGAGTCGCTGCAGGTCCGCGGGTCGTGGCAGAAGATCACATTGCCACGGAACATCAAGTCGCGTATAGCATTTGCGAGCTTCATCTGGAAAAGTGCGCCATCTTCTTGGCGCGTTTTGATCTTCCATTAATATCGCTGGTTGGTTGGTCCAGGCCGTATGTATATTGTCGGCGGGCAGCGTAGCGGAACGTTTGAGGTGTACAACGACGCGTGGTGCCTGGACCTCACGAAGCTCGATGGATGGCGCCAGCTGCCGCCTTACCCCGGAAGGTATCTGATGCACACAGAGATGGCCGTGCACGGAAATAAGGCGTATGCCTTCACTGGCCGGGCTACTATCGAATACTTCGACCTGATCACCGATCGCTGGAGACAGATAAGGACGACGTTCGTGGACGCAAACGGACACTCCGCTCCATGGCCGTACGCCGAGAACGACGTAGATGAATACGCTGTACACATCGTCCGCGGACACATTTATGTCTTTGGGGCGTCGTGAGCAGCTGCAAGCTCGGGATAAACTGCTTTATGGTACTGGATCTTGCGACCAAACGCTGGGAGAAGCTGTCTGGCACCACAGGTGAACCCATTGCAGATAGCACCTGTCCGGGGCCGAGGAAAGGCTTGGCAAGCTGGGTGGATGCCCGGGGCGAGAAGATATACTTCATGTATGGCATGGCGGATCGAGCTGCATCTCAAATGTTCCACCAGTCGCATCCTGCTCAGGAGTCGCATGGATATGATGATCTCTGGAGCTGGGACATCCAGCAGGGCAAGTGGTGCACAGAGCGACTGGTAGGGAGAACACCCTGTCCAAGAGCAGAGTTGTCGCACGCCTTCGTAAGTACGCAGACCATCGAACGATTTGGTCTTCTTGACAGTTTCTGCAGCTTGTTGGAACCTGCAGTAGAATTCCGTGTTCACCTTTGGAGGCTACAGTCCGGAGCTGCCGACGCTATTTGCCACGTCGGGAACCTGTTTCGGCTTCTCTTACTATGCAGATACGTTCATGCTTGACTACTCGTCCCCAACACCGAAATGGAAGCATGTTCTCACCCGAGGGTTCCTTACTTATCGTGCCCAAGCCACGCTCCTCACCGACCCCGCTACCGGACGGATGTTCCTCTTCGGTGGGTACATCAACACAGATTGGGTTCCGTCAGGGAAGCATAAGAGGACACGCAGCTTCGGGGACGTCTGGCAATTCCGAGTGGACGTCCCAGGAGGGTTCTTTGAAGAGGTGGACATGGATGACGAGGAGCGTACAGCCCTCGTTGGGCCGTGGCAGAAGTGCTTCAGCTGTGGATCGATTGGGCCATGGAAGAAGTGTGGTGGTGAATCTTGCAAGTGTCCGCATCCCCTGATCTCAGAGGCTTACTTCGGTGGCGGACTAGGTACATGCAGAGGGCGAGCGTTTTTCTGCGACCCTCAGTGTCTGAAAGACGGCTGACCGGAACATAGACGCATGTATGATTGCGCCAGAGCGTAGTCCCTATACCAATGTACCAGATCTATCAAATTTACAATTGTGTTGCAGCATGCTACTATATTACCCTCCGGACGATTTGCGTGGCGAGATGCTGGGGGACCATATACCCCGAGAGGGACGGAATCAGTTACCCTCTCGCCTCATCATACGATACTCGCCAGGAATTGTACGAAACTTTCTGGCTGATCCCAGTGCGCCTAATAATACAAATAAGCCGGATAATTCTGAGTAGGCCTGTGATGAACACACTCACAAAATGATTTGCCTTCTGCAGCTGAAACAACTGTAGAGGCCTTGCCTTCTGACCAGTACGATGATATTGCTCATACTCGTCCCTGATCATCTGTGCTGTCGCCACGGCATCCCCGTGAGACATATCGCACCAAACTACCTGCACTTTCAGCGCAGACCACACGATCTCCTGCTCCTTCGACCGTTCTTCGGCATAACAGAGCGCACGGCGAAAGTTCTCAGCGTACACGATGGGATGCATGCTCATGATTGCGAGCTGGGAGCGGTTCATCACCTTAAGATCGACTATTTCGTCCAGATCTCTAGCAGACATCGTTTGTATTGTCGGCACGAAGGTATCCCTATCCGCTGCTGTAGATGTCTGCCGGACCTTTAATGTGGACACCAAGGAGGACAGATCTGTCGAGAGATTTTCTACTTGCGGGTAGTAGGTCGATACCCAGAGCGGAAAGGTGGCTACTCTCTCCGCGACGGTCAGTGACTGGTCACGAAGCGGATTGTAAAGTCCTTCTGGAGGTGAAGCGCCAATTGCATACAGTGCTGCATCTGCAGACGTGGAATCTGCATAAATGAAGAAATTCACTGATGACAGTAGCACGCACCATAAACGACATCAGGGAAAACCTCCCGCGCAAATTGGTCAGAATTATATATTAATTGTCAGGAATAGTCGAGATTCTCCGCGTTCCAGCGATTATCAACATTGTTGAGAATTACATGAAATAGACGGCCCCTGCCGATTTCACCCCTTAATTCTCAACATTTCTCAACATTAGACACATTTGTTACAGGGTTTTCTCTTCAATTCTTGCTATTATACATGTTGTGGCAATGAATCAGGCCTCATTTACTCAACAATACAGTAGGAAAACGAGCTTGTTATTAGACGGTATGAAGTACAATACTCAAAGAGATATGTAAGTCATCATCAGGTCACTTGCATACTGCCCTGGATAGCCCTGCATGAGTACTTAACAGGAAGCACAACAATGGGGGCGGATGTTATGCACCAAAAAGATCGAAGAGAGGGGTTAGAAAACATGTTACATGAGTTCGTGTGACGCACCGGGTGTAGGAAACAAGTGCTTGACATGGATGGAGGAGGTAACATCGAAGGCGACGGGCTCGGCCCAACGTGATCAGGCCCTGCACCCGCATGCCGAGAGACGCAGACACACATGCAGTGTACTCATTACCTGGAGCATTTGAGCATGTGATGGTGCGGAGTAAAGGAAACTTACTGGTACTGCGGGGCTTGGTTGACATTTCCACACTGCTGCGGATCACCCTGAGTGTGTTCAATATGCCTCAATACAATCTACAAAATATTGAACAGAGGGTGAATTTGGTATGCACGGAAGGAAAGGGGATCGTACAATGGCGGGACACTCCCAATGGCATGTTGATTACTTTGAGGCGGGGATCATCAGTACAGTGAACAAGGGAGAAAAATTGCCAGCATACTATCCCGTATCCTAAGAGGCCGTGAGGGTTTCGCAGTCACGTTCGCAAAGACAACGTCGTTAGAGGTGCCCCCTCCGATCGCACCAGTGGGCGCATGCGGTACGAGCCCAAACCTCTCGACATAAAAGCTCAGCGAAAATCACAGCCGTGGACCTCCTGAGCCAGCCGCCCCTTCTCCGCGCATCGTCTGTGCCGGCAGAAACGATAGAGGGGACGAGCCCGCTGGAATTGCCGTACTTGTTCAGCAGTGCACGATCTGACGGACCAGGAGGGGAGCGAGGGGGCGGCTGTGCGTAGTCATAGTCAACGGCCTCGAAGTCATATGTGCCTGTGCGGATTGTTCGCAGATGACGGCTCGGGGTCGTTGTATGCAAGAGGGTGGTAACCGCTGCGGGGGTTTATGTGGTGCGGGTCGACTCCAGCGTCCGACTGAATTTGATGTGTTGAGGGGGGCCGGAGTCGGAGCATCCATAGAAGCCCCATATTTTCATTTTACTAGTATCCGAGTTAGTCTTTCAGCGAGGCACATAGAGCGTAACGACGCACCTCGAGTGTTACCCTTATGCTGCTACACAAGACTATGCCTAGCATTGCATGCCAATATCAGCTTTGTTAAATGCATCCGTGAGGAGTAACAGAGAAAGCACGTACCATAGAATAAGTGTTGCGGGTCCCACAACAAAGCCGTGAATATGAAGAAGAGAAAAGACGGCAGTGAACCAGTGCTTGCTCCTGTTTGGTCCAATCAACATCATCACGTGCCGTTGGACTTTAGCAATTCCTGAGCGACGACGTGTGCCTCACCCTTGCAAATTGTATTGTCACCGGTCACCTCTACCCATATCCTGCACTTTGTACATATCTCCCTTCTTGATATCTTGCAGCTCGTATCCCCCACCTCGCCCGGCATACCCCCGCCTTACCTGCATCGCTGACTGCGTCTGTCCGGCCTCCACATCTCGCCTTACATCTCGCCCTTGCATCCCGCCTCCTCCACCTCTCCCACCTCGCGTCTTTGTACACCTTGCATCTGCTGTATCGCATTTTTGCCCGCCTCGTGTTCTTACCCATCTCACTCAGTTGGACGCATCGGCAACATTTAATACACCATTCGGATCACTTCGAACCGGCTGCACTGCATTTACGGCCATCTTTGCTGAGTGTCGAGCCGGTGAACCCTGCTGTTTCTGCTTTTGCTGTGTGATCATGGTAAGCAGTAGTTCAGCTGACAATTCTCTTTGAGAGTGTTCTAGAAGAACTGTTTTCCAAGAGCCCCCCAGTAGAGTTTCTGATTACCATACAATTTACATGTAATTATGAGGTTTTCAAATCAGATCATCATTGAAGTCAAGAAATCGAGTGACTTTCCTCAGTGCGCAATGCACTCCAAATTTTCTCGTTCTCGTGAATTATCCACATTTATCATACATTTTTTCACAATTGTGCTGGGAGGTTTTTCTTGATGTCATTGAAGTTGAGAAATTGAGCGACTTTCCTCACAATGCACTCCAAATTTTCTCATTCTCGTGAATTATCCACAATTATCATACAATTCTTCACAATTGCGCTGGGAGGTTTTTCCTGATGGATGAGGCTCCGAAAGTAGGAATCAAGTAATAACTTGGTATCTTCTGCCACCTTGTCCGCATGCGAGAGAACGGGGAGTGTCTGGTAGTTCCCACCAGACCAGCCAAGAAGTGCGATCCCGCCGGTGACTGTAGGCGACTCGGACACCTTAGCGATGGGAGGGATCTTCTCGTGCTTTACGAACCAGCTGAGGAATGCCACAAGCTCCAAGGCCCGTGCTTGCAGTACAGCGGCCTGAGATTCGTGGCTAGGGCTGCGGATAGCTTCGAGTTCGTCAGATGAGTACGCGGTCGAGCCTGAGTAGTCGCGGAGGTTTAAAAGAACTAATCGGACATTGTTCTGCACGGCATAGGGTTTCAAGGGCTTGAAAATACCTACGGAATGCAAATTAAGCGCAAGCTCCCGGCCACTCAATGGAATGCTTCACCGCTATGAATTGCAGTACCGTGCACCAACACGATGGTCACGTACGTGGTCGATGACTCAGGTGCGCCCGTATCGTCGTAGTAGAGCACGACTCCTTCACTGTTCACCGGAGCAGTCGGCATAATGGGTGAATGAGACAAGAAAAATGCAGATAACGAAGCCACTTTTACTAGGCTGATGCTGACTTATTCGACCGACGTACCTCTTGAACCTAACCCATGATGCAGAGGATGATCCTACGACGGGACGTGTGGGAAGAAGCATTAGGCAGCGAAGTCTTCTTCGACGGTGGAACGACCTAGTTAGCTTGCCACGAACGTTATTCTTAGTCCAGCAACCGATCTTCCGTTCTCTGGTCCATCAGCCTCTTCACACCAGCCTGTTATCGATGAACACAATCCCACATAAAACTGTGAGAGATCTCCATGAGGCAGCTAGGCTTGTGTGCGCTGTACGTACCATTGACTGACGACTCGTCAAAATTCCCCGCGCTTCTTGGCCTGACGACCAGAAATCTTCGACTCGCATGCGAACATGTAGTGAATGGGTAGCCTTGATTCATCCATTATCCTAATATGCTCGTGGCCCGTGGATTATTCATTAGTATGGAATATGTTGCGTCAGTCTACTGCCACGTATCGCGGATTGATTGCGGCTCGCGAACTCGGAAGAGCCTCTGCCACGTTAGAATTTACAGTGCAGCGTTCTGTCTAACTCTGAGCGGTGGCAGAGTGGATATGTGCTTGCCTCCGGACAACAGACCTACACCTGCACTGTAGTATGTGAGGTGACTATGTGTACGGCTGGCCCGGGAGGAGTTCAGATCATCATGATACTTGTTCCGAATGCTTCACGTCGCTATTGACTAAACGAAAAATTTAGTTGCGCACGCAGGCAGCGGCTATACGAATGTCGAATAAATCCTGCTATGCTTCAAAACAGGTGTGACCTAAGGGTTGTCGTATCCACCTGTGAACAGGATACTGCAGGTTACCATGTTATAAAGAGATCATAAAAGGGAGTATGACATCACGGTGGCTACAGCATCTTACTGATGATCCACCTTCCTGCATCGAGAATCCTTCTTTCTATATCTACTACAGGCCTGGCTATTTAACAAGCCTACCGGTATCACACTTCATATCGTCCGCACACTGTTACCATGCTCCAAGGCTTCCTGTCATTTATTCAGAGCGCAATTTCGAGCACAATTTCGAGCACGCTAACTCTGATTTATGCTCAGCCTGAGGTCAGCCCCTATTCCTTCAGCATTTAAAGCCCATTTGAACTCTTGTTCAATGTTCTCCACATACATCTATACTCTACTGACTAACTACCATTGTTATTGCAGGTGAACAAGCTGATCAGCAAGGATGTCAAGTTGACCGGCAAGGATGATTTGACCAACAAGTACAAACATCGGCATGTTCAAGCGTTGCTTGCATCAACCAATACGAAGAATGACCATTGGATGGCAGTCGAGTTTGCTGCCCTCAATGCATTACTTCCTTGCAACCCAAAAACATCTAGGTGGTATTGTCCACACCCCATCCGGCCTGATGCTGTTAGCGACATTCTGTCAGAGTCAGCCCCATTCGAAACTGTCTTGTTCGATTCATCTCCTGGTGGCATTGCAGGGTCCTTTTGGGATGGATTGGTGCAGGCTGGGCAGGACCTCAGTTCTGAGGACACACTTGTGGTTGCTCTGATAGGTGCTCAACCATGGGGCTCATCGTATAAGCTCTCGCCAGAGGGGCAGGACATCTTGTCTGCAGCGGACTTCATAGCTGGGTTCGAGAATTTCAAGTGCAAGATTGTTTTCATCATTCCATGCGGCGATGCAGGACATTGGAGGAGGCCCCGGTGGACAGTTCTCACAGTGGCTGAGTCGACTGGGGAGCCTCACGTATTTACAGATATCTATCGGACACTGCATGGACAGCACCCAATCTGTCCAGGCTCTTCATCTGGCAGCCTTGACTCACCAAGGGGTGAGCTGTCTGTGGGACACAGCATAGTGCCTAATGTCAAGGGGACTCGTGAAGTCATCGACATCTTCGAGTGGTTCGATGATCTCAAAGATGGTGATCTGCCCTCTTGCACATCTATCCACCTGGAAATTGCATCTTATCGCGAGTACGCGGCGAGGGGGGAAGGCGTCCAGGGGATGTCTAACAGATCTAGAGCGGGACCAAGCGCAGCTCAGTCTCGTGCGATAGCAAACGAGTGACTGTATTAATACTAACCTAGAGCGGGACCAAGCGCAGCTACTACAGGTCAGTAAGGAGATAAAAGGTAGGTAAAGAAAGTATTCACCTCAGTCTCGTGCGATAGCAAACGAGTGACTGAGGTGCATCGTCCGAACGTCCGCCAGTACTACCTACGTGATTACGTAAGTAACGTGGTGGCGTAAATACCGTACTACTCTGCCCGTGTCGCAATGTATGTACTTCAACACGCCCACTCAGAGTGACAGGGAATAGAGTATATAAATGAAAATACTTAAGCCAAGCCCATCCCCGCTGAAAACTTCTCATGCTTCTCACGAGGAAGCCCCTTCGTCAAGACATCAGCAACCTGATTTCCGGTAGGAACGTACTCAGGTTCGATCTCGCCGGAGTCATACTTCTCGCGGATGAAGTGGTAGCGGACGGCAATGTGCTTGGTGCGTTCATGGAAAGCAGCATTTTTGGATAGCGCGATGGCGGACTGATTGTCGATGAGCAATGGAGTAGGGCCCTTCTGAACCTGTCCAATCTCCGAGAGGAAAGTGCGAAGCCAGACTGCTTCCTTTGTACCATGAGCTCCAGCCATATACTCAGCTTCAGTGCTGGACTGCGCCGTCGAGTGCTGCCTCTTTGAAGACCAGCTGACAGCGCCTTCCGATATGAGGAAAACAAAACCTGTGACCGATCGACGGTCGTTGATGTTCGCTGCCCAATCTGCATCCACGTATCCGAGAAGGGGTTCCTTCTCCTTGGTAGTGCCACAATAGACAAGCTTCTTGTCTGCTGTCCCACGCAGGTAGCGATAGACTCGCATAAGAGCAATCCAGTGCTCCTTGCCTGGTGTTGCAGCATGCTGGCTCAACGCGCTCACTGTGAACGCAAGGTCGGGGTGAGTCCCGATCATTGCATACATGAGAGAGCCAAGCGCGCTCTGGTAAGGCTTCGGGTCGATCTCCGCCTCCGAGAGCTTGACGAGCTTCTGGTTCTGTGCCATAGGTGTGCTGACCGGGCGGCAATCGGCCATACCATATTGTGCGAGACACTTCTCGACATACTGGTGTTGCGAGAGCTCGAGGACACGGCGAGGACGATCACGAGTGATTTCCATGCCGAGGAGCCACCGTGCTTCGCCAAGGTCGGTCATCTCGAAGCGAGACTTGAGATCTTCCTTGAGGGTGGTGACAGCAGTGAGGTTGTCAGAAAGAATGAGCATGTCATCGACATAAATGGCGATAATGAGGAGAATACCGTCATCGTTCTTGTAGAACACGCTGTTACAACGCTCCCCACTTGTGGCGCGTCTTTTCTTTTTTCTTTTCCTTGTTCCCTTTACATTACCAGACCACGTGATCCAACACGTGACTCATTGGAGCGCAACCTCCAATTCTTTACCCAGATGTCCAGAACCCCTAGTCTAGGGTTACACCGGATCCAACTCCGGACCTTCTTCTTATTGCGCATGCAAGACGTGCATGTACGCCTCATCTTTACCTCGTTCTGATACACGACTCGTTATCCCCATTAGTACTGATTATCTCTCACGACCTTACTCAGCTTTCTCATACATATTACTTCCTCGCTGTTACCTTGCCCAAATATCGTCTCACCTTATCTAGCCAATGAACGATCTCGCATTACTGCGTAGTACTGCGGATACCTTTTGTATAAGTAAACGACCTTGTCGAGCTGGATCCCCATCTCGACCTGGTTACCATTAAACCAGCTTTTCACTTGCCTTTGACTGAAATCGACCGTTAGTAGCAGACAGCTACTACGAGTCATAAGAACGAACTCTGATCGACCTTCAGTGCGAGGACATCGCCAGAAGTGTCACTTGAACGGACTTGTGTCTTAGACTAAGACCTTGTCTCGTAACAAACTCGACTTGACGCTCGTGTTTCGCTGCCGCGTAACATTAGGTCGAGATCTTATTACTCTCTGTGACTTCCTAGAGTCTAACAACGAACTACCGACCGGACCGAACCTTGAAGACTGAACGATACACCCGATTCGATTGCTAAAGCACCGTTTGAGATTACTCTGTAATCGAGGTAGCTGAAGGGATAGACTGATCACTCATCTTCGGAGAGGGGTCTGTCCGAGAGACCAATAGGCCGAGGAGGCTGAGGTAATCACTCGAGCAATCAGCAAATAGGTGTATCAGTTTGAAGACAGAAGACACTCTACGGGCTTGTTAGCCGACGACAAACGAACCCACTTAGTTAAGGACGGTGTGCAGTCTACGTGTAGACATAGGCCACACAGAAGAATTTATCCACGCTGGATTTTAACTACATCAACCCGACCGCTCTTCCAGAGCAGTACCGCGAGCACCTCCCATCCCAAGCGGAGTGGAGCACAGAACGAAACGCACATTTCATAGGAGGAAGGCCTGTATTCATCAGGCCAGACAATCACAACTTCGACTACTCCCCAGAGGAATTTGAAAGGACACTTCCCCATAATCTTGGTGGAATAGTGCTCCAGCACATCACAGACAGCGGTATAACGACCTCCTATCCAGGAGAAAGACCAGACGCCCCTTGGAACCCCCCTGCCCAGAATCCTGTACCCCAACCGACTCTTGCACCAATCTTACCCGATTACATACCACCAATGGCTACAGTTACCATGGATGAAGGACGTCACCATGCTAGCCAGAAGGAACTTGGTTTTAGAAAACCCGAGATCTTCAACGGTTCAGACCGTTCGAAGCTTAGGGAATTTATAAACCAATGCAAGAACTACATGGCCGGAAATAGCCATGTCTACCAGGAGGACAATCAGAAGATCGCATTCGTGCTATCGCACATGCAAGGAGGAACAGCAGGATCATGGGCACAGAGCTTCATAGAAACGGAACTCACCAATGATGACTTCCTTTCTTATGGGAGTTGGAGAGACTTCATTGCAAGTGTGAACAAAGCATTTGGCGATGAAAATATTGAAGAAACCGCTCGTACCTTGCTGCGTAACATCAAGCAAGGAACTCGTACTGCGGACGACTACATTGCCGAATTCCGATCGCTTGAATCTAAGGCGAAACTAGAAGATGCCGGAAATATCGAGTATTTCAAGTGGGGACTTAACGACCCACTCCGACAAAGGATATATGGGATGGAAAGCATGCCCAAGACACTTGACAAGTGGTACGAATACGCCTCGCGGTTTGATAACCAATGGAGATCTGCTCAGATCTTCAAGCGAGGAGCCACTACGACGACGCGAGGAAAGGGCCGATCTGTCCATCGTCCCTACTACTCGGCTTCTGCAAAGGATCCAAACGCGATGGATGTTGATCGTGTCAATATCTCGCGCTTATCCCCAGACGAGCGACAGAAGAGAATGAAAGAAGGATTATGTTTTCTATGCGGAAAGAAGGGCCATATAGCCAACGACAGACAATCTCACCCCCAGTCTGGAAGTTTCACCCGTGCTAGAATGATACAGCCCGGGTTAGACACAGACACGATCACATGGATCAAGAAGATGCGAGAAGACCTCGCACAGAAGAAGGAGACGTCGAAGGAAGAAACCAGAGAGGAACAGATCGCCTATGTGCGAAACGTCTTCAACGACATGACAGACGAAGAACGAACCCAATTGGGTTTTTGAGACGACGGCCACTAGTAATGCATGGACCGTCGCATCTTACCGTATCTCCCCTCGTTATTTGTAACACTAGCGGAAATTCAATCACTGTGAATATTTCGTTAGGAGAGAAGGAAGACGTTACAACAGAAGCCTTGATCGACTCCGGTGCAGCCGAAACGTTCATGAACATTCGTTTTGCAGAAGAAAACGATTTCATTAGATGGGAATTACCGAAACCGATTACAGTCATGAATGCAGATGGCACATCAAATCAAATGGGTACCATTACTCATTGCACCTGGAAGATGATGAAAATCGGAGGAAGGAAGACACTTACTCGCTTCCTCTTGACCGGCATTGGCAAAGAAAACATACTTCTCGGCATGCCGTGGCTTAAACGCCTCAATCCGATGATCAACTGGGAAACCGGTGACTTTTGGTTTGGTAAAGATGCCAAATGGCCACCGAAACCCACCGTCGAAGATGCACCAGACAAAGAAGTTTCGATTTTCAAGGAAGATGGACTCCCAGAGCTAATCACCACCGAAACTTCCCCTACCTCATTTGGGCATTCAGAATCTATCAGAGAAATCATGACCGATAACACTGAGCGTGGCGAGTTACCCGCAGTGCGGAATGATACCGAACTGGATGACCTACCATCAGAATCCCCTATGGATCAGCTCGATGATGACGATCTAGTTATATCCTATATCGCAGGAGAGCCAGTCATTGGGATATTTGAACCCATCAGGAAGGAGTCACCTTTGACGAATGAAGAGACTGAAACCGCAGTCTTCACCATACGAAGAGGCCCCGCCATTGGAAGAATGACACACAGTACTCGATCCCCATTATTCTGTAACGCACAGAATACGGTCTTTTACAAACCATCCGGTAAATCACAAGAATTGGCACAACAGGCACACAAAGAAGCATCAGCTGTAGACAAACCCAAAACCGTCGAGGAGTTGGTCCCCAACTACCTCCATGATTTGAAGTCCGTCTTTGAAAAGAAAGCAGCTGAACGCTTTCCAGAAACCAGGCCTTGGGACCACGCCATTGACTTGAAACCCGATTTTATTCCACGCGACTGTAAAGTCTATCCGTTATCGCTCAAAGAACAAGGAGCGATGGATGACTTCCTGGAAGAAAATCTGCGAAAAGGATACATCCGACCGTCGAAATCTCCCATGGCTTCACCATTTTTCTTCGTAGGAAAGAAAGACGGAGCACTACGTCCTTGCCAGGATTACCGATACCTGAATGAAGGGACGGTGAAAAACGCCTATCCTCTTCCGCTCATCTCTGACCTTATGGATCAAGTCAAAGGCGCATCGATCTTTACGAAAATGGATTTACGCTCCGGATATAACAATGTCAGAATCAAAGATGGTGACCAATGGAAGGGCGCATTTAAGACAAATCGCGGACTTTTTGAACCTATGGTCATGTTCTTTGGACTCCGCAACTCCCCGGCGACTTTCCAAATGATGATGAACGCACTCTTCAAGGACATGATCGATGAGGGATGGATAGTCATTTACATGGATGATATCCTCATCTTCTCAAACGATTTGGAAGAACATCACGTTCGAACCCGACGCGTACTCCAACGACTCAAAGACAACGACTTATTCCTTAAACCGGAAAAGTGTTTCTTTGATGTTAAAGAAGTCGAATTTCTAGGCATGATCATTCAAGAAAACTACATTGGCATGGACCCTATCAAACTTAAAGGAATTGCAGAATGGCCTGAACCAAGCACGGTAAAAGGTGTTCGCTCTTTCCTAGGGTTTGGAAACTTCTATCGGAAGTTTATTGCCAACTTCTCGGATATTGCCAAACCATTGACGAATCTTACGCGCACTGCCGCTGGATCTCCACCTTTTGAATGGACGACAGAATGTCAGACAGCTTTCAACACGTTAAAACAACGATTCAGTACCGCCCCAGTACTGTTACTGCCTGACAAGGCAAAACCCTTTATTGTTGAATCCGACGCTTCCAAGTTTGCTACGGGTGCAGTTTTACGCCAAGCCGACATCAATGGAGACATCCATCCTTGTGCCTACATTTCACAGACGCTCAATCCAGCTGAACGAAACTACGAAATCTATGACCGCGAACTCCTCGGAATCATTCGAGCCCTCACTGAATGGCGCCATTATCTTGAAGGCTCTCCTCATCCCGTCGAAGTTCGCAGTGATCACAAGAACCTCACGTACTTCCGTACAGCTCAGAAGTTAAACCGCCGACAAGCACGATGGAGTCTCAAATTATCACAATTTGATCTTCACCTCATCCATGTCCCTGGCACTCAGATGATCCAATCTGATGCGCTATCTCGTCGTAACGGACTCGATGACAGTGAAAGTGACAACGAAGATCGCGTTCTTTTACCCAACGCACTATTCGTGCGATCCATTTCCCCGACACTATTCGATGAAATCAGGAATCACGCAGCAAAAGACCTCATTGTTCACGAAGCCCTCGAAGCGATTGCGCACAAAGGGCCATTCCCCATGAAATCATCGCTTTCTGACTGGGAAGTTCGCGATGGTGTCATCCTTTACAAGGGAAAGATCTACGTTCCACCATCTGAAACTCTTCGTCGTGACCTCGTTCGACTACATCACGACTCCCCTGCCATGGGTCACCCTGGAAAGTTCAATACTCTTGAACTGTTACGTCGTGAATTCTGGTGGCCCGGCATGTATACATTTGTCTACAATTATGTTGAAGGCTGTGCCGCCTGTCAACAAATGAAACCGAACACTCATCCTACGCGTATTCCTTTGGAACCAATTCCCGCCGACCCACATGCATTACCATTTTCCTGTTGCACCACCGATTTTATTACCGACCTTCCCATTTCCAATGGTTTTGATTCAATTATGGTCGTAGTAGACCATGACCTTACGAAGGGGGTGATTCTTACGCCCTGCCTCAAAACGATCACAGCTGAAGGAACGGCCAAGATTTTTCATGACAAAGTATACTCGCGATTTGGATTACCCGACCGAATCATCTCAGATAGAGGACCTCAATATGCATCCAAGGTTTTCCAAGAGTTAAATCGACTACTCCAGATCAGATCATCAATGAGCACAGCTTATCACCCTCAGACGGACGGAGAAACAGAGCGAGTCAACCAGGAGCTGGAAATCTATCTTCGACTCTATTGCGGAAACAACCCTGAAACATGGGCCGACCGCCTGCCAGACCTCGAGTTTTGTCATAACACAAGGGAACACTCGGCACGGAAGATGAGCCCATTCCGCATCATGATGGGATACGAACCACGTGGACTCCCTTCCGTATTCCCGACCACGAACATTCCATCAGTTGAATCCAGGCTTGACATGTTGCAGAAGATAAGACTAGAAGCACTAGCCATGCACGAGTTAGCCCGACAACAGATGGCGGACCGAGTCAGACAAGGATCGCCGAAGTTTACACTAGGACAGAAGGTCTGGCTAGACTCGAGGAACCTGAAGGTCAATTACGCCTCGCGCAAGATAGCACCAAAGCGTGAGGGGCCATTCGAAATTGTCGAAGTCATCGGACCAGCCAACTATCGTCTCAAACTCCCGAAGACCTGGCGAGTTCATTCCGTATTCCACGCCGCCCTTCTATCTCCTTATCGCGAAAACAACATACATGGTCCGAATTACGTGAACCCACCACCTGATGTCGTTGATAACGAAGAAGAGTACGAAGTCGAAGCCATCCTGAATCACAAGACGTACCGAGGTCATCTGAGGTACTTGGTCAAGTGGAAGGGATATTCTTCAGCAGAAAACTCGTGGGAACCTACCCACAATTTACAGAATGCCAAGCGAATCCTCGATGCATATAAAAGGACCAGGAGAATCCAGTAGAGGAGAAGAAACCCGGAATGACTACCACGACGGTTTTCCTCATCATCTTCCTAATCGTCCTCCACTGCACAACCCTCGCCTTTCTTTGGATCATCCACCGAATCCTTATCAGACGACTTGTCGAACACACACTCTTCACGCGAGACAGCCCGCACGCTAACAGCTGGGGTGATCAGAACGATGCCTGGAACTGATCAGGCGGCTCTTATCTCTGTGGGAATACTCTTTATCGTCCAATGGATTTTCATCTATTTGATTATTACCCGGATCCACGACATTCTATTTCACATCACAGATAACCGCGACCCCCTTAACGACCGAAAGGTATAAAAGGGGGAGAAAATGACATATCATCAATGCCCACTTCCGCTATAGACGACCTTGTTCACAATATACTCGCTGAAGTCGCCTCCACAATTATGAGCATACCCGCATCGCCTACGCTTGTCAATGGAGTACCCTCTCGAGCACAGACACCCTTTATCCGCACCTCGTCGCCCTCACCTTCTATCGAACTCAGTCACGCATCGGACGAACAAGAATTTGCCACACGTCTGGTCTCGGCTATCCGTGTTTCTGTCGACTTCACAGATATCCTCGTCGCCTTACGAAATCGCCCGCAAGATCGACAAGCGGTGGTTTCCATGCAACGAGCATTAGAAATGGTCGAGTGGATGCAGATGGCCAGACAAGAGCTCATCGCAGCAGAAGAAAGGACGAGTAGAGCCCGGACCAGAGTCGACCAAGTCTGGTCATTGATGCGCAGTACGGTCACTCGTACAGCACAGGAGATTTGGAGGGAGCATGGGGACGAAGACATCGGACACATCCTCGGATACACCACTAATGGAATACCCGCATCCACTCCTCGCTCATCGCCAGAACCAATTCCCGTTCGACCTCGCCCTCCTCGTTCGCACGTACCCAGTGGACGATCTCCGTTATCCCAACCATCTTTCTCGACTGCATCCACTTCTTCGCGTCGCAGTCATCCCTACAGGAATGGACGTATCCCCGAACAAGGATCACGAACCAGCCGGCGGACATGCTACAGATGTGGAGGAGATCATTATGTCCGCGACTGCCCCCGACGACGATGAAGATCACAATATTTCTTGTGGGACAAGAAACGTTAGACGGGAGCTGATGTTACAACGCTCCCCACTTGTGGCGCATCTTTTCTTTTTTCTTTTCCTTGTTCCCTTTACATTACCAGACCACGTGATCCAACACGTGACTCATTGGAGCGCAACCTCCAATTCTTTACCCAGATGTCCAGAACCCCTAGTCTAGGGTTACACCGGATCCAACTCCGGACCTTCTTCTTATTGCGCATGCAAGACGTGCATGTACGCCTCATCTTTACCTCGTTCTGATACACGACTCGTTATCCCCATTAGTACTGATTATCTCTCACGACCTTACTCAGCTTTCTCATACATATTACTTCCTCGCTGTTACCTTGCCCAAATATCGTCTCACCTTATCTAGCCAATGAACGATCTCGCATTACTGCATAGTACTGCGGATACCTTTTGTATAAGTAAACGACCTTGTCGAGCTGGATCCCCATCTCGACCTGGTTACCATTAAACCAGCTTTTCACTTGCCTTTGACTGAAATCGACCGTTAGTAGCAGACAGCTACTACGAGTCATAAGAACGAACTCTGATCGACCTTCAGTGCGAGGACATCGCCAGAAGTGTCACTTGAACGGACTTGTGTCTTAGACTAAGACCTTGTCTCGTAACAAACTCGACTTGACGCTCGTGTTTCACTGCCGCGTAACACACGCTGTGGTCCGAGTGGCAGCGGGTGAACCCAAGCGCCTCGAACTCAGCACGGATCTTCTTGTACCACTCACGTCCAGCCTGCTTAAGACCATAGAGGGCCTTGTTCAGCTTCCAGACGAGGCTGTTGGACCTGCGGAAGCCAGGGGGAACCTTCATGTAGATCTCCTCATCAAGATCACCATTCAGGAATGCCGATTTGACGTCCATCTGGTGGATCTCGAGGTCGAGCTTGGCAGCAAGAGCAAGTAGTGTTCGGACAGAAGCGAACTTTGCGACGGGTGCAAAGGTTTCGTTGAAGTCGAGGCCCTCAACCTGTGTAAAGCCCTTGGCAACAAGTCGAGCCTTGTACTTCTCGATTTCACCGTCCGGTCCACGCTTAATCTTGAAGACCCACTTGCAGTCTATGACCTTGCGATTCTGTGGGCGCTCCACTTCATCGTAGAGCTCCGCTTTGACAAATGCGTGTAGCTCCTCTGCGCACGCAGCCTTCCAGCGCGCAGCATCGGGGCGTGACATCGCCTCCTCGTAGGTCTGTGGTTCATCCCAGCTTGTGGCTTTGTGAGCATTCTCTGCATCGCCCACTTCCTCTGCGTTCTCCGAGTCTGCCGCTGCGGCATCAGTGCCCACTCCACCCACATCATCCTGGCCCTTCGGTTTCCGTGTGTAGGAGGACACGAAATAGCGGTCATCATCGGCCACTACCGGTGCCGTGCGCGTTCGACCTGAATGGCGCAGTTCTGGAGCCGGGGGAGGAGGTGGTGGTGGCTGCGCAGCGCGTAATTTCGGGCAGTGGAACGTCGTCGTCGCTGTCCTCATCCGCGTTGTCATCGTCATCCTCGTCATCGCTGTCGTCCACATCCAGGAGTGCAGGTGTGTCCTCATCTTCATCTGGGACATCTTCAACAGTGGGTCTTGGCGGGCGCGGAGACGGCAGCAGCTGCGGCCGCGCGTCGGGCGCCTCCTGCGTAGGTGTGACGTCAATTGTGACGCGACTGGGTGCGACTTCGGTGCCTTCGTCGAAATACACGTCGCGGGATTCGACGATGCGGCCGGTCACTCTGTGAACCAGACGGTAGGCCTTGCGATTTGCGGCAAACCCCAGGTGCATGCACTCGAACATTTTCGAGTCGAGTTTCTGACGTTTTTCCTTCGGAACGTGGACATAGGCTTTGCAGCCGAAAACGCGGAGGTGCGCCATGCTCGGCTTGTTTCCGGTGTAGGCCTCGTGTGGTGTGAGATTGTCAGGGAGAGTGCGGGTTGGAACAGAGTTAAGGATGTGTACTGCATGTAACACAGCATCACCCCAGTATGTGTTCGGCAGTCCAGCGTCATTGAGCATGCTCCTGGCCATCTCCTCGATAGTGCGGTTCATCCGCTCGGAAACGCCGTTCTCCTGTGGAGTGTAGGCATTCGTCTTTTCGTGGTGGATGCCCTTCTCCTTTAGGTATGCTTCGAATTCCTTCGACTCGTACTCACCGCCACCATCAGTCCGCAGGATATTGGCATGCTGCCCGGTCTCGACCTCAGCTCGTTCAACAAAAGCTTTGAAGTGTGAAAGCGCTTCATCCTTCGTCTTCATGAGGTTGGCGACAAGGTGGTGCGTGTGTCCGTCGATGAACGTGATGAAATAGTGGTGGCCGGACTGCGTCTGAGTCTGCATGGGACCACAGACATCGGAGTAGGTGCGATGGAGAATGCGGGGATTCTTGACATCCGACTCCTTCAGGATTGGCTGGCGTGTCTGCTTGCCATGGAGACAGGGCTTGCAGCTGACGTTACTCACCTTTTCTCCGACGATCGACATGCCCTTGACCATTCCCTTTCGCACTATCTTCAGCACGGAGTCTACGGAGATGTGACCAAGGTGGCGATGCCAGACCTGAGCACTCGCACTGGATGTTGTCTCCTTAGCAACAAAAGCGTGGAGTGGGGGATCATCCATGGAGTCATCGTAAGAGGGAGGGAGATCTTTTGCCTGCAGGATGTAGGTACGCTCGGGGAGCTGCGTGGTCACGTCGAGAACATAGAGATTTCTCCGCATGTACCCAATGGCGCTAAGTCGGCCCTGGGCATTGCTGATGCGACACGTACCATCAGCGAACCTAACATCGTAGCTGTTGCGGTCAAACTGTGAGACAGCAGGTTGCCATTTAGATCTGGGACATGGAGAACTTCCTGCACAATGCCAGTGTTCGTTGAGCCATGGTCGACTGCTGCACGGAGTGTGACCTGACCGATACCAACGGCGAGGATAAAGCGCTCATCTCCGAGATAAACACGCTTGGGTGTAGCGAGGGCACGGTAGTTTACGAACCACTCGCGGTGAGATGTCATGTGGGAGGAAGCTCCTGAATCAACAATCCAGCGGTGGAGGTCATCACCACGTGCCAACTCCTTAGCAACGAAGAGGCGGAGCATCTCGGAGTCAGCCTCACCGACACTGGCGATCTTCGCAGATTCCTTTGCATCAGCAGCCTTCTCAGCTTTCTTGTCGCCCTTCGCTGTGGCGCCCTCCACCTGGCTCGCCTTGAACTTCCGACACTCGTCCTTCGTGTGACCAGTGTAGCCACAGAAAGCGCACTTGCCCTTCTTCTTCTTGTCCTTGTCCTTCCCCTTCGACTTCGACTTGGTATCAGCATGCTTCGCAATGAGCGCAGATGCTGCGGTCATCTCGCCACGTCGCTTCTCCTCGCTAAGGACCTCATTGACGACCTTCTCGACTGTGAGTTTCGAGTCAGAGGCCATAAGGATAGTGCGAAGGGTTGAATAGGATGGAGGAAGGGAGATAGCCATAGCGATGGTGATGAGCGTGTCGTCTAGCGTTAGCCCGAGTGTCTCGAGGATGTGGGCCTTCTGCTGCATCGTGTTGAGCTGCGGCTTTAGCGGCGACTCGTCACTAAGTGTGCTGTGGAAAAGGTCGCTGATGAGATAGGCTAAGGTTTGCTTGCCTCTGCCCTCGTAACGTCTGTTCAACTTCTCCCAAGCGTCCTGTGCCGTCATCGAGTACATCACACCGTTAAGCGGCTCGTCCTTGAGCGTCAACGTGATCTGCGCGAGAGCCTCATTGTTCCGGACATCCCACTCCACCTTCTTCATAGTATCCACTGTTCCGGGGTCGGCTTCGGTGCCGTCGATGAGCGAATAGAGACCACGCAACCGGAGGATGGTAGTCGTGCGGTACTTCCACGTCTGGAAGTTTCCGCCATTGCTTTCGAGGAACGGGACATCGTAGAGGCACTTCGACTCAGCTTTGGAGCTGGCCTGAGATATCGGCGGGTATAGAGACATGGTTCGACAGGGGTGTGAACGAGAGAAGCAGGTTGTGGGAAAGGAAGGTGATGACGAGCGATTGAGTTCTCGATATTTCCGATGCTGTCAGATTCAGTTGGAGCCGGGGCTCATAACCTATCGCGAGTACGCGGCGAGGGGGGAAGGCGTCCAGGGGATGTCTAATGGATCTAGAGTGGGACCAAGCGCAGCTCAGTCTCGTGCGATAGCAAACGAGTGACTGTATTAATACTAACCTAGAGCGGGACCAAGCGCAGCTACTACAGGTCAGTAAGGAGATAAAAGGTAGGTAAAGAAAGTATTCACCTCAGTCTCGTGCGATAGCAAACGAGTGACTGAGGTGCATCATCCGAACGTCCGCCAGTACTACCTACGTGATTACGTAAGTAACGTGGTGGCGTAAATACCGTACTACTCTGCCCGTGTCGCAATGTATGTACTTCAACACATCTTTGAAGCGACTCCTCCAGTGTGTGCCGCCATCGAACAGAACATTGCCACAGCCACCTCCCATCCCCCTTACCACAGAAGAGATGGCTGAACTTAAGCCACTCTGTGAGAAGTACTTCTCACTCCCGGAGTGAAATTGGGAGCCCGAGCTTGCACTGTGAGATGATTGCAGAGTCTACCTCAATGGTAGACTGGAAGATGACGAGGAGAAAATGTGGCTCTACAAGCAGCTTTCCCAGCGGAAACAGCGAAATGAATGCGCGGTACGCATTGCCACGGCCCTTGGCTGGAATGACATCCAGAAGCTTGGAAATCCGGCCGATCAGGGGGCACCTTACCCAGCTGCCCTTACAGCACTGAGGGAAGGTGCAGAGAAGAGTGGATGTCATGTATCTGGCCTGCTGGTGCAGGACATATTCTCCACGTGGACTGGGGCTGCAGACTGGTTAATGAAGGCTTGGGAGAATGCAGGGTGTCCTGATGTCACAGCGGAGGATTGGGAGAATGCGAATGCGAACACATAGTTCTGCAATTTAGTGGGAGGGGGCTAAATCGTTGTTCACGCTCGGCCAATTGTGCTTGGGACTGTCGCTGTAAAAGTATAATGTGTACTTAACACCAGATACAACTTGTATTCTACTTGTATTCTACATCTACTTATTTTAGTCCGCTCCAGAGGCGTGATCCTCAACATAGCAGCCCCTAGAACATCTCGTCGCAGAGGTACATCCACATTTGTGCCGGGGCCTTCTTGACATCCACCTCACCCTTGATGATTACGGTCTCCCATGCGGCCGATATTGTGTGGCTAAGGCGGAACGCGACCCTCACGACCCCACTCAGCTCATGCGTCCGCAATGCTACTTTGACCACATCGGGTATGAGCCGAGTAGGAACATGATATCGCGAGCGGCGGGTTCAACCAGCAGTGTGGTGCAGACCTAGCTGCGCGGCGGGAGTGGGAAGAGCTCCGCATTTTTGCGGGAGATGGAGCAGAATCCGACAAGAGCGTATTGTAGGTAAGGGCCCGTGTCGCCTTCGAAGGAGAGCATACGATCCCAATTGAACGTATAAATGTTCATTCTGGATGAACATCAGAGTCAGTCGAGCAAGCCAGTAGACATGAAAACTATACCGTTTCGCAGCCATGTCTTGGACTTTGACACCAGTGATACCGATCTCCTGAGATGTCGCCTCAGGGTCTTCGATGGAGCTGCACTTATCCTCATTCCCCTTCGTATGTTGGTGCATGACTGAAGTGGCTTCGCGGATAATCTGATTGCCCTTTTGCGTGCTCATACCGAGCACTAGGCCATAGTTGACGTGCTCCAGATGATCCGCCCACTCGTAGCCCACTAGCTTTAGAACCTTGAAGAACTGTAAGAGATGCATATCTTGCTGCGATGAGATGACGTAGATCATCTTATCAAACTTGTATTTTTCGTATCGTTCGATCGCCCCACCGATATCCCGCATGAGATAAATAGATGTTCCATCTGCAAGACAGTTTAGTAACCGAGCCAAAGAATATTATACAATACGACCTACTCACCCTTTTTCCGCACGACAGCCTTTCCCAGCTTGTATTTCTTTAGATCCACACACTTCGCGACTTCCTCGTCTTCGATGAGGCCCATCTCGTCCAGCTGGGCAAGCGCGTTGTCCATCGACTCCTTGCTCACGCGGCTCTCACCCGTGTACATGTCGAAGTGCATGTTCAGCCGCACATCCTGCATTCGCATGAAGAATGCCGCCACCTCAGCCCTCCCCGCTGGATCTTCGTCCGCATCCGCGTTCACCTTCACGTATAAGTCTAATAAGTGTTTTATCGCGTCCTGCTCAAGCGCCTCACGCGAACCGTACTTCTCGAAACCCACTGCGATCAAACTGAACTGAAAGTATATGGGAGGTCAGTAGAAACCGGGTTTCTCCACAAATACACATGTACCTGCATTCCCCAATCGCCTAGATAGTTCGTCGAGATCACTTCCCACCTGGAAGCCTGGTATAGATTCGCGAGGAACGCGCCGGTGATCGTATTTCACAGATGCCGGCGCCCGACGTGGAACGACTTCGCGATGTTGGGTGAGGAGTACTCAATCACGATCCGTTTCTCCCTTCCGGTAGTCGTATTCTGGTTCAGGCGTGTCGTTCGTGAGCGCGTGCCTTTGGCCAAGCACCAGCCATGTAAGGCCGGATGTGGCACAGGTGAAGTGTAGAAATTCCTTGTCGTGCACTACTGCCTCAACCCATTCGTCACATTGGAATTTACTGTGCTACATTCTGCCTAACTCTGATCAGTGGCAGAGCGGATATGTGCTTGCCTCCGCACAACAGACCTACACCTGGACCGTGTTATGTGAGGTGACTATCTGTGCGGCTGGGAGGAGTTCAGGTCGTCATGATACTTGTTCCGAATGCCTCACGTCGCTGTTGCCTAAACGAAAATTTTAGTTCCGCACACAGGCAGTGACTGTACGAGCGTAAGCTATATATTGTTCTGCGAGGTGCATTTCCGGTTTCGGGGGCGATCCGTGATGGTTAGAACCACAACAGTACGAACGTACGCAACTGTGCCATGAAGCACTCGAAGGCTTTATATAATGTTGGCGAGAAAGCAGACAAACCACTCGGGTTCCTCCCACTGTATTTACATGTCTCTTTTAGGGATGTAGCCAGATGAGAAGCAGTGCACTCACGAAGTGATTCGCTCCATCCAGCTTGTGTACACGTATCGACCTCCCCTTCCCATTGTATAATCGAGAGCGAGCCTGGACATTGATCCACTGAGCACCCAAGACGCAGTCCCCTACAGTCATATCGCACCACACGACATGTACTCTGAGTGTGGGCCAGAAAAATCTATGCTCTCCGCTCCCCTGAGGGAAGTAGGGGTGAAACAGGGCACGGCGAAGGTTCTCGCCATACACCTTGCGATCAATGCGCGATATTAGAATCTGCGATCTCTTCATAGCATCAGGATCGATCACACTTGCGAGCATTTCCGCGCCCATACGCTCAACAGTTGATGTTCGATGAGGATCACGGGCAGCCGCAGCATCGCCTCTCAACTCCAGCGGCACCCGAGATAGGACAAGGGTTAACATCATAGCTTCGTCTGATGCAAGATCGTCCACCTGAGGAAAGTAGGACGAGACCCACGTCGGAAAAATAGCGACCATTTTGTCTGTAGTGAGGTTACGCTCTCGTAACGGGCTGTACAGCCCATCCGGGGGCAACGTTCCAACAGTCGTCAAGGAGGGATCTGTAGACAATGATAGAGTGCATGAGTACTCCCATAATGAAATCTCATACAGCGAAGCAAACCGTGGCGCACCGTAGAGGACTATGCTACGAAGATGCGAGTCAAACAACGCCTTTGTCTCCTCTGGGACTTTATCCGCGTGTGCAAGCATTGACAATACGTGCGAGTTACCGGCAGACCATGGGACAAGGACAATCCCGCCGATGAGAGCACCAACACGCTCTGGTGTTTCGGAAATGGATGGGATATTCTCCTGTATGATGAACCAATGGACAAAGGAAACGAGTTCGAGTCCGCGGGCTAGCAACGCTTCAGCCTGTGCCGCGGGCTCGGGGCCACGTAAGGCATCCAATTCAGCAGGAGTGTACGGAGATGAACCAGGATAATCACGCAGGTTAAGTAGCACAAGACGGACATTGTGTTGGGCGGCGTATGGGATCATTGGCCGAAAGATTGCTGCAAGAGTAGTCTTATTAGCTTTGACAGACGTGCAGGGAACTGAAGCTCCATATTCACCGCTGTGAAACATAGCGCCATGAATCATCACGATTGTCACGTAGTCCGTACTCTGGCCTGGTCTGCCAGTGTCTTCATAGTAGAGAACATTTCCGCTGCTGTCGACTGGAGCGATCGGCATCGTGGCGAAAGACGGGTTCAAAATACAAGATGTTTCGCCATGGCAAACTACTCACGTAGTCAAGGCCTGTGAAATAGATGTGAGCCAATGTGACCTGAACCTCGATCCGATGTTTCGGGCAGCATTCACACGTACATTGGGAGGTCAAGTTATGTGGCATCATAGGCATTTAAAAAGTAGGCTTCGCGACCCCCGAAATCCAGTCAAACTACAGGACTGGAAATAAAAAGGCAGCAGCATCCTCCAGACATGAATTCAAGCAACAGACAAAGTAGTAGTGATTTCAGGTCTGTTGAGCGTCTGGTAGCACGTGGCAGTGGTGGAATCGGCGGCTTTCGTCGACGACGAAGTTACCACAAACTTGTCACAGACAGGAAGGCAGCGAGTTATTCATGCCTAGACAACTCGCCGTCGACTCATCTAAAGCTCGCAAACGATTTACACAATGCCAACAGTGTGAGTATTGTGCAGAGCTCGGATTCTTATGATAGAACTCGAATGACGCGATGCCAGGTTATAAAGGAAAGGACCATGCAAAGCTCTTCGTATGTGCTGGATGTAAAGTAGCATTGTACTGCGTGCGTACCGCTGCAAATCTACTTTGACCTCTTTTGCTTACGATCTCACCGATATCCAGAGTGCGAAATGCCAGAAGGAGCACTGGCCATTCCACAAAACGATATGTAAACAACATCAAGAACGTGTCTCCCACATCGCTTCTCTCGATGATCAAGTGCTTTCCAAAGCATCTACCTCGACGATCTCTGACGAGCCAGCTGTCCTCCTTCCTTCGGAGCTGACGGATGAGATGCGCTCATTCATAAACAAATTTGGCCCTGCTTTGTTCCAGGCTGGCTTCAACTGCGTGGACATCGCCAATCATCCCATGGGGTGGACTCAGGTGGTGTGCTATGTCATTCTGGAGCATTTTTCTAGTATATCCCCCACCTCTCGCCCATGGTCACGTTTTCGGGTGTTAGAAGCTGAGCCTTTCCCATTAGTCACCCTTCACCTGCAGTGGAATCCCGAGCAAGTGAAGGACTTCATCGAGAGGAAGCAGGCGCAGGAGCGCCACCATCAGGAGAGTGGATTCCTGGGATCCATCACGATCGTGTTGTCGTGCAGGCACATGGACAGCGACCTGCCCCTTGTCGTGCACAACACATCGTTCCACGGGTTTGGGTCCCACTCGAAGGCCGAGTTGGAGATATCCGACGATTGGAGGGACAAACTTAAGGAGACAGTGGAGAGGATGTGTGGTCGGGGCGCTTTTGGATACCTCGAAACCTCTGAAACCTCTGAAGTTTCCGAACCCTCTGGGGAGAGTTATTTGACATCCCCGGATTGACGATGATCTCTGCCTCGTGTCATTGTATGTATCTAAATTCATCCGTTCCTTGTTTTGTTGAATCCGTTTTCCTTCTTGTTATGAGCATTGGAAGGTCATGAGATAGCAGTTCTTGTGGCTGGAAATACTGGAAAATAACTACGAATTTGATAGTGCGGGAAACAGCTTGAACCCTCCGGTGCAGTTGAACTCAATCATGCACCTCTCGAGCTGCTCCTCAGAGCAGTCAGCTTTGGTGTCAGTTCGACGGAAGGTTAGTTGCGGATCTGTGAGGCGTAATTGCCCACGCGAACAAAGATTGAGCTAATCAGACACTCTCTCCACATGTTCCGTTCGTATGGGACAGCTCCACAAACCTTACTCTTCGCTCATCGTCACGCCTCATTCGGTGCTCGTGAAAGGTATAAAGTGTCTGCATGGTCCAATACATTCCCAACGACTTGATCCGACATAGCCACCCCTCTTCAGTATCTACCGCACATTAGCGTGTGTCTGTCACATCTGCTCCTCTAGCTATTGTCTATTGCGATGCCTTTTGCGCTGTCCCCCGTCGAACTCGAGACTGTCTGCGATGCTGTTGATGAAGGTCCGCTGTGATCGCATACAATGCAGGACTAACTTTTTTATTCCCACAATACGCAGTGAATAAGCTCAAAGGAAATGCTCTGGATAACGCATGGGACGCCTCATCTGAATTTGATGCTGAGAAAGACAAGAGCATTTTCCGCCAGTATGAAACTGCCTGTGAGCGTGTCAAGGAGTTCTATCACGAGCAACATGGCATGTACACGCCTTGCACTGTGTGACTTATCTTGACCTTTGTGTTGGAATTATCAGAGAAGCAAACCGTCGAATTCAACCAGCGAGCACGCGAGAACTTCAAAAAGACGGTCCGTGCACGAATGGGTGAGAAATTTCAATAACTGCTTATGCAAGTTCTGATTATCGCTGCTCCAATCAGGCATCTGGGAGGCCGTGGAAATGCTCAATACCCTTGTAGACGATTCCAACCCAGACGTGAGTTATCTCATTCGCATGATTCCGACAATACCTTTGTTCGATTTCTTGCTTGCCTTTTCCAGACGAGTGTGTCTCAGATCGAGCATCTGCTCCAAACTGCTGAAGCCATTCGCCGAGACGGGAAACCGGAATGGATGCAAGTCACAGGTCTAGTGCATGATCTCGGGAAATTGCTGTATCTCTTCGGCTCAGAGTACGTTGTGCAATTCTATTAGCTCTTGCATAGTCACTCTTTTACTTCAGAGGCCAGTGGGACATTGTAGGCGTGCGTCATATGTGTGTTATTTCTATAGCAGTACTGATACTGACCCATGCATATCAAATGCATCAGCAAAACCCAACTTTTACTTAAAAGGGTACTTAAATGACTTAAATGGACTTATGATCCTTATTTAAGGGTATAAGGTCAAAAAGGGGCCTAATGCATATTACATGAGTGTCTGAAATCAGACTTATGGACACTTATTTGAAGACTTATTGCCTTAAATAAGGGTTGTAAGACCGAAAAGTCAAAATAGCTCTGTAAGAAAAAGTTGGGTTTTGCTGATGTGCAGGATACTTTCGTCGTTGGCTGTGCGTTCTCTGAGAAGATCATATACCCTGAGACCTTCGCTGGGAATCCCGATGTGAATCATCCAGTATATGCCACAAAGTTCGGTGTATATTCACCGCACTGTGGGTTGGACAACGTGATGCTTTCTTGGGGCCATGATGAGGTCTGTCCTTTTTTCGTTGTGCCGGAATATCTCATCTCACGCGAATGAAGTATCTGTATCATGTCCTGAGGAAGCAGAGTAGCCTTCCTGAGGAGGCGCTATACATGATCCGGTACCACAGCTTCTACCCATGGCATCGCAAGAATGCGTACTCGCATCTGATGGACTCCGCAGATCAGCGCGCCCTCGCTGCTGTCCTCGCCTTTAACCCGTATGATCTCTACAGCAAAAGCGACGAACCGGTAAACACTGAAAAGCTTCAGCCTTACTACGAAGGTCTGATTAAGAAATTCTTCCCGGCTGTTATTGAGTGGTGAAACGTACTTCGACTGCGTGGTATACTGTCGGATAAGACACTCGCGTTATGCATCCTACTTTTCTGGTACCCTTCGAAGATGACATACGTATGGCCCAGTTGTATCTTTGTACAATACCTCTTTTATCACAGTCTTTGCGCAACTTGCAGGCCTTCCCCGTGCAAATAATTAGTTCTCTGATTCTTCCGCTGTGCGGAGGTGTCTGAACCTTCTCACCTGCCAATCTGGGCGATTACGTCACCAGCAGACTTCTTCTCTCGAGTCACATACCAAAAATCTATACAGCACGAAGAGCTGCAGCAGCACTGGCTTTCATAGTTGGATACCGACTCTCCCTTCTCCTCTCCCGCAGACCTGTAACATACTCTCATCTCTCCCGTTTCCGAAAAATGGCGACGACTGCCCTGCCGATCGTTCAAGGAACTGACCCGTCCCGATGTGTGCTCGATGCATTCCGAACCGCGATCGCAAAACGTGTCGCGGACGCGTTGCCACCACTTACGGTTGAGCAAGTATATGCGGGAGTGGACTACGGAAAGAAGGGAGTGGACTTCACTGTTGCGCTCCCGCGATTTCGCCTTCCGGGAAAGGTTGACGAGCTTGCGAAGAAAGTGCTGGATAATGTGAGTGAGTCCCTTCAGCCCATCAGATATCGCTCCGATGCCGAAGTGTTCGCATGAGGTAGCAAATGGCCGCCTTCATTGAGATTCAATCTCATGCTGATGGCTATGTTCGCTGAACTTCTGGAAAGACACAGATGAACTGTGGTCTAGAGACGCACGTTCATGGGGAACCATGTAAGGCGACGTTTTCCACGACATGCATTCCCAAGGGCGGTGGAACAAACTGCCCGAGCGATCATATGTGTGACTTGGAAATCTGTCCAGTCGCTCCCGTTGGAACCGCACAACAGGTACCTACTTGTACGACGCGCATGCCCTGATCATCGTGTTATGTTATACCCATTCCTTTCCGTACCTGACGAAGTCAAGTTTATTGAGGCCGCTACCTTACTCATTGTTAAACCCCTTAGTTTCAACCCGACGAATGGGTTGAGGCAGTAGTGCACGACAAGGCGTTTCTACACTTCACCTGTGCCACATCCGGCCTCACACGGCTGGTGCTTGACCAAGTGCACGCGCTCACGAACGACACGCCCGAACCAGAATACGGTAGCAACACGACCGGACGGGGAAAACGGATCGTGATCGAGTACTCCTCACCCAACATCGCGAAGTCGTTCCACGTCGGGCATCTACGAAGTACGATCATCGGCGCGTTCCTCGCGAATCTGTACAAGGCTTCCGGGTGGGAGGTGATTTCGATGAACTATCTAGGCGATTGGGGAACGCAGGTACGTGTGTATTTGTGGAGAAATCCGGTTTTTACTAACCTCCCATATACTTTCAGTTCGGTTTGATCGCAGTGGGTTTCGAGAAGTACGGTTCGCGTGAGGCGCTCGAGCAGGACGCGATAAAACACTTATTCGACGTATACGTGAAGGTGAACGCGGATGCAGACAAGGATCCAGCGGTGAAGGTTGAGGCGGCGGCATTCTTCAAGCGGATGGAGGACGGGGATGAAGATGCGCTCAAGGACTGGAGGGTATGGCGAGACCTCTCGATTCGCAAGTATGAAGGCGAGTACGCGCGGCTGAACGTGCACTTCGACGTGTACACGGGTGAGAGCCGCGTGAGCAAGGAGTCGATGGACAACGCGCTTGCCCAGCTGGACGAGATGGGCCTCATCGAAGACGAGGAAGGGGCGAAGCGTGTGAATCTGGAGAAATACAAGCTGGGAAAGGCTGTCGTGCGGAAAAAGGGTGAGTAGGTCGTATTGTATAATATTCTTTGGCTCGGTTACTAAACTGTCCTGCAGATGGAACATCTATTTATCTCACGCGGGATATCGGTGGGGCGATCGAACGATACGAAAAATACAAGTTTGATAAGATGATCTACGTCGTCTCATCGCAGCAAGATATGCATCTCTCACAGTTCTTCAAGGTGCTGAAGCTGATGGGCTACGAGTGGGCGGATCATCTGGAGCACGTCAACTATGGCCTCGTGCTCGGTATGAGCACGCGAAAAGGCACGGTTGTTTTCCTCGATCAGATTATTCGCGAAGCCACTTCGGTCATGCACGAACATATGAAGGGGAATGAGGATAAGTATAGCTCCATCGAAGACCCTGAGGCAACATCTCAGGAGATCGGTATCACCGGTATCAAAATCCAAGATATGGCTGCGAAACGGTATAGTTTTTATGCTCACGACTGCTGGCTTGCTCGACTGACTCTGACGTTCACCCAGAATCAACAACTATACGTTCAATTGGGATCGTATGCTCTCCTTCGAAGGCGACACTGGCCCTTACCTACAATACGCACACGTCCGACTCTGCTCCATCTCCCGCAAAAATCCGGAGCTCTTCCCACTCCCGCCGCGCAGCCAGATCGACACCACATTGCTCGTCGAACCTGCCGCTCGTGATATCGTGTTCCTGCTCGGCTCATATCCAGACGTGGTCAAAGTAGCGTTGCGGACGCATGAGCCGAGCGGGGTCGTGACGTTCGCGTTCCGCCTTAGTCACGCAATATCGGCCGCATGGGAGACTGTGATCGTCAAGGGAGAGGCGGACATCGAGAAGGCCCGGGCGCGAATGTGGATGTATCTCTGCGCACGAGATGTTCTAGGGGCTGCTATGCGACTATTGAGCATCACGCCTCTGGAGCGAATGTAGAAGGACTAACATAAGTAGGTGTAGAATACAAGTTGTATCTCTTACCCAATCATACTATTACAGCGACAGTTGGCCGAGTGTGAACTTACTCCCCTGTTACTGCTCGATATTTCGTACCGCATCCCTACGTATTCAAATTCTAGAGTATTTGATGTATGTATTCAGCATCTAGAACCAATGGCAATGTTCTTGCACTGACTTCTGAATCTAAAGACTATTAATGGACCATAAAACAACATATTACAGGCTCTATAACTGAACAATGGAGGCATATTGCCCACATTCAGTGTGTAACTCCACGCAATGGAGCCTCAATATGTTATGAGCAGTCATTTTTACGAAAGTTGCTGGCCAGAACAGATCGGGGACAGAACTAATACTTCCTGAGCTTAAGAGAGTCCGACAAAAAAGGAACACCGGCCTGGACCGGCCAGAACCCATGCGTCGTCTTCGCGTGTACCGTCACGACACGCTCAGAGAGCGACGAGTAACAGATATGGAGACGCGGGTGTGCGAGATACTACTACAGAATCTGTATTGGCATCCAGCCACATCTCGCACCTGCCTTGGACAAACAAGTGTAAATGTGCCGACGGCGCTTGTGAGACGCGATCACGTGCGTGCACATATGCGCGTCGAACTGTATACGTCTGCAAGCCTTTCCAACACCTGTCGCTACAATACCATCTTTCAAACATACTCTCGTTGGGCACAGCATGAATCTGAGGGCCTTGGTCTTCCTGATGAACTTCAGTCTCTGCCAGTTACTGAAGATCTCCATGTGGGCACTCCAAGGTTGTATCAAGGTGCTTCACATGTCTACCCAGGTCCTCGTTTCATCCGTCCACCACATCGATGAATGTGCTTACCGGTTAGAAGCTGTATGTATGCCATTCTATGAGCAGTAATGTCAAGCTGACTTGAATTCACTTCTTTCAGTCCACTCGCACAATCATTGCAGCAGAAGCCAGAGACCGTTGCCAACATCGCTATGTTGTTGGGCTCCTCGGCGCTAGGATGCAAAACTATCATTATGACCACTGGATCGCAACAGACTTTGTCATTCTTCGCACACTTATGGATGCACTCCCTGACCGGTCTAGCTGGTTTTGTCAGTCGTCCTTCCGAGATCATCCACCATGGGAAATCCTTCTTGGTCATCCAAATGCAGACAGGATTGTATTTGAACCCCCACCATTCGAAGAAATCGTGCCTGATCCCGTGGCTTTGCGAACTCGATTCTTTCACTCAGTGATCAATGCTGCCACAGTGCTGTCACGTCATGACGAACTTGTGCTTGTGCTAACTGGACATGGGACTCGCGAAGATGGCTGGATCTGGCTGGGGGTCTGCGAGGACGAAGACAATGTTTTCCTCAAGAAGGAAGAAGTCGAGCTGCTCCTGGATGGGGCTTTGTGTCAGGTCATTCTCTTTGTCACCTCCTGCTACTCAGGTCACTGGACCAGTCCTCGGTGGACTCTGCATGCTGCCTGTCAGGCCAACCAAGTGGCAAAGTCACTGCGGAAGTCACGTTCACAGATGTTCAGAGGGGGTATATTTGTCAGCTCTCTCCTCTTTGCGCACACTGCGGCATTCAGCATCCAAGCTCCCCAGCCTGGACTTGTCGGCATCAACGGCAAACATGATGCACAATCTGCTCATAACTTTGGGCCAGACAGCCACACCTTACCACGTCCAATCCAACAGACTCTGCCTACATTCCAGGCCTTGATGGATCACTTCAAGGCAAGAGTCCAATCCCCTGGAACTCAGCAGAACTTCCTCATCGACAACGTGATATGGGATGAACATTCACATCATAATCTCCCACTACGCCATCTTACCAATGATCCAGGATCGCTTCAGCGCAGTAAATGCTTGCCACCATCTGCCATCACCAGTGACTAGACCCAGGAGGAGAAGGAGCTGGAATTGAAGGTGGTGGTGGTGGTGGTAGAGTTCCAAGGCATCGCAATGACAGGACATACAAGGTGCACGTGAGTGTTTTCATGCTACTAGGATGGGCATATTTTTTTGGTCTAAACAGGCTATTTAGATACAGTACCGCCACACATTTGGATAGAAGCGACCCACAAAGACCCGTGGCCATGGAGGGAGTCAGGGGTGTAAGGACTCATGACCATCATCAGCAGGCACGACTAGTGTCTTGGAACCCCCACAATTCCTTCGAATGGAGTTTGACGGACTTCACCACCGGCATCATATTCATAGAGTACTGTAATTATTTCTGCGCTGTACCACAACCTCGCTGCACTTATCTTGGAATTGTGCCATCATTCGTTTACGAAGTACAAGTTACTGTATGAAGACACTGGCAGACCAGGCCAGAGTACGGACTACGTGACAATCGTGATGATTTATGGTGCTATGTTTCACAGCGATGAATATGGAGCATCAATTCCCTCATCAGCAAAACCCAACTTTTACTTAAAAGGGTACTTAAATGACTTAAATGGACTTATGATCCTTATTTAAGGGTATAAGGTCAAAAAGGGGCCTAATGCATATTACATGAGTGTCTGAAATCAGACTTATGGACACTTATTTGAAGACTTATTGCCTTAAATAAGGGTTGTAAGACCGAAAAGTCAAAATAGCTCTGTAAGAAAAAGTTGGGTTTTGCTGATGCTGCACGTCTGTCAAAGCTAATAAGACTACTCTTGCAGCAATCTTTCGGCCAATGACCCCATACGCCGCCCAGCACAACGTCCGTCTTGTGCTACTTAACCTGCATGATTATCCTGGTTCATCTCCGTACACTCCTGCCGAATTGGATGCCTTACGTGGACCCGAGCCCGCGGCACAGGCTAAAGTGTTGCTAGCCTGCGGACTCGAACTCGTTTCCTTTGTCCATTGGTTCATCATACAGGAGAATACCCCATCCATTTCCGAAACACCAGAGCGTTTTGGTGCTCTGATCGGCGGGATTGTCCTTGTCCCATGGTCTGCCGGTAACTCGCACGTATTGTCAATGCTTGCACACGCGGATAAAGTCCCAGAGGAGACAAAGGTGTTGCTGGACTCGCATCTTCGTAGCATAGTCCTCTACGGTGCGCCACGGTTTGCTTCGCTGTATGAGATGGCATTATGGGAGTACTCATGCACTCTATCGTTGTCTACAGATCCCTCCTTGACGACTGTTGGAACGTTGCCCCCGAATGGGCTGTACAGCCCGTTACGAGAGCGTAACCTCACTACAGACAAAATGGTCGCTATTTTTCCGACGTGGGTCTCGTCCTACTTTCCTCAGGTGGACGATCTTGCATCAGACGAAGCTACGATGTTAACCCTTGTCCTATCTCGGGTGCCGCTGGAGTTGAGAGGCGATGCTGCGGCTGCCCGTGATCCTCATCGAACATCAACTGTTGAGCGTATGGGCGCGGAAATGCTCGCAAGTGTGATCGATCCTGATGCTATGAAGAGATCGCAGATTCTAATATCGCGCATTGATCGCAAGGTGTATGGCGAGAACCTTCGCCGTGCCCTGTTTCACCCCTACTTCCCTCAGGGGAGCGGAGAGCATAGATTTTTCTGGCCCGCACTCAGAGTACATGTCGTGTGGTGCGATATGACTGTAGGGGACTGCGTCTTGGGTGCTCAGTGGATCAATGTCCAGGCTCGCTCTCGATTATACAATGGGAAGGGGAGGTCGATACGTGTACACAAGCTGGATGGAGCGAATCACTTCGTGAGTGCACTGCTTCTCATCTGGCTACATCCCTAAAAGAGTCGTGTAGATACAGTGGGAGGAACCCGAGCGGTTTGTCCGCTTTCTCGCCAACATTATATAAAGCCTTCGAGTGCTTCATGGCACAGTTGCGTACGTTCGTACTGTTGTGGTTCCAACCATCACGGATCGCCCCCGAAACCGGAAATGCACCTCGCAGAACAATATATAGCTTACGCTCGTACAGTCACTGCCTGTGTGCGGAACTAAAATTTTTGTTTAGGCAACAGCGACGTGAGGCGTTCGGCACAAGTATCATGACGACCTGAACTCCTCCCAGAGTGGACTTCACTGTTGCGCTCCCGCGATTTCGCCTTCCGGGAAAGGTTGATGAGCTTGCGAAGAAAGTGCTGGATAATGTGACTGAGTCCCTTCAGCCCATCAGATATTGCTCCGATGCCGAAGTGTTCGCATGAGGTAGTAAGCGGCCTCTTACATTGAAATTAGATCTCATGCTGATAGTTGTGTTCGCTGAGCTTCCGGAAAGACGCAGATAAATTGGTCTAGAGACGCGCGTCCATGGGGGACATGTAAGGCGACGTTTTCGATGTTTGCTATGACTTGCATCCCGATGGGCTGTGGAGCAAAGCGGACACGAATTCGATCGTGTGCTTGCCTTGCGCGGCTCGTTGTCCCTGTAATTTGTTCCATTTTGTGAGTGCTCGTATGTGTGACTGAGAAATCCGTCCTGACGCTCCCTTATGGAACCACACAGCAGGTACATACTTGCACGATGCGCATACTGTGATCATCACATTATTTTACATCCCATTCCTTTTGGTATCTGACGCAGTCAAACTTATTGAGGCCGCTACCTTACTCATTGTCGCACCCCTTAGTTCGAACCCGACGAATGGATTGAGGTAGTTGTGCACAACAAGGCGTTTCTACACTTCACCTGTGCCACATCCGGCCTTACACGACTCGTGCTTGACCAAAAGCACGCGCTCACGAACGACACGCCTGAACCAGAATACGACTACCGGAAGGGAGAAACAGGTCGTGATTGAGTCCTCCTCACCCGACATCGCGAAGTCGTTCCATGCCGGGCGCCGGCATCTGCGAAATACGATCACCGTCGCGTTCCTCGCAAATATACGCAAGGCTTCCAGGTTGGAGGTGATCTTGATGAACTATCTAGGCGATTGGGGAATGCAGGTACGTGTGTATTTGTGGAGAAATCTGGTTTTCACTGACCTCTATACGTTCAGTTCAGTTTGATTGCAGTGGGTTTCGAGAAGTGCGGTTCGCGTGAGGCGTTTGAGCAGGACGCGATAAAACACTTATTAGACTTATACGTGAAGGTGAACGCGGATGCGGACAAGGATCCAGCGGGCGGCGGCATTCTTCAAGCGGATGGAGGACGGGGATGAAGATGCGCTCAAGGACTGGAGGGTACTGCACGTGCACTTCGACGTGTACACGGTTGAGAGCCGCGTGAGCGAGGAGTCGATGGACAACGCGCTTCCCCAGCTGGACGAGATGGGCCTCATCGAAGACGAGGAAGGGGCGAAGCGCGTAAATCTGGAGAAATGCAAACTGGTAAAGGCTGTAGTGCGGAAAAAGGGTGAGTAGGTCGCATTGCAGAATATTCTTTGGCTCGGTTGCTAATTTGTTTTCAGGTGGAACATCCATTTATCTCACGCGGGATATCGGTGGGGCAATCGAACGATACGAAAAATACGAGTTTGATTAGATGATCTACGTCGTCTCATCGCAGCAAGATATACATCTCTTACAGTTCTTCAAGGTGCTCAAGCTAGTGGGCTACGAGTAGGCGGATCATCTGGAGTACGTCAACTATGGCCTCGTGCTGAAAATGAGCACGCGAAAGGCACGGCTGTTTTCCTTGATCAGATTATTCGCGAAGCCGCCTCGGTCATGCACGAACATATGAAGGGGAATGAGGCGACATTTCATGAGGTCGGTGATATCGAAATCCAAGACATGGCTGCGAAACGGTATAGTTTTCCTTATGCTCACGCTTACTGGCTTGCTCGGCGGAATCTGACGTTCATCCAGAATCAACAACTATACATTCAATTAGGATCGTATGCTTTCCTTCGAAGGCGACCCGGGGCCCTACCTACAATACGCACACGTCCGACTCTGCTCCATCTCCCGCAACAATCCGGCGCTTTTCACACTCCCGCCGCGCAGCCAGGTCAACACCGTACTGCTGGTTGAACCCGCCGCTCGCGATATCATGATCGTGTTCCTGCTCGGCTCATATCCCGACGTGGTCAAAGTAGCGTTGCGGAGCCATGAGCCGAGCGGGGTCGTGACGTTCGCGTTCCGCCTTAGTCACGCAATATCGGCCGCATGGGAGGCTGTAATTGTCAAGGGTGCAGACGTCGAGAAGGCCCCAGGCGCAGATGTGGATGTACCTCTGCACGCGAGACATTTTAGGGGCTGCTATGCGACTATTGAGCATCACGGCTCTGGAGTGAATGTAGAAGGACTAACATAAGTAGATGTAGAACACAAATTGGATCTGGTGTTACACATCATAGTATTACAGCAACCGTCGGAAACACAATTGGCCAAGTGTGCATAACCTATTGGTCCTCTCCCACTCACCGCAAGACATTTGTAGAGCTATGCATTCACATTCGCATTCTCCCAATCCTCCGCCGCAACAGCAGGACAGCCCGCATTCTCCCAAGCCTTCGTCAGCCAGTCTGCAGCCCCAGTCCACTCGAAGAATGTATCCTCCACCAGTAGGCCAGATACGTGACATCCACTCCTCTCTGCGCATTTCCTCAGTGCTCTAAGTGCAGCTGGGTCCGGTGCCCCCTGATCGGCCGGATTTCCAAGCTTCTGGATGTCATTCCAGCCGAGGGCCATTGCAATGCGTACCGCGCGTTCATTTTGCTGTTTCCGCTGGGAAAGCTGCTTGTAGAGCCACATTGTTTCCTTATCTTCCATTCTACCGTAGAGGTAGGCTCTGCAATTATCCCACAAGTACATCTCGGGCTCCCAATTCCGCTCCGGGAGTGAGAAGTACTTCTCACAGAGCGACTTGAGCTCAGCCATCTCCTTTGTGGTAAGGGGGATGGGAGGTGGCTGCGGCAACGTTCTGTTCGATGGCGGGATGCACTGGAGGAGTCGCTTCAAAGATGCGATTTCCGGGTGGATAGATGTGCAAGAGGGCAGATCACCAACTTTGAGATCATCGAACCACTCGAAGATGTCGATGACTTCACGAGTTCCCTCGACATTAGGCACTATGCTGTGTCCTGCAGACAACTCACCCCTTGGTGAGTCAATGCTGCCAGATGAAGAGCCCAGAGAGATGGTGTTCTATCCACGCAGTTCCCGATAGATATCTGTAAATACGCGAGGCTCCCCAGTTGATTCCGCCGCTGTAAGAACCGTCCACCTGGGTCTCCTCCAATGTCCTGCATCACCACATGGAATGATGAAAACGATCTTGCACTTGAAATTCTCGAACCTAGCTCTGAATTCCCCTGCAGAAAAGATGTCTTGCCCTTCTGGGGAGAGCTTATATGATGAACCCCACGGCCGAGCACCTATCAGAGCAACCACAAGCATGTCCTCTGAACTGAGGTCCCTCCCAGCCTGCACTAACCCATCCCGAAAGGACCTTGCAATGCCACCAGGAGATGAATCGAACAAGACAGTTTCAAATGGGCCCGACTCGGTTAGAATGTCGCCAACAGCATCGTCGGCCTGCTTGGAAGAGCCATCAGGCCGGATGGGGCGTGGACAATACCACCTAGATGTTTCTGCGTTGCAAGGAAGCAATGCATGGAGGGCAGCAAACTCGACTGCCATCCAATGATCATTCTTCACATCGGTCGATGCAAGCAATGCTTGAACATGCCGATGTTTGTACTTGCCGGTCAACTGGTCATCCTCGCTGGTCAGCTTGTCGACCTGGAATAATAATGGCATTTAGCAATCTGTAGAGCATAAAGGTCTTTACATGCTCAAGGAATAGGGGCTGACCTCAGGCTGACCATAAACCAGAGACAGTACACTCGAAATCACACCGTGAAGAAATGATAGGAACCCCTGCATCATGGTAACAGTGCGTGGACGATATGAAGGGTGATGCCAGTGTAAGCTCGTTATCCAGCCTGTAGTAGACAAGAAGAAGCCACACGAAGGCTCAGTGCCTGCAGCAGTGGAGCGATACAAAAGGTTGTCTCAAGTATCGGAAACTCAATACTGTACGTCATCGAATGCCCAAAGCAAGAAGGGCAGCTCGCGCCAATTTCAGAAAAACAGGTGGTAGAATACATAGAGCGGATGCAAATTATTGTATACCTTCCCACTGAGTAAAACACGACGTAGATAGGTCCAAATATTACAAAAGTGGTTCTATAGGTACTGACCAAACGCACATATAATCAACCAATTAGCCACGAGCTCAGAACAACAACTCACCATGTAGATTAGTCGCTTGTTATTCAGACACTCTATGTCATTGAGCCTTCTTGTGATGCACTAGAAAGAGCTCTCGCCCTGCTAGATTCGCTTCCTGTAGGGGAACTGCGCGGTGACTTCTCCTGCAAAGGCGTCGAACGACGTGACGACGACGGAGTGCTTCCCATCCCGCGTCCTCTCCACGACCCCGACCCCGACCTCGAGACTGCGTGCGTCGCCCCGCCGACTGGAGTAGCAGTACCGGGCGAGATCGCCAGCGGCACCGCAGGTTTCTTCATCCACGGCATCTTCAGGTGCAGCCAGCCGTACCACCTGCTCACGTACGCCGCGCGCTCCCTCTCCTCCCTTCTCCTCTCGAACGCTGCGCGGTAGCGGTCGTACGACTCGCGGAAGGAACGGTCGACCCGAGAGGAGAAGATGAGCTCCCCGCGGGGGTTGGAAGCAGGGGGGATCGAGGGAATTGGAACGGAAGAACTCCGTCTCGCGGAGCTCCTGCCAGGTGAGGGAGAGCGCGTGCGGCGGGAAGGTGGCGGACTTGGTGATGTGGTGTGTTTCGTAGAACGAGGAAAGAGAAACGAGAACGGCTTGAACGGGAACTTGGATCGCAGAGGTGGCTGACGGACGTTGAGATACATATTGAAATTCCGGAGGGCACGATTGGCATGAGGGACGTATCTGGCTATAGCATCAGTGAATATTGGCGATACGGCATGGCAGAAACCCACCGGTTGGCATAGCCAATCTTCTCTGAATACATGCCACTTGCAAAGAACAAGACAAGTGTCGTGACGGACACAAATAAGAGACCCGAACCCAAGTACCGATGGACTTTGATCTGCGTGCCCTCCTTTGTGTATACATCCGGGAATGCCGTGCACAAAGCATATCTGTAAGGTATTGACATAAAGTCGGTATGCAGGACAACCTCAGAAAGCAGAAATGCTATGATCAGCAATAGCTGAACCAGAAATACTGGGGGACGTCCAAAGAGAATGAGTGGAACGACATACATAAGTCTGGGATGTTATAACCCACGCTGGTAGCGACGTTTACGCCGATTGAGAGATGCTGCGTTCGTCTTCAGCCTCTCCTCGAAGAACAGCAAATCCCGGTATGTGGCGGCATCGTTAGTGGGATAGAACGAGCCTTGTGGAGGTTTCGACGATGGTCGTGGAGGCATGGCGCAGGCCCCGGGCGCTCACTGGCACGGTCACCACGACTTGCCGCTTGTACTTCATCTATCATCAATTGCTGGCTGATGAATGGCCGCCTCGTTCACAAGATATTTCAGATTTAGAGTCCTCAAACGGTCAAGTCCTATTGGTCGTTAGGTGCTCTCCGGTGCGCACAGTACGGATTCAATTTTGGCAGTTGCAGGCTCATTCCAATCTGTTTAGAAGTCTTCTGAAGGGAACATCTTTCAGATGTATCTGTGTGGGCGATACTTGGCTATCCTGGACCCAGAGGGACGTGCCTACAAATATTGCGCGAATACAGCTCGTCCGCCGTTCATTTGGACCAGGTATTTCGTGCGACTTTGGCTCTACAATGTCCCAGAAATTTTCGTAACTTCAAGGAACTGTGGATGTCTGGGATTCCTGGGTTCATGTACCTCTGCTAGTGAAAAGGTGCTCCGTCGAGCTGTGGAACTTCAAGATCATGACTGGTGAATTACGTCGGGAGCGGCCGAGGAAGACATTCAAGGTAGGGTCAAGGGAAGCCGCAAAGGATATGTTTTACCCTCAACAAAAGGGTTACCTCTCTTGCCTTTGATCCAGAAGCGCTGGATCGTGGACGACAACGGCAGCGAGAACCATCCGACCCGACAAATAGCCTCTTTTGCTCGATCGCTGCACTTCGAGCTACCGTGGAGCTGCCGCATTTCCTGCAGCTGTCAAAACGATATCGTACACATTCCTTGATCATTACTCAGCCATACGGAGGAATTGGCATTTTGCAACCACTATCTCTCGAGTTATGTCATCTCTCAATGTCTCAAGCTGTGTACGATTTAGCCCATCCACGGGATAAAATATGGTCGAGCGCTAAGATTTGGTCATGCAGGGCGAATGATACTGAAGTTCTACGAGGCGCAGTATCCAGTCTCATGGTTCACCTTGTTGTTATGCCGTTCACCGGCTGTACTCGAACTTGTTGTACTGAACTGACTTATCTGTCTCCATGTCTGTATGTAGAACCATAATGTGACCGTTCAAAGCTTCATCGCAGCATTCTCACAGGTTCGTGCTGAACTGGTCACTGTATGCATCACGACGAGACCGATGGAGGACCGTCGCACGTGTACGTATACGATGACATAAACCCGCATATTGCGGTTCGCGATGGCATCAAGTAGAAGCTTACCTGCGCATTAGCGCCGACGATCGTACCTTTAACATGTCTTCTGACGACGATAATACCTCTACCGTGTCTTCTGACGAGGAGGAGGAATGGCGACCTGAGGCTGCCAAGTATTAGTCGTCTGAGAAGAATGAAGTATGCGAAAGTATTGTGCGTGCTTGTCGTTTCTCGGTTCGTGTTGCACCGTGCTAAACAATATTGTTAGGAGCATGACGACGAACCTGCCAGCGTTTCGCTCCGTACTCTTTGCGGGAGATATGTGGTCGTATATGACCCTGAAGACGACATCCCTGAGTTCCAGTCGGGTAGTAGTGCGGACACGCTCACTCTCAGAAGCCGCGAATCAATTTCCCGAACGAATCCCCATCCTGATGGCTTGAAGGGAGAATTTTCATTCGGCACTGTCTCGGGTCGCTTCTGCGAGCTGCGAGCAGTCACTTCGGGCGGCGGCGGAAACATACCTAATTGCTGGGAGTTGACCGACATCGTCGATTGGAAATTCCCAGACGAGGGGGACAGGCCGGACTCCATTTGCATTCTGGTCGCCAAGGTGAAGGACGATCACGGTAACCCGTTTGTGGTCATCGAATTGGCGTGCGGGAGGATGGATGCGACTTGGCTCGCAAAAAAGCAGGAGAGTGTAGGCGTCAATGAGTTCTTGACGGATGCGGAGAAGGAGAGGCTGGGGATGGGATTGACTGGCAAAAAAGTCCAGAGGACGGCGAAGGAGCAGCAAAAGATTGGGGGGAAGAAGGAAGCTTCCCGTGGTGGCGGTGCGGCAAAGCGCAAGGCTGACGCAGAAGACGTTGAGGAGAAGCCGCGTAAGAAGGCATCCAGGAAGAAGTAGTCCACACTCTTGCAAGTACTCCTTGTTCGCAAAGTTTGCGCCACCCGTTTGCAATTCGATGTTCGTCGTGAATAATATACAAATTAAAATCGTTATGTTTGGAGCATACCTCACTCTGATTCACCAATGTCAGGGCTAAATATTACTTCTCAGTAGGTGCTCTCGCGGAAACCTCTTTACACTACTATGGCGGACGCGTCGACACGATGCCACTGTCACGATTACACGTGATCAAGTGACTGGTTACGCGAGGGCTGTAGTGATGGGCTGTTTTCCGCAGCAAATTGCACTCCGTCCGTCGATATGCGTTCTTCCGACGAAGAGGAGGAGGAGGTATATTCCGAGGGATATGACTCAGAAGACGAAGGTCTGCTACTCGAAGGACCGAAATATTGGTCACACGAGGATGAAAGTGTCCTAAAGGGTGTCGTGCGTACCAGCTCACCATAGTGCTAACCTGCATGCTCATCTCATAGATTTCCAGATGGAAGAGACGGAACCTCTCTTACTCGGTCCACTGTGCGGAACATATTTGATGGTGTGGCAAGATGGCGAAACCCTGGAAGAGATCACTCCGGAATCGACATGGCGAGGTACTGTGACTATCGAGCGTCGTAAATCAGCCCAACAGCGCGACCCCGATCCCGATGGTTTCAAGGGGAAAATAGCCCTCGGGTCGATCACGGGAACCTTTCTCGAACTCAAGGCCATGCATGCCGATGGAGAAGAGCAGCCGAACCGCTGGGACATGATCGAATTAACCTTGGATGGCGAGCACGTCGATTTCCTCTCCATGCAGGTTACCACTGTCATGGATGATTCTGGCAACTGTTTTGTCAATTTCGAAGTTTCCGATTCGCATCAATCCACCATCTGGCTGGGGAAGATGCAAACAAAGCCGGACGTGGAGGAGTTTTTGACAGAGGCAGAGAGGGAGAGGCTGGGGATGGATTTAACGGCAGCGCAGGTCAAGGAGAAGGCGAACAAACGAAGGAAAGGTAGCCGCGGGGCTAAGCGCAAGGTCAAAGGAGATGACGAGGACGAGAGACCTCGCAAGAAAGGCAAGAAATAGCCTATCGGCGCTCTGCTAGCACCGTCCAGCAGCACTACGGCGACAACTATGGTCAGCGCTGGGACCATTGCCAAAATACATACCGATGTTTGTTCTTCCTCATTTCAAGTTCATATTGCTACATTCCGGCACTCGCCCCTTTCTGCTTTATTCCGCTCCAGCCAATCACCTCGGTTACCCCAGTACATACGGACGAATTGCGCTTGAATGTTTAGGACTGGAAGAATGCTGTCGGGTAGGTCAAGAGCTTATGCAGAGTAGTCGCCATGTACGGTGGAGAAATACATTGTATTCACCATATCAGAGCAACTGGAAGTCACTGCAGCGGACGGGCAATACTTGTGATCTATAGGTGATCATCTCGTTTATTGTGCACACTTCTGCCCTCCCTTCAGTAAATCGGCGGCTAGTTTGATTGCGAACAATGAGTACAAATCCACCCTTGACGTCTCGACATGCACTGTACCTTGCTCAGAAATAGCATAGACGGTGGCTACAAGATTCACGAATAGCATCCATTGTCAAGGGACGTTTTCGAAATGCGGTTTGCGAACACCACTTACCGAGAGAGTGCGCAGAGAAGTGCAACGGAGCCACGGAAAGATCTACCACTCTGAGGTTGTTTGTGCCGTACACCTATCGTGATATGCGAAGTCAACCTGGCGAAGACACGGCAGAACGCGACAGCGAGACCTTCAACTCAGGATCGACTACTCCATCGCGGTCCTTCGGTAGCATAGAGCATGAGCCAATCGTATCTGTTAGAGTGTTGAGAACTCCTCAGTTGCCTGGTACCGCTCACTTACGCCACATGGTCTCACAGTTCCTCTTGATGAAATCTGCACGAATCACTGAATAGAGTCCGGGGCTGGTTACAAGATTGGTACTCACTGATGATTTCGATGTCATCCTTGATTTCAGCACCAGGATTCAGCTCCTTCGCTGCGAAGGAAATAGCAAGTCACTTCTAGATTGTACGTGCGGGACAACAAGAGATGATTTTACATATCATATCTTTGAAAGGCGGAACCTGCGCGAATCCTCTGACAAACTTCACCATCTCAGTCATGATCTGCAGATCTGCGCAACCCGTTTGAGAGGTTATGATTTTGGTTGAATTCAGGGCCACGTACCAATATCTTCCTCTAGGTAGTGAGGGTCGAGCTCTGGATCCGCCAGGGGATCACTCGAAGAACAATGCTATTCATCCAGGCGGCTGCATTAGAGACCGAACGTAAACTGTACATGACGCTTACGATTGATCCTCTAGAGAAGGGGCTATTCAGTACGATCGTGAAGGTCACATAGCGTTTGCCTGGCAATGGAGGATCTGGGAATTACATACACTACACAAATTTGTTCATTATATCGGTAGCGTGTGACGCACTGGGAGTAGACATGAAGCCTGGATAACTGATGATCTCGCACAGCGGCTCTCCTGCCTCGAGTCGTCTGAGTTGGATGTCGTACTGTTCCAGTAGCCCCGGAGGGTACGAAGCCGCATTTTCTGTAAATTTAGCCCTCGCAGCTCGAGCGATTTCATCGATGTTACAGGAAGCAACTTTTGGAGAGACAAAGGCAAAGTTGGTAATCCCTGTCGTATACAAACCCGAACCAGATTTACTAAGACATGGCAGACAAAGTCAATTTACAGACCAAAGACAGGAAATGCGAGGCTTACTGCAATTCCAGATGTTTTGCGGCCACAGCGGGGTCACGCAAGAGGCAAAGTGTATCGAATTTAGCGTCATCTCTCAGCTCTGAACAATATGTGTGAATTGTGCTCGATGAAGAGTTGTTCTGTACCCACCAAAGCTGACACCGATTTCAAGATGTTCCTGTACGTTCCTTCCAACACCAGGAAGGTCGATCTTCGTTGGGATGCCGACCTTCTCAAGCACTTCTTTGTTGCCGATACCGGACAGTTCCAACATTTGAGGAGATTGCAAGGCTCTGAGACACATTTGGTGAATACAGTACAGGATCTCAAAGTGAGGATGGTCTCAGACCCCATGGCGATAACAACTTCTTTTCTCGCACTGACAGTGTACAGCCTGCCTGCATGCTCGAACTCCACACCGACTGCAGTAAGATTCCCGTTCGGCGCAGAGATCGTGCACACCCGTCTTGCATGTGCGCATACGAGAACTTTGAGATTTGGACGCTCAGCGTTTGGGAGATAAAACGCCTGCACATGAATTAAGGAAATTGGCACGTCTCTCAGCAGCAGCTCACAGTTGTTGCATATGACCGTGTGTGCGTTACCGGGTCGTACGTGCTCGGTGCGAAATATGCTCCCGCCGGCTAGAAAGGGCGAGTAGAACAAGATATGAAACTCAAGAAGGGGTGGATAGCGGGTGTGCATACATCACCGCCCATCTTGGAGGGAATTATATCAGTGTGTGAGACATTTCATACCGCCGCCAAAAAAGATGAACGTCACCCTACCGGGTTAGCTGCGACGGGGACGCCCGCATTGATCAAAGTCTATCAGGCGAGACTAGGTTGAGCACTGGCACTGAACGCGTCCATTTTCCGTAGCGTACCTGCTGCATTTTCAACTCGGCCGGATCGATGGTTGCAGGATAGGTGATCTTGAGCGGCCCTGGAACCATGTGAAAGATATGTCAACTACTATTCCAGCCTCAGATGCGAGACAGAATGCGACCACCTTCGCTGCCGACGTTTGCTGCATCGTAATTCAGCTTGAACGTCCTCTGTACTTCTTCATGTGGAGAAATGAACCTTCGTGAAATCGCTTGGTGGTTAACACACTGAAAAAGATATATATAAGACCTACCCTTCCGTTCTTGCTACGTACTTCTGGTAATTGTTCCAGTTCCACCCTGGATTCCCAAGCCGTTCGAAATCTGAAGGGAACTCGGACATGGGACTGGGAGTAATATGCCTTGAACGAAACAGTGCCGTACCATTGATCTCTTCCGCCGTTGGCTTCGTCCAGACCATAAAATTGATAATTGAACTCCCTCCAAGACCTTTACCTCTGGAACACAGTCAGATGGTGGCGTTTCTGAAATCTGAGCCCTGCATACTCACCGATTCCAGACATGATGAGTGTCACGACATCGAGTCTGGTGCACCTACAGAACACGAACGTAGTTTCAGATCGAAATACCATACACAAACCTCGGAATGGGATACAGTTCGGAAGCTCCAGTCGTAAGACTCATTCCCAAACTGGCTTCCATGTGAGGCAGGGCGCACTGCGCATCGTCATCAAGACAATCAAGAAGCCGAGGCAACTCTCAAGACGCACAGGTGTCCGGATCGTCGATGTGCGCCGCCCCCGCCTCCAACGCGAGGACAGAAACGCTCGGGTCCTCCGTCAACCTCGCTGCCAGCGTAAGGCCCGCAGTCTACCATCACAGTGGAAGCGCTCCTCCACGTCAGCGTGAATCCCGGAAGATCTGGACGTAAACTCACGCCACCCCCTGCAGATTGATATACGCAGTTTAATCCGGTTGTGATCGACCCCAAACAGATCGTATCGACTCACCACAGATGACGAAGTCAAAACTCTCTCCTGCAACGTCTTCCAGCGTTGCGGTCATCCCGAGGATGCCAGAGCGGGTCGCGAAGAGGGGTGCTCAATCTGCCCGCAAGATACGATTGGTAATCGCAGATGGGAACCGGTACATCTCGCCAGTCAGCGTCGGGTCTCACGCGCATGGCAGACCTGCATGGGAATCTCCACAGGAAAAAGTCACGCGCCATTTCTGATGCTTGCTTCATCGCATGTACTTCCCGTACGTGATGAGGTCCTTCCAACGAAGACCGGCTTCAGCCGTCGTCGCATAAGTGAGTGCAGACAGGATTCAAGGGCAAGATAGACAAGGAAGATGCCCGCGTCCACGTGTGATTGGTCCATTGCTTATAGAGGCTCCCGCCCTCACTACTACCGTCAGACCCGTTTGCGGACATCCTTTCAGGAGGATACCGTGCAGCGGGGTGTAACGCACAGATTGTAAACCAAAGTTCAATCCATCGAGCGGGACGTTGCCGAGGGTCAACCATTTCTAGCCTGCTCGTCAATAACCGGAATTAGCAAGATACCACATAGTGAAGCAGAGATATGTCCCTCTGGCCGTGTCACGATAACAGCGTTTGGACAGACGCCGCATTACGAATTACGTGGAAACGTAGGCTGCGAGCGAACCTTGTGCAATGAGCACGAGTTCACATGCAGCCTGCGCATCACGGTTCTACTGCCATAATTCCATAGCCCACCAGTTCCAGACGGGACAAGAGACTTTGGTACGCCTCAGCAAGTCTTGTTCTGCGGCATGCCGGATATTCTCAAAGAGCAGGATGCCATCTGCACGGGAAATGGAGGATGTCCAGACGACGGATGATGATGGGCCTTGTAGGTAGCCCCACAAAACATGCACTGGTCACCACCATGATGATAAGACTATCATCAGAGATGTCCGCAGCTTGTTGCATCGCCACTCTGTGTTGTCTTCGCAAGATAAGACAGGACATCGCTACTGCAGGCGAAGGCACAGAGATCGGGGAACTTGTGCTCCTGCAGAAAGTTGTCGCGACGATCCAGACGACCGGGCGTCCAGCAGTCTCGTGCAATGGTTCTGGAAGTCGCCAATAGCGTGCATGTGGCGGCGTTAAACTCCTCGATGCTCCAGATCCGGGCCATCCACGGTGATGCGAGGGGATAACACGCCCGTAAACGGGATAGAAAACGAGCCAAGGAACCATCGAGTAAGACTGCTCAGCGTAAAGTCGGCAGAACGGAATTGCTATGTAATTCCTGAGATTTCCCCGTGCATGTCCAGGTAGCACGACTTGCACCGTCACGATCTCGTGACGGCAAAGGCGTAATCGTGGAAGCCAAGGAGAAATCGGGCAGCACCATCGACCGCAGCTGAGCGGCAGCTGAGCCAAAGTTACAGTACTAGTGCCCTCCCGCACTTTTCCATGCACGACAGACACACACAGAGCACTTGACGGCTGAAACAGGACGGGCGTTGCAAGAAGTGGTAGGCGGGTTTGTTAACAAGACATGCCTTTTGCAGACAAGGGGACATGAGTCTCCCTCGCTACATCGCTCCGGGAGTGACTCGCGTATAAGTCGGCAGAACTGAAGAAATATCGCACGTCTGATTGGATGTTCGCATAGATGGCGGAAATATTACTACCAATGGAATTTGTGAACCTCGGGAAGGAAGAGGGTGCACAAGATTGGTAGGAGCCGAGAGCAGAGAAGACGAGAGTAGACGTCATTTGAACGACCGGTACAGAAAAAGATGAGTGAATGCGAAATTCGCCCATTTGATTGTAATTTATATCGAGAGACTCCCAGAGCTGTCCAGCAAAAGATACGAGAATGGCATTCGAAGGCCAGGGAGACATGTGCGGACACACCTTCGAGTCCACACCCGAATCTCCGTTGGGCGCTCGATTTCTTGGAATTCTGGTCTCGGCCGCTTACACCACGGGATCGGTCTGCATGCAGAGTCTCGCATGCTTCCCCCAGATGCGCACCTTGTCACCGTACATTCCGTAGACCTGTGCAAACACGAGACAGAGTGCCTTTGCGAAGACCAGGCCGCCTGCTCTCTTCGCTGGCTCCCGCGAGAGTGATATCGGTGCCGCCATTTCCATGGCGAACCAGGGCCCATGGGATGGGAAGAAATGGAAGGCGGACCGAAGGAGAAGAACAAGCTATTCGCCATATCCGTCCACAAGGCAGCCGACGCAAATGGGCAAGTCATCTTTGATGCATGGCGGGACCTCGGACATCGATTTTCGCTCGCACGGGAGCACGCCCGCCAGGTAGCACCAATATATGTGCTCTGAAAACTAGAGAGAAATTTCTCGTCCTCTCGACTCTAGAGAAGAATTTCAGTGAAATAGGACATGTTTATTTGCGAGACAAGAGCAAAAAGGAAAAACGATTACCCGATATGGGCGGCTAGTGTGGCGTCAAGATACGGAGCGATCCGGGGTCCTGGAGAACTGGGGGAGGGCGAAGGAGAGCATCTGATGCTTGGCCCGGGCTAGTTATAAGAACGAGAAAACAATAAGGATTCCCCGTTGTGCTTCCTCTCTTTTGTCTCCCTCCATTGGGAAGATACCCCACACACTATTCCGTCCAAGACAATAAGCCATGCGCGTCACTCGTCGCAGGAGGTCCTCCTTGGCCATCGGTACGTCTTATCTGTCGTGCATCTCCAATGCAAACGAACTTACTGGATTATCTATCGCACACCCAGGCCTCGCACCGGTCAAGCCAGGCAATTACGGTATTTCGTCCCCATCCCCGCGCAACGTCACCTTTGCGCCGAACGTGACTCCAGGGACATATGTCGAGCCTGAGGGCGACCAAATTGACGAGCTGGACGCCGCGTCAGCTACAAATACACTCTTTCCCCCGTCTGAGACACCTTCGCCATCGACATCGCGTAGACGTGAGCCTGCGGGCAGGCGACGCTCGCAGGGCTATATCCCGCGTCCTGCGAACGCGTTCATGCTTTTCCGTGCGGACTTCGTTCGCCAGAAACACGTCCCAGGCTCGATTGAGACGAGCCACAACTCCCTCTCGAAAATCATCGGTCAGTTGACGTAGATTGTCATCTGTGTTTCGACCTTTCATCTGATGATCGGACGCGATGTTCGCTTTAGGCAACTGTTGGCATGCTCTTCCGCTCGAAGACAAGAAGATTTGGCAGACCCTTGCCAAGAAGGAGAAGGCGGAGCACCGCCTGCGATACCCCGACTATCGCTTCCGCCCTGTGCACAACAAAGAGAAAAAAGCCGCGAAGAAGCAGGCCAAGGCGCCGGTTTCGCTCTCTGACGAGCGCCGGTGCGAAGAGATCGCAGCGTTCATGCTCGATGGCAAGAAGGGTGACGCGCTCGTAGAGGCTGTGCGTCAGTACGATATGCTGCGCGAACGCACTGAAACGCTTAGTCCGGAGCCCCAACTGGGCCTCTATCAGCCTTCGCAGATACACGCTCCCCAGCCAATGTATCCTCACCGCAGGTCGTCATCCGTTCCACCGCCCACCGCGCTCTACAACCCTATCACTCTCCCTTCTGTGCCGTTCCTCGTCGGCGCCAGTGCCTTCCAAATGGGTGGTTCGCGTGGTGTATCCCCAGTCAACAGTATTTCGCGCACGATCTTGGGCCAGCGCCGTGCATCGAGCGCACAGCCGATGCAGTCGCGTCCGTGGTCGATGGATATGTCGTTCGCCGGACAGGGGACACCGGAGGCGTGGCAGCTCCAGCGCGACTGGGAGCCGCTGCCCGCTGTAAACACCAGTCTCTTCCAACCAACATACTTGAACGGGAACGGACACGAAGCGTTCGGCTTCGGCGCACCCTCCGGCACGCCCTCGTTGCACGAAGAGAGCAACGACATCTTCGTGAGTCATGCGCACGCTCTGCATCGCTGCCCGGACACACATGCTGACTATGCTGCGCAGAACTTCAACGGCTTCTCGAACACTCTTTCGCAGCCTGTCCATGACCTTTCTCTCAGCATCTCTCCCCTGGAGAACATTCCTCCGCATGCGCCCCTGAGTCCCTTCTCCGAGGCCTCGTCCGCGAACGCCGCTACCCCCTACTCGGCCTGCTCCTACTCCTCCGACGAGACCCTAGGCCCGCTGGATCCCTCGCGATGGGTCCCCGACTCCGGGTCCTCGACCGCATTCTCCGGCTCCCCCGCCCAATCCGACGCGCCGCTCCCCGGCATGAGCAACCTGTCACCGGAGCCCGCCGTATTCGCTCCGCTGGCGATGCACTCCCCCCCGTTCGTGTCCTGGGAGCAGCAGCTGCAGACCGCGCTCGACGCAGAGCAGCAACAGCAGCACATGATGCACGAGCAGAACTATGCGCTCGAGCCCGGGTGCGCCGGCGGGATGGAGATGCCGCTCGACATGGAGCACTTCGAGTTCGAGTACGAGCAGGGAGTGTACCCGCCGGGCTGCGCGGGCCCTGACCCCGCCGTCGGCGGCGAGATGTTCGGGTTCGCGGACCCCATGCAGACGCTGGAGGGATACTAGACTAGACCGCGCTGTCGCAGCCACCCCTCCGTCTCTGCCACGACACTGTCATGATCGTGCCTGCCGCAAATTGGATACCGATACCAATACCATTGAAGATCCCCCCCGCCATCATACCTCGCCCATCTGTATCGCCATAGATGTTTCCGTCTGTCTGTTCACCCTCCTGTAGCATTAACTCGTTTTCTCGTTACCGCCCCCGCCTCTTTGTCTCACTGTAGCATGGATTTCGCCTCGTACTACATACGTGCGTATAATACTGACTCGGTTTTTACGTGGCTCGCGTCGTCGCGGGCCTTAGTGTAGGATGTCTCTCCGACTCTCATTGCTGATTCGGACTGTCCATAGGTTATTTGGCGTTGCTTCTTGTATCTAGTTTTTCATTATACACGCTCTTCTCCCGAACGTAGTGTGTCTCAATGTGTGCGTGAGGATGTCGGAGAGACCTGGTCCAGGGCATGCATTTGATCGACAGAAGCCTGCGGGGTAGGAATGTCGCACCTCTGTGCACGCACGTTGTCATGCTTCAAGCAGAGAAGGGAAACAGAAATTAGCGGGTGCTAACGTCTACATTAGCCTAGGGGGAAAATACGTGCATCGTTGTCTATGAACTGCGTATTAATATGTATGCAAAACACGGTACGGCCATCGAGGAGAAACCATCACCGCATGGGGGACTCAGCGATTAATACAGCTCCACAACTGGGGCAAGCAGACTCTAATGGAACAGCGGCGTGAAGGTGCACGGGAGGCGCGACGTCGACGCTGAGGTGATCCTCAACGATAATGTTAATGGGTTGGCCTCCAAGGCAAGCGACTGTTCTTCGCAAGGCAGAACGCGGACAACGCATCATGCAGAAGTGGCTGCAGCGTTTTCCGGACGCGTTTGTGTCCCTGGTAGGGAATCTCCCCATGCAGTCCGTCCGTATGCATATATGTACATCGAGTGGTCGAGGCAAATGGCCGGCGGACGAAGTACGTGTGATGCTGGATCGTTACAATATTGCACAGATGAACTTGAAGTATGGAGCGACGGATCTACGGCGCTGCGTCTTTTGTTAACGGCGCGGCTAGAGCGTCGCTGGGAATTATGGTGCGGCTCGATGATGCCAGCAGAGACCCGACAGCGATAATCTCTTCCTTGCATTTCTTGCGCGGTTCCTTGTCGTCTCCTTTGGCTTTGCGCTTAGCCCCACGGCGACCCATTTTTCCCTCCTTCGCCCTCTTCTCGACATCCGCGGCTGTCAAGCGCATCCCGAGCCTCTCCCTTTCCGCGTCTGTCAACAATTCGTCCACGTTCGGCTTTGTCTGCTTCTTCCCCAACCAGTTCGAAGTGTAGTACGCTTGATCAACATGGAAGTTGACGAAATGATGGCCAGAATCGTCTACGACGTTGGTGACTTCCATGGTGAGGCTCTCTACCGGGAGATCCGGCGACGAAATGTCGGACGCGATTAATTCCCATTGGTTTGGTACCTGCTTTCCGCGGACATACGTCGCGCTGAGCTCGTGAAAGTACCCAAAAAAATGCTCGAGCTGTAAGACCCCCTTGAAACCGTCGGGATCTGGGTCCCTCTGCCGAGCTGACTTGCGACGCTCGAGCGTCACGGTGTCCCGCCATTTCGACGCTGCAGTGCGCTCTCCTGGAGATTCGTCTTCGTCTTGCCACACAACTAGATATTTCCCGCAAAGCGTGCTGAGAGAGACAGGTTTTGTCTCTCGCATCTAGAAGTCGATAGACGAAATGAGCAGGCGTGATGTAATTGGGCTCGAGGTGACCTGGTACGCACAACACCCGGGCGGACGATTTCATCCTTGGGAAGCCAGTACTTTGGCCCTTCAAGTAGCACGAGCTTTTCTTTAGGCTCTTCGTCATATAGAAGCATATCAACACTTGTCGTCGTCGCGGAAGACAGCAGCAGTTTGAGACGTCAAAAATCACACATCACGAGACACGCGTAAGTGTGACCAGTCGCGCAGTCGCGTCGACCTTCACGAAGGTTGTCTTACGAGAACATATATCCACAGGCGCGCAGTCCGGCTTCGCGCGGCCGTCAAGCGCATCCCGTGGTGACATCCTAGAGACCCTGAAAGATCTATCTCAGAACAATGAACAAAGCCTAAATTGCTAAAGCACGCAAGAATTATTTGCATGCCCACTTCCTTGACATGGTATGCGATGTGCGAGCCCCATGCACACGAGTAGTGAGACTCAGACAAATTATTACTCGTCCTTGCAGTTTATACTCACCATGGCACAGTCTAATAGCAAGCGGGGGAATTCGTTCAATTAATTGTTGTATCACCCTCGTACATGCTATAGTATCGCAGAGTAAAGGTCGCCGCCTGTACGTATATACACCTACTATTCTTCGCATTCTTCGCATTCCTCGCATTCCTCGCATTCTTCGCACCCTCCGTATTCGCATTCTCAATTTTCGTGTTCTTTGCAGAAATCATTCCTCCACCGTACAAGTGTAGGTATCCTATCAATATCAGGGGGATCATGTAAATCGGTAAGAATGTAACGTAACTCCTCGAGTGGGATTTCGAGTGGGATTTCGTCGTCGCTTATCTCAGCCAGTGACTCCTGTGCATACTTTGCCCAGTCACGGTCGGGTTCCTTCTCCATCTTGTACAGCATATGCATCCAACTTGAGTCCTCGAACCCACAACTGGTGGCTACCAGGTCGCGTATGCGGTCCAGAAGGATGAAGGATGTGTAAAGAAAGCGATGATGTTCTTTACCCTTCCCATGCAGCACAGAATCAACTACGGGCGACGCAGAAAGAAGGGGCTATCTGCATACCTTCTCCTGCCTTTGTTTTTCCGCCTTGGCCAACCGCGCTCCCATAGAGGACAGTGCTTTCTGCAAGCATTTGCTCTCATCCTGGCTTGACAGGTGTTTCCCGTAACCTTTGCCCTGCCCGTCAGATGTAAGGCTGCTCCCCTGACGCCGGTCCATGCGTCAATCCCCTGCAGGGTGATCCTTCTCTCCCTTCTGAGAATACAGACGGGTTGTGCACATAATAGGAGGACATGGCGTGTGCTTGATCCTGAGAGAACGAGGAAGGTACAGTCGAGAAAGTCGAGACATGGTCTCACAGACAGAGCTCAGCAAAGGGATCATCGTGAGTGTATCTGCTAGAAAGATGGGCCCCCGACCCAGCATACGGAGCCGAGGTTAGGGGCCATCTGAGAATTCTGCGGTGGTGACAAGAGGACTATGGATAGCATAGTAGCTTTAAGTCCCGCTGTTGACCGCGGTCTATGTGCAACGTTGGCCTTGACAATCAGGTTCCCCCGAAGTTTCACGGCGCCATAGAGGTATCCGGGTCGGGGACTTCACAGTCAAATTTTGAAGCTCTTAGGGAAGCGCTGTGATTGGGGGATCCGAATATTTGAGAGTGGGACACGAGACTCGTCCAAGGAAACTCGTAATTCTCGCTTCGCGGGCCTCGTGAACGCATAAATATTCCCTTAGCATCTACGAGTCGATGCAGTTCTTCGCAAGCACGTTGTACACCGGCAGTATGTTGGCTGGTCAAGCTTCAATTACGGCCTCGTAGATACACGTGCTTACTGGTGCTCGAGCTGCTACCTCTAGCCTTGGGGTGAGCGACGGCTCCTGCGTAGTTGTTGTGTGAAGTCGCCCATGATGGGCTCGAATTGTAGAGGTCACGAGTGGCCAGCCATAGTATCCGGCGATGCACCCAGCGACGTCGACGAATTGGGATGCACCGGTTCACTGTCTTGAGTCGGGAAGCGCGAAAACAAGAGATCGCCTCCTGGGCGAACGCCCGCACGTGGCAGGAAGAACGTTTGAGACCCTGCGAAGGAGGGTTAGGCTCCGGTGACGACAGCGGGCCATGGTGCCTGTGCGAGCCGAGAGGACTTTTGCGCTCAGGGCGTGTAACCTGTACGCGAACGGCTCAGTCTCTCAGGTAACAAAAATCCTTGGGAAGAGGCGCGTAGTCCGTGCCCGATTAGGCAAGTCAGTACGAAGGAAGGACCGAAAGGCTTCGATATCCGAGTTGTGCATACAACATGAGTCGGCATCGCGCTACTGTCATCCACCATCTAGTAAACAATCTGTTACAGAATCGATGTCTGATCCTAACACAAGTATCTACAACCATTAGGGAAAATTTGACCGCAGGCGGCCCGGGCCCCAGTACATCGCCCTCCTCACGGTCACGTTCTGGCGGAAGCGCGCTCTCCATCTCTTTTGTCGTTGCCACGCGAGTTGCGTCGCTCCCCTCGACCCAGTTCACCGCGCTGTAACATCCTGATCGCAGCCGGTGACAGTGTCAGGCCAGACTTCCTTTCAAATACTGGCCGCTGCCAGTGGACTTATCTCTCTCAGCCCGCCGTCCCTCTTCGTCCCACTCCGTGTGCCACGAGCTCAAGAGGTGTTCCAGTTCTCGGCTGGCGGGACCAGTCCACAACGTCTTTCCAAGTGCTCTCGAGAATCTGAGAGCCTCAAGCTGCTACATGGTTGTTAGGACCGTACATAGTATCACATAATTTAAAAACCTCACATTGGATTCTCGACCCTCTGAACTGTCGGATAGATACCTCTGCACCATGTGGCTTAAGCGAGGATAAAGCCGTTGAGGTAATGGAAGTGAGTCGATCCAAGCATCGTTCAGCGCAAGGACGGTAAGAGCAGATTGTGCTGGGTTGTGTTGCTGGGGAGACATTTGGAGATTCTTGTGTGCCATGCCATAGTATCTGCGATAAGCATGTCGGGAGTGAGAGAACAGTTGACTTGACAGAATTTCTAGTTCGCTATTCCGCAGAAACTAAACGATGTTGATGTGTTGTCGCGACGAGTCGGTTTGAGAAGGCGAGACGAATAAGAAAGGTGGACTTGAATTTAGTTCCGGCACTCTCGCACTAGCAGGCAAAGTTTACTTGAGAAGCGATTGCAGAAATACATGGTTCATGACAACGAGTTAGCAGCTTGCAACCAGCCGCAGCAGACTCCTCCAGAGCATTTCATACAACAACATTACTGCCTGACAGGTACATGAAGCAGTGATGTCTTCTGGTTTAAACTTCGTGGAGCAGGATATGTCGATGTGGGGAAAACTTCGCCAGACACATATAGTATGCACATCAGGTCGCACCAGAGTACAGTACCCTCTAGGAGTCGGTCTGTTCTTCCTTGAATATCAGCCCTCGATAAGTCTGAATGCTGACTGTTACCGGCGAACAACACCCAAAAGACGCAGCGAACTATTCGAGGAGTGTCAGATCTGCGCTATATTCAACGATCAGATTGAATCTGACGCAGGACTCGGAGCCGAGGGGGTGCATTCAGTCGAGCTTAGAATTTCAACCTGACAAAAATTTAAATGTCTGAGGAACTTTATGTAAAACGATCATCGATGCGCAGGATTATTCACCGTGTGCGACGATAGATGAAGACAGACAGCTCGATTCATAGCCACCCATCATTCCATGTCTACTTTCAGGACATTCAACCAGATGACGATTTCGCAGACCCTCCATCGGCTGCCTCTCGTGCACCTGCTGGAACAGTTGTGCGTTGGGCAGCTTGCCGTTCCTCTTGCGCAACTCTTGCGCGCCCTGAACAACGACAATATTATCTTCAGACTCACATGTATGCATACAGGGACTACACATACAGTCCAGCTTCCCTGAGGGTCGTACACCGGTAACCTCCTGCGACTTCCTGCGTTCGTTGATGTGTTGCTTAGCGTAGTAGTAGCTTACGCCAGCCGCAACGATTAAACTTCCCCAGAGCAAGAGCTAAGCGCACATTGTGTTCCAGGAGGTGAATCCAAGATAAGTTGATATCAGCGACATGCTGCCGGAAGAGGAGGAGGACTCGCCGTGGTTCTTATTGGAGGGACAGTGGTATATTCGCGCGGCATGGGTCCCGGTCAGAAATATGAGGTAGCGAATAAGTATTGAAGTCGCGAGAAGCAAACGGGTATTACCGTGAGCGCTTATATCTCCACAGACCGTCACCTGGTTGATACCATCATCGGAGGTCTGCACGATCTGTGCAAGTTTACACAGAGAGATCTACTGCAAGTTCGTCTTTCCGGTGTATTCATCCACTGAGTGACTGACATATCCTCGTATGCGCGGAAAGCAGGTCCAGGCCATTAGGATCCTCATTGCATCTTACTGTTCCTTGTGTTGAACAGGTCTGATGAACGTCGTCGTCTTGGCTTCATCTCAGGAATTCAATGGACTTGTGCGCGTTCTCTGGCAGTTTCATCCCAGCAACGTGGTCGGTGATTATGCCGCCATTCCAATCTGCTTATCTGCCTACTGCTAGTGTTAGTAGGACGTCGGAGACGTCGCCTGAACGATGTCATCAAGGTGTATGGTCTAACTCCGATTGTGCGTATGCCGCTTCTTGTACCTGTGGCAGGAAAAGCCATTCGAAGAGAACACCAAATTGTGCGCGCAATGTGAACAGAGACAAGTATACTTGTCTTCGCTGTAGTGAGTGTGCATACGTGGGACTGCGGACGACCGTAATTATTCGTAAGTAATGCTTTGGTTTATTTCAGTTGTTGCTGAAGGCTGTTTTCAAATTACCCTCACGTAAAATGCGTCACGATAGAGTTTGCATCAGCGAAACGCGCACACATGGAACTACCCAAGTCTTTACGCACTTCGTGCTTCTCTTGACTTCACATCCAGTGACGCCGTCACGACGTATACACTGCAGATTTCAACTACTGTGGAGGGTATGTGAGAAACAGTCAACTCAGTTTTCGGCGGCTCAAGCCTCAACAGCATCAACGGAGTCGAAATACTCCTGATATAACAACGTATTCGTGCTTATGATCTGCATCTTCCCATCGCACTGCTTCCGGATTGGTCCGAGTTGATTCCCATTTTCTTCGCTACTTCCTCCCCATTGTCCAGATGGTGAGTTCCCTCTTTTTCCCTCAAGGCCCAAGCTGTGCTCCTGTTAGTGTTATTCTCTTACTTTTTGTTCTCATCTTTGGTATGTAGCCGGCCGAGATTTTCCCGTACCAATGAGCACTTTGGAAAACGGCACTTTTTCACCGTAAGAAAGTGGCACCAAACTGTCCATTTTGCTGGTGCACCACTGATTACTGCGAGATTTGCCGAAAAGTGGCCATACCCAAAATCCCTAATCGCAACAGCTACAACCATTGGAGCTACAGCCTTCGGACAACTGTATATTGAAATCAAACGGATATCAGCTGCTTAGCACGATCTCGCCGCATCTCTTCAACGCATGTGGACCTCGAAGAGTCCTTGCAATCATAGCGTATCACCTCGTTATGGTATCATCTCAAAGTGGCTCCATCACCCTGCACGGCGGTCAGGCGTTCGGGCATTGGCGGTGTAAGGGGTCTGCCGGAGGAAGTTCCGATGTGTGCCTCATTGCTGACACGGGCCCGCCCGTGTAGATGCACAGCGCGAGTCGCTCGAGGTGCGTCTATCACTTTGCCATGAGTGCTGATGACTCGACAAGGTATTACTGACATGTATCCTCAGGGTGTCGTGAATACCGGGAGGGCTCGCACTCGCCTGGTAAGCCTTTTTTGCGTACGTCCACTCTTGTAACACTGCCTCGTTATAGACTGGATTGTTCCGACTTCTCATCTTGTACTTCTCCACACCTGGCCAATGTGGACCGTGCGGTTCGCCCCCACCCGTGTAGTACGTAAGAAGACCCTCCGGCACTCAGCACAGATGTCTTGATCGCCGTGCTGGGCATCAACTTCTCGACTTCGCTGTCTTGTGGTCTAGCGGTGTGGTGGTGGGACGCTCGTTCTCTGTTCATGCTAGCTCCGACCGTATCTCGCCATGACATTCATAATGCGTCCGATTTGCGTAATTTTCTGCTACTTTACCTCCCAATTGCAAGCGCCCGGAACAAGTCAGCTGTGCACAGTGCATTCACCGTATCATCTGCCTGCACTAATCATAGCTCTCTACGGCATTTGGTGTTCAATTATCAATCTCGTACGCAGCTTCACACCTTTACCTCCCCAATCAGCGGACTTTGAGCAAACACGAGTAGATCTAGCCTCTGGCAACCCATGCTTCTTCGTGTTCGGACTGACGCCGACCAGCAGGCATCAACCTTGCAGATACTTCGCAGATGCGTAGGTGCACCAGGGCTGTACTCCCCGGGACAACCACCGGCGTGTTACATCACATCTTCAACAAGCGCTGTCCAGGCTACTTTTACTTCTTTCGGGCTCCGCGTACAACGAAAGCAGCGCTGACCGGGCGTTTGTTTCGTGGAATTTGGCTGACGAGTGTTTATGGGCACTTATCTACCAAGAACGCCGGCGGGGAAGTCCTGTGTCCGGACGTTCAACTCAACGAGGATTGAGATACAGTGAGAATTCTGACTTCTTTGGTTTCAAATGCGCAGGACTTATCAAGGTTGGTCCTGACACTGTATCAAATACCTGGATATTCTCACTCACACTTCGAGCAGCACTGTTACCTGCCTTGGTTGGCCTCTGCAAGTCACCAACAGATCTTCGACTTTCTGTCAGACGCAGGCCCGTGCGAGGCTCATCATGGATGGGCAGTGTCTACTACCATCAGGTTCGCGATTCTGAGCAAGCACGTCGCGCACACTCGTAATGGAGTCCCCACTCATGTCAGTGAGTTTGTGATATGCGCCCATGCCCTGTGATCGCATAACGACAGACATAACACCATCATTATCGGTCTTGGGGCGTGTAGTCCGCCCACGTCGCGTTCCTCGACTACGCTCCAGCAACCCCGCTCACACGTTCTACCCCCGTCGTCGTTGCGTGCGCTACAAAGACCACAGGTCTTCGCGCTGGATATGATATGATATGCTTTGGCTTATCTGTCTTAGGAACTTGTGCATCACAGGTACGCAGAATCTCGTAGTGTCAGATCTGACGGTGTGATCCGCGTTGCGACTCATGCGTGTGGTATCTCCGTCATCACTCAGGACTCACAGCCCATTCCGAAGGCAGACGTGCTTCCAACGAAATGCAGAGTTCCGAGAAGCCAGTGGCTACATGTCATAGCGTTGTGAAATAGTAGCCTGATATGATGAGAGGTGCGAGCTCCAACATTGGTCAATCGGACAAACCATCTGTGTCCCCAGAGCATTCTGAACTTGGCGTTCCACGCCAGTGCTTCTTCCGGAACGCCCAGCTGCGTATCCTGACCAGAGTGCTGAGCATGCGTAGGACCCTGGCTGGGGCTGTCAGTGGTTGTCTTTTTTGCGGTGACAGCGACGTGCTCCCTTCTGACGTGTATATGTAAAAGAGGTTTGTTCAGCCGCATTCAAACCTCAGCGCTCAGCTACTACATAGGTCTTCGCTTGCCTTGCCGTTACCGATGTGAAACGCATTGCCAGCTGTGATCGTGAATGCCAGACAAATTGGTCGTCGATAGGTCATGTACGCGTCGAGAGAAGCACGGGCCTCCACCAAGCTGAGCAAGGGTTCCCGGGAGGAACCATGGTCAATATCCCTAACAATCGCCTTGCTTGCTACCCGAGCTTTCCTGGTCGACATCAGGAAGAAGCCAGGGTTCGCATCTCCTTCCCTGGATAATTCGAGGCGTCAGTGGTAAGGTCTGAACGCTGAGTGAGAGCCTTCCCATACTAGAGTTTCAGGAGTTGATGCGTGGCCATACAGGGCGCGCTAGAAGTCCGGGGGATATCCAATATCGCGCGCGTTCATTCACCTTTGAATGTATGTTTGAATCGGCGCTCGCTGAATGCCAGCTCGGAAGGTCCAGAAGATGTCCACAGAGTGTTCACCGCTTCGCCGGCCCCACCAAATGGCGCCCTGCCAATGTGCACGCAGCGATAGGGCCCGGCCAATAGCTATAACGAGCGCGAATCACAGAATCACAACAGAGATATCTGTGTGCTCCTGCACGCGCAGCCCGCACCACACCAGCCTTCAAGGGTGTGGCAGTCAGATGCTCTCGGCATCCACACGAAAGGCAGACGCGCTCCGCGACCACGGGGGTCAAAATATGAGGAGCGAATCGTAGCGAATCCTGACAGCTGGGCGTGTCGAGCGGCCGCTACTTATGTGCATGCGACTTCCTCGCAATTCGGCGACGACGAGTTCCTGGTTTCAGGACAAAGAAGCTCGGGCCATGGAAGCGGCTTGTTTAGACGGCTTTCATGAAGACCCTCATGTCGAGTAAGGGTCCTCACGAACACGGTTGAAGTGTATTTTCAATACGGATAGTAGGTGTATGCCTTGACGGTCGCCCGTTCGTTTTAGATGTGCACGAACCCGTGAATACGATAAAGTGAGGATTAATAATGGCACAGGCGGCGGAGAATTCGAAGCATCTGCAGATTTGGCCAAGAACGCGTGCAGTAGCCCATGATGTCTGTGGCTTAGCTTCAACTGGATGATCAAGCTCCTAGATAACCAAGTAGAAAGCAGCCCGATGAAGATACGACGCTCGAATCCAGTCGAAATTGGGACAAAGACATACGATACGTTCACAATGTACAGTACGTAGAGGAAAATACGACCATATTATAGGGAAATAATAGGCTATGCGAAAGCAGTAAAGAAGAAAGCCAGCTTTTAATTTAGGAGAACGATAGTAGTACACTAGGGACGACGACGAGACATGCTCTGACCGAGCAGAACGTGAGTAGAAACGATCCAATCGAACACAATTGCAACTGCCCAACAATGACGGTGGGGTCAGATAGAACGAAGAGGCGCATAGAATAGCGTGAGCAAGAGGAACAAAATGCACGAGGTGAACGAAAATCTACAAACACCGCGTTCGTTGCTGCCATGGCTGAATGAGCGAATAGCCTGGCGCTACTTCCCGGTTGATTGCGACTGTGAAACAAACTCCAGAACCCCAAAACGCGCCTCCATAACGCCCGACGCGGCCGTTACAGCGCACACCGTAACTGTGGAGGGTGAGGGGTGGGTATTCTGAGGACGGATAGTGCTGCTGGTATCGGCGATTGGCAGTGGGTGCATGAGGTGTGGATGCATGGATTAAGTGAGACAACCAGGCTCATGCCACTCGCGGTGGATGGCGGCGAGCCGACGGGACATAGCGGGTATGCGAATGCGCAGCAGTGCTGTCTGTCATCTGCGAGTGACATATCGCCAATACGCAGTATTAGGTGGCTAAGGAAATACCTCGGTCGATGCAAACTTTGGCGAAGGAAAACCATGGTGCATACCTGTGTGCCAGGGATGGAATTATCTGTAACGAGAGCCAAGTCAATCCAATAGGGTTCGCGTATACAATACGAAGACACTCACGATCTCTGATACACTCCCAAACGTCGACACCTTTCCCTTTCGGATCCCAGACTCCACACTGCGAGTTGACGGTCCAGTAAATGTTCAGCTCCCAGATACGTGTGGCGTCGCTAACAAGGCCAGGCATTGGGATGATTGGAGGGGCAGACGAGAGAATAAATTGAAGGCTGGGTCGTGAGGGGGTCGAAATTTATTCGATCTGCAGACAAGGGCGCAAGCCTGGACAAAGCGTTCTAGAAAGTTGAAAGGGGGAGAATGCGACGGTTATCATGGTAACTAGAGAGAGGGATTGTTTATATGTGCGCGGTCAAAGACGCCGGAGAATATCTGTACCTCCCGATTTGGACTATATAAGTTTATCTGGTTTACCGGCAACGGAGGGAACACTTTAAACCTCCGCCCACCCCCTGTGACTCCGCGTTCATTCGTTGGCATGTGCCGTTTCATATCCCGACCACATGAGTTTGACCCCGCCGCCTGCCCACTGGTTTCCTTCGCCCGCGGAGTTGCTAAGGCTCATCTCGATAATCGTCGGCAGGGCAAGTTCTTTCCCTACACGGAAGAGACATCAATCGATACGAAGGATGCGATAGAACGGGAGAATTTGAACGGATTAATTCCGAGGTCATCCATGCAGGCATCTATCGGGATGGCGTTCCACCGTCTGACTGACACCATCTTCCAGGCTGCACTGGACTGAATTACAGTCGCTGTGTACTTCCGCGGGCGAACCGCCTAAGATCTAGCGAACCCTCCTTTGTGACCGGCGCAGCTGATCGCAGGATTCAAGGGTGCAAGATCATGACTAGCGTAAGTCCGGGCTGGACAGCATCGTTCTTTATTAATAAACTGCTGACCGCAGATCAGTTTGAACTTCACAAGCAGTACGGTGAGCGTCCTTCCGTGCGCTGCATCCTCCGTCCAGCATCGGGAGGAACGGGTGAAGACTTTTTTGGGCAGACCGAAGGCTTCCCCCAGTCTGGTCGAGACCAAGTCGACCCGTTGGGTCCCGTGGACCAACATCAATTTCGTTTCCCCACTCTGGCGGCTCCGCCACCCATATGCAGCCCGCTCCTCGGCGAATTACACGTCGTCGATGAGTCGCATTCGTCCTCTACTCACCACTGCACGGCGAACGAGTACGTATTCATGTTCACATTACCTGGCGCAGCAGCTCCTGCTTTACTCATCCGAGGCGCGTTTGGGTGTTCTGGACTCGTTTTCGTGTAGCCTAGCCAGCGGCACACAGTCCTGAGAATGTAAAGCCACCTGCACCGACCGACACGGACGGTCGTATACTTCGTGTGCTGCTCAGAATGGTTTTTCGTGTTTGACGCAGCATGCCCAACACCAAAGATTCCATTAGCGGCCGCCCAGCCAATCAGCGCGCGCTACCGTGTTTCAATTTCCACTTCGGGTCCCTCATCACTGATGCATGCTGATGTTTCATCTCCGCAAGATGCCCAAGACGGCTTGTTTCCGCAGTATGCCCTTCGATCATCGATGGGGTTCGGTCAATGAGACCGACCAGTCACGCGGCTCTTCTCCACTCAGAACGGCGGCGCCCGTGGGCATTTAGACTTGCGGCAGTAGGCTGGTTGGACCGGAAGCCAAAACATAAAGAGGCGTGGCTTGGAAATCGATGGATGGGTAGCAGAAGCCAGCGGCAGCTTGGGGGAATGGGTTTTGTGCGCTACAGTAAATTTACTTTCGGCCATTTGAGCAATGCATACTAATACGTACCATATGAAAAACATATTTTACCAATTCTACATAATGAGGCTGATAAGCTAGAGTCCCCAAGAGTTTGAAATACTTGGCTCAGCTATGGCAAGAATTAGATCTTTCTAAAATTTCCAGCAACTCTCTTTTCAGGGAACCTTGGATTTTGCAACGCTGGATGATACTGCAATGACGGCGGGTGCATGACAAGCACTACATGAATGACAGATTTGGGTTGCTCGCGCTGCAGGAAATAAGACTCGGGCTAGGGTTTGTGCATATTTTCCTGCGAGAAACGTTCCGGTTACGCTCGTTCAGCATAACCTCGGATGACTTGTTGGGCCAGCCATCTTGTGGAGTTCTCCTCTGTACAAATTTCCTTATTCAGTATTTTTCACTCAAAAAGGTAGGTCTTATAAAACATAAGTCACATGATCTTTAAAACACACTACTAGGGGATAAAGGAGCGAGAACACCACAACGTCGAATGGTTTTAGGAGCCTGTGGTGTAATATTATTGAAACTCTAGTTGTTGTCGTCTTCGAAGTAGAGGTTGGCACCGGGGAACTGGGCCTTGATGATCTCCCAGAGCCAGTACATTGGCGAACCAAATGTGATGTCAGAGGAATCGGTTGGACCCGTGCCACCGGTGAGGAGGGCAACGACCTTGCCGAGGGCGTCGACGATGATGGACCCAGAGTCCCCGCCCCTGGAGAACGGACCGGAGTCATTGTCATAGGGGTAGACTGCTGCTTCCACCGAATCGCGGCTGCCTAGGGCGAAGTAATGGCGAACATGAGACTCAAATCCACTCAAACAACCGATCGTGGTGAGCGTGGTGAGGCCACGTTTAATAATGTATCGCATGGGGTCACCTTTGTGGTCTTTGTTGTTGGGTGTGCGTATCTCTTCGGCGGAGAGAACGCCTCGGAGCTCGAGGAGACGTTCAGCTGGATAATCAAAATCGGACGGTGCATCGATGCGAGGGTACATCAAGCTGATGAACTTGGCGGCGTCGATCTCAGGGCCTGGAATATGAACAGTTAGATTAGACGCCTTTAGCTAGACAGATCAGCACGCACCTAAGTCGAGCACGTTCTTCCTGAAGTTCTGCGAGAACTTCTTTTCGTCAAGCTTGATGACGCAAATGTCCTTCGTATAACCGTGAGGAGCGGTAGAGACACTGACGGGAGGTGCCCAGACGACGTGTCCAATGACCCGGTCCTTCGGCTTCGTCCACTGCTTCTTCACCTTCACGAAGAACTTCTTGAGCTCCTCGATCGCCCTCGATCGCCGTTCGTGTCTTGCTCAGCTCACGTTGAGTCTCCACCAGTTCACCTGCCGCCTGCTCAGCGTTAGGGCCACTGCCCTCCGACCTCGCTGTTAACGCCGTAACCCACTTCTCCAAGACGCCAACCGTGTTGTTCAGGGTGCCGATATGGCCCTGGATGGATATGAGGAAGGTGGTGAAAGCTTTAGTGCTCATGAGGACAACCTTCTTCTTCGGTCCGGCTTTGTAGGTGTAGTCAAAATTGCGTTCATATTCTCGGGGAAACGAACATACCGACGTAGGAGTATGGATTATTGCCTTCGTCTTCAGGGAACAGAACGTGGCGGGCCGTGACGGCGTAAAGAACTTTACCCACTCTAAAATAGAAGCCCATTGTTCCCCGGCTCTTGAGCATCTTCAAGCCAGCGATAGGCAGGCCAAGTGCAGTAGTCACAGGATCAATGACGGCCTTGAGGGGATCGAGATCCGAGACGGGTGCGAACAGTTCGGGACCACTGAAGCCCCTGGCCACCGACTCACGGTACGCAACATCAACGTCGAAAATGCCGTGCTCCTTGGGGAGATCGAGATGTCATTGGAAGAGTGGAATGCCTTCTCGCCGGTGAGAGTATCGGGCAAGACTCCCACCCAAATCGTGACGGGAGTGGTAACGACTGTCCCGTACGGGGCGATCTTGATGTCGACATCCTCGATGTCCTCATCGTCCTTGTTGTCCTCGACGTCCTCGACGTCCTCATTCTCCTCAACCCAGCTGAAATGAACAAGGTCGACAGAAGAATGCTGGATGTTTTGCTGATCGAGGAGTTCAACAACCTTGGAATGAATGTCAGTCCGCGGATTGCTGCGCTTCGAGAAGGTCACGAACCTTAGAACGAATAGTAGCCCACAGATTATCTTTACCAAGTTTGTGGTGCTCGTAGACTGGCAGAAGCCGCATGAGACGAGGATCTTGTTCTGGCCCTGAGGGCACTGTGAAGACATCCTTGGATGTCCGGAAGATCAACTTGGGACCCCAGCGTCTGGAACCCCGGATACCGAAATAGTAAAGGTGGGCCTCAAGCTTAGAGACATCGTAGGGAGAGGACTCGACTGAAGAAACGCTGGAGGAGGAGTCTGTCTCCCAGAGACTGCTGCGGTCGGAGTAGTCTGCATCGCTGTCGTCGGATGGGGGGCCCTTGGCAATCTCCTTGGAGTATGCGGCGCACTCCTCGTCGAACACTGCTGAGTGGACGTGACGCTCCAAGGTATCATCCCCTAGAAAAGTATACGAGTGGGTCAGTATAGAAGAAGACCAATAAAACGTAAAAGAACTCGCTTGTCGGGGGTTCAGACATCGCGCTAAGAGAGTAGTTGACTGAGGAAGTCACCTGCCTTTCACGTTGAATTATGCGGAGGTCAGATGGATGTTGGGGACGAAAGACGGTACCCCTATTCCATCCTTCCGTTCTCTAGGTATTCTCCTGTCTCGGCGCCGAGCCTCGCTGCCACTCGAGGGAGGTGGCAGGATTCGCGGGATTTCCATAGAAGGAACACCCGGTTACGGCGAGAATGGCCGCCATTCTCGCGGACGCACACTGGAGGCAAAAGTGGATGTTCTGCCTTGGAACAGTGTCTGAACATCCAAGGAACAGATTACGTTTTTTCACATGTCACATGTTCTGAACATGATAAGGAACATCTAATATGTCTCGCACAATGTTCTATTGGAGAGCATGCTGGAGACATGTTGCATGTACCATTCTGGAACATATAATATGTCTCACACAATGTCTCATTGGAGAATGTCCTGCAGACTTGCTGCATGTTTCATTCTGGAACATTTATCATTTTGCTACTATATTCTGGGCTTATCTCTTGATGCAATATGCTCTGTATAATAAGGATTTCCCATGGCCAAACACATTACATTTCTGGCCAACGTTAATCTTCAGAACATTGTGAGAAGATGTTAAGTGCTCCTACTCCAAACATACAAGATGTCCTGGGCACCAAGAACATTTGCAGTACATGTAAAATTTTAGTATAATTTATGTATGTATCATACATGTACTGCAGATGTTCTTGGTGGTCAGAAGATCTTGTATGTTTGGAGTAGGAGCACTTAACATCTTCTCACAATGTTCTGAAGATTAACGTTGGCCAGAAATGTAATGTGTTTGGCCATGGGAAATCCTTATTATACAGAGCATATTGCACCAAGAGACAAGCCCAGAATATAGTAGCAAAATGATAAATGTTCCAGAATGAAACATGCAGCAAGTCTGCAGGACATTCTCCAATGAGACATTGTGTGAGACATATTATATGTTCCAGAATGGTACATGCAACATGTCTCCAGCATGCTCTCCAATAGAACATTGTGCGAGACATATTAGATGTTCCTTATCATGTTCAGAACATGTGACATGTCCAAAAACGTAATCTGTTCCTTGGATGTTCAGACACTGTTCCAAGGCAGAACATCCACTTTTGCCCCCAGTGGCAGCGCGTCGATTAGACTTGCTAAATAAACAACTATTAACCTCGATTAAGTTCAAGAGGCTCAGTAGTCGACCCCACGTGACGGCTAGCCAATTTCCCTTTACGTCACGTTCTAGCGGATCGATTCAGCATTGAAGTTCTTCATGTTTCTGCGCATCCAAATCATTTCAACATGATACAAATTTGTCGTGCGGAGGATGGCGAAGTCCTCGAGGTTCGTTCTGGGACATCTACTCGTTTGCTTCCAATTACTTATTCGGTTATCATGGTAGCTCGGCATGTCGTTATGGGAGCTGGAGAGGTAGTATACGAGCTTTTGTTTGAGCGTGAGCTGACTGACCGATATATATCCAGGTTGGGAAACTTGGAGTCTCATTTGGAAGAAAAGACGGGAGTATCGCAAGATGCGATTCTAGCATATCTATCCGATGGCCGACGACTCAGGGATGAGAATATCCGTGACCTCGCAGGCGTTCAGGACCAGGTTCGTCCGTGTCATTTCGTCCTTCCATCGTCAGGGGTTCACATTAAGCAGATTATTTACGTCTTCAATAAACGCTACTTGGACCTTGACCTAAATCAGGTGCTGCATGAGCTATGGGTGGAGCCTGAGCTGGAACCTGCCGTTGAAGGTACGTTGCTATGTACAAGTACTGGCATATGAAATCCAATCCCCGCCAGATGCTATTGCCTCGACGCCTCCTTTCCGAATTTCCCAGCTTGGAACAATGTACGTGCAAGCCGCACACGCGCACCACGAGCGTATCCAACACACCCTGTTCACGCTACAGTACCAGCAGTCCGCTCTTCGTATCGCATCCAGCGCGCTTGACCTGCACGTTCTCGCAATCGTGGACGTATTCGACGGCATCTCTGCGGCTGCGGAGCGCGAGCTAACGAAGCAGGCGGCATTGCTCACGGGGCTTGGGGCAGATCTGGAGATTGTTGGGCAGGTGGGGGTACACAAAGAGTTCATGAGCCTTAAGGTGCGCCAGGCGATGGCGAACGGGGAGCCGCAACGGAAGCTAGGGGACTATGTGAGTGTGGTGAAGATGCAGCAGGTTGCAGAAAGCTGTACGAAGGCGCACGGTGAGTGCTGTGTCGAGGGGCAGGGCTTTGGTGTTGACTGATGAATGGGAAGGGGAGCTATTGGCCCGCTTCGAGCAGGTACAGCATGCCATGTTGGAGCTCAACCAGGGAGCAGACGAGGTGCGGGCGTCAGTGTCTGACCACAGGTGAGTGAACGATATCAGTGGCATTGTGGCAGGGTGCCAGATCGGTCATCAGTTTGGTGGAAGATGCCGAGGCCAGCGCGCATCGGGCTCAGGAAATATTTGACAAGGTTGCAGAGTTGGATGCGCTGCTTGAGAGTGAGGCGATCAGCATATGTTAGGCAAGCTTCGAACTGACTATTGATGTAGGACCTGTCTCCTCACCAGAAAAACTTCTGCAAGGTAGTCTATCTAGTTTGCCATCTTCCGCTGTCTTGACCATTCCGACTGCAGAGTTTCGCCAGTTTGATGGGTCGATGCGTGGGGAGCTACAATTCATCACGCGAATTAAAGTGTGCATCCTCTCCTATATGCGGCTCTAATCCGCCTCATTCACCGCCTAGCGCACAGAACTCGTATTCGGAACAATGTATCAACGCGCTCCGCCGGATTAGCACACTAAACAGCGACCTGGTCGAACTGCCACCATCCCTGACATCTTTGCAGGCTGTGTTCAAGGCGAAGACAAGTTTCTCTCACATACAGAGGCTGCACAGCATGCTTTATGCATACGGTGCGACGGTCATCGAGATCGTACGAAGAAAAGAGTTTGGTGAGTGCGGTGCATGCGTTGGCCGTATAGGTTGATCTAACACAACCGTGTGCCAGCACGTTTCTTCTATCAGAGAACGCAGAGCATACTCGAGATTATGGCTAAGCTTTCGTAAGCGCCATTTTTTTTTTGGACGGGCTACCTAATCCTCTTGCATAGGGCTAACGAAAGGAAGCGGAGACAAGCCTATCGTGGAGAGGTACACGGGCAGCTACCCTTCGAAGCTCACGGAATGGATGATCCCGTTCCAAGTATCGACTTCTCTCCAACAGCCTCCCCTGATTCGTTCTATTCTTTGGAACGAGCAGATATAGATGGTAAAAATCTGCTCTATGGTATTGCTAACAACAGGCAACTGATTCATACTCCCACCATTGTTGCTGCAGACCTAATTCGGATGCTGGACGCGCTTGAGCAATTCGCCCAAACAGCACAGGGTTCAGCCGCGGCGCTGAGCTCTGTGAAGGAAGCTCGTGCCGGTTTGGAGAGGCTGATAGGTAAGATGGACAGTCTCGAACCCGGTTTCGACCGCATAGCGGAACGTTCGTGTGAGTATTTCGTATTTTTTTGCCTATCTTCGCCACAAACCGAGTACTACTTTTTCAGTATTGTCGGCTTCGTGGCTGTCCAGTAGCCGACGAAGATGTGAGTATCTGCTGAATTTAAACATGGACTGTTCCAACTGATGATGTCGGACCTATGGAGCAGCTCCGGATGATGGTGAGGCGTATGCGCAGCTTGAGGCTCAGTTGGAAGAGTTACGACAATCTAAGGCTCAGCAAGAGGCAGAGTTTCAGCACGAACGCTCTGCTCTGCAAGAGGATATCACGCAGCTCAGACAATCGTTCGATGCATCAGAAGGGACGCGCGCTCAGCTCGAGCGCGATCTACGTGCAACCCGCGCCCAGCTGGACAGCGAAAGCAAGTCTAGACGAATATTGGAAGAGCGAAACGTAGAGTTATCTTCGGATGCTGACGGGAACCGGCAATCACTCGTGCGGGCCCTCGCGAAGGCAACGGAGCAAACAAAGACTGCTGAGATCCTCCGGCAGGAGCTGACGCAAATTCGTTCTGAATTTCAGGACATCAAGGAGATGGAGAAGCGCCACTCGGAGAAGATTGTGTGTCTCCTCGAGGAGCAGGCACTGACGCTGGGACGGCTAGAAGATGCGCGAGCACGCGGGGAGGACTTGGAGCTCCAGATACGAACTGCGCGAACCGAGAGCGAGGACATGAAGCGTGCGCTTTCGGAAGCAGGCAAGGAGAAGGATCGCCTACTACGAGCACAGGTGTCCGAGCACGACCGAGTAATGCGAGATCATATCGCCGAAGCCGATGGAGACCGGGCGGTGCTAGAGCACCAGTTCTCCGAGCTCAAAGCAGACCTGGAGGATACGGAGCGCCAGTTGAAGGACGCGCGCTCTCAGGCGGACATGGCGCTTGGTGATGCAGTGGGATTGAGAGAGGAACTGCAGCGTATAGAGCACGAGCTACGAGAGGCGCGCCACGCTGAACGCGTGCTCAGAGATGACTTGCGTGCAGGGCGGGCGTCGCAATCCGACTATGAGCTGCAACTGGACAACAGCAGCCGGCTGGTTGCCCAGATCCTTGACGTCGCACTTGCGTTCCGCGAGTCACACGTCAAAGCAATAGCGGCGGCGCAAGCAATGTCGTCCCATCCTACAAACAAGGGGTCCAGCTCAAACGGTACCAATTTGGCGGACTCAACTTTGAGCCCAGGACGACACAATATTATCAATTATTTTCCAGAGCCTTCACCGATTGACCCAACGGATCCCGTTGCTGCATTGGATGCATTACGAGCGTTCGACCATGATCATTTCCTGGAGGTAATCAATAAGACTGGATCTACTATCCGGCGCTGGCAGAAACAATGCAAGGAATACCGCGAACGCGCTAAGGGCAAGATTTCGTTTAGAAATTTTGCCAAGGGCGACCTTGCGCTGTTTCTGCCCACACGCAATTCAGTTTCGAAGCCGTGGGCGGCTTTCAATGGTATGTCCTATCTTTCTCATCGTGGTCCGTCCAATAGTAACTAACCACAATCTGCCTGGGATAATACAGTGTCGTTCCCACATTACTTCCTCCAGGCTACGGGACATCTCGCGGAGCAACTCAAGACACGGGAGTGGATTGTCGCGAGGATAACATCAATTACGGAACGAGTGGTGGATTACAAGGTGAGTTTTCTGCAATGAGGGGTACAACGCTCCCTCAAATGGAGGTTGTATGTCAGGACCCGAGCACCAATCCGTACGGACTTGGAGATGGGGTTAAGTACTACATGCTGGAGGTGGAAGACTGGACACAGCCAGCCCATCACTCCTCCAAGCACCGCGATTCTTCGCGAAGAGTATCTTCAGAGCTGCCTCTTGCTACTACATCGCATACTCTCCCTGACACACCAGAACTTCCTGCAGGTCCCCCAGAACCTGAGGTAGAAGATACATTCACTGCCACACGATCGCCGACATCGCGTCTCTTCCCTTCCCGTGGCCGCTCTAACTCCTCGCCCACCGCGGGTCCGTCATCTCTATCGCGGCTCCTTGCGCAGGCATCTGAACAGGCGCTAGAGCCCATCCCTTCGCGGCCGAGAACGCGCACACCATCTCCTTTGCAACTGGGTTCGCGTCCACAATCTCCTCAACAAGTGTCGTCGCCAACCCCACCAGGATCGCAGGTTCAGAACAACCATCCTGCTCAACCATCTCCACTTCGTCCCGGCTCGCGTGCTTCACGCGTCTCGACATCATCGAAATTCTCTAGCCGTATACCTCTAGGAGGCGGTGGACCAGCAGGGCCTAAGGCGATGGCGACCACTGCACTGTCCGGACAGACACTTGCTACTCCAGATGCGACTTTTTCCTCGTCGCCTCTTGCAAGCCACAACGAGCACCCTTCATCGATATCAGACTCGTCGGCACCATCACCAGATCGTTCACCTACAGAGGGCATGTCTCATCTACTTGGGGCAGCACATCGCCGGCGCACAACGTCCTACCATGTCTCCACCCCTAGACCAGCATCTAGCGCCACGCCGGCCCCTGTCACCACAACATCGACTGCAGCAATTCCGAGCAGCCCACTGGCCAGCTTCGGCGTGGGCGTGGGTGTTGGAGCGGGTGCGAGTGCGAGTAGCCGGTTGGCAAGTCTGGCTAGTAGTTGGGGCATGGCGTTTGGGAGGCGGGGATCCAGTTCCACTGCGAAGAGTGGGAGTGCAAGCGGTCCTGGTACGCCTGGCAGCCAAGCACCTGTGAGGCGGGAAAGTGGCTTATTCATCGATTCGCCGACCGGTGAAAGTTGAGTCGTGATTGGAACTTCGATAGACTTGTTCAAGTCGGGATTAGTTTTTTGAATTTTGATCGCTCTCGCTCGCATCTGGATGTAGAATAATAGTATTTTCGCCTCCACCAACTTATCCCATTACATAATAGTGCTTGCATAGCCTTCCAAGTTCGCGGGAGTCTCAGACGAGCGCCAGCATTACTAGTACTATCTGCACAGACGACCGTCAAGTTCAAATTGTCCATGTCATTCGTATCCCCCAAAAGTTTAGTCATGCATCAATAGCTTCTCTGGCCAGTCTGCTTACAGGGATTCTATAGAATCTCTTCTCTCATTGAGGGGTAGTGCAGCAAAACGCGATGGCCCGAGTAGGTGCTTAAGTACACCAATGCAATCGTTACCAAGAGCAGAGATGTCACTATGTCACCGCACTGACACCTCATGTGGAATCTGCAAGTTGCACTCCGGTGGATTGACGCGCGCGTCGCGCGTCTCTACTACGCGTTCACATTGTCCATGGGTACTATGAGCAGTGATCAAACGCGTAAATCCTGAATGCATCGCGGAGACATTAGAGGGTTGTTCTCGTGGTAGATGTGCAGGTACTGCCTTGGTACTAACGTATCTCTGACGTGTACGGCTCAGGTAAGTAGGGCGCGGCAGCTATTCAAAGGTTCGTTGACGAGTTATCTGTAGGCTTGAAACTCATGTTTATGTTAGTTCTAATGCAGATAGTCTTTATTTGGCACTCGTGCTGTGCAGGTTGGCTTCAAGAGGTAAAAAGAATGAAGTTCAATCTCGCTCGTAGAGTTACCGATCAGACGTGGACTCCCTTCTCTGCATCCGGGACTCAGCTTCTGTGGACTCCGCGCTTCAGCGATTCTTCTTGTATTCTATGTTTCTTCCTAGCTGCGTGACGTCGTCTGTCTCCGGCTGACGGTGGAACTATGTCCATGTCCATGAGCGCCTGGTGGGTGGTTTGGGTGTGTACTATGTACGAAGGCAGATGGTTGAAGCGCTACCCTCCTGCCGATCATTTCGGCCTCCGGACCGCGGAAGTGCTCGGACGTTTTGCGACTCTGCTTCCAACACGCGTTGACCGAATGGGTTCCACGACTTGAACTTTGCGTTGACTAGGAGGTCTTCCCGGTCAGTAAGTGCCTTCGTTGGCGCTAAAGGGGATGAATCTGGACGGGCGACTGTGCTCATGGCAGAAGTTGAAGCAGGATCGGGGAAAGCGCGGGGGAAGCCAACGGGGGGTGCGGGGAACGGCGACAAGGATAACTTCGTGAAGGAGACTCTTTGGATGATTGGTCACTCGTGTGCCTGTTCTGCATCATGTACTGCGAACGAAGACAATACCTGCACCTATAAAGCAAGCCTCCTCCTCCCTGTTTTCTGCCGGGCACCGTTTCCCAAGGATTTTCAACCTGTGGCAACTACTCCGTCGCTGAATAACCTTGACGATTGATCATCTAACTGAGATACAATGGCTGGAGGCGCCGCTGTGTCTGCTGGCTCCGCCGGGAATTATGCCGCTGTCATGGACCCCAATAGGAAGTGGAATAACAACAGACGGTACGTCGCATTTCGCCGTACCTCATTACTGTACTGTCAGTTATGGATTAGTTCTTTAGACTTATAACCCTCCATGCTTGGGTTGTCCTACTGTGAGTATGTGGTGGTTGTTGCACCAGGAACCATTCTGAATATCTGTTCCCAGCGTCATTACCTCTTCTACCAATGGTTTCGACAGCACGCTTATGAACAGCTTCCAATCTCTACCTCAATGGGAGGACTACTTTGATCATCCGTCAGGCGGGAAGCTTGGTCTCTTGAATGCTATTCAAGTATATGTTTGGTCATTCTGCTGATGAGCACATTGCTCATAGCTCTGATTGATAGAACATAGGATCGCTTGCGGGATACCCCTTTGCGCCGTACTTCTCGGACGGAATCGGTCGTCGCCCTACCATCTGGTTCGGAGCTACCATCATGTTGATCGGTGTCGGCGTTCAGAGCGCTGCCTACAACCTCGGCATGTTCATTGGTGCGCGATTCTGCATTGGATTCGGTTTGACATTCGCAGGTACGCTATGGTTCATCTGCAATACCCATTTTAGGTTGATGTTATGGTTAACAGCAAATGCCGCCCCCATGCTTGTCACGGAGATTTCATATCCGACATACCGTGCCCCGCTTACCTCCGCGTACAACTCTCTGTGGTACAGTGGCAACATTATTGCGTCCTGGGCAACATTCGGCACACAGCATCTCAACAGCGAATAGTCTTAGCGGATTCCCTCCGTCCTCCAAGGTATTCCGTCGATTCTTCAGTTCTTCCTCGTCCTCTTTGCTCCGGAGAGCCCGAGGTGGCTTATGAGTAAGGGCAAGTACGAACAAGCGCTGAAGACACTTGCATATTACCATGCCGATGGCGATGAAATGGACCCCCTCGTCCAGTATGAGTTCGAGGAGATCAAGGCCGCTATCGAGCTTGATCGTGAAGGTTAGTAGCTTGTTTTATTCTTTTACATTTGTGCAAGTGATTCAATATATATGTCACAGTGGCAAAGAACGTCGGTTGGACCTCGCCCCTTGCCACGCCTGGCAACCGCAAACGTACAACCATTATCATTGCCATCGCATTCTTCTCGCAGTGGTCTGGCAACGGTCTGATTTCCTACTACCTCAACAAAGTTTTCGACGCCATCGGTATCACATCATCTACCGTGCAGTTGCTCGTCCAGGGTATTCTCGCTATCTGGAACCTGGCGTGGGCATTGGGCGTCTCCGCGTTCGTCGAACGGATCGGACGACGTACTCTTTTCCTTTCGAGCGCGGCCGGCATGCTCGTTTTTTTCACCATGCAGACTGTGTGCTCTGCTCAGTTTGCCATCCACGGTAGTCCGGCGGCGGCACATGCGGTTATTGCAGCAATCTTTCTGTTCTATGCAGCCTACGAGTGAGTCTTTGCGCGCAGTGCTGTTGCAGGCTCTGAAGCTGACAGTCTACGGCAGTCTTGCATTCACTCCGCTGATTGTGACTTACGCAATTGAGATCTTGCCGTACTCGCTGCGGGCCAAGGGCTTCAACGTTTTCAACTTCGTCATCTCCCTCGCGCTCATTTTTAACCAGTATGTGAATCCCATCGCACTTGAAAAGATCGGCTGGCGGTACTACGTGCGTCTTTCCGCTCATTACTGCTAACAACCACCTCATTCAATATCCGTAGATTGTATACTGCTGCTGGATTGCGTTCGAGTTCGTCTTCTTGTACTTCATGGTCATCGAGACAAGGAATCGCACACTCGAGGAGACCGCGGCGCTATTCGATGGCGAAGACATCTCAAAGCATGTCGTCCACATTGCCGAAGAGGGAGGGGTGCAAGAATTGCACCTCAACGATGGCAAAGCATGCGTATAAGCGATTCCCTACATCTGTATCGTATTTCCTATGTGTTGCTCTCACGTTCGTCCTCTGTCCATGTTAGACGTAGAGCTAGACCGTCGGGCGGACAATGCTATCGCGCGCTATCTCCAGGGGGGCATAAGCCTGATCATCACGCACGTATGTATTCTACGTACATCATGGATCATTCACGCATAACGTCCGTACTGTTCACCTGTTATATGCTATTGGTGCGTGGCCGTAGTTTCGTTGCGTTGTGGTGGATGCACATCGTGCTCACTCGATGAGAAACCCAACAGTCATGTGTGAGTTTAGGTCATAGGATCACAAATCGTTTCTTCAGAAGGGAAGGATCACGGAGCGGATATCCATAGAACGAAGAACGACTCACTAACTGCGGCCGAACACGTTACTACCCGTAACACGAGCTTTTTCATTACAAACGGATGGGCTGCCTTGGCCCGGGATCTGTAAGAACACGAAGGAGCCAGCTCACGTACACGCTGGGCTGGGAGAATACGCTGCGGTACGCAATAGCGTGAGCATTTAGGTAGAACGGCCTCGAATTGGTGCTGATCGCTGACACAACAAGATTAAAACGTCCAGGGATATTCATCGTTCTCCGTCGAAGTCTGGTTAGCCCGGAGAGACAGCCTTCGACATGAAAAAAAAGAGAGTCGCTGAAAATCTCGCCGAGTCCATGAATGCCGGAACCCAGTGAGTCCAAATTATAAGCTTGTGTGAATCCAGGCAATGCGTAGCATGCACAGTCGACCGATGAAGACACACTTTTGCCGAGATATGCTTTGTGCGCTGCATGTGGACGATGGACCTCCTATCAAACGGTTGACCTCGCGCTGTGGTAAGAATATGGTTCTGTACACAAGACAGGCGGTTCTCCGTGGTTCCTTAGCTGGACATTGACTCAATCTAGTAATGTCAGAATCTGAGACCGGATGAACAATGCGTATTGCTGTGCTCTACACGGAACATCATCGAACTTCGGTGTTCGCATGACGCTGACGGGCTGTACATGTTCAGACGGTGAGCGTCAATACCGTCAAAACTTTCGCAATAAAGAAAGCACCGCACATACCGATCTCTGGGAAGTTGAGTTAAGCAGTGTCGCATCGAATTAGGCTCATAGAGAGCATTGGATAACAGACTGAGAGAGCATGAATGGCCGCACAAACCGTTTTGATTGTTCCCCCAACGGACTTTAGCACTGAAGCTTGAGCTCCAAGTGTTGGGAGAAGTTGGCAGCTCACAAAGGATCGCTGATCTGGAGGTTTTGGCAGGTGCCGGCACTGAACACCTCTATTTTTGATAATGGGTCCCGCGCGGAAATTATTGCATGAATTTCACCCTGGAGCCGGTTCGTGGTGCAATATGGTGTGAACGACGAAATGGGCCGGTGAAGACTCATCAAGGATGTATTTATTAATAAGTGAAGCCGAGGACTAGCTAGTAGCTTCCGATCGATATCGGTGCACGACGCGTGAAATCTCGGCAGAATCTTGTCTTGGTGAAAGGAACGAGCGTACCTTCCAAATTCGGTAAAGTGACCAGCGCGCGCTGGTCACGGTCTTCAACATTAGATTCCGTCTCAACTTTTCTATCGCCATTCCACACGGCGCTGCTACCCTCCCGACGGCAACCACGACAAAGACGAGGCTAAGACGGTGAGAGGTACGGTGCAGACGCACATTGGTGACTTTCGTCGACGTGCTGGGCACGATCCGGGGACGTGTCTGGCAGTCGTGTGGCGGCACAGCGTGCTGAAGACTTAATGACTTTTCTGTCTTCTGTCTCACCGCCTGCGGGACAGCAGGTACCTGCTAGACTATTATCCTTCAGTTTTCCCAGTGTGTTTCCTCACATGAGTACTGGTAGTTCGAGTATTGTTCCAGCTGGTCACATGAATTACTCGCACTCCGGTAGCTATTGTTCTTCTTTTTTGGCCGCACCTGCACTTACACCTACAATCCGTGAAGTTTTAGTGCCATTGGAATTACCAGAGATTGGGTCTTACCAGCCTGACCCCGCCACTGCTGAATCCATGCCTCAGCTTCCTCCAAGGCGCAGGCGCAGGCGTAAAGACAAGACGAAGGTGTCTCTTACGTCGGAAAAGTCTCAGCCGCAGTCTGTCCTTCGCCGTATTCACTTTGTCCAGACGCCTAACTATACCCCACCGCCGTTGCTACCTCTGTCACCAGACGACCGTGTGAAATGGCCGTCAGTCATACCTCCGTCAAGCGTGCATTCGTTTCGAGCGCGTGCGACTGGTACCTTTGCAAACGAAGTGGTGATACACCCGCCCGAGAGAATATCCGAACTCGGTTCGCGAGAGACCATGGAGCATACTTTCTGGGTAAATGCTACCGGGTCATGGAGGAGTGCTAGTCTACCCGAACCTTCTGAAGTAGATCCAGAGCAAGAGTTTCAGGTCCTTGGCGTTCGCGGAGAAGCCAAACACGGTTGTTTCACGCAATGCGTCGCTCCAGAGGCTTTGACCGGTGCTGATACGCAGATTCATCATCCCAGTGTTTCCGGTCGTTCACGGAAACGCAAAGCTTCAGTCGGCGGTATGAATGTCGTCAGAAACTCAAGCCGTATCTCGTCTTCCGAATCTGTCCCTGCCGCTGTCATAGCAGGGAATGGGAAGGGGTACAAGAAGCGGAGATGCACGCCTAAGGAGCCGCTGAGTCCTTCAAGGTCTCACCTCCCAAATGTCGACTTAGATCATACGACTCTGCTGTCAAGTTCGAAAACGGGCTCTGTGTTTGACGTCCCCTTTCGACTATTAAGCCCACAGAGGCTTACCTTCGACGTCATTGACAGTACCTCGTCCACCGCACACTCTGCTCAAGACCAAAACACTTTGCTGCCTTCTCTTGCTGTCGATAGTGCCGCTTACCCTGGACCTCAGACAAGACCGCCTAGCGCAACTAGCGGAGCTGCAAGAACACCAGAGGCAATAGTTATAGACCTGGAGTCGATGATCGACGGAGGTGAGGAGCAAGAGGAACTTTCAAGCAGTGTCGCCACAGTGCATCATCTCTCGCAAGTTTCCACCTCGGTCGAGACCGCATGCGACGTCGAAAATGTGGATGCAAATCAAGTTAAAGGTCCCACCACTCGTTTCCCTGAGAATTTCACGCAGATACCCTCGCTCCCTATACCATCTACTATGTATCCTTCGGATCGCTTCTTTGCATCGCCGGCATATATGCATGACGTGCCACCTTATCCCTACGTCACAGTACCCTGGTTTACGGGACAGCCTGTGCCCTATCCTTGGGTGTCATCTTCTGCGGTTTTCTCCCCACTACCTGAGGCTTCGGGAAGTGGGTCCCATATCCAGCCTCATGCGTCTCAAGGTCCTGTTCCGTCCGCATATCTTTCTTTTCCCTTCTCGCCTGTTCCCACCCTAGGATCGTTGCCACCGTTTGTGCCAGCGCCGATGCACGTTCCCGTCCCGCTTCCTGTCCCCGCTACTCTCCCGAATCTGGTCGCTCCACCTAATTCTTGGTCCGAGATGTTTAACACCCTAAAGTGTTCTGGTCCCTCAGTCGCGAGACATACTGTCGATTCAGGGTCCGCTATGCTCGAACTACCCGCTGATGGTGGAATTGCCATTACTGAAATATTGGATCCGAAAGTGAAGGGGAGAGGGCGCGATAAGGGACCGCACCAATGCCCACTGTGCCTGCGCGTGTTCCGCTTCGGGAATGGGCTCGCTCTGCATCTCAAGTGGCACTGGGGCGCCAGCCGGCTGGAGTGGAAGCAAGGTGTGTGCAACCGGGTGTGGCGGGGGCATGAGAACGGCTTCAGTGCGCGAAATACTAATTGTGCTATATCGTCTGTAGGTGTGAGCCAATCTGGTCTTGCAAATGCGCGCGCTAGAGCTGAGGCAGGCGCTGCTGAGCGTTCGCGGGCTCGATTGCAGTGCGAAGGTGCCGCTGATGCTGGGGGCGTATCTATGTCGCCATCGCTCCCCACGTCCACCGCCACCTCCCTGGCAATCCCAGATGATCCGGCCACCAACGCGCCCTTGGAGTCGTATAACTCCACAACCTCGTCGTCTACCCGCCCGATCATCACGACCCCGCCGCGAAAACCGGGAGCGCAATCTAATTCATCTGCATTCCCCATGCCCGTGATATCCTGGGCAACACCGCGCCTTGGATCCAGCTTCGAGGTATTCACCTCCCGCTTTAGGACAAGTCCTGAAGCTGCCAGATCCAATACCTCCACCAGTCCCTCTGCCTCGCTCCAAGGCACCTTTTCCTTTGTCCCATCTACCCTGAAAACCCACTTTCCTTGGCAGTCCAGTACGCATTCTGTCCTCCAAACCCCAGAACGCAACTCTACGGATGACGCAGCATCTGCTGTCCGTTCCTCTCCATATGATGACCTTTTTGATGGTGACGATTCCGACGACGTGCGAAATTTCGTAGAATGATCATCCATCCTTTGCTGATATTCTAATCCAGGACACTACCCCTCGATCACCAGCGAAAGAGGTAAATGATGATGCAATACAGGGCCAAGATGGCATCGCCTGCGTCAATCCTGCCAATGTGGAGATCAACCACTCCACGGTGTCGGAACAAGGGCACGAAGGCTCCCGCTCGTTGTCTCCTCTTGTCCAGTTCGCAGCTCTTCAGCTCTTGCCGTGAGAATCCGGTCGCCGTCAAGACCCACTTACGTTATTCTCTAATCATTAATTCTCGACTTTTCCTATCCTGCACCAAAGCCCTTTGCCTCTCATTGCATCGTAATCTTAACTCAGTATCGCGGACCCACCTCAAGCCCTCGCACAACTTCCGTTTTCAAACTGTATCGTTACTGTCGCATCTCGCATCTCGTATTGTGCAAGTTCTGTGCCGATGTTTTCTATGTTCGTCTGTGGTGCTGATCCGTGACTTATACGTATGTAATTTCGTACCATAGAGTTAATACTGCGTTTATGCAGCCGCGTCAAATACCTTCGTTCAATGTACATATACTTCTCCCGTGGTAGTTCGGAATAGCCTTTGCAATGTTCCAGAGTATTCAGATATCACAGTATCAACACTGAGGAACATACACGCTGAAGCGTTACTTCTACTAAGACGAGACACGTACAAATCAAGAATCCACTCATGCGACGAGTGAGAATTTGAAATAGACGATGTACAGTATGTAGCGGCGTATTCATATCCGTAATACTAGAACACCACCTTCCATCACCTGATAAAGAAACTATGAGCAACTGCAAGCGCACATGCGCCGGCGCAAGCAATGAACCCCAGATAATAGCCTGAAGGTCCGTCCTGCACGCTCATGGACCAAAGCTGAACAAAACACGTCAACCACAAATCATACGAGGAAAGCGGAGTTACATACGGTCCCGCCGAGAATGGGGCCAATGAAACGTGCGAGACTGACAATACTCTGTGCGATGCCATTCGCATAGCCGACAACCGCAGGCGGGGACACTGTTGAATGATCAGAACAACCAGCTTAATATGAAACGCAGTGGACAACGCACTGTAGTTGAGGAGCACAGAGACAGCAGTGTAGCTGAACGTACTCCCGCAAAATCGGACGGCACTGAAATGTACATCAATTGGAAGCTCACTCGAAGAGAGCTGCCAGTGTGCTTACGTGCTGAAGGCAAGCGCTGACAGAAACGCACATCAGCGAGTTAGCCCCCGTAATGCTTCAGTTTTTGAACAGCGTACCAGACATAAGTATAGGGTTACCGTCGCTTGTAGCGTTTGCCATTTCACGGTAGAGAATAACCGACAAATATGATGGGATAAACAGGAGCGAGCCGATGCGGAACATGGCGAGATGCGAGAAACGGCCTCTAGGGGGTCTGATAAACGAAGATGAGTCCAGGAGCGCATTTTGAGCAGACCACAATAGAAGCATACCCAATATTTCTGAACGTAGAACGTAAGTGTTTGTGGCTTCGGATCGCAGAAATGCACTCACGGATATAGATAGAACTGGTAAGCTATCTGTGCCAGACACATTAATGCGACTACAAAGTACCTTTTAGCAAAGTAGAATAGATAGGGTAGAGACAACCTCAACTAAGTTGTGAAAAGCGGCCCGCGTCTAGATTAAGTCCACCCAGCGGGAATTTCCTGGAAAAGAAAAGAAAAGTGGCAGAGTGCTGAGTATCATGATCGATGAAGCGCGAAGGAAACACTAACGAGACCAGATAGAGATAAAATACTTGGTCATGCGTAGTTGAGTGCAGCGCAAGCAGACCATACTGGATGATGATGAGGATAGGTAACTGCGAATATAAAGATGGCTCCTTCTCAAGCACGTCTGGTTCCACGTATTGCTCATGACCCGCCAGTCGCGACTCCATAATGGGCGCTAATGATGCGGGAGGTTCATCCACTTGTGCGAGCAACTGTTGGGCCTCCAGGACAGCAGGTGGAGTGCGCACACCAACATGTGTAAAAATGGGAGCCGCTGTTGTTGAATAGCGTCTGGGGGAAAGCTCGTCAGTGGGCGATAAGACTGAATACGTTGACGAGCGATGCCGAGTCGTGGAGAAACGACCTGAAGAGGATGGTCTACGGGGAGATCCAAGAAGTGGTGGATGTCTGCTGCTGGATGCATGCTTCGAACCAAGACGAGGAGAAATGGTGGAAGAATCTCGTCTGGAGAAGCGGTTTGTATGTGTCGCAGGAGTAGTGCCGAAGACATCGCTCTCGTCCAGCTCATCATCCTCTCGGGCGACTGCTTCTTCATCCCCTTCTTCATCCACCTCAGACTCAGACTCGAAGACTTCTTCGTTGTCAGCGTTTATCGCAGCAGCGACCCACAGATCGGCAATATTGGTGACGGCATTCTCGTTTGCCATCAACAATCGCTGTGCGAAATTGAGCTCGCTTCCCGATGCGACTATGGACTGCCTGCCATCTGCATTACTCTCCCTCCCGCGGCGCATAGACATTGCCATGCTCGTTCGCTGCGTCGCACTGCTGCCGAGCCTCGGTCTGTGGCTGCCACTGTAGCCGTATGCGGACCCATTCACCCTGCTAGTCTGCGAGAATGTCCGCTGCTTGCTCATCCTAGAAGGCGTTGGCACCAGCGGCACGGGCTCGGTTCGTGAAAGTGACGGAGAAGTCTGCCTCTCCTGTGTATCGACATCACGCTTGCCGAAGTACGCAGAAGCTTTATTCCGGAGGCTGCCGTACAGAGTCTGGCGCTCCGTCTCTTCGAACAAAGACGTAGTCGGAGTTTGTTCCTCCTCTTCTGGAATCGTCGGCGTCTTCTCGAGAGACAAGCGAATTGCACCTTCCCGAGGACCGCAGTCAGGTCCGATGAACAGGCATAAAATAGAACCTGAGGACAAATTCACTGCAGGATCTCATCAGAGTAGATGGCACCCACCCGTGAAAGTAATAGAGGCAGCGACCGCACAGGGTAACAGGTATGGGTACTTGGCAAATATTGGCAAATTCTCGAACAAGGAAGGCCACTTTGTCGCTGGCGACTCAACTGGACATGATGTTAGCCAGAAGGTATTCTGTGAACTGGTTCGACTCACAGCTTCCACCCACGATGGCACCTGCCACACCACCAAAGCCCCAGCAGAATCTTGACCGGACAATTATTTATATGATAAAAATTCGCTGGTAAAATACACACCCAAGGATTGCATAAGCCCTGCCTTCATTGCTTTGATCTGTAATAAGAGTGACACAGCCTCGAGCGACACCAATAGCACCCGCAAAGATACCCTGCATCAACCGGATAGCTATGGCTTGTTGCAGAGTTGTCGATGTTCCAAACAGGAAGCACGTTACGGCGCTGCCGAATAGGGAGATAAAGAGTACGATGCGCTGACCATGCTTGGCCGCTACAGTAGCCTTTATCTCTGTCAGGCAAGATCAGACAAGGCGTAAACGACCTCGTACCCATAGTAGTGATGTGAGAAATTGGGTCAAGAAGAATGTTGAGACTAACAAGTAACGTCAGATTCAGTAGCGGATACTTTGTGCTGGGCATACCTAAGATGCCAGTCCAATATCCAACTCTCGCTTCATCGGAAAATTGACCGAAACCTATCACAAGTCAGATAGTCAAGTTAACGAGACTTCTGCGACATTCATACCTTGAACCATGAATAATATGAATGGCGCGGAAACGTTCGCTGACAAGAATTCACCAAGCATAGTCTGAAAAGGATATTCAGCCACATGATGACTCTCCTAGGCGATCCTGCATACAATTGACAACACGATCATAGACAAGACGGGGAGAGGAGTAGCATACACTTCCCCCGATGGCTGCAACGCACTCGGGATTGGAGGTCGTTCAGGTGTCAGTGCGCCTACTTCTTCGTCAGGATGCCCTCTCCATCTACCGATGAAACTGGGCTTGGTACGAATAGTTGAGAACGATACGCGACCGGATGCTCGGCGGCCAGAGGCTTGCTGTGCACCGCCTGACTGCTCTCCAGCTTCCGCAGCTGGTCCATCAGCGCCAAATATCCGTCTGGGAGGTAGAGTTGCACGATTCGGCGTGTTGTCGTTCATTCCGCCAAATGAACATGTATTCGCCAAGAATATAGATGAAGAGGCGGTCAGCTGTAGTCAGAGTTGAAGGGCAAGGTTAAGAGTATCCCAGATATGTAAATACGTCATTTCATTTCAGGTTAGGGTTGATGTTGTGGTTTATTACATAATTCCATTATTATTGCTAGCCGATCGATCACTTTAGTCGTTGAGTCCGACCACTCACGACGGTTGCATTGCCGCAGCGTCGTGTCCAAGTCGTGTCCGACTATCTCTCACCAGCTCTGAAGATCCAAGAGTATCTGGAGGGTGCATAACTTACTATACGCATCTGCGATAGACAGCTGTCCTCCAGAGGTCCTCGCCGCAATATTCCTGCTATTCAACGGTCGGACATCATCGCATGTCACCGGGTTGTGCGTACCTTCACGAAGTTCTTACAGCCATATCTCACCGAAACACCTAGGTGTCAAAGCGATTCCGCGATATCGTTGCTTCCAGGCCTGCTCTGCTGTATGCCACCTAACTGGGTGTCGACAGATATATGGACCTTTCTGTCATGCCCAACCTTGGCACGGTTGACCGCCTCGCTCATCTCGTGAACTATCGAACCGCACGCAAGTGCGCTAGGGTGCGTTCTACTCAAACGGAACAAGTTATCTGGCCAACTACTGCAGACGTCCACCGTTTGGGAGACGTCTTTCTCCGTTTATATTCCGATGTCCCAAATGATATATATTTTAATTTACGCGGTCACATTCATTGGCGTCGATGTAATGTTCCTGTCCGGGGATCCAGGCATCCACATTCGGCCGTTATCTCTATTCGTATCCTTCTTGAACTTTGCTGTGGACGTGGCGCAGGATCTGCTGATGCTCTGGGATTCACTTCCCTTTAACAGTGAGTCCTTACCTATACATTTTGTTCCACTGGAGAGCCTAAAACCGCTTTGAATTGTTGTCACAGAAATATCCTGTTATCTACTTCACTCTCTCACGATCTCACGAGCCTATAGTGGTCGGCCTTGGACCTGCAGGAGGAATCCAACTGCAATCGTCACAGTCATGCTCAACATTACATTCCTGATGCTGTACGTAGCACCAATCAAAAACACATTTGTGGAAGTTATTGTATTGCGATGGTCCACCGGTGAAGTTCTGGCCGTACGAGGATTACGGTCTGTCATTTGACCGCCCGCTTATAACAGTGTCAAGAACTGCAAGGTTCCGGACAGCAATTGCCAATTCGGATTTTTCAGTCTTACTCGATTACCTACTCGTGGTTGCTGTCTCCTCGCGGAGATCGCTCTCCAACCGTTTTCAAATCTCCAACGCTCCTTTATGGTTTCAGCCGGTCTGTTTCGGAAAATGGTGCACCATTCAGACGTATCACTCACTCTTTCTGCCGACCACACATGCGGGCAACACACTGGTGCGAACCATCGTTTTGGATTGTTCATCATATACAGGCCCGTGTGCCCCGGAAAGCCGTGTGTCATCTCTGCTCTCCATCCTCAAGCGGAGCACAAACGCCTCTCAATCGCACGCGTTCCGCTGGGAAACATGGGGCCTGTCATCAATCCACTGGTTTACCCCAAACAGCGCGTACGCGAACTGGGTTATGTACGTGCGTTACGAGGGCATCAGAGATCAATATCTATTCGATTTTTATACTCCGGATATTTCACGAGACCTCCATCGTCAAGCACAGGACCCAAGTGAGCACCTTTCTGTGTATGACCTGCACAATTACTTCGTGGATGACCGGAAAAATCCTGAATTCGACCTCGAGGGACTGGCAGTAACTACAAGCTCAGTAGTTGTCACTCAACCGAGGGTGATTGACCGTGTGGAAGTGACGATGTGCCTGCGATGTAGAGGGAATTGTTGTCAGGATACATCACCGCCCTCCACATCATGCCGTCCTCAACAATAGGAATGCAAATGACGTGCGCGGCGGAAAATCACAGTCCCCGCTGTCTGATGTACGGCCGCCTGTCCATGTCGCTATGCAATGTTTTCTAGACCATGCTTACCTTCCTCCTTGTATCTGATTTGCGTGGTTTTCCACATGCAACTCCCGTTCTTTGGGCTCTGAACCATCACTCCATTCCCTGGCATCCTGACATTAGACATTAGCTTGAATCAGATAAGTGGCCCATCGTTCGCGTAACCTTATGACAAGCTGTTAGGAAGATGACTTCTGACATTCGGATCTCGTATGTGATAGGTGAGCGCGTCGCCATGTTTATGCACACGCACAGTTCGTGAAAGTGTCTGACCGTTGCGCAGCGGTTTTCCCAGCAACATCGTCATCAGGGCACAGTCCACATAGTCAATCTTATCTTGTACCTACCTGCCGCATTACTGCGATAGGTCTGCCGGATACGCCGCATTGAGTTGGTGCGCCTGTTTTGGAAATGCTCAACCTAAGTACATTCCAAGGCAGTTTAGATTTGCGGTCGGACCTGTGCCTTGCCGAAGTATGCCTATATGACAGGTCCTGTATGACCTGACAGACTTCCCAGGAATGGCGGAAAGAGCGTGGCAGGCAATCAGCGCAGGGTGAGTCTAGGCGAACTGCACTTTTGGATTTGCTTACTCAGAGTTCTCCGAACATACACACTGAAAGCCTCTGCAACCGCGAAGTTCGGGTTGCCTCCCTCCGTTATTGTGTATGTCCCCGCGCGCGCCCTATTGTCAATGCGGCATACTCTCACGTTTTATGGGGCGCGCGGAGAGAAAGTCACCCGCGCGCCCTTTGCCGATTGGCTCCCGCTCTTGGCAGTCCATACAATTGCACACGGCTTGCCTCCGCCGCCTTATGTTCGTCTCTGCGAAGACCAAGACAATCCGTCAAGAGCCACCGCGTACGCGTACAGCCTTGGTGCGACGCCACGTCCGTATGAGCGATGCTGGACAGAGTGGACTTGGAGTGGTTGTGGTCCGTAAGTCAGTATCGCGGACCGCCTCGGAGATTGAATTCGCTTCGAACGCGCCCGAGTGCAGGGAAGGTACAACCTAGACCAGCCCCGTACGTACGCGCCTCATCGCGTGGCTCGGGCCCGTACTTTTCGCAGACGCAGTCTCTCATGGGTTACCACACCAATGCTGCGCTGCGCGGATATGTGCTTCAAGGGTAAAATTGCTCCGCGTAGACTACGCGTAGTGCGTGTCGCCATGTATCAACTCGGTCCACGGGTCCGAAGCATTGAGTTCCCATAAAGTACGCGCGTACGATGCTCGAGGTTGAACGAGGTGGGCTGATCTCGGGAAGTGAATCTCTGTCGCTAATAACCTTTTGTTTGTTCCAGGGCTTCAGCGCTCAGCCACAAGCGAGATCTGAAACATGACGTGGCCGCGATCCGTGGACGCTTCTGGTAATATTTCAATTCACGTCTCCGTATTTGACTCAGATTAAATAGTTTCCCTATTTTCAGTACTAACGGGAAGCGGGATGTCAAGATCGTAATCTAATTCGGAATTTTTCTTGACAACATACACCTCCACGTGTCGGACATACCGTTCTCTATAAAGGACGCGTTTGTCGTGTTGGTCCTTCGTCCTCCCCGGTTCCACGTCTTTGTAACGGTCTTCCCATCGTCTGTCATTTCCTCGTCATGCCTTCAGTCGCTCCTGCTCAGCCCACTAAGATCGTCATCCCCGACCTTGTCTCTCACTGCACGTTCCCTATTCGTTGCAGTCGTTATCATAAGCAGGCGAGCGTCGAGTCGAAGCGATGGCTCTTCCAAGGCGGCGAACTCAGTGCTAAGAAGCGCGATGCGTTCCACGGCTTGAAGGCGGGGTACTTGACGTCCATGTGCTATCCGAATGCTGGGTTCCCTCAGCTGAGGGTGTGCTGTGACTTCATGAACTACTTGTTCCACCTCGACAATATCTCGGACGAGATGAACGACCGAGGTACCTCCAACACGGCGGTTCAGGTCTTGGACGCCCTGTACCATCCTAACCTTCCTCGGCCTCCGTCGCGTGTGGGCATCATGACCAGAGAGTAAGTGCCTCCTTATGCTGACCGTCAACATCATTCTGACTTGGTCACTGTGCAGCTATTGGATCCGTCTCATTGCTACTGCCTCTCCTGGGGCTCAGCAGCGCTTCATTGAGACGTTCGACATGTTCTTCCAGTCTGTTACTCAGCAGGCCATGGACCGCGCGAACGGTGTTGTGCCCGACCTCGAGTCCTACATCTCTGTGCGTCGGGACACGAGTGGGTGCAAGCCTTGCTGGGCGCTCATCGAGTACGCGTACAATGTAAGCCCGACCCGTAGCTTATCGATTCTCAGGCTGATCTTTAGTTTCCCTTAAGCTGGATTTGCCCTGGGAAGTTATGGATCATCCTGTCATCCGGGGTCTAGGGGAGGCGGCGAATGATCTAGTGACTGTGAGTCGCCTTCCTGCACAACAATAAGTCGATGACGTAGCTCATGCTTTTGTCTGCAGTGGTCTAATGTCAGTTGTCACCTTTCTCTCCCACTGCGATCAGCTGATCGACGCTTAATCGACAGGATATCTTCTCGTATAACGTCGAACAATCAAAAGGTGAGAGGGCATCAATCTTGCTATGCCACCGAGTCGTTAAATATATGATCAACACAAGGGGACACTCACAACATGATCGTAGTTGTGCAGAGACAAGAGGGCGTCGACCTTCAGACGGCAGTGGACTTTGTCGGCGATATGTGCAAGCAGAGCATCGATCGTTTCTCGGCGCTTCGGGAAGAGCTCCCGTCGTGGGGCCCTGAGCTCGACGCGCAGGTAGAGACCTACGTCGATGGTCTCCGGGATTGGATTTCTGGCAGCCTGAAGTGGTCCTTCCTCTCGGAAAGGTACTTCGGCAAGTCAGGGCTGGAGGTGAAGAAGACCCGCATCGTTAATCTCCTTCCTCTCCGCGCTTAATGCTCCTGATCGGTGCTGATGATTATTGGTGAGTCGACTGCTTTCGACTCTTGTCTTCGTGTTCGAAGTTGATGCGGGAACAGATTGGTTTACCTGTCCGTGTGTATGCGTCCACATGTGTTACCTCTCCTATCTTACACTCTCTAAATGTATGTTCCTGATACTTCTGTTACACGTTATGCCGCTATTACGCACACCGACTACTACTCTTTCGTTCACTTTACGCCACCTTTTGTTTCGTTCCTTTCTTGATTGCTTAAAGAGCCATCTAATGCTCAGAGGCTCGTTCTTTTAAATACCTTAGCTTATACTGCGTCTGCGAGTCAGCACACCATCTACGAAATGATATGCATTCCTGACTACGTGTAGAGCGATCAGGGGCGTATGCACCACTGAGAGATAGAGGTAGCCTGGTGACTTCTGATGATACACTTATAGTGACGTTCGGTACCGAGTTCACTTTGAACCCGGGTATCGAATCGCACTAAAACCAACTTGCGGGTGCGGACACGAATCCTGATCGTGTGGCTGAAGGCGAGCAATCTAATTTCGATAGGATCGTTGTACTTGCTCTATGATCGATGACGAACTCACCCCTACTCACCTACAAGGTTATAATCATTTGAATTGATTCCCGACGACACAATAATAGGTATGATCGATCTAGTGGTCAGATGGTCTCAATGTCTTATTGTCACGCCCTCGCATAGCTATTGGGAAAAGGTGTACGAGAATTTCAATGGCCAGCTGCAAGTGGTTGACAGGTAATTACAGTGTGTGCGTCATGGACGGGTGAGGGTGGTCAGGCTTGTAGAGATTTATTTTTGAGATTTTTAGGCTAAGTTCGTGACTTGGTAGCACGTGCTGTGACAAGCCGCGTTCATGCTTACTCAGCACCATGCTCAAACTGCAGTTGTATCTCGATTCAGATTCGAAATCAGCAACATCATAAAGTAGTCCTCGCAAAACTTCCACTTTGTCCAGTTTTCTTTCCTCGTCTTCACATTGACCTCGTTCTCGCTCCCCCCGTGGTCAAGTTCACGTCCGATCTATGCCACAATTCGTGGACCTCTACTCCCCTGTCTGCAGTGTCCTCAGACGCTACTGTCACTTACACTTCATAGCTCTTTGTCTCACTCCTACGGCAATTCGCAAACTCCTCTGTCCTGCTTCGGACATGTGAATTACCGCTGATGCATCAAGGTCTGGCGAGTGTCCTTTTATGCTGTAGATCCAGTTTGTAAAATGGATAACAACACCAATACTCGGACTAACACGCATCCACGCATGTATCACGAGAAGAGGTACAATGGGTAGTAGATCGTTCGCCTGAACAGGCCTGTTGGACTGTTGCCAATATCATCACTTCCCATGCCGTCTGCGATCGGCGAGTTACCTATCTGGTCATCAAAGGAGATATCACGTTCACGCTCTGAGCGATACAGGCAATATCGATGATCTCTACTTGTCGTATAAACACATTCAGCCAAGATGCCGTTGCCAGTGCGTCGGTCATAGTGTAGAACTACTGCATGCCATTTGCCGGTGTTCCTGGTATTCCAGAGGTCTGTGAGCATGCATGGGATACTACGCCTTGCAACACTGATCAACATTCTCGTCCCAAACACCATGCTCATCATGATAGGCCGGTTGACTGTTTTTGCAAACCTCTAAGTGCACAATCAGCTGATATTGCTGCATTGTCCTAGGTATGGACTTACCGCTTGGTTGATTAGTCCTTTGCAAACCTCAATGAATACTCGGCAGCATCAGGACCATACACTGTACGAGCGTACTCGGTTTGTGTCTCAGTGCGGTCGCTCAGACTGAATCCGGTCTACTGTCGTACCGGGTCTCAGCTCAAGTAGTATTTGCTTCCCGACAACCGTGACGATGCCGTACCTGTGCAAGTCAACTTGTTCTGCAATCTCGTTCAACACGACTCCATCCCAGTGGTTCAGTCCCGCCTCTTCGCAACTGATGAGCTTAGCGGATGGTCAACTAGCCGGATAATGTGTGCCAATTGACGCGCTTTCGTTCCATATGCTGCTGCTGGTTCTTGTCCAGCTTACCACTCTCCGTGGACCTCATTGCCGAGACCCCAATACATCACGTTGCACGATTCGTCGTCGCCTGTGTTCTTCCGATGGCGCTTGGCATACTTACTGGATCGCACTTGTGTTATAAGGAAGGAGGAGGCAATCGTACGAATGAGACGTACGTGTCGCCTGTGTAGCGAAGTCGGGTCGCAATCATTCCGAGAGGTCATGCCATACACGTTCTCATCAGTGCCAAACGCATTGCTCTCCTCTCCACCCCACGCGAACTCACGTCTCCTCTTCCTCTGCTCCGGGTGGCTGATCCCGTCCTCCCAGTGGTACGAACTGACATAGTTTCCAACAGGCCATCTCACGAGCGGCATGTACAATTCGTCCCGCAGTACCCCCAGCACGTCCTTTCGGAACCCCTCCGGCGTAAGGAGCTCTCGCGGCGTTTCGACGAACTGCTTCCGAGGACATGGCGGGCTGATGAGGTGGATTGACTGCTCCGTTTGATATACTGCACTTCGACCTCGCTGACCCGTACGGTTCGCGGACAGGCAGACCTCGACAGCTCGACAAGCTGCTCTAGTAGTCGAATTCCATGATCTCTCCTAATCTTCCCCGTGAAATACCGATGGCAACATCGCAAAATCTTGTCCTTTCTCGACAGAAACCTACCTACACTCTTCCCCGCACTTTTGGTGTCTTCCTCCAGACCGCATGGGTACCGAGAGCTCTGCATGGCCAGAAGCTCGACAGTACAAGACTTCATGCAGGGGATGTTCGGACTTTTGATTTTAAATCTTCCTCTTTAGTTCTCCACGAAGATAACGCGACAGCACAGGGGGTTATTATAGGGTACCTCCTGCTCGCCGCGTTCATCTCGTGAGTGGTCCTGCACCTATTTTGCACTCCCATCTCACAGTGCGCTCGCAGAAACATATATTTCGGCTCCGTAGTAGACATGGTCCGTCGGCAGGTCTCCATATCCACTTCATGCACGGCGGCCGGTTCTGTGCGAGCATGGGGATCAGCATGCTTTCCGTGCTTGTGCGCTCTGCCAGGCGGAGATTGTGCACCGGAGCATTGGGGGTGAGCAGTCCTACAGTTCAACCTGGTGTTCTCAACCTGGTGTTCTCAGCCTGCTGTGGACCTCTGTCGTGGGCAGTACGTCATGCTAAATTTTCAACTGAGCGCCTTTTCAGATTCCTGTCGAGATATTCAATAGCGCGAGTCGCGCGAAAGAGATGCGATCACCTCTTCTGCTGCGTGAATTCCTAAGTGTGTGACCAATCATCGTCTGCATGGACTTTGGATGACGTTCCTCCGTTTATGATCGCACAGATTTGCCTTTGAGCGTTCGATAACATCGGAGCGTGGTTTTCATCAGTGTTGACTTACACGGTTCTCCCTTCTCTATGCTAACTCTGTTCTCAGGGTGGCAGTTCTATCTCGTCTTTCCCGTATGCGGCTTCTGAGTGTAACGGACTCCTCTTCTGGGTAAGAGCCCTCTGGGGAACTAAAGACTAAATAAGTGGAGTCTGATCCCCGTTTATCTTGCAGGCATTGCTCCCCGAGACCAAGGGTGTAAATCCCACTTGAAGGTAAGAGGTCCATCAACCTTCAACCATCAAAATTAGTGATATCATTCAGTGCACTTTTCCAGAACTCGACATTTACTTCGAGCAAGTCGCGATATTTCTCCTGGGCTCACAGCTGCGGGACTGGCGATCATGTTGGCTCTGCGAAGAGCGTACAATATTATCCCTTGCTTAAATTTTGGCTTGGTTCGTACGTCAGAGGAATGTAACTATGTTCATAGTCGAAATACTTCTTACGCTTTTGGCGTTGAGAATGCAATTTACGGAAGGCGGGTATGTGATCAAGGAAAAATGAGATCAATCTACGATCTATGTATGTACGTTGAAACAAAGCTCCTACAAGACAAATACAGTAATGTGTAGTTCATCAACGAATGATGGTACAATTGCAAGATAAGTGCAGCGAGGTTGTGGTACAGTGCGGAATTATTATAGTACTCTATAAATAAGATATCGGTGGTGAGGTCCATAGAACGTCCATTCGAAGGAATGTGGGGGTTCCAAAATATTAGTCGTGCCTGCTGACAATGGTCATGAGTCCTGGTACACCTCTGGCTCTCTCCATGGCCACGGGTCTTTGTGGGTCGTTTCTATCCGAACGTGCGGCGGACGCGGTGTACTGGATCTAAATAGCCTGTCAGGACAAAAAAAAATGCACCCATCCTGGTGGCATGAAAAAACCTCACATGCACTTTGTACGTCCTGTCATTGCGATGCCTTGGAACGGATATACTGCACGTCCATCTACACGACTCTTTTGTCAATACTCCTGCCTATTCATGGAAAGACATAAACTCACTGTTCGTCTACAAGAACACTGCCGCCTAGAGTCTCTGCGTTCTCGTAGAGTGTCGCACGGACCGCCCGTAGCAGCTTCACGACGTCCACCGCGTCCCGACACACAAAATCGTCCTCCTGCACCAGAGGAACTCTGCGCTCCGAGACGACGCCCTCGCCGTCCAATACAGGGTGTGTCTGTGGGTCGCCCGACGATGACTCGATACGGTGGGTGTTTGCCTTTGACTGGTACCGGCGCATTCTGACAAAAATGTTCGCAACGTCGGACACGCTGAGAGGCATGGTGCGGGAGGTATGTGAGAAACGAGCGTGAAGAGGAGAGGGTGGTGGTGTGGAGGTGGAGGAGTCCATGTCTAGCTGTACAGTATGCTAAACTCGAGTCTTTATGGGTGAAGTGGGCGTCTGAACAGTGAAAGAACTCTCGGAAGATGGTCGGAGCGTCTCGCCCAAAAATGGTAAGCGGATCGCGCGCCACCTCCGCGGGTGTTCCTTCCTCGGTTTCGACATGTTCAAGATGCACCAGTGAAGGTTCACAACATCTGAATATCCATGCAAATCTATGATAGTACCATACGCAATGTGTACAAATATTAGATACCTTTTTGGAAATGAACAACTTGAAGAGACGTCTTTGATGTAGAAAATAAAGGATCGGAACAACAGTTTGAAGTCCATGTTCAAGACCAACAATGTGATGGTCAACAACTCGAAATCCACCCTTCACGGCGTCGAACGTCCTTCAAGTTAGTACGTAGCTTAGCCAACGCCTTATTCAAGCGCATGGGTCTCAGACAAGAATCCGAGTCGGAGTCTGTTACCCCGAGTTGTACATCAGGGAATAAGCGAAACAGGAATCGTGAGGCCTCACGAACATCGTGCTTCCAAAATTCGCTGTTGTCCGCGAGTAGCAGCTCCTGTAGGCCATGCGGTAAAACTGGATGTAGTTTGGTATCACGAGTAGACGAGAACTCCGGGAGCAGAGTCGGAAGTGCCAAAGTGCAGAGGTCTGGGCAATGACGAGCAAACTCACTTAAGGAATGAGCAGGAGGAACTTCCACGACAGCACCACAGGTTGAGATACGCAGTGAAGTGAGGGTGCGCCAGGACACAGCCATGTCATGGATATCTTCCGCAGTCAATGTTATCGCGATCCCGTGGAATTTGAGTTGTACGTCTGCGAGTCGCACCTTCAACAAAGGCCTTATTGCCTCAAAAGTTTTGGGCCAATCATTGACACCTGGGACGGGTTCGCAACAATGTCTACGCCACAACAGCTCAAGCTTCCGCAGAGTTTTGGCAAATTTTGAAGCGAGCACGTTGAGAGTCTCGTGGTAGTCATGCCATCCGGTGCCATCCATGCCATTGATACTGAGGGATTCGATCCCATCAGAGGGAATAGCTGACATCAACTCGCGGACGAAGCGAAATTCTCCCATTACATCGAGTGCTCGCAATGCCGGAAATGAACCTTCGGCACTGGGTCTTTCCGTCGTGGTAGGTACACCGAGCCTGGATTGGTAGCAGTACGACTCGGAACGACCCAGGACGACTGCTAGCTCTTTGAGATTCTCCATGTGGCCAAAGTATGTCATCACCTCTTGAGGGGCGAGCTGTGATCCGACCGTCAGATACCGCAGTCCTGCGAAACATCCCAACATCTGGACGGCACCTAGGGGTAGCATTGCGTCAATGTATAGATATTCAAGGGACGGCGCATGGGACAGCAATGTTCCGACAACGCCACTGACAACGCCATCTTGTACCATGGAAGAGTGCCCGTCCTTGTCCCGGACGCTGATCGTTATGTCCCGGAGAGACGGAGATAGGAACCCTATCAGTTCCATACTCAATGGGAATGGCTCTTCCCACTCGAGGGAACGAAGTGCCATGAATATGGGTTGGCCGCGAGCCCGAAGGATCAGCTGAGGAAAAACAGACGGGTGAACGCGGTACTCCAACACGACGTGTCGCAAGACGTGTACACGCCCGGCATAGCACAGGAACCGCTCCCACTGCTGATCTGAAGAACCATGCAAGACCTGTAGAGATTTCACGACCGTCAGTAATGTGTCTGCACTGGTCAGTAGAGGGTGGCACGCACATATAATGCTGCGTATTTCTTCTGGTTCTTTGGGCTGTCTTCGGGAACTCGAACAAACGTTGGGAATAATCGAAGCAATGGCAGGAGTGATTCCAATTCACTCCATAACAAGCACAGTGCAACATCTGAGAAAACTTTGCATGTGCGAGCAACCCTTGCAACGCTTTGGCGATCTGCGGAAAGATAGGCGAAAATCTTGCGCAGGATCTCATCAATGCGGAGGGCTGGATGGAGCATTGCAACGAGTTTATAAATGCGTTGAGAGGATGCTGCAATGCTTCGTGTCAGTAATCAGCCTGAAGAGGCTACTGTACCACTCAACTGAATTCTTGTCCAGAGTACGCGTTCAAAGGACACGACAGGGAGATAGAGAGCTAACAAATAAAGGGCAACGCAATCGAGCAGTGAAGTGAAGTGAGCATTCCTCCGATGAGAGTAGGTGAAGGTGGTAGCCACAACAAATACCGTGCGGCCACTCGAACAACGTCCTCTACGGCACAATCCCGTGATCTATCCGACAATGATTGAATAAATACAAAGAATCGCATGAAGTTCGTGCAGCAGTCTCGCACATAGTATAGGATATTAAATTCCAATCCGACACGATAATCAAGGTCCAATAGTCCGATACATCTGGGAATGCGAAATTGAGCAAAGACAAGCATGGTGACCAATGTCCGAGGACCATCCTGTGCTGTCCAATGGAGGACTCCAAATAGCGAGAAACTGAGATATGGTGGAAACTCGGGATTCTATCACAACTGTGAATATTACCCACGGCGAGATGAACCACGCGTTGTCTGGGACATGCTTGCAAGGTCACTAGTGCAACTTCAAATCAGCGTCTTCCAGAAACACGTTCCAATTGCTGGGTTCGTGTACGTTGTAGCGCAACCACAACATCATTAAGCGGTCGGAGCTGTTCCAAAGAGACGATGATCCGGGCATTGGGAAATAGGCTATCCAGAATCTGTCCCAGAAGTAAAATGTCACGAGCATTATTGCTTTCCGCCACCCCAACCTCCCGTTATTGAAGCTCCCGCAATTGGTGAGAAGATCCAAGTGAAATTGAAGGAAGACTGAATTTCTCGAGCTTAGGGCAGTGATGACCAAGACCTGCCAGTGAATGGACATAAATTTGCCTGGAAATGCACTCCAAGCTAAGCTCTGTGAACATGGGCCATGCCATCGCCATATCGTGGATGTCATCGGTGACCAAGTGAATAAGACAACCATAGTGACACATGGCTCAACTGGTATAACTCCAGTAGCGGTCTTGAAAGCCTAATATCTATGTTGGAAAGAGGATCGTAAGTGAGAGACAAATTGGTAGCTCAACGTCGAAAGGGCACATATAATTTTGTGTCCCCATGGTGCACCACTTGCACAAGTAAAATCTTCAGCAATGGCAGCAACTTCGGCACCTCCTTCCACAATAGGCCCAACACTAGTCCAACACGGAATTGGAGAATGCCTTACATAGCACAGCAAGCTGCGCGAGTTCTTTGCGGTCAGACGACAAATAGCCGAGGATTTCTGAAAGAATATCGTCACAGAACAATACTTGATGAGCGACCGACTAGTTGATGATCGATGATCGATGATGACGTAGGGTAGAGACTTGAGAATAGCTAGAATTCTTTTCATAAAGTCCTTGTCTGCCTCCAAGCTCAAAAGTCCCTCACTGGCTGAAGCAGTAGTCACACCACGTGCGATACTGTCACTGAGTACTGAGTCCTCTTACTGGTGCAAATCATGCTCACCAGAGTGAGAAAATGCATCATCCATCGACTGAAATACTAGTACGCTCCACTCACTGAGATCGCAAACTCGTGTACAAAAGGAGGCCCTGTAATTAGTGACTGCCATAGATAGGGCCGAAGCACTGGTGACTGAGTCTCACAAGACTCTTCCTGCAAAGGTGTGCACATGTGAAATTCAGCAAATCAAAGATCCACACAGAATTTGAAGCGATCAGTTTTCAGAGCTGAATCCATTCCACTCCTCAACCTCTGCCTTCACCTTCGACTTCTTGCGCTTCTTTACGGGTACCAAATCGCTACCCGCTTCCACCTTCTTCAGTCCAACCATAGTTTCATGGTCTAATCAGTTCATATCAGTGGTTGGTCAGTTCGAGTGGACTATCACGCGCACATTCACCCGCGAGCATGTCGTCCGCGATAGATGTGCTGCCAGACGTGATATACCGCGTCGACACGCCACGCGCGACGAGGGGCTGAGCAAGTAGCTGCTTGAGCTCGGCTTTCATCGCCGCCGTCTTCGCGTTCGTGGCCTTGCGCACTCGCTTGGACGGCGCACCTTCGCCTTCCCCCTCGGATGCACTAAAACAAATTGAAGAGCGTAAGCACGTCGTCAAATTTCGAATGAAACGCCTACTCACCTCGCGAAGTCAGAGTCCAGCTCAATCTCCATAGCCTCCGCCGCCTCTTTCAGCCAGTTGCGATCGTGGTTCTCTTTTCGCACCTTGTGCTGCGCAGAGTCGATCTGGCGCGCCAGCTGGGTGCGTGCCTTCAGCTTGTCGAGCATATGAAGCTCCATCGGCATCTCGGGAATCTCATCTTCTGCATTTGACCAACTGCATCAGAAAGGTCGGAAGAATCGATTTGTAGAGTTAACATACGCCTGCCGAGACTGCGCATCAACGCGCGGACGATTTTGCGCTCGTCCGGCGCACACATCAGGAGACTGAAACCGCGCCGCATCGCGCGCGCGGTTCGCCCATTGCGGTGCACGTACGCGTCAGCCGTGCGGGGAGCCTGGTAGTGTACGACGTGATCGACCGCAGGAATATCCAGCCCACGGGCTGCAACGTCCGTCGCTAGGAGGACACCATGAGGAGTCGATTTGAATCTGACAGCGATGTTCGAACGACAGGATCAGCTTTGCGGTGCGGGTAAGAGGGCCGACTTTAACGTATTCGCACCGATCAAGGTTCTTCAATCGCTGCCGCTGCTCCAGTTGTGAATGCAAGGGAAAGGCTGGTAATCCGAGAAGATCCATAAGTGGAAGTAATCTTCGGATGCCGTCGATAGCTGAGAGGAACACCAGCGTTCGGCCTGGGTATCTGAGTAGGAAATAGTACAGATATGCATCCTGGAGAGGGCGAGACCAGGGCTTGTCAGCTATATTGACATCGACGGTGACGTATCATGTACCTTATCGCTCGAAAGACACTCAATCTTGCTTTCCTGCAGGGTAGCTACCACCCCGCCTTCAGGGCTCAGGTCAATAACCGCAGGCGAGGGATCGCGGAAGTCAAGCCGCATAAGCAGGTCGTCTAGTATCATCAGACTAAACTCTCTTACGAAGATGACCGGCGACGTACCAAGCGTAGAGGCCGGTTTGTCATTCCTCCTCTTTGTAGGCCGCGCCCTCTTTTTTAGATTGCGTTGCAGATCCTTACTGAGTGTCGCTGAGAACACGAACGTCTGCATCTCGCCCTCCTTGACACCCTGCTTGCTATCTTCGGCGTCCTCCCTCTCAGCAGCTCCGAGGCCCATATCTGGCACAGGCTCGACTTCGTCGTCTCTGCAAGATTCGTAAGCACCGAATGAGCGGCCCATATCTGAATGAGCACTAGTAAAACGAATCATACTGACTCTGCTTGGCGCAGCGTGAGCCGCAGGATGTTTTCCATCTCCGCGAAATGTCCAGCTTCGATCATGCGATCCGCCTCATCGAGAACAAGAAATCTGAGCTTCTCAATCTGGTTCGCCAACTCGTCATCCTGGTGGACGGTATCAAAACGTGAGCGTAAATAGTAAAGTTTGGGGACCAGCTAAGTTCGTCCAGCCGACTCACCTCTTGTATGATATCCCAAAGCCGCCCAGGAGTAGCAACGAGAACATCAACACCCCGCGAGAGGAGACGCCGCTGCTTTTGTGCTGACATCCCACCCACAATCGCCACTACGCTCACGAGCGGCGGCACCTTCGGTCCCGCGGTGACATCTCCTGATTGTCGTTTTTGCTTCACCTTTCCTTTCTTCCGGCCTTGCCCTTCACTCGTTTCTGCGTCCGCCGGGACTGAGCTGCCCTGGTCCGTCTCTTGGGCCTTGTTGTCTCCACTTGCACTTGATGATTCTGCAGCCAGGTGATTGAGACAGGTGTTTAGATGAGACGAGACCTGGAGTGCAAGTTCGCGCGTCGGAGCAAGGATGAGAGCGCGTAGCTCTCTTCTACTCTGGGCAGTTTTTCCAGCCGTATGTGTGGCTTGCATCAGTAGATAGTGCAAAATGGGCAAACCATACGCCAGCGTTTTCCCGGACCCCTGCGCCGTGCCCTATGAGATTATGACCAAAGAACATGGCCGAGTAGCACTCACGGTTTCCGCTACGCCAACGACATCCCTCCCTTTCAGAGCAAGCGGAAGGGCGGCTGCTTGTATTGGCGTGGGGGTCAGAAATTGTTCAGAGTGTAATGCGCGAAATAATCTGGGATGGAGAGAGAATGGGTGCCAGTTGGGCATCTTGCTCTCTGCTGGTGTCATAGCGATGGTAAGATGAGACGAACGCCTTGAATATGGGCAGACCTACAGTCAAACGATTCTTCAGGCAGGTCTGGCACGGTCTCTGAGCCCTCTCCTTCTGGAGACTCTTCATCTAGCACTGTCATATCCTCCGAAGGCGCTGCCCCTCTCTCATCTTCCTCGGACTTTTCTCCTGCGACCTGTGAACAACCTTGAGTCATTTGGCGCATTCCGATGAATGCATTCCAGGATCTCACCTTAAACTTGACAACCTTCCCTCCCTCTGTCTCTTCATACACAACTTGCACGTCGTCTACCTCCTCCAATTCCAGTAAACCATCGAAACCGTCGCCTAAGTCTGCCTCCTTGGGTCGGGAAATGGTCTTCCATGGAAGATCGTCGGTAGTCAGATGTACAGTCTTGGTCTTCTTGCGCGAGGGTAATGGAAGCTGCCCTTGTTTCCGTTTCACCCCTGGTTTTCCGGCAGTCATGATAGGGTCCGATCAGCACAGAGTGATAGTAAGTTTACAGACTTTCGGCAGGTATATGAACTGTCCCGTCCTCTAAGTGTTCAGAGGAATATGATGAGCGCTTGCGCGAGATTTTCGCGACCACGTGATTTGATATCCTCGTGGCGCCTCGAGGCGCTCAGGTTCAACTTCAGTCTTCAGGTCAACGAACTTTTGAAGGAACTTCATTCTACTGTACCCCCTTTCGACACTCCTTAGGATTCACCCCACATATCCTAGAACCCCGAAGAGTTCTCATTGAATGATACCAAAAGCCTTGGAATTTCAGTGTTGGATATCATCGAGCCGAGGATGATTTCCTTGCCGCTGCTGGAAGTCTCTGTTCTGGAATCTCGCCACCCGATGATGCTACTTGCAAGCGACTGTGAGGAGTATGAACATCCATGAATCATTCTCCCCCAATCTACTACTGTTATTCTGCAGTGAGATCTTGCCAGACACTCTTGATGCGTTTCGTGGTCTTTGATGACGGTACTGGACTGCTCACGGCTATGCGTCCGTCACGCTGGTGTATGTGGTCATCGACATCTGTGATGCTGCTGCTAATTTGTCGCTGTTGGTTATAATTTTTTCCCGCTGTCGACACGACTTAACGAGACTACATATGCTTTCAATACAATGGAAGCCTGGTTTGCGTTTCGACTGGTTAATTGAATTCTCGCAATACAAGATGTAGGTGATCAACTGGAATTGGGCCAAATACTCAGCTATCATCGGAATTGTTTCCCTCGTACTGCCCTGGTACACATCCCTCACGAATTGCACACTATATACTGCGAAATCACGTCTGCCAGGTGTGCTCGGCATGAAACAAGTCGTAAGCACAACACCCATCTCGTGGACTGACGAACCCTGCAGGCAGAACGACCCTCATCGCTTTCGTGTCAGGCTCTTCGAAATATCGAGAAAACTAGTGATCAATAATACATCTGTCTTACAAATATACAAATACATCGCGATTTGCGGCGTCGGGTCAGCAAGAAGGAATACAGCAAGTACAATCATCTAATTTGCATTCTACGTCTTCTTCTCCCACTCAACATCCTCCTTGCGCTCGATTTGTTTCTTGCGCAGGCCACTGTCCGGCTTGTCGTGGTCCTTACGCTCCTTGTCGTCTTCATCAAAAGAGTCATACTTCTCTTCGTCGTTCATGTACGGTTTCTCCCATTTTGCGCTATTTTTCGACATCGCGATAATGGCCCTTCAGCGCGTAACGGAAGTACGTCAGACGCGCCCCCGAAGATGCGAAGGAAATATGCACCCATTGTCGATGTCGGAAGTGTAATCACCGGATTGCAAGGGCACCGTCAAACCGCCGACGCTCCAAGCAGCGTAGTCATCCACAAGTCTGCGAACCACGAATAGGACATCGCTGCCAGTGAGGTAACGATTGACGTACGACCTGATCACGCCTCCGGTCTCCAATCCCACGATTCCATTGTCGAATTGCACTACTCGGCCGTCCCAGTCCTTCAAGCCCAAGAAGCGTAGCAAGGCGTCGTAGTTAGTCCAGTCGCGGTCTGCTCCGAGGCCGCTGTCATCGACTGCGAACTCAGGAGCATCGTCTGCGGGGCTCGGCATGGTGTCATAGCTCTTCTGACGGATAGGAGAGTGGAACGGTGAGACACGAACAGCCGTCGCTCCTTTGCAACTTGTTAATATCCACGGCACTCGCGACTAGAAGATACTCACCAGCAACAGCCCGGCCGCGGGGCACTTTGATATGGGCAGAACGTCTCGCCAAACTCAACATATTTTGGCAGCTTTCCGTAGATGGTGGTTTATTCAGAGATTTCAGGAGGCATGAGCTCGAGGAAGCGGTTTACGCCTCGTATGGACATAGGGGTGTTCTAGTGCTTGGCCATGGCCGTCAGAAGGCTCCAGCCAACGCCTAGTCAAGTAAAGGCTTAACTCTCATAACTTGTTGACTCATAATTTGCTTTCATGATAACAAACACGGTTCTTCGTATCTGGTACAGGTCATAACGTGCATTTACAAAAAGGGAAACCCGGTCTTTCGTCACAATTTCCCGTCATCATATTCGAACAAAGACTCCTTACCATCCGTCATACCGCCTCTCCGGGTGCGGCGGACCTCCATAAGGACCAGGCGGCGGATACTGCTCTTGTCCGGGGAACGGCGGGGGTCCTGGAGGCGGGGCATATGCGCCAGGAAAGCTAGGACCTCCAGGTCGAGGAGGCGGCGGCGCACCGTACGGGGATGCATACGCACCATACCCTGGTCGCTCATTCCTTCCATAAGATTGATACGAGGGACCCGTGCCGCCAGATGAGAACGACGACTGGTTGTACCCGCTTGCATATTCTGGGTTGTATCCGCTGTGCGCAGGCTCGTTCGATGGGAAGGACGCTGGCGGGCCAGGGGGCGGGGCATACGACGAAAACGAGGACTGTATTTCCTCGCGATGGTAGGGACGGGACAAAGATTGCGTGCCGGACGTGCCGTACGAAGAGGCCTGATACTCCTCCGAAGGCATACTGACAGCATGACTCTCCGAATAGTACGACGCGGTCTGTCCTGAAGCAAACTGACCTTCGTATCTCTCATGAGGGTGATGTCCATGGTGGACAGCGTAGGGAAGATCCTCGGATGGTATAGCTTGCGTGCTTGTGTACTCACGCACGTCGACGAATGTCTCGGTCCCTGGCGGACCACCAGGCGCAACACGCACCGCCCCAGAGCTCGAACCAACCCCGAAACTTCCCAGATACGCCTGCGCCTGTCCGGGCAGCTGGCTGGCGCTCGAGCCGACAGCACCGACCTTACCAAAGAGCGATTGGGCTGCAGCCAGGCCAGGGACATCTGCTATGATGTCGTGCTGTGCCTGCAAACCGATGTTCTGTGCAAAGGTGCCCTGTGCTGTAACGGAACCGCCCTCGCCTGTCCCTCGGACGTTCCTGTGGTTTCGAACTGCATCCTTGCTGAGCCGGTCGACTATCTCGCGTTGGCGGCCGCCGAGTCCTTGAACCCAGTTCCTCATGTACTCCATCATGTCGCGTTGGATCTTGGAGTTGCGCTGGTGAAAGTCGGGATGAAAGCTGGGGAGTAACAAGGGCATGTTTGTCCGTAATGCCGAAAAGATAATGAAAACACTTACAGGCATTGCAAAACGTCTTCGGCGATGCTGTGGGCGTTGAGCGACGTGTCTTCCCATGCCTTGACTACCAGGTTGACGGTGTGGGTCTTGTAATAGTGTTAACCGCGGTCATGCAATACAAGTTCTCAATACAAACCAAGATGATCTTTGCCAGATGTCCGGCGGGTTCATTCAAAATCAGATTCTACGATATTTGTGAGAAATAGTGCAAAGAAGAATTATACTTTACTCACGAAATGATCTTTGCTCAAGAACGAGTGAGTCGGATCCGACTGTATGTTGTTAATCAGTGAGACTCGAGGTTTTTTATTCTCATGGATTTGATGCAATACTTACGGCTCGCGGATCGTCAAAAACCTGACCAGATGGAAATTTCAGCACGGTGTACGCGAACGGAACTCATGCTCAGCGACGGACCTCGTACTGGTCATGCTTGTCGATGACTTCGCCAGAAGCGGCCATCAATCCAGATGTTGCTTGCTTCATGATCGGCTTGATGAAGGGCTGTAACACGCGTTTAGTCGATTGGAGCACACAGGACTTGCTCGAAACATGCATACCTCGAGAGTCGTGAACACAAAAACTGAGAAACACAAGTTAGCCGAGTACACTACGCTACAACAATTAATTGCCGTACCGGATACCGAGTCGCTGATTTTCTCAAGTAAGGATCCCAGTCCAGGTATCTTCTCTGGAAAACAGGACTGGTGAGCAGGTGTAACTACAATATTTTGGAGGTAGCCTCACCAATAATTATAGTGATCTTCTTCATCACTGAACAAGAATCAGCAAGGTCGTCGTCACCGACAAGACCTCCAAACGTACTGGAATCCCTGAACGTCAGGACCTGCCACAGGACTGCGTGCAGCTCCTGTGGGCTCATCTCCTCGGGCCTCTTTTCCCCTGGGTGGTTGGGTGCCGCCCTAATGCGCTCGACGCCCTCTATCTCCCTCGACATCTCGCTGCCACTTCCGCCAGGTAGCTTGAAGAGCAGATCGCGGAGATTATCCACGGCACCACCGTTGTTCTCCGACTTGGCGCGAGCTTTCTTGAGCTCTGCGTTGAGGTCGGTCACGGATGCCTACGATGATCGAGGTGAATTTAGGGGGGATAATAAAGAGGGCCTCCAACCAATACATACTTCACTCTGTAATTATGATGAGGTTATCAAGAGAGCAAATACTGAAGGGAAAATAACTTACAATGTGATCGGTCGCCTCTTCAAAGTATGGTAATGAAATTTGAGCGTTACGACCCATTCCAACGTTCAGAACAAAACGTACCTCCTAGCAAGCTGTGAATGAAATCACTAGAACCGAATGTACCTATGTCATGCATTTAGTTTTCACTCTTTGCCTATTTTATCGACGTTACAGACGTACCTGTAACAAGCGGTGCAACCCACTTCCCGCCGGGTGCTTGGATACGCACCTGGCCACCGACATGCACGAAGACGTTGTCGTGCCCGAGCGCCCTCAGAGAAAGTTCACAGAAGTTTGAGTGTGCAGAAAAGTCCTCCAAAGTGTGTAACTATGTCCGTGTGAGCCGCAAGTCCGCACATTGACGTCGAATGATGGGCGTACGTACAGCCTGGCCGAGCAAGCGGTACGATTCATATAAATCTGTGGTCCTGCCCTGGGAGCGGTACTGCCGTCCAAATTGGATGCAGTGTTGGAGCGTACGGCGAACGAGCGCCTTGGAGGTGTCCCATGATCCGTTTTCTGAGCTTGAAATTAGTGTAAAAATATACGGGAAAATGGGTGAACTTGCCATTGGCAATGTAGTTCTTCATCCCCGTGCGAGGATCGATGTCCAATTCTCGGGGCTAAATGCAGCATGAGACTATGTCTGGCTCAGTAGCGGAGATACACACATCAACGGGCCCTCGTAGTTGCGGATGGTATTGTCTAGCATTATGTGGATACCCTTTGGGATTGTCGATATGTTCGATCTATGGAGGCCAAGAATTGGATTGATTGATGTTCTCACATAGCTGTGGCGTCATCAAGAACACGTACAGGTAAATAAACACCCAGCCGCTCGGGTGTGACCTCAAACTCATCGGTAGCATAACCGTGAGCCTGAATCAAAACAATTCAGCATAGGATCATTCAGAAAGCCGTAATAATAGTACCATGAATCCCAAGACCATGCACAGATTTACTATAGTCTGCCAAAAGCTGTTAGAAATTACGCTCATGTGTATAATTTTTACCAACCTGTAGTTGGAGCTTCTGTAATCCAGAGACATCCACAGCCTGTGGTAGAGGAGTATGACTCCTGACAATCGAATATTCGGATGCAGCGAGACAAACCTGACTATAATCCCGCAGCCAATTACTAGAGAGAAACAACGTCAGTCATGCAGATCGCGTGTCGTCCAAGTTCACATGTTGTCTCACCCAAAGTAAACACGTTTGATGTCTAGGTCACCAAATTTGGATCCTCCCCTACCTATCAGAGCACCGAGTGCGAAACCGCCAGCTTGTTTGGCAAGTTCTCCCAGGGTGTCCTCCTGCAAAGAATTATTTTTATCAGTGTGGTCAATGACGACCTCAAACGCTAGGTAAATTCACAATATCGCCATGGCGGAAGGCTCTTCCTTCCATGTATGCGAAGCTGCAGTCATCGAATTACGATCAGTTGTTCAAATTCACGAGATCGCAACTGACCCAGGGATATTTCCCGCACCAAAGGCACATACGCCATTTTCGGAAAGACAAAATACTAGGATGCAGAGGAGTATCAGCAAGATGTGGGAGCTGGACGCCATGAAGTTCAATTACAAGAAGAATTTCTTGGCTCGACTTCGACCCAAGTCAACTTTGTGCCAAGAGCAGTGCGCCTAGGTGACATCACTTCCGACCGACCCCCGGAGGCGGAGCTTAAATTGTTCCCCAAGATAGAATTTCTCTAGCACACACACTGGGACGGAGTCTGTGCAGCTCGCGTCAGTGCGCGTCTAAGATTTTGTGGCTTCGTTCTGCTCACGCTCCTCGTCTGCGTCGACTGCTCGCCTCTGTGGCCCACTCCTAGAACTTTTGCTTTTTCTTCCTTTCTGTCCTCACGGTGCGTTGATAAAATACATTATCATTTTCTCCTTTGCCAAACTGACATGTAACGAATTAGCTCCATCATGACAAACCCCACCGTCAATCCTTCTGAAGTCGGCTGGCAATTCGTTCCGCAATACTACACTTTCGTCAACAAGCACCCCAATCGTTTGCACTGTTTCTACACCAAGGCATCCACTTTCATTCACGGCACTGAGGGCGAGGATGGCAAGCCATGTTATGGTCAACAGGTATGTTCGCTTCTTTACTTCAGTGGCGGTGGGTGAGCACTCGCCAATCTTTTCACCGTCGGTATCCCATGTGTGCATTTGTTTCCCTCCGTACCTCGTGGTAGATCTTTGTTCCGGAGCCGTTCGCTCGTGGAAATAGGTTGCAACGCCACTGCAAGTCGGCCTGCCACTGTGGTCTGCAGGCGAATTTTCATCTTTCACTTGGTAGAATTAAGCGGCCTATATATGTGGCCCTTTACGTGGAAATTGATGAGGTATTGGGATGCTGAGACATGTCCTTTTTTGACTGTTCTTTAGGCATTTATATTTGACAGGCATTGATTGTTGTTCAGAAAGTTGGAGCATGAGCTGACTGTTCCTCTGCAGGAAATCCACAATAAAATCACTTCGATCGGCTTTCAGGATTGCAAAGTGTTCATCCATTCCGTCGATGCCCAATCGTCCGCGAATGGCGGTATCATCATCCAGGTCATCGGTGAGATGTCGAACCATGGCGAGCCCTGGCGCAAGTTCGTGCAGACGTTCTTCCTTGCCGAGCAGCCGAACGGTTATTTCGTACTTAACGATATCTTCCGTTTCCTCAAAGAGGAGACGGTTGAGAGCGATGATCAAGCAGAGGAAGCGGAAGATGTGGATGCTGCCCCTTCCGTTGCGGAGCATCCTGTTGTCGTGCAGGCTCCTGCGATTCCCGCTCCGCCACCACCGGCCGAGCCGCAGCCCGAACCTGTGCACACGCCCACACCTGCACCTGCGCCCGTCAAGCCTGCCGAGGAGCCACTCGCCCCAGCAGCTCCGCAACCTGCGCCTGAGGTCCAACAGCCCAACGGTATTCACGCAGAGCCAACGGTGGAGTCTGTGCCGGTCCCTGCTCCCGCCGCCGAAGGTGTACCGTCGGCCTCCCCCTCGCCAGAACCACCTGCGACGGCCTCTCCTCCACCGGTGTCTCCCCCGGCCCCTCAGCATAAACCAGTCGCCGCCTCCCCCGCTCCTCCTCCTCCCTCCCACCCGCCAGCTCCCACCCCCATGCAGGCCCCTGCTGCTCCTGCACCAGCTGCCCCGCGATCGTGGGCTAACCTTGCTGCGAAGGATTCGGGCAAGTGGGGCGCGGTCGCGCAGGAGACTCGCGGCATCAGCGAGGCCCCAGTCACGAGCGTGTCTCCTGCCCCGCTCAATGGTCCTCAGCAGCCTCTTCCCCACGCCCCGGCGCGGCCGCCACCGCATCCAGCGCTTTTCGCTGCGCAGAACGTTGCTACCGCTCAGTGCTTTGTCAAGGTACATTCCACGCTGTTTCCACAATTTCGTAGTAATCACGTTGTATTTTCTCAGAGTGTCACCGAGAACATCTCGGACGCCGCGCTGAAAGCGACGCTCGTGCAGCGCTTCGGGCCGATCAAGGAGCTCGAGATCCTCCGCCCGAAGGCGTGCGCCTTCCTTGAGTTCGTTCACCTGGACGCCGCTCGACGCGCGATTGCGGCGTCGCTTCCCATTCCACAAGGGGGAGAGGGTGGGGTGCGGATTGACCTTGAGAGCGGCGGGTTCGCGAAGATCCTCGTTGAGACGCGCAAGGAGCGCGGCGACCGCCCTCCCCCTCGCGGTCCGCCTGTTAATGGCGATCGCGGGAGGGGTGGTTACAGGGGTCGAGGCGGACCTGGTAACCGTGGGCGGGGCGGACCTCCCCCGCAGAAGTAGATGTCTTGGTCTTGGGTGTTTATGTTGATGTCTGTGCTTATTGTTCGAAGGACTATGCGGTATGCAGTGTGAGGTGGGGTGGCGATGCGGGTCCCTTCCGACCCCGGCTGGGCCGTTGCAGCGGACAGAGAAACGGCCTGTGTCCTGTCGGGGGTGCCGCGTGGGCCATCAAAAGTATGAAAATTTGTTTTTGTTTCTTAACGATCTGATGTCGGCTTTCGTGTCATCGCTTTCTGTTGTGTGCAACATTTTGTTTTGGAATGATGTCTTCACACATTTTCACTTCGAGACGCGACTGCAAGAATCGTAGTTGGTGCACCCTCCGGCGCCTCACGCATGCATAATTTACAATAAGGCAGAGCTTCCTTTGGTAAACAACGTACAGATGAGTACATCGCACACGTCGGCACCCTACTTATGTCTACACACGTAGTCCAAACGAATGAACCCAATGGCAGCTTCAAAACACGAGAACGTCCAGGGAATGACAGACGAGTGGCTATTTCAGTCCACACTACAGCGCAGCAGCCGTTCTAACGAGAAGTAAATGCACGAGCTAGATCGGGAGCCCTCCATGCCAGCGCGCAAGTCTTCGAATTCCAAGAGTAAATAGGAGGGCTTTCGTAACGATGGCAACAAGTTTGATGCAAGGGAGGCGACAAGAGTTGATGCGGGTGATAGATACACTAGCTTGAAGGACGGATGTATCGCGGTGGCGCGGGGACGACAATCAGCGGGCTATAAGGCGCAGACCGCGTGAGACTCGTGATACCCTGGTAGGACGACCCGCGCCGTATGCGAAGTCGGACTGAGTACTCACGTATACAATAACATCAGACAGCGCAGGAGACGAGAAAGTGGACGCTGTGTGCGAAACTTATGTCAGAGGCGGCGGGCGGAAGGACGTGATTTCATTGTAGAGAAGCTCCTTCAGTTGCTCGCGGCTGATGTCGTCCTTGTGCACTGGAGTGGACGAACATCAGAAGGTCATGTTTGGACGATTATTCAGAAACACTCACGATCGAACTCGAAGAACTCGGGGTCTAGTGGAGGCGCCACAGGCTCATCCTCAGGGTCATGCTGTATTTCCGGTGGTGTCATCAACGCGAGAGGTGAAGGCAGACGCGCGGGCAGTTGATCAGATTCAAGAACTGTGAAAATGGGCAGTGCACGTACATATGCTTCAAGATACGGGTGAGCGAGCGCGTCCTCAACAGTGATGCGCTTTTTCGGATCAAACGTCTATTGTGTGTCAGGTCAGCGCCAAAACAGAAAGAAGTAAAGAATGCACGTACCAAGCTCTTGGTTAGGAAGTCCACAGCGAGAGGGTTCGCGTTCGGGAATAACTGGGCGAACGGTTTCCTTTTCCTGAACGGCAGCGCACGGATGTAATCGCGCGACCGGCGCGTCGTGATTGCATAGAACTCGTCTAGCGTGGGCGTCCCAAGGACATCGAGGATCAGCGTGAGTTGATGATGGTAATCCCGCCCTGGGAACAGTGGCTTGCCAGAAAGCATCTCAGCCAGGATGCAGCCTACCGACCAGATGTCGATAGCCTAACCGCCACTTTAGCACGACGTAAAAGCAACCTAAATAGCCCTCACTTTCGTGTACTGTTTGAATGTAAGCATAATCTCTGGCGCACGGTACCATCGTGTCGCCACATATTCAGTCATGAAACCTGTCTCGGTGCCTGATGGCTCGGCGGTTTTAACAGAGCGCGCGAGTCCAAAGTCGCATACTTTGAGGTCACAGTTGGCATTGAGGAGCAGGTTTGATGGCTTCAGGTCACGATGGATGACATCCGCGGAATGCAATGCTTTGAGCGCACGCAAGGTTTGATAAATAAAGTACTGTGCGTGGTCGTCAGACAGGTCCTGGGTGCGGATGACGCGGTGCATGTCGGTTTCCATAAGTTCTTGGATCACTACCGAGGGTCGACAGACGTCAACACAGGTTAACGTATGCAACTGCATAGAAAACATACGATACACCTCTTTGAACTGTTCGATTGAAGGAGGTTTGATGATGTCCAGAATTGAGATGATCTGCAACTCGTTTAGACAAAGGGGATTGCAGCATAAGCAGAACTTACATTCTCGCTGACGCCCGCTTCGCTCAAGAATTTCAGTAGTTTCAACTCTCTGAGAGTGCGCAGACAGAACATGGAGTGGTCGAAGGGGGCGATCTTCTTGATTGCAACCTTGCGGCCACTGGGTTTGTGTACTGCTGAGCACACAATGCCATATGCGCCTTCGCCCACCACGTCGAGCACCTGGTACTGCGATCCTGGTGACAGTTCAGTAGTGTTCGCACACAATTAACACAATCCCGCTCACCGACGTTGAAGCGGACCTTGCGAGGCGCAGGTTGTGCTTGCGACGCCGCATGTGCATGTTTCGACTTTGTCGATGCTGCCGCCACCCCCGGTTGTGTCTGTTCGGGCATGATGAAGGTATGGGGGGAAAACACAAAAGACGAAGCGTGTGCTTATAAGGAACGGGGAAGTTGTTGTGTGGAAACAGAGGAAGTGGTGGTCGGAATACAAGTAACCCCAGCAACAGCCTTTTGCCGGTCCTTCTCGTGAGTCGTGGCGACTACAATAGAGCGTCTATAGGCGCCTCTGATCTGCAGACGGTCGCCTTTACCCGGTATGGAGACATGCTCATCCGGTTGATCAGCTGTAAGTCCATGACATTGTCTCTCTGTTGGCAACACGCTCATCAACGGCAGTACTTCCATGGCAGTACTTCGGTCCCATACGGTGAGCCTGCGATCAGCGATGAGAATTTTTGATTAAATAAACTGCTGTCCGTATGGGAGGGACGTGACCAAAATCGCGTTGTTGATACGTGTCATTCAACCAAGGAAAGACAGACAAAGATAGAGAAGGAGTCCCTCCCTAAATCTATGAATGCCAATAGCTTATCGAATTTGGTTCCAGGTAGATTGACCAGCGCAGCGACGTTAAGGCGATAACACAGATTTGTCGAGTCCAAAATGTGCTTAAGGCGTACTAACAGTCAGCGCGACCCCCTACGACGATGCTGCATTCCAACTCACCATGCATACTGGTAAGCTCCCATTCATTTACTTTATTTAATTGCGGTGAAAATGTCCAGCAGCCGGCGAGATCTTCGTAAGTATTACGGCCGTACATTTTTCTGTAGGGAGAGCGCGTCTCGTCCGTCCAGTCAGTGGAGCCGATGCCCGCTACTTAAGTTACGTATCACTCTTGTCGCGCACTCTCTGATACCTTCTGACAGAAATGATTAGGATCCTGTATCTCCATCGGCAAAGAATTCAATGATGGCACGACAGACCAATCATACTACGCGACGGACGTGTATCCCCCACCATCTGCAGAGCGTCATTTGTCTTCATTCACTGTCGGGCTTTCCGCCATTCTGCGCAAGCGTAGGCCATACCAATATATCGCTATCGATATAACGACGTCTTCTAGACTCTCGTTTTCATATCCTATATTCTGTCCGCATCATGGCTTAGTTAGCCGAATCGTGGCGATCCTCACGATTCCTTCAAGACTCTAGCAATATCTGAGTGCGACTCTGGTGCTGCTATTTCCGCTCTCAGATAACACCAACGCATCCATGCCCCCTTTGAGGCGCATATCTTGTTACTACTACTGTTGCCGATCTTCACACACTGGTCAAAGACATACCTATCCGTGTGCTGCTCATCAGTTGCAGTTGCTCTCGCTCTACTGTCCTGGCGACGCATTATAGCAACGTGCAGATTTGCAGGACGTCACCCAGCGACAACTGTCTGTCTACGAGTCTAATTATTACCAATGACATTGCTGTTTGCTACCATGTACAGTTCCTATCTATCCTGTGTCCTCACTGGTTGTCCTCTATCTTGTCCATTGTATACGCTGGCAGTTCTAGCCAACGCTCGCCTTGCCGCCCAGGACATCCATCTTGTCAGCTGTTTTTTGATTATCCCTCTCCTTTCCGGTGCTCTGAACTGCGAAATTAAGGCATCAGAATCAAGGTCATCCTTGGCAGTTGGACGCGCCATCATCTAGCTGGTGATCACCATTGTACTGACATTGCGTGCCAATGTGAGCGACATCGTGATGAAGTCACCGTCGGATAGAAATCTGTCTGAATTTGTCAACCGTGGCGGCTTACACAGATTCAGCCTGTTCTCGGTTCTTGTCATCCTCCCTTCGCGACGTCCATGTTAAAAGCGTGTCCATTCTGCTAATCATACAGCATTAGTCCGAGAGCGCGTCGTACCAGTATGCACGTTACATTACACAATGTAGTCCAATTAATCGAAAAACTTTTCGCCGCCTGCACCAGCACGCCCTAAGCTACTACGATTGGTCGGTGTTGATTCCCGCAATAAGCTCCAGTGTCCTTAGCGCCTCCTCTCTCGACAACGCACTCAGCGCTGCGACAGCCCCCGTGCAGACCGGAACCTCGACAGGGACAGAATCGCCCATCGTCGCGTGTACCACAAGTCGAGCGAGGATCTCACCCTATAGGTGGAGTCAGCGACCATCGATGTGGCAAATGAAGCGTAGCGGTTGGAAGGGACGACAGAAGAGGTATTATTGAGCGGACCACGTACCAGTTCAACAGCACACGCTACAACGATCAGCCTACGGCGAGGTCAGGAAGGACCAGTGATCTTCGCAGCTGTGGGACGTACCATATGATGATCCACGTAATGCGATCCATCGCATTATTATTCAGGTGGTCGTGAATCGCTCCGAGCTGACGAAAATCATTCAGCAGCGTTGCACGTTAAACCACTAACAACCAGAAAATAACACCTACCAAGTCCTCCGCAACGGCCAGCTTCTCATTCAATACCTGCACGCGGCCGCCGATCTCCATGTACTCCCTTACAGCGTCATACAACGCATTCAGGCTCGCCTCGCTCCAGAAGAGCTCCGGCACATCCAAAACATTACTTACCAGGTTCACGTCGCGCCGCAGAGTGAACAGTCGCCCGGTCAGCTTCAGCGCTTCCTTCCGTGAAAGTCGGAGCACGCCCGTGGATGCGAGCTGCTGCGGGATGGACGTGGTGTCCTGGGAAGAGAGGATGCGGTGCGCGTGGGTCTCGTAATGCGCTAGGAGTGTGGACTGGGCGAAGGCGTGAGCGACGGATAGCTTGAGGAGGTGCGAGTACGTCTTGAATGCTAGGCGATAAAGAATGGTGAGCATGGGCTAATGACTGCGGCGGGGGTACTCACTGAAAAAGTCGTTGTAGATCCGCGGGTATGCAATATCGGGGTTGTGCTAGGTCGAAAGTCAATATCCGGGCGCTGAAAATGGAAGTCTAAGTCCCACCGCATAATGACACTGCTCAATCTCCCAGTCCGCTTCCACCAGCTTGCGCCGCAGCGCTCCTGCAGCTTCCACATCTTCGAGGATACCCCGCTCCTGCTCCTCGGAAAATCCGAAGAATACAACGACGCCATACTCGAAGAAGATCGCCTCCGCGAAGTCTTCGGTAGACGCCGCGGTGCTGCTCTTCCTACCTGCCCTACCGTCACCGCGTTTCCTCCTGAATACACGCTGTTCTCGTACGTCCTGCTGTACTTTGGGCTGCACATCCACCGAGAGGTCAGCGTTCGCACTGGTTTCTGGAACCACTTCTATTTCTGTTGCGCCAACCAAGTCGGCGCCCGTCACAATCGGCGATGTGGACGGTATGAAGCCCCCCATCGCGGGCGCTGCAGCTGTGGGAGACGAGGATGGCTTGAAGTACGAACCCTGATACCAGTCCTCCTCCACCTCAGAGAATCCTGCTTCTGGGTCCTCGGCGCCGTCAGATTGCGCAGGCGGGGCGGAGGACCGGATGTTCAAGTTGGGGCCGTACGCCGGAAGGAGGGGGAAGTGATACATCTGAAGGTATCAGCAGGATGTGAATACAAATAGCACGCAAAGGAAGCAGAACTCCAATCGTAGCTACACCAGAGAAATCCGCACATGCGCTTCTTTTACACAAGAAGGGGATAACGAGAGCAGACTCACCACATACATAGCCTCATCGAAGACCCGCGGATGCACATTGTGCTCCCGTTTCAAGAAGCTCGCAAGCAACTTCATCTTGAATCCTTCCGCGACACAATACGCAGTGATGCGCCTGAATCCCGCCTTCTCTCTTTGCTCCTTGCTCATGCGCTCGCCTGCGCTCTTGTGTTCTCGCACGCCGCGATCCCTTTCATACCCAAGAAGCTCCTCTTCCTCTTCAGTCTCGATAGGAAGAGGCTTCGTCTGAGGGGCTGAAGGGAGGAGGACGAGCTTCTGGATGGTCTTCGAGGTGCGCTGAGCCTTGGGTGCACCCGTCACTGGGTTGAGAGTGCCAGTGAGGGAAAGCCCAGTTACGGAGGGCCGACGAGTAGGTACCCGTGGTGCGGTCGTTGACAGAGATCGTGTCGGGCGAGGACGGTGACCCTTCGGCGTAATAACCGGTGGACGGGTATCAGTAGGTTTAGACATGACCTAGATATTCCAAGAGTACAGATTCGTTTGACGAGACCAAAGGATGCGAGACTGTTTGTGCAGTATAGCAGTAAAAAGTCCAGAGGACAGCGAGTTCGTCTGTCTGGGCAGTCTCAAGCCTCGAGGATCAGGCTCAGCTGAAGATCTGCGAGAACTCGTTTAAACATTTACCAGAAGTGAGCATAATTGGTACATTGAAGCTTGAAAACACAGAATTCACCAAAGCTGTAACCTTTTCCTAGACTTTTACCAAGGCACAGAACTGCTTTGAAGCGATACTTCGAATTTAATCAAAAAGTTAGTGCAATTGTTACCATGTTCGTATGGTCTAACGCCTCACAAGTAGAGCCGTCCGAAGTGACAGCTAAATTCAGAACTTTTGTAGACGGTTCTCGTTGAAACTGAACCTCCCGATTCTTGTTTGTGGCGCAACGTTTTGGTGCGGGACAAATAAACCCAAATGTGGATACTCACTGGCAAGCGCTCGCTGGAGATCCGGCGGCAATCCAACGACACCAACTAACTCACACTACAAAAAAACTAAAAAGCTACAAATAACCAAAACTCACCAATTCCACCCTATACTCATCCAAAGCCCTCTATTAGAGGCTCTGTCACTTCCATCTCGTCTTCTTTGACTGGGGTCACTATTGCGGAAGCAACAACTCCGTCATCATTGACAATGTCCAAGTCTGATATGCCTCCTCCTGAGAAGGAGGCAGAAATTAACAAGATATTTTCCGAATATGAATCATTGGCGACTCATACTTGTTCAATGGCAAAGGTATGTTAGCATTTATTTAGCAGGGATGTGACTTACAACACGTGATCCGAAGTCTCATCGAGCCCGGCCGTGTCTCATTTTCCGCCCTTTCCCAGCCAATACGAAGTTGGCTTGCATTAGGGTATCTACATATGTCCGACTCTAGTAGGATAAATGATCATAGATGTCTCGTGTATTCAACGCAGAGCCAGGTTGGTTCTCAAATATCAAGAGGCTTCCTGCAGATAACGAGATACATGGGGGTGAAGAGCTGACGGACGAAGTTGGCATACAGCACGACAACACGGAAAAAATGAACGCGAACGCACTTTATTCCGACCACCCTCAACGAGCGCGTCGCCGGCGATCTTCAGAGTCTCGCCAACCTCCCACGTACCCTTGGGCACGATGCCGACCTGTTCGATGAACCACAGACCCCAGTGCGTGACAATCTTGCCGCTCCAGCTCATACGCCAGACTGTTAACAGATCCCACGCCGTCTGCGCCTTGAAGATGTCGCCTTCCAGGGGGTAGTACCACGGGACATCGTCCGGGCGTTCCGCGAGATCCTCCTCATGTTCAATCTCGAAGCCGACGGAGAGCATCGCCTGGCGTGCCTTCGCCAGCGGCCGCATCTCAGGGATGCCGTTGCCGATCTCGATGCGGTGAGCGAGCTCCCTGTGCGAGGGAATCTTGGGATCCCATGCATCGGTCATACACCACTCGTACACGCCGAACACCCCTCCCGGTTTCAGCACCTGCTTGATCTGGTCGTACACGCCCTCCCAGGAAGGAGCGTGCACGGTCGCCTCAATGGCGTACACTACAGTAAAGTGAGCCGACAAACAAAACTGCACACGACCACACGACTCACCCGCATCGAACGAGTTCGGCCCGAACTTCTCGACGAGCTTCATGAAATCGCCCTCTACGAAGGAAACCTGGTTCGACAGCGACGCCTTCTGCGTGAATCGCTTCGCACGGCCGACCTGGAACGCATTGTTGTTGATACCGACGATGTCAACGCCGGCAAAGCGGGCAACTTCGCGCGCAGGACCACCAATTCCACAGCCGACGTCAAGGACTCTCATACCAGGACGCAGCGACATCTGTGCCGCGAGATAGTGCTCGTGACGCGCAAGCCCCGCCTGGAAGCCCTCGCCCTTGTAAAACCGGCAGAAGTGAAAGGAACGCGACCATCCGAACTCGTACAGACCCGTCGCGCCGTCATAGTATCCTGCGTTTATACGTCAAAATCATACGCGACTGTGTGAGACCACCGGCACACTGACCATTGATAACGTCCGCATAGTTCATGACACGGTTGTCGGTGTCGACCTGAGCTTCTTTGCTGGAGTCTTCTTGGAAGAACTTTGTGTAGTTCTGGATGCGCGAGCCGACACGGCCGTCAGCGAGAGAATCGGTTGCCACAGGCGACATTTTAAAGCTGGGGTACATCGTTAGTGTCGCTTGTACCTCGTGTCGTATGGAATGAGACCAAAGCAAGAGGGAAAACTTACGGAAGGACAGGGATAGACGACGCACGGCAGACAAGGGTGAACGGAGGTGAACGAGTGGCAAGAGACGGTGTCTCAGGGAATATTTATGCGTTCATGCCCACGAAGCGAGGATTACGATTTTCCTTGGACGAATCTGTCGTCCCACTCTCAAATATTCTGATCCACCAATCACAATATTCTTCCAAGGCTCGTTTGGTTATTTGACTATGTGGTCCCCGGATACCTCTGCGGGTCCCGGATACTTTTAGGGTGAAACCCCGGACAGCGGATAGCGCGTACATCAGCAAAAGTCAACTTTTGGTTACCTCCATTTAGCTTCGTTATCTCCTTAATTAAGGAGGTCTCCGTTCTTATTTGGGCAATTAAAGCCAATCAGGGTGAATAATGGACGAATAAGAGAAGAGATCTCCTTATTTTTCCTTAATCAAGGGAATAACACCGGTAAGCAAAAGTTGACTTTTGCTGATGTAACTGATATTCAACGCCAACTCATAGTCACTGGTAACTGAAGGACAGGCGCGGGAACTTCCCATCTATCTTAGTGCGACTTGCCTTGCACATGAATGCATGTACAAGACGCAAACAAGACGGAACAACTTTACATCTGGGTTATGTTAGTCATTGTCCCTTCTCGTACGCTAACTGCTGACAGTGAATTTCAATGGCATCACCATGGTGGTCATTGTATACCAATTTATTATTCCCATTGACGGCGTTCGACTCGTAGCTGAATATTTGGGATCTTACCTACAGGCCCGTTCTTGGTAAAGGGGTGAACCTTCACGGAAACAATTGGCGGAGACAAATCGTAATGGTTTCAGTCATTGATCATGGCAGGATCGTGGCAGCAACATGGGATTTCCCTCAGCCATAAGCTCTTATGTGTCGCGATAATCGCTCGAAAGCATACGTAGTGTACATGTGTTGGGTATAATTTCGGTGAAACTTAGCACGCACGAATTACCTAAGCACCCGCTCGTCTTTTTTTCCGCTCCACACTTGCCTGCACAATCGGTCCTTTGTTTGAATTTCTCGACGACGCCGTAACGAGACCGTTGGTCACATCCATCGACTTGTCCGAGTCAGAAGGTACCCCGGCGAAGACGTTTTGATAGTCCTCGATCGCGATGGCGGACTATAACACCCCCCCGGAGCTCGCTGGCCAACAGCCGCATCCATACCTGCACGAACCGCTGCTGTACATTACAGACCTGCCGGCGTATGTTAGAGATGAGGACTTGGCGGCTGTCTTACAACACTGCGCCCCGTTCAGACCACTCATCCCTCGAGACGGCTCGAACAGACCGCTGTCGGGCACGATCGAGTTCAAGTACATGGAGAAAGGTGAGTGGCGCCCTCGCTAGGATAGTCGTGAATGCTCAGACGACCCGGGACTGGACGCCACACACAGCTGAAAAGGCACTCGCGACGCTACACTCACGTCCGATCCCTGGCCTGCAGCCGCCTGTGTCCCTCATGTTGTCGCCTTACCCGTCCACGACGCCACCGACGCCGCTCCCTCCTCCGTCCGCCTCACCGCGGCTGGTGAAGCATCTGCCGTCGGGGTACACGGACTCGCAGCTGTACGACCTCTTCCGGCCGTTCGGCGCGCTCGCGTCCGTGCGCATCCAAGCCGGGTTCGGGAAGGACACCGGGGTGGTGGAGTTCTGGAGAGAAGAAGATGCGCGGGAGGCGGAGGAAGCGATGCACTGCGCTGACGTGGAGGGCCAGAACATCGCGGTACAGATATACCAGCCACGGCGGGCTGGTGCTACGATCTCGGACTTCAGTCCCACTGCACCCGTGTTCGTGCCCACAGGGTCGGTGTTTCCGTACCCGACTCAGGTGAGTGTGCGGCGCATGGGGATCATTCTCTCAGCTGATCGGATGCGCACAGTACTCGCCGCCACGTTCTTCGCCGTTCCAGAGCCGACAAGCGGTGTTCCTTCACGGACCAGGACAGCAGGTGCAGCTGGCACCACTGTCGGGACCCGGATCGACGAGTCACAGCGGACTGATCGATCCGTGCAATTTGTTCATTAAAGTGAGGGCGGGTGCGCTCGCGGGATAGTGGTTGCTGACGCTGGTCGCGATAGAATTTGGACACGTCGATCGACTCAAACGGTCTGTTCACTCATTTCCGACAGGTAGGTGTCGTCTGCTGCTGCACTTTCTCGTTATTCCCGCTCACGGCGTCGTACAGTTCGGTCAGATCGTCAGGTGAGTGCGTTCGGAATGGTCAGGAACTCAGTTTTCTGAAACTTTGCACAGCGCGAGGGTGATGCGAAACGAGAATGGCGAGAGTCGCGGATTCGGCTTTGTCTCTTACCAAACACCTGATCAAGGTGGAGATCATCAGCTTAGAGTCTGGTCTGCGCACTGATCTCCACTTTGTCAGCCGCGGCTGCTATGCACTCAATGAACGGTATGGTGTTAGGGATAAAACAGCTCGTGGTGCGACTGCACGAGCCGAAGCAGCTGCGGCAAGAGAAGTTGGCGCAGCGTTTTGCGGGGCACAACGGGCATCCGAGAAGCAGCAGCGGTGCGACCAGTCCTACCGCGAGCGAAGCTGGGGAGAGCTATGCGGGTTGGCCGAGTCCAAGCCGTCGCTCTGCGCCATTGGGGTCGCCCATGATAGGCCATAGCGAACGCACAGACAGGGCGCGGAGGAGCTCAGGCAGTTACTACCACGTGCGCACACTCGACCACTTACGACAGTCCGATTGACTGATCTCGTCTACAGGCGGCGTTGACGGGCACGCTGAACCTCCCCATGCGCTACGACGACCTATCAGCGCTGTCCCCCGTCGTGCGCAAGGAGGTTCTCTCGGGTGATCTGAGCCGCCGCATACGGAGCATGGACAATGTCCCTGCTGAAGAGCTTGAAGCGATTGTGGATACCATTGTCAATATGTCGCTGAGTGACGTGGTGCTGGGCATTCAAGACCCAACGAAATTGGCCGAGCAAGTTGAGACCGCCAAGGCTGCACTTCATGGGCCGTCTCCTGCAAAGTCACCATCACCCTCACCCGCGGCTTCGCAAAATTCTAGCTCGTTGGATCCTACTGTGAACGCGACGGCATCGGCCCCGGACCATCCTTCGACGCCACTCTCGATGCCAGCCACTTTGTCTACTCCCCCGCGGACGGAGTCACCTTCTGGCTCCGTCGCACCTACCTCAGAGAGGGACCGCATGGCAGCGGCTGTCAGTAAACTGGAGTCTACACAAGCGGCGGAGCTCACCGAGCTATTGATGAGTCTCCCCAAGCGCGAGCGCGCCATGTGCTTGTTCAACGTAGAGGTGTTGAGAGCTAAGATTGCAGACGCGAAGCTGGTACTGGAGGTGGACGACGGGGAAGTGGTGCAGACTCCCGCGAAGACTGTTCCGGAGTTACCTGTCACGCCGCAGGCGAGGAAAATATCGACTTCTCTCACTGAGTCGCCTCAAACTCCTGACTTGTCATCCCGTGGGCCGTCTGCAACTGCTTCTCCCACTCCAGCGACGCCTAACGCGCCGACCTCGATGGTGCACACAATTGCATCTCTTGCACGCCTTCCTGCATCGGAAATCATCAAGTTGGCTAACTCCTCATCTGCCACTGGATTGCCCCTACCAAAGGCAGATCCACTCGTAGTTAAGGCCACGGATGAGTTTATTGACGGCTTGATGGATAAGACTATCCAGTTTCGCAAGCAGCAATTGGGTGATAAGCTGTATGCCGTCGTTTTGTTCGGTGCAACTGTATTTTGCAGTCTTGACTTCGACTTTTAGATTCCGTGTGGTCAAGGCGTTTGGAATCAAAGGAGCGGTATGTTCGGGTTCTAGCTTGGTGCTGGGGTTACACTGACAAGTTTGCATTCTGAAAGCCCAAAATTACGATTACTCTACTTGATCAAGATGACCTGCGCTCTCTAGCACATCTGATGAATAGCTATCCGTCAGTCCTCAAGGAGAAAGCTCACCTCGTCCAGGCTGCAAATGGCAAGTAAACGTCCATTAATCCATACCTATACATTTTTTCCAATCGTTCTACGCAATAACCCTTCCTGTTTTATCGAATTCCTCTCTTACTGCTACATCTTCCGTTCTGCTGTGAGCATTGGCATATCTCTAGGATCGCATTCTTAGTCTTCCGCAGGGGGTTGATTCATCACCGCTCATCATTTCTACGTCTGTCCGGAAGGTCGCGATCGACCACTTCTCCTACTGCACGTCATCTTTTTCTTACTTACATACCTCCACGCCTTGCGTTTACACTCCAATACCGAATACCTGTCCTTTCAGTCGTAGTCCACCACCATCTCTACACCTCCCAGTGTTCTCCTGTATTACGGCTAATCACGAACTTCATGACTTGTCTTCTGTTATTATCAATGTCCGATCGCTATTCTCTGTAGGGTGGGAGTTACGAGAACCATAGCGCTTACTTGCCAGTTGATCAGCTCGTGCAGTGAGATTTCAGAAGGTGCTCGCCGCAAAATTCGACTAACTTCACGCCGTCTGTAATGGTCGTCGTGTAAGAAATGCCTCATTCATACACGACTACTACCACGTGGGTGGTTTTTGTCATTCTCCTCGTCCCACCTCAACAATCTGAAGAATCGGTTCCTGCACGATTTTAGCTACGCTGAATAGCAAACTTTCTGCCGAAGTCGATCTCCTTTAATCGACGTTGTTGTTGAAGGGAATGCGAATCGGTGGCAATGCGACATGGAGTGGTCGCGTATGAACTTGAATGAGGCATATCTTACGCGTATCCATTCCCTAAAAATTATGAGTTATATCACAGATCACCAGGTAGAAAGGTTGGCTTATCCCTTGACACTGACACCTATCAATGGGATGTCATATCATCGTGCAGGCTCATAGTAGAGCGATTACAAATGTGTAGACGGAACTTCATACCATACAAATAACTCGATTACCAGCATACGTATCAAGAAAAACATTTTTTCCCATGGCAAAGGACCTGCAGCCTCATCGTCTCACCCTCTTCACATCACCGCCCTCACCAAGTTCGAGAGCAGCGAGTGGTTCCCTCTTTGAGTCCGCGCCCTGTGCCGACCATCCGCTGCTACCAGGAGGTGGTGCCAGCCCCATTCCTTGCGCAGGCCTTCGCATGGATGCAGCAGATTGTGCTCTATTTAATAGCGTGCTGTCAGGAAGTACAAAAGAGAAAGACGCGAGAGAGGCTCACCGCATGACGTCGGCGGAACGTTTCAGACCGATGCTGCTAATTGATGTTGCCTGCTGTGGCCGAGACGCGGACGGTAGTGGAGTGCCTGACCTGATGTTCTGTGGATTCTATATGTGCCGCATCAATAAGTCGCCCACCATTTTCTTCATCAAAGTCGGACTCACCACGCCGGGCGGAAAGTGGAAGCTTCCCGGAAGGCATCCGCTCGTAACAGGCGTCGAGCTGGGTACTGGATGTTGTGGAGGTGTGTTCTGGTTTGTGTGTAACTTCGCACTCATTTGCTGCTGTGGCTTAGCCATCGGCGCTGAGGCGCGTTGTGGCGGCGCTTTGGTCTGCTGTTGTGGAGTAGGTGCTTGTGGTGGCTGCTGCTTCTGCTCCTGCTGCTGCGGCGGTGCGGGTGCTGGCGGTCGCTGTTGCTGCTGCAGTGGATGGATTGGAGCGGGAGGTTGCTGCCGCTGTACTTTCGTCTCGCTCGATGGGCCACCGCTCGACCCCTCAAAGTCGATCGGTCGGCCCAAGCCCTCCCCGAGGTCTATCGTGGCGAGTATCGCGTCGTCGTCGGAGTCGAACCGGAAGGAGTCATCGTCGTCGAGGACCTGTGCCTCCGCGGGTTCTGGCGCTGGTGCCGGCGCCGGAGGCTGGGGTAGTGGTGCAGGAACGGCGACGGGAGCGGGAGCAGAGGGCACGGCGAATGTCACTTTGCGCTCCTGCGGTGTGGCGCGATTCTGCTGTTGCTGTTGCTGTTGCTGTGGCCGTTGGTTTTGCTGGTTCTGCTGGTGCTGGTGCTGGTGCTGGTGCTGGTGCTGGTGCTGGTGCTGCTGGTGCTGTTGCTGTGGTCGCTGGTTCTGCTGATTCTGCTGCTGCTGCTGCTGCTGTCGGCCTTGCATTACTCCGGAGGGTGTCTGCACCGGTGTGTTCATCGAGCGCACTGGCACCGGCCCTCTTGCATTCGGCGTGGACATCGCAGCCGGTGGTGGTCCCGAGACATCGCGCATATGTGGTGGGACAGCATTGTGCACTGGCCGCGGCTGGGGTGCGGAGGTGGAGACCGCATTGAGGTGGGTGAATGTGGGTGGTTCTGGTTTGATCGGTACAGTAGAGGTAGAGGCGGAATTGAGGCCCGAGGGTATGTTGGTGCTGGTCGTGGTGGTCATGCTGATATCTGGTTTGGACTCGGAGAACTCGGGGCGGCGGTGGAGCTCGCTTTTCTCAAATTTCGGCTGGGGATTGGGTAAGCGCACGGTGAAAAGAGAGACCAGCGGCGAGCCAGACTCACTGGCGGGACTTTGATCTTGATGACCTCTTGCGTGTATGACTTGTCATACAGACAGTTCCCTAGGAGGTTGCCGAAGTTGCGGAGCGTACGCTTCACTGCGTCCGTCACAGCTTCCTTCTTGCACTGTTGTGTGCGCGTGATGGTGTGAACAATCAAGGACGAGGCAGTACTTACCTTGTCGAGCGCTGCGCCCTTACTCTTGGAGTTCTCCAGTAGCCCGTAGCCCACGTCTTCATGGAACACCCCGTCCCGCAGCGTCACACGCACGACAGCCGTTACACCGACGTTGTACCGCTTCGACTCGTCATTAAAGTCGATGAAGTCAGCAGTCAGATTGATTACGCTTGTGCTCCATCCGTTGAACCCAAAACTGAGGGAAGACACGCTCATTAGAGTAACATATTCATCTAGAATCAGAAAAGGAACCGACACTTCGTTTGCCAGGTTGATAATTTTCCAACCTATGTGCCAAAAAAGAGTGTCAGATCTGAAAGACATCCCATGGGTGCCAAGGCCAGCCTCAACCACGCCCGGAGATGTAAGCACTCGCTGGACAAAACCTCGCGCAGGTGACATGAGCTGGGCGTGGCAGAGTCGACCTTAATGGTAGAAATAGCTTTGGGATTTGTCTCAGTGCAGGCTCGAACATATTCCCCAAAACGTCCAATCCGATATTGGTAAAAACTTTGCCCAGAGTTTTAGCGCGTAGAACGTCTGACATCGATGACTTTACGCCAGCATACAATCAGCTTCAGAGTACGGGTGGTGACAGCTGGCCGGGCATCAATGTCGGGAGTGGTAGAAAAGTATCGAAACTGTCTGTCGGCCACTTCAACCCAGAGTTCAAGACACGTTGCCGCTATAGCGGCAGCCTGCACCATCTCGTCTGCATAGTGGTGGAACAAGGCCGGTCACCGCTCCCTGCACTACGATCGGAGGTTGACAGATTCCGAGGGATTCATTTCTGCAACCGGATTGGACATATTGAGGGATATGGCTGAAGTAGAACGCGTAACCACTGGATCATCATCCACCAACAGGTGAGAGTACCACGAGGTAACGCGCTGACTCGTGCAGAGGCTACGAAGGCCATATGTTGTTTCCACAGGTGTATCCGAATGAAGACGCACCAGAATAACAGGTAAAATTCAAATAAAGAAGGTACCTTCAGCATATGTTAACTTGGGTCCCCCACCAGGCCCTGGTCTCTGCGAGATGTACTCCGGGCCAAGCTTCTTGTCGAGCTTCGCCTGCAGCGTGGCAATCCTCTTCGCCGTGTCTTCCGAGAGGTCCATGAACGACGGTTGAAACGAGAATGAGGATTGAGAGGGTATTCCGTGCATTTGTGGCGCGAACGACATTGATCCGTGTGTGGCGATCTGTAGAGAACTCGCAGCTAATGGTTGGCAGTATTGCTGGGAAGAGAGGAAAGAGTCGACGAGATGGCCACTGAAAGCTCCCGCCATATGAGGGATCCAAGAAGACAAGAAAACAATAGGACTCAGTGGCCACTGGCAGTAGCCAAAAGTGGCTGAGATGATTCACGCTGAGAACGCGCGCACGCTTGCATGGTCACGTGATGGCGTCAGCGCGCCCCCACTGACTCGATGCGAATAAGGATTTTCCTTCCTCCTCCATTCCCCTTTCGCCGCGAGTAGAATATCAGTCGCGTCGCTGGCGGTCGTCATGAAATTCTCGCGTCTCTCTTTCTCGGCGAATACACCATTGATCTCTAGAAATGCGATGTCTTGCCCAGCTTTGGAAGTCGACATGAAGACAACGTGATGCCAGTGTGATTGTGCTGGACATGCACACACAAAGTTTGATATTAATGAGTTGAGAACACGCATACTTCGGCCGCGTCCTATGTCCTTTCCGCGCTTCGCAGTTCCGTCCACGCGGAGCGTTTCGGTCGAAGGCCTCGGCACAGTTATATGGGCAACTGTTGCACGTCTGCTTCCCGTCTTATCACTGCTTGCAGCTGGCGTGCCACTGCTCCTGAACTTTCTGTACCTGTCCACTGTTCTTCTTGGTTTCCCTGTCGTTCGGAAGCCTTTACTGCTGTTTGTATCCCGGCGCCATGTCTTATCTTCTTCTCATCGCTTGCCTGGTACTTGGTGCCATATATGTCGTATCACTCAAATTCTTGCGTCGTGATATTTCTTCCCTCCCTCCGGGACCGCCTGGGTTGCCTGTCATCGGCAATGTGCTAGATATCCCTGCTGATCGTCCTACCTGGCTCACGTTCGCCGACTGGGCGAAGAAATATGGTAAGCGGTAAATCTCCTCTTAAATGCATCGAGAGTCGACCGGCATGTGTTTTAGGTGATATAGTACACATCTCATTGCTAGGTCAATCCTCTGTTATCCTCAGCTCTCCGGAAATCATCTACGAGCTGTTCGACAGGAGAGGTGCTATATATTCTGACCGACCCAGTCTGCCTATGGCTGGTGACTTGTATGTTGGTCATTGATATCTTTCGTTCCCTCACCAATTTTACGACCTAGGGTCGGATATGTGGACTCCGTACCACTGTGCCCCTATGGCAGTCGCCACAGAGAGTACCGCAGGATGATGTCCACCGGGAGTGTTCTGAGCCCTCGCAAGGCATCTGAGCTATATCCCGTACAGGAGCAGAAATCTCGAGAACTCCTCATGAGAATCATGAACTCCCAGGCACAGCTGCGATCACAGCTCCGGTGGCGCGTAAAAGTTGGATGCGACTGTGCAAATTTTCTGACCGTTTCTCAGGGTAATAGCCGCCATCGTCTTCCAAATATCTCACGGATACACTGTGCTGGACATGAACGACCCACTAGTCCAGCTGGCTGAGCAGGCGAACCACGAATTTGCGTTATCCACTATCCCTGGCGCGTATCTTGTCGATGTTTTACCTATTTGTAAGTGGTTTGTCTGGGCCATAAATGTGCCATTTCATTCTTGATGTCCAGTACGATACGTTCCGGACTGGTTACCTGGCGTGCACTTCAAGACACAGGCGAACCAATGGCGCCGGACGACGGAGCGCTTGCGGGACGAGGCGTATGAGTCTGTCAAGGCACAAGTGGTCTGTCACATTCTAATCTCCGCAAAAAGAGACTAATGACACTATCGCTATTCTAGGCTGAAGGTACAGCTGCCCCTTCGTTCACGACGACTATCCTGGAAGAGAACCCTCGTCTTCGCGATGAAGATGACATTGTACTCCGATGGGCATCGACCTCGTTCTATTCCGGTTCGTGTTGTCGTTCTAAACCGAGATCACTGTCATCTCATACCTTGCACAGCGGGCGCCGACACCGTAAGTAAGCCAGTCTTACGCACTGCACTCACTTCACGTGAGTCGTCCAGAGCGTTTCTGCCCTCGAGTCATTTTTCCTCGCCATGTCGCTGTACCCCGACGTCCAACGGACTGCCCAAGCCGAAATACACCAAGTGGTGGGTCCGAGTCGCCTGCCAGGGTTTGTCGACCGCCCAAACTTGCCCTATGTGGAGGCGCTGCTCAACGAAGTACATCGTTGGAATCCAGTAGCTCCCCTCGGTGATACTCTCTTCGGTTGCAACGAGATTCAGCCAACTTATAGTCCGCTGCTACCAGCCCTTCCGCACAGATTGATACGGGACGATGTTATCGACGACTACCTTCTTCCTGCAGGATCCACTGTATTCGCTAATAACTGGTACAGGATCTATCTCTTTGTCCTTTTGTGTGTACTGACGCGTAAGTCAGGGCAATCTTACATGACCCAGTGAGATATCCCGATCCATTCAAATTCATGCCAGAGAGGTATCTCGCCAACAATTCAGATGGTATTAACCCAGAACCGACGAAGTTTACTTTTGGCTACGGAAGAAGGTTAGAAGCACGTCGGCGTTCCGTTGTTTCGATGATGGTGGCTTATGTCTCCACCTCACTGTCAGAGTCTGTCCAGGCCAAGGTCTCGCGGATACCTCTCTCTTCATCATCATAGCGAGGATTCTCGCGGTGTTTGATGTATCGAAGGCCGTCGATCCTCGTGGTATGCTGATTGAACCGAATGAAGACTATACAACCGGTATGATCAGGTATGAAACATCAGTATATACCGGTCTCATCGGGCGCAGCTAAGCGAGATCACTAGTCATCCCAAGACACTCGATTGTCGTGTCGCCCCTCGATCAGCTGATGCGGAGAGGTTGATATCGGGCTATGGACATGGAAGTAAATGTCGCTGAATGACTAAGTGTTTCTCGAGCAAAATGGTTTCGTTGTGTCATTCAAATCGGAGATCTGCATATTGTCAACTCATTGCTAGTCTACTCGAGTCGTATGTGGCCTGCCCCGCTGTCTTGATGACAGTCTCAATGATCCTGCCTCCCGACGCGTCGCTGAGTGTATCCTGAAGGTAGTCGGGACAAGATTCCAGAGTCAATGCAAGAAAAACGTCGTGTACCAGGCCCTGGCCCAATGTGCACAAAGTCACAGATAGTTCCCCAGATGACATAGACCTGTATATGGTAGCATAAAGCAGAGAAATGGAGGATTGCCTTGACAAGAGGCAGATAGTCTGAGAACGTTAAATCCCGTTGTCTCTTATCGCATTTGGGAGAAACGGTAATAGAGCCGCCCGGAAACGAAACGGTACGCAGGCCATCAGTACGTTCACTTCATTACTTCCAGAATTTAAGGCAGAATATGCTTCAGACTGTCCTGGAGAGACCCTATGAGCTTGCCCGAGCTATTTGTGCCCGTTTGGACGCCGTCGAGCTTCCATCGTCCCCTAGGCCTCAGGTTCAATAGTATGATATCTTTGATGAAGCGTCTTGCACTCCTTCGCAGGAAAAGCGTGGAATTCGTGGCTCGGCATTCCCAATTCTGATGATCTACTGTATTTTCTCCAGCTCGATGGGCGTAAAGGTACAAGATTGTAACGTACAACTATTCATTGCAGGATATATCTCCATCAAGAAACATTTCATCCGAAGCCTTCGCAAGAGATCCCTAGACCGTGTACCGCTTTAAACCATTTCGCTATTATCTTTCATTGTGATTATGGAACATAACGGAAGTTAGGTGTCTGAAGAGACAGGGTCAGAGTCATGCGCACGGATGAAAGGAGATGCCATACAAGATCAGCCAGCTCCAACGTATCCACGGTCTCATCCGGGATTGGTTTGCCATATTTCCGGTCTCTCCGTGCGTTCTCCATCCGGAAGTAGGTCTGAGCGATGCGGCGAACGAGTCAACGGTGTTGCTTTTCCTGAGGGGAGTAGGGTCACTTACGGTAAGACCGATTGCAATGGTGGCAGAGAGGAACAGGAGAGCACAAGTCACTATAAGGTACATGTTCGTAAACCTGAAACAGTAAAGTCCTAACCTAACTCACCGGCAAACCCCTTACTGATTCATCCAAGAACGGGGTAAGTACTGCTCAGATATCGAAACGAAAACAGCGAGATCGAGGCTCACATGTAACGTGGGCCTTCTGTAGACGGATAAATGTGAGATCCCAGGACGCTGCCACACTGGCCGATAGCCATGTACATGGGGATGCCAGTTGCTTTCTTTGTCTCAGAGCCCAGGTTATGCGTGACTGTTGAATGGGTTAGTTTCCATTAGGCGTCAAACACGTCGTGCAATCGTACACCATGCGATAACGACTCCGATAGTTGTGTACGTTCCACTGGTAATACAGAATGTCGCGAAATAGCGGACGTGGTTGTTATGAGGCACCGTGAGCAGCAGGCTGCGAATCAGGAGATAAGGGCGAGATCCAGTAAGGTGAAGCGAATTTTGCGCACATGTAACCAATGCCACCGAGGGCGCTCACGCCTACTACAAAGGGTCCGCGGCTCTGTAGCCTATCTGAGCAGTACGAGTTCAGGCACAGAAATACCGCTGCTACTGCATACGGCGGCACGGTAAGCAGCTGTGCACGCGCATTCGCTGAGATGATTCGGGTAAGAATTTAGAAATTCGAAATTCAAGTGAGCACTTACTGTAGCCGAAAGTAGTGATAATGGTGGGCAAGAACGCAGAAATCGAGGCCAGAGCGCAGTTCGCACCGAAGTAGATCACTCCAACGGCATAGATCTGGTAAAACGAAAGTAAATAAGATCACCACAAATGACGGAGATCAGCCCGATCATATAGCCTCACCCTCCAGTCCTTGAAGGCCGCGAAGATATGTTCTTGACAATTACGTAAGCAATCTCATATGTCAAATGACATAACAGATCGAGATACACACTTTTGTTGATCATCCTTCCGGTGTCCGCTGCCAATCCTCTGTTCGCCCGTTCCAGAGCAAGTTCTCGTTCTCGTTCATTTAGCATCGTCGTTTCTTCCGGACGGTTAGGTAGGACGAACAATGCCAACAGCCCAAGCACGATAGTCGGAGACCCCTCTATGATAAACAAGAGTCGCCAATCTGCAATAGCAGTATGTGCATGCTGCACGGCAAATGCAATTATTCCACCGAAAGCCCCTGCCACAGCGGCGAAACCGAACCAGTACGCCATGCGCATGCCCATCTCTTCTTTGGTATAGAAGAACGCTGCAATCATCCGCTATCAAAAGACAAGCAAGAAGAGAACAATGACACGAACACATATAGAGGGGAATGCCAGGGCCAAAGCCTGACTCGAAGACACCGAGGAAAACTCGCGCAACGACGAGGCCGCCGAAATCATAACCGGATGCCTGACGAGTGGAGGATATGAGTAATTACCCACGACTTATGGGGAGGAAATATGTTGACCATCAGCGTCGAGCAGATGCCCCATCCGATAGCCGAGCATCCCAGCCACAGGCGGGGAGGGCAGAGCTTAGAGACAATCGTGGCCGGGACCTGACACAGAATCTGGAGGAACATCGTCAGTGAGCAAAACGGGATCGTCGATGAGGGAAAGAGGGCACCGACATATGAGAAGAAAAATGCTGAGTTAACCCAGTCGAATAACACACCAGTGCGATCGCCGTGGAGGACATCCTTGGGCAGTCCTTGCAAGCGGGCATTTCCAAGGTTCGTCCTGTCCAAATCTAGATATATTTCCTCAATTCACTGGTGCTAGCGGTGTCTGCCCCGTACTGAAGACGACACTCACAGGCGAAGAGATACAAGATACAGGCGATAGGCATGATACGGGCATCGAATCTCCTCACCAACCTCTTCTCTTCGAGAGAAGGTTGCACAGTGATAATTTGCTCGCGATCCTCAATTTTCTCATCGATAGAATCGGATTTTTCGCGGGCGGTCGACATTGCGATTCGAGATTCGAGAGAAGAAGCAGGAGAAGGGGCGCCCGGTGTTCCCCCGCCCAATACGGATACTTTAAAGCGGGGGTCACCCTCTACGCCAACTACCAGTCAGTTGACCACCCGTATCCCGGCAAGATTGCACTACACTACGGCTTGCCAGGGCGGAAAACGGAGCCGGTCCACATGAGCACTGGCGTATTTGATGCATCCCAGAGAATTATACCACACGCATACCACATGAGCGCCGAACCTCAGTGGGTCCAAGTGGCGTGCGGGCCGCTGGCTCCAGATTAGGTAGTTAAATACCACTTAGATGGCAAAAGTATTCAGAATAGCTTATCCTTTATCTTGCGTCGTTCAACTACGATCTCTTTATACACCCTGGAATCCGCGCGTTAACCTGAGCTTAGGCCACCATGTCCGATGTATTCGACGATAATGAGCCTGTCATCGTCGACTGTGACGTCCTCGAGGCGGCTAAGGAGAACATCCAGCCGCTCGCTGCTGGGCGTCGAGTGACAGCTCTCTCTGCTATCTTGTCTACTCCGCACGCACAGCGCGAAAGTCGGCTCGCCTCTACTCGTAATCGTCTCCGGATCAACGTGGAAGTCGCTCTTGAGGACGAAGACGATGATCCTCTTGAGGCGTACTGCCGATTCGTATACTGGACCGTGGAGAACTACCCACAAGGCCACAGCGCCGAATCCGGTCTATTAGAGCTGCTCGAGGAAGCAACCAGAGTTTTGAAGGACAACAGAGGAGGCATATGGAGGGGTGACATGAGATATTTGAAGCTGTGGGTACTCTACGCCAGCTATGTCGAGAAGCCCGCGATCATCTTCAAGTTCCTGTTGGTGAATGAGATAGGAACAAGTCACGCATTGTTGTACGAGGAATTTGCGAATGTCTTGGAGCGAGCAGGGAGGTTAGTGGCCGTCCAACTGTCTTGTACGCTCTCACTTACGATGATCGTAGGCGAAACGAAGCAGACGAGACGTACCTGCTCGGTATTGCTCGGAAAGCCTCGCCGGCCGAGCGACTTGAAAGTAAACATCGTGATTTTCAGAAGAGGATGATGGCTTCCTTTACTCATCCTGCTCCTGTGTCCGAACCTGCACCACCGCTCACGTCGTCGACATCGACAAAGCGGAGTGTCTTGGCAGAGACAGCCACCTCTACCCCATCCACGTCTCGTCACCAAACACGCTCCGCGACGAGGAACGCGTCCGTCACAGGGGATGTATTTACCACACCTCCTTCAGCAGTCGCGCCACATTCCAATGCGCGCTTGGAAATCTTCCTCGATCCCTCTGGGTCGCCTGAAAACGACCCAACTCTGGCCGAAACTTCTTGGCCAGAGTTGGGTACGCGTAAATCACGCATCAAAGAAAATATTCCTGAAGTTAAGAAGGCTGCAGGGACGACTCTGCGCCAGCCAGGACGACCCCAGCGGACTGTTGCTGCTGCTGCACCGAGGATGGCTGTCTACAGAGATCCCGATCCCGATCAAGCAGCTGATGCTCAAGAAATGCCGCCGCCGCCTGTGCCCGCGACACGGAAGCATGAGAAGGCAAAGAGCTCTATCACTGTTTTCCGCGACGAAGACGAGAAGAAGAGCCAGCCGTCTTCCTCTTCAAAGAAATGCGAAATGAGTTCTAGTATGATCTTCCGTGACGAGGATGAGGTCGACGGCACGCAGGGTCCTTCGACTCAGAATCGCGATAAGATAAAAGGCGCTATTACTGTCTTTTGTGACGAGGTCGAGGTTGAGGTTACGCAGGCTGCTACGGCAGAGAAACATGAGAAGGCAAAGATTTCTACTTCTGTTTACCGTGACAAAGAAGGGGACACGGGCGAACAGGTATCTTCGACGAAGAAACATGAGAAGGGAAAGAGCTCTATCACCGTCTTCCGTGACGAGGATGGGGATCAGGGTAAGCAGACGTCCTCGCCGTCGAAGTTTACGCCGTTTCGCGACGAAGAGGTACGCTGTTCTGTACTTTTTTGAACCTCTCGTTACTGATCCTTCTGTAATATCAGTCGCCTGTTCCCTCTTCCACCTCATCAACTTCCACTGCTTTAAGCACTGTGATGAAGGTCAAGGCAGTCGGAGCGCGGCGAGAAGCCCCTACCTCGACTGAGGCCGAGGCGTTGCGGAAGGATCCGTTCAAGAATTATAGTGCTGACGAGAAGCCAGTTGCAGATCAGGATTGATGGTTCTGACGATTTACTGACAATATCTCCATCTCAGCCATTGTACTTATATGCTGTTTTTTTCCTATAGTTTGCATAGTGGATGATCGACGACTTTGACGTATTATTGCTAACGCCATATCTATTTAAACTTAACCAAGTGCTTATATTCTGTTTTCGCTGTACCTTGCATCGTGGATGCAGCGTTGAGGGTGAAACAGAGGACTGCGACCCCGCGCGCCGGCAATAATTTCGATCGACGCGACGCGTCGGAGAGTCACATGATCGTTCCGTAGATCGGGATATCTAAGATGAGATACGCAGCGGAGCAACTGCGCTTGGACTTTATAACATCGATTACCTTCCCTTTTGCTTCACAATTACATTGCCCAAGGACTGAATATTTGAAATTGAAAGATATGTCGTTCAAGAAGGGAGACGTATACCCGTGCAACCCGACGACCGCGCGCGGAGAGTCCACGAAACTCAGTGCGAGCGAGGACAAGATCGTCTATACGAATGGAAGGACTGTTATTGTAAAACCTCGGTTAATCCTCAGCTATATTTGAAATCTCACGAATGTCCGTAGATTCGCGACTTGAAGGTTTGAATAATCCAGGGTGATTTATCGTTGGGGTCACCGTTGAGCGTACATGCATAGAATCCGGCGATCGCGACGACTTATGCAGGACATGTCCCAAACACCACTGTCGCTCGCATATCTCCTTCAGGGTACTACTGTGCATCTGCAGACGTCACTGGCACAGGTGAGCTCGTGCACATAAGCTTAGTCTGATACGCTTGACTTGACGCGATGATGCGTTTTGTCGTACAGTACGGGTGTGGGACGTAGTCGGCGAAGATCAAGTGCTCAAGGGAGAGTACAAGGTCATCTCCGGACGCGTGTATGTACCGCCGATTGATCTCAGGAGTCACTTCTCATCGTGCGCGAAGGAAGGATCTGGCTTGGGACGGAGAGAGCAAGCGGATCATAGCTGTTGGCGATGGCAGAGACAAGTGGGTGATCAACCTTGAATTGTAGCTTGCTCAAGTACATCTTACTTTGGTGCTTCAGGTTTGGTCACGCCTTTATGATGGATACAGGATCTTCAACAGGAGAGATTATCGGGCACTCTAAAGTATAATTGTGATTTTCGCACAGATTGGAAGGCAGTAAATAACTTTGTTACGCCTTTCAACTCAGATCATAAGCGCCGTGGCGATACGACATCAGAGACCATTCCGCGCCGCGACCGCTTCGGACGATGCTACGATCGTCTTCCACCAAGGTGACTGAAATACTTGCATTGTTATATTTTTCTCTAAGCAGTTTCGCAGGCGCACCATATAAATACGATAAGACCATCAAGACGCACACGAAGTTCGTGCAAGACGTGCAATATGCGCCGTCGGGGGATCAATTTGCTAGCGTCGGCTCAGACTCGAAGATCTTCCTCTACGATGGGAAGACGGGCGAGACGCTCGGTGAGTTCACGGAAAGCCCGCACACGGGCAGCATCGTGAGTGCTTCCATGGCTATCGATTGTTAAGGCGTTGACGGTGCAGTTAGATGGCATGTAGCTGGAGCCCAGATAGCAAATCGCTTTCAACGTCGTCTGCGGATTGTACCGTTAAGCTCTGTGCGTACCCAGCAAATATTTAACAGACACCTGGCTCAATTGCAACGCGTCTGGTGTGATATGACCCAACTGACTATGCAGGGGATGTCGAGACTCGCAAGGCAACATCCAGTTGGTCATTAGGGTCGGGCGTCAGCAACCAGCAAGTTGGAAATGTCTGGACAGGTGGAGACGAGATCGTCTCTTTGTCCATCTCGGGCAACCTAAACATCTTCGACAAGCGCGTCAAGGACAAGCCTGCTCGTGTGCTCTACGTGAGTGTTATTTGTTTTATTCAACTGTAATATTCTTATATTCATATATTGTTGTAGGGACCACAGAAGGCCATTAATACTGCGGTATCGACTGCCCCTGGTACGTTCCTCGCCGGCACAACGGACGGACGGGTGTTCGCCTTCTCCGAGTCTTACTCGCCGGTCGAAGGACAGAGCCACTCCAACTACGTCGCAGGGCTAGCCGCTGCGGCCAACGGCAAAGTCTACTCCGTAGGGTACGACGATTGCGTGCGGGAAATCGACAGCAGGAGCAGCAGCTTCGTGTGCGTATCTCGTGCCCTCAATCCCGTCATATTGCGCTGACCCGTGTTGAACGGTGTACAGGCCGGCATCGAGCCCAACCGCTTCACAGCCCAAGTCCGTCGCGGTGGCCGGCGACTCCACGGTCTTCGTCGCGGAGACTAGTAGCGTCGAGGCTATCCGTTCGAACCAAAAGGTTTTCGAGCTCCAAGCGAAGTTCCCGCCTAGCTCGGTTGCAGCCTCAGGCTCAGTTATCGCTGTGGGTGGCGAGGTACGCATGTTCTGAGGCAGCCCTGCACTGTTGAACATTTATTGGGCTTGAATCGCTGTTTGCAGGACCAGAAGGTCCGTCTGTACGGCTGGGACGGCAAGACGCTCAGCGAGACCGCAACGCTGGAGGGGAACAAGGGCAACGTGAGCGCACTCGCATTCTCGCCCAACGGATCGCTGTTAGCTGCGGGCGACTCGAGCGGGAAGATCGTACTGTTTGACGTAAAGGAACGGAAGGTATGTAACCGCTCACTCGTTCACCGCCTCCGATGTTGACCACCTGACTAGGCGATTACCTCACGCTGGTCCTTCCACACCGCGCGTATACATTCATTGGCGTGGACGAGCGACGGCCAGCACTGCGCCTCAGGCTCGCTCGACACGCACGTCTACGTGTGGAGCGTACAGAAGCCGATGCGCAACATGGCGATCAAGAATGCCGGGCCTGGGGGTGTCAGTGCCGTGTTCTGGCTTAAGGATGGTGAGCTTGCGAGCGCGGGCGCCGATGGGTGCGTGCGGGTCTGGAGCATCACGTTCCACGCGTAGTACAAGGATTAACGATACTGATAATGTACGATGAGAAGCATACGTTTGTATAACTACACGGTGTTCGATATCACGGCCGATATACGAAGCACTTGATCTAAACAAGATCCTGGCGGATCGTACGAACCAAATACCTTCCAGAGATCCGCAAGACTCGGATGACACCCTTGATGACGCCAGATGATGGTATGCGATGGTTTTACAATGCAGTCATTGAAACATCGTACGTATGCAGAGACAAAGAGACCTATAGATGACAGCAAGGCATGGAGCGGATGAAAACCGAGAAAAGGAGTGAGGATCGCGCAGCGCGGAGGCACGAGCGGATTATTTTAGCGAAAATGCGAGACGAAGGAAGTAAACACGGCACGGATCCGTTCTCTTCTACCCTCCTCTGTCCACCTCTCAACATAGGACTCTCACCGATTAAGCGCCCATATCCGCTGCTGCACGCAGCTCGCCCAATCGCTGCCCGCACCGCTCAGTCGAGGTTGGTCTCAGCGGTTTTATCCTCCACGGTGTCGAAGTTCTCTACTAAATCCGGCACGTCGTCGTCGTCATCGTCAACCGCGCCCGCGTTCTGCGGTCGTTGCTGGCTCTGCTGGATGGCCTGGTAGGACTCGGCAAGCTTGCGGAGGGACGCGAGCGAGTCGGGGCCGAGCTGGTTGAGGATGCCGGGAACGAGCTCGGTGAGCTCCTTCACGTGGCCCGCGCCGTACACGGCGAATGTATTGGCGGCAACGGCCGCGTGCACTGCAGCGCGGTTCGCAGACACAAGCGGGGTCGATGCACCCGATCAGCCTGCGGATACAGCAGAGAAGGTGCGGGGGCGTACCTTTGGGCGCGGTGAAGTGCAACACGTTCCCGTCCTCCCTGAACATATTGACCTCCTCGACGCCGGGAATGGGCTGCACGTTGAGCTTCTTGAGTGCGCCCTGGAGCTTTTTGTCGTCCTGCGCTGTCGAGGGCTTCGCCTTCCGGACGATCTTGCGTCGTACAGTGCCCTTCCCACCTGCGGCGCGAAAGAGCGGTCGAATGCGTAAGCGACGGTGGAATGGGTCGGGGACATCGAGGGTGACAACGAGCTCACCGATCCTGTTGGCTGCGGCCTGCGCCTGCAGCTTGGCTAATTTTGCTGGATCCATCGTGTAAGAGGAGGATCGGGGTCAACGACTCTGCGGAGGAATTTTGGACTCGAGATGCGTGTGCGCGTCCTCAAGAAAATAAGGTTCACCCACAACACGACCACACAACGCACCAATAAAACCCACGCGAGCATCTCATTAGCCGCCCATAATATCTTTTGAGTCAATTTCTCTCTCTGTGCTGCGATGTCCAAGCCTTCGTTTTTTATTCGCCCGGCTACAGTAGAGGATGTCGTACGTGCGTTGTTTCACATATTCCCGTAAGATCCTAATTTCGCAAGCACTGGCAGGATGCCATCCTGCACCTGATCATCGCTCTTGTATGTCATTTGTTCGCTTATACACTCTCTACCTCGCACCTAGGGCTGATGCTGCTTGTCGAGTCAGGCGACGTATGAAAAGGCGCCCGATTCCGTCAAGGCTACCCCAGAACTTGTCAGTCTGTTTCTTGGTAATCTTGGGCTATCCCTTCACGCAGGAATTGCAGCTGCGCAAGAATCTTTTCGAGACACCGTACGCGCACACTCTCTTGGCCTTCGCGGGCACTCTCTCTGCTCCCGGAAAACCTATAGGCATGGCTATGTATTTCTTCAATTATTCCACCTGGACTGGACGCCCAGGCTTGTATGTACGTACGCCAGGCCTGAGCCGCCTTTGCAATGCTATTCGTTTCTGGTCCTGATACGTGCTTGAAGCTCGAGGATTTGTACGTCGAGCCTGAATATAGAGGTACCGGTGTCGGCAAGGCGTTGTTCGGCGAGCTGGGAAGAATCGCGCAAGAGAAGGTAGCCCTAGTGTGAGTTATACGCACGAAGAGCTGAATCGTTGTTTGCTAGAAATGCGGTCGCTTGGACTGGTCGGTGTTGAAGGTGAGTCGTCTTTAAATAATCGTTGAATGCTTACACACATTCTTTTGCATGTGCAGTGGAACCAGCCGTCTATAGATTTTTACGAGCAGAAGCTGAAGGCAAGTGCCATGTCCGAGTGGATGGGCATGCGGCTGGACGAAGAGGGAATCGAGAACCTGAAGACGTTTGCCCAACAAGTTCAGAACTGATCTAGAATTATATACATGTTGGGGTAGAAGTCCTGATAAATGTTGTATACTGTCCACGAAATGCCGTTGTCGACTGATGACCTCTGGTGGACGCACATAAAGAACGCCAGAGCATCGTTGGTCTCGGGGACGCCATACACGATTTTCCCTCTTCAAAGGAGTGCCGGTGAATTTACAAGATGGAATCGCACAAGGCCCACCACAACTCTGATCAGATACGTACATACGGTGAAGAGAACGATTAAACACCGTCATAGCTCGCTCCGCCAGCCTGGTCAGCAGAAAAGAGCCAAAGCGTCAAAGCTCAGTAAATTAAATCATGTAGATGCACCACAGACCTTCCGCAATCGAGCGACGATCGGCTCTTCCTTGAGATCGTCGTTCTCTCGCGCCGCAACCTCGATAGAGTACGCGTGCAACACGCTCTTCACGTCCCCGGAATGCACTGAGCTCTAGACAACCGCATATAAGCCTATCGCACGCGCGTAAATGTATTCAGAAAGCGTTCGCGCCTTGGCCTTGCGCATGATCTTGCACTGCGGTCCAACCCACACCACATAGATGAATTTCTCGCGCTTAGACTCTTTGTCGTTCGCGTACTGGACCCGGGCGTATGCGTAGGACGCCGTGGAGTCGTTCAGCTGTTCGCGCAGCTCATCCAGTCCTCCGGTCCCCGTCGCCGTTAGGTGCAGCTTGTCAGAGCGATCGGACTGCCATGGTGGTAATGGCACGCGTCGACGGGAAAAGTGAGCTCGGTACAAACCACGGCTTGGTGCGATTGTGCGCACCTCGTAATCGAGGAGCAGCCAGTTCGTCTCCGTCTTGTCGTCGCGCACATCCTGGTACGCTGCATCCAGCGCGTCGGGTGTCACGCGACGTCGATCCTCTGCAGCCGCGCTGAAGGCACGCACCTTCGCCGATCTTCGTGTCCGAAACGTCGGCCATGGTGGACAAGAAGGAGTGAACTTGAAGAGGAAGAGATCACGAAAGCGAGGGCGAGATTGAAAGCAGGCCTTGATCAAGCCAAGTAGAGGTACCTATACGAGCAAGGCTGTCCTGCTCCCGTGCGATTATCATAGTAATCGACTCCATCTCTCACCAATCAGAATTCTCTGTTTCTACTGCAGTCGGAGTTGAAAATATACTTATTTCTGCAGTGGCTGGGTTCCAAAATTTACTGGCTCGCTTCCCGGACGAGGACCTGAGCCAGTTACGGACAGACGCTTGTGGAAGCCTGGCGGGGAATGCCGAATAGGGCCGGAGGATGAGGCGGCGCAGCGGCCGCATCAGAAGCGCCCAAAATCACCTTTTCAGAAACCAACGCTAGGCCTGACGCGGACCGCGGAGGCAAAAAAAGCGGTGAGGCCTCACGGACATTTTGGGCCAAAGACGGCCTTTTCCCAACGGACATTTTTGCCCTCTCCGGATCAGGCCTATTCACCAATTGTCGGGGGTCCTCTCGACCGCCATGCTCACCATTCGGCGCTCCCTAACGATCACCGGGCCCGCAGCGCGCACCTTCATCAACCTCTACTCGACTGTCTCGGGCCTGACACGCAAGAACTGGCGCACAGGTGGAGGACCAGCACCCCTCTCGCTCGTGCACGATCCCGACGCGGCAGACTCATCTGCTGTGCACACCCCGCCTCCACGGCGGAAGAAACATGCACAGGGCCCTACACCAGAAGAATTCTCAGCGCACCGTGCAGCGATGAAGCAGGCATTCCCGGAGGGCTGGGCGCCGCCGCGCAAACTCTCACGCGACGCGATGGACGGGCTGCGCTCGTTGCACGCGACGGACCCCGAGCTGTTCACCACGCCCGTCCTCGCGGAGCGGTTCTGCATCAGTCCGGAGGCCGTGCGCCGCGTTTTGAAGAGCAAGTGGACGCCGACGCGGGAGCAGCGCGCGCGTTTACTGGAGCGTGAGCGGCGCGGCAGGGAGGAGTGGATAGCGCAGAGGAGGCTGGACGAGAGGCGGAAACAGCTGGAGCTTGAGAGGCAGATGGGACGGGTGAGGGGGGTGAGCCGGAAGGACAAGTTGTCGTTGACCTAATGGCAATCAGATATCTATGCGTGTCTGCACGATGCCCAGTAGTGAAGCTTAGTTTACTTCCTTGCAGCACACCATACCCTAATAAATCCAGCCACTATGCTATCGCCTCAACACGCTTGTAGGAACACTTGGAATGCGACGTTGCCGAGAATATAGAAGATCTAAGTAGTGCAACTCTATTTACCTCGGGGCGGATGAGATGGAGACGTCCCAGTCTAGATGGGACATTGTCCTATGCGACTATGCCAATGATGGAACCCGGTCAAGATACACGCGTAATGCGAAAGAGCTGCCAGGACAACGTGGAAATGGAATATCTGGTGGGACGCAAAGAAGTGGTCGAACGTCCCTGGCGAAAAACGTTCCGGGATACGGTTCGCACTGAATATCAGGGTGAAAAAGACCACAGCAGGTTAGTCACTGGAAAGTAAGGGATGGCAAGCTACGCACTACAGCAGCGCTCCCGAGATGTAAAGGAAACCGGAGATGAGGAGCCATCGGAAGCCCATCTCATAACAAAGCCTGCCGAAGCCGTGCATGACCAACCCGTGCGAGACCGGGAAGACGGCAGCGAGCCCTAGTGCAATGAACACCTTTGTGCGCGCGCCTCTGTGGGTTGGCTTGCGGTACTCCGGGTTGAGTACGATGTAGGCGGCACCTGGTCAGAGCGACGCGGCTAAGTCGAGTGTCGGAGAGGCATTATGATATGCTTACCGAGACCCGCGACAATGATGAGCGAGGAGTAGAATATTTGGTAGTACTTGTCGCAGTAGAAGCCGTAGTGGACGCAAGGAATGAACGACCCCACGATCAGCACTGCAGTGTCCAGACGAGTCAGTGGTTTCAATATACAAACTTGAGCAAGTACCTACCGACGATGCCCCCGTAATCGACGGCATTACATCGAGACGATATCTATGCATCAGCCAAGCTCAGTAGGGAACGAATGGAGGGACCGTCGACATACCTCTTGCGAGTGCACGGCGAACGTGTGGAAGAACGCGCTCGAGAGCAAGCAGATCACAGCACTCGAAAGGAAGATCATAAACGCTACTACATCTACTGCGGTCGCGGATTCGTAGTGGACAAAGTACACCTGCTGGAACGTGCACAGCAGCGCAGCGAAAAGCACCGCGCCCCCGAGGTGGCTGTGGATGTTTACTTCACGAAACAACAGTTTAGTGTATTCATAAATGAACGGAGTACCTCGAAGATTCACTCGCCTGTCTCATTATGCAAATCTAGTCCGTAAGAATCAACGCCATCAGAGTCGGACCATAGATCGTCGGCGCCCAAGCGTCGAGGATAAGAAAACTTTCACGTACATCCAAAAACCGAAGCGGCACAACCCCGCCAGCTGGACTGGACCCTAGATGTGCATAGGTTGAGTTTGCCATAGTCTGCCGGTGTTTAGCCGCAGCGACCAGCCGAAGCCGGGGAGTGGACGGTCGCTCACCTTCTGTACCCCGTCAGGATATATTCGTTATCTTTTTGCCAGTCAGGGATCTCCAGCCATGTCAACGTCCTGCGAGTCGGCTTTATGGGATGGAGTTCTACTGGTGTTCCGGGTAAGTCTGGTGCGCCCTCGGAGGTTTGACTCTATGGGTAGCGGTAGGTAGGTCCATGGTCAGAAAATGGTTGGCGGAATGACTCACGATCTTTCCATTAAGTTTTGTACCAAGAGACGGCATTTTCTACGCTCTATATTGCAAAGTCTATTCGCTGGACAGAAGGAAAGAGCGCTGCTAGTTGAGCAGGCTGCTGCGCGCCGACGCGCTCTGGAAGACACGTCTCCACGTGATATCCAAACAAGAATAATTCCATTGGACAAGACGAGGATCAGTATGCATTCGGACGGACGTGGGTTAAGTAAACTATGCACGAGCCATGCTACACATTGCTTGCAATCCAATCCAAGGTGAGGCGTACGCTAGGGAGGTAACGCGGAATATGCCAAGGTATGAAACCGCCGATCCAGAGACAGATGTAACCCGACGAAAATCACGACGCAGATGTGTTGGAGATACGGAAGATGCGCGATAGTAGTCCGTGAGCAAGATGTGAACGAATCGATAAGTCAATGTAGCAGACGTAGATGTGGGAAACAGATGCGGGAAACATATGTATGAGAGACGAGATAAATCGGCCACCGCGACACAGGGATCCTATTCGGTGGACGTGTCAGTGTGGGGCACTGAGTATGTGACAACGATAATGCACGGCCAATCGATGGAAGTGTGCTGAGGGTATCGTGAAGTCGCCATCAATGCTTCACTTCGATGACGGCATCGGAGGAACTGTGCTTCGGCAGCCTCTTCGACGCTGCATAGCGCTTTCCTGACGGGGACGGTGAAGAAAAGGTGAACGTAGAATGAATCCCCTCGCGCTCAGGAGTGGCGGAGGTGGAGACGCTTTCTCTAGGGCGAACAGGAGACACCGACTTCAATACCGGTACCGGAGAAACGCCGCGAGAAGTCTCTGTGCCTCCCACCTCCAATGCCTGAGTAGCATAGCACAAAGATTAGAAGGATATAAGAAATAATAGATAAACGTGCGTACCTTCGTGAGGACATCCTTGACGTCTTCAACAAGAGCAACGAGATCGGCCTCCAATGACGGCACCGCTTCATACGCCTCTGAAATATCCGCAAGCGGAAGCACCGTCAACTCGTAGCAACGCGAGTTGATTGCGCCTTGTGACACGCCATCTCGGTCTGTTCTCTCGTCCACCTCTTCCACGACCCGCGGCAGTGAAGGCGATCGCCTGGCCCGGCTGGGTCCCGCGCCCCCAACTCGCTTCGACCCTCCGCGTTTTTTATCGGCCACAACGCGGACCCTTGCAGCTGACGTCGTTTTCTCGACGCGATTCTTGGAGTCCTTCGACTCCTTTGCCTTCTTCGAAGGTGGCGGAGCATGAATTTTGGTGGCCAACACATTGGTTTTGCGTTTCTTGCTTGATAACTCCGTATTGGAGCGTAGGCCGGTTAACGGGTCGATGTTTTCCTTGTCAGGACGGAAAACAATCAGGGAACTAGCATTGAGAGGAGCGATAGCTCTCATGGGAGATGGTGTGGCCACCTCTGCAGAGGTCTCGACCTCAGATGGAGGCGCATCATCACGGAAAATCGTGAAAGCCATTTGCGGTGTGGAAGAGGGCGAGAGTAGGTGCAGACACGTACAGCCAAGCAGATGTCGTCTGGTGGCGATGGTGGAAGTAGAGATGAGGAGAAGGCGAGGGGGTATAAGCCACGGCTTCAAACTCCGATGCTCCGACAGCCAAGCTGCCGGGCGTCTGGTAGTAAGCCTAGCGGACGTGATATGGCCCTCGAGTCTTGGCCTTCCCATTGTTTGACACGAGGTGGACCCACAAAAGCCACAGTCGGCATAAATAATTTATAATGGTCAGTGGCGTCTTATTCATGGAATAGTCAGAAGAGGGTCTTTTGACCGCTCCAATAGTAGCTCTCGGATTTCCACCATGGCACCAAGGAAAGCGTCCTTCGTCCTCTCTACCAAACGACCATCCGTCTATGCCGGAGGAAGTATGTATAACGAGTGTATGTGAATATTTCATAGGTGATTATTATATTCCGTTCACAAGCCTCCAAAACTACTGTGGCCTATGCATGATGACTCAACCGACATGCAATTGTCGAAGCGCAGGAAGAACGGTTCAGGGGATTTTTTTGTTCGCAGGAGGACTGGCATCCAAACACCGACAGAAACTCGTAAGTATTATTATGTATTTAGTTGAAGCTGTCCAGTGCTAATAAACGATGTCCAGGGTATCCCGCCCCGCGTTCGAGGTGTCGAATGGATTTAGCATTCTTTTCCTGAAGACAAACGACTGATATCATGTTCTGCCTCAAATGTGTGTAAGTTACCGCCGCAACTATTTGGATAAATTCACGGAATTTAGCTCCCCCGAGAAGCCAAGAGGCCATTCCCAAAGTGGTCTCCCTTGTACTACTTTATGATCTGGATTGGGCCTTGCGATATCAGATTGATATGCTAAGCGAGATAGACAATAACGAGGTCAGTTTTGAGGAAGATCAAGCAGATTTTCCTCCGTCCCAACTCACTCTCGATGCGTCGAACGTATGTCGCAAGGACAGTTGTCCAGACGACACGGTGAACGTTCCCCAGACTACATACCCCACCTTAAATTACATCTCGTCCACGTTGCAGCACTGCGTGAAGCTAGGTGAAAACACAGGCTGTCGCTCGTCGTGCAAGAGCAGTGAACCTAGTCACCTTCCTTTTACATCGAGATGAGTGAGCTCCGTCTGAATCTGCCTCCTTTGCCGCGCGACGGCTTTGAACCGAACCACCTCGACCTCCGCTTAGAAGCACAGCGTCTGCACTGCCAGCAGCTCTTTTTACACCTTCTGGCTATTTCAATCATGAGTCTCAACAGATCTAAAAAGCCGTATAGCGTGAGTCACTCTTTGTCGTCCTGTTGAAAGCAGACTCATCACTACCCTCCCAGCGACCCGCATCCCGCCCGCGAGGCTCAGAGGGCGAATGGCTTCATGACAAAGCTCCTGGAGTGTCTCCAGCCGCTTCCAACATCAACGCAACCTCGACCATTCCCACTTCGAAGCTTATTATCTCGAACCTGCACTACGAATTGACACCCAAAGACCTGACTGTGCGCTCCTACCTCCTTCTCGCGCATGCCCGGTTGACGGTTTCCCCTGACTCTCGCAGCAAATCTTTGGACAAATTGGCACGCTTGTTCGTGAGCCATTGATCAGGGTACGAAGCTCCGACTGCACCACGTTCACCTGAAAGAGACCGATCGCGCCCCCTTTCGATTCGTTCGCGTTTGAAGTACGACCGCAGCGGCCGTTCGTCCGGTGTAGCCATCATCACCTTTGAAACGTCCGAGGATGCTGCAGCTGCGAAGCAGCGGTTTGACGGAAAATTGGCCAAGGGTAAAGTCGCCTGTTACCGCGCCTACTGCGGTGCTCACTCCCTCAAATCATCGGACTGATCCTTATCTCTTTCTTCAGGTCAACCTATGTCGATTGCATTCCACGCGGGTGCACCACATCGCCCACGGCAGAACCGCGCGGCCAGCGCACCGTCATCCCTCCTTAACCGCATACAAAAGCCACCTCTGCTCGATCGACTGGGCGGCAAGGGTGCAAAAAGCCAGGCGCCAGCGCCTGCTATGTAAGTTGCTCTAATGCGATTACACTATGCGTAGCTCGCTCATCTACGGACACAGTAGGACTGGACCGGGACCTATCCGGACGAAGGCGGCTCGCCCCCCACGAGTGCCCAAGAAACCGAAGACGGCGGCGGAGCTTGATATGGAGATTGATGCATTCATGAAGGACGATGTTGCACCCACACCGGCCGCGCCGCCGCCGCCGCCGCCGACGTCTGCAGCTGCGCCTGTCGAGGAGGATGTCGAGATGGCGTGATGGCGTGAAGTTCCGGTTGCTCGTATCTTCCTGTTTTCTCTTAGTTTCCGTACGCCTATCCCCCACTTCGTGGTATGTATATAGCTGGGTTCGCTCTAGTTTACATGTACATTGTCCACCTGCCTCAGAACGTGTGTTTTGTCTTTCAAGCGCCGAACTCTTCGATATTTCGGCGCTAAAAAACTCGCCTGCTTACAGCGAACTTAGCAGCTGCGCCTGTCGAGGAGGATGTCGAGATGGCGTGATGGCGTGAAGTTCCGGTTGCTCGTATCTTCCTGTTTTCTCTTAGTTTCCGTACGCCTATCCCCCACTTCGTGGTATGTATATAGCTGGGTTCGCTCTAGTTTACATGTACATTGTCCACCTGCCTCAGAACGTGTGTTTTGTCTTTCAAGCGCCGAACTCTTCGATATTTCGGCGCTAAAAAACTCGCCTGCTTACAGCGAACTTACACAGCGTACCGTCGACGTCATCTCCAACCTTCGGATTTGTTTCTGCCGTATTGTGCCGCGGGTGCATTGAATGATTACTCATTTCTGGGGTTTGTCAAACGATTTCAATGCTCTAATCAGAGTAGCTTTCTAACAAGCCGCTGCAACGGCCGCTAGTCGTTCAATGGCCTTTGCGTCCGAGGGAAATCCGGTGAAATGTCATGTGTGCCACACCATCACGAGAATCTTACTCTCGTGAGTGCTGTGCAACGTTTAGCTTCTCACATGGCCCGGTGACCTGTGAGTTCAGTGGTTTTTACGGGAGACCGCCCGTCTCTTGGGAGAGCACTTGAGAACACATTTAATGCTTCCAGAGCCATGGTCGAACCGTTCGCTCCTCCGGGTTGCTCGATATCTCTTAACAGACAGACGACAACGAGATGGGCCTCTCCGGACTTGCATTGACCTGCTTGGCGGCGATGCCTCTCGTGGGGTCGTTCACTATTCCATCGCCTTCGTCCATCAACAGCGATATCAACCTGCTGTACTATAATGACCTCGACCGTGAGTTTTTCGCTTGATCTGTGCTTGCTTCGCGCTCAAGGTGCTTGACTCTTCTCTGTATCAGTGTATACTGTGAGCGAACACAAGAGCGTGCTCCTGCTTTCTCCTCAGTCACGCTCAGAGGCAGCAGAGGCGTGCGCTACACTCGGTGAAACGTTGTTGCCAGTGAACGAGACATTCTTCCTCCGGGAACTGGTGCATTCGTTGCAGTATCAGGTCTACCAGGGTGCATATGGAGAGGACCAGTTGTATTGGGTCGGCACCAGCGATGCTTGCCAGGCTGTCAATTTCTTTGGCTTAGCGCGTGCAGCGGCATACGATGAAGAGTTGCCTGCGCTTTGCAGCCAGAGCTCGTCATTTGGTGCATCCCCCGCGCCCAGCAATTCACTTACTGTGAACTCAGGAAATCTGACCATCACAGGGTATGAATGCTGTAAAAAACAATTTCACGCTAGCAATTGATTGATAATTTTATCGCCTCAGATTTCGTGACCAACTTTCATTCAGATTTCAAGGAATACCTTATGCAAATCCTCCTGAGAGGTTTACCTACCCAATGTTCTACTCTGGTTCACCAGTGCTCAATGCGACCGCGTTTGGTCCCGAATGTGTGCAGTCAGGTGTCCCGAATAGCAGTGAAGACTGTCTATTTCTAAATATCTGGACACCATTCGTCCCACTCGATGCGTCCACAGTCACGAAGGAGCAGCTCAAACCTATTTTGTTCTGGATACATGGTGGAGCTTTCACTGGCGGGACAGGTTCGGATCCTACATTTGCCGGCGGAAACATGGCTTCGCGCGGGGATGTTGTTGTGGTGACAATGAATTACCGTCTGTCCACCCTCGGTTTCCTGGCTCTCGAAGACGGAACGACAAACGGCAACTTTGGTATCGCTGACCAGGTCACTGCACTCGACTGGGTACGCGAGTACATTGTGGCCTTTGGCGGCAACCCCGATCGCATTACAATTTTTGGCCAGTCCGCTGGCGCAGCGTCTGTCCGCGCGTTGCTGGCTTCCCCGCAGGCGATTGGCAAATACGCTGCAGCGATCCCGATGAGCAATCTAGCTGGCTCTGACTACGCAACCACGTACTCGTCATATTATACTATCCACGAGGTCACGACTGTGGTGGAATCAATTCTCGAGGAGCTAGGGTGCAATGTCACAGATGCGCTCAAATGCTTGAAAGCATGCAATGCATATGACCTAGTTAATCTGAAAAACGTGGCCAGGTGATCCGAGTACTTGATCGTGGTTGCACTCACTCATTCACTGTTACTTACGAAGATTTTTGGTTATCGACGGCACCTATATTATTTATCCTGAGCTCCCATTAAATGGATCGAGAACTGTTGCCAACGTCCATACCATGATTGGGTACATGCGCGATGATGGTAGCTTTTTGATTGACTCCTGCGGTGCGGATGCTTACTTACGTGCATCTGTAGGTGCCGCTTTCATTGGCTATCCCGTAAGCCTTTTGAACGAATTTCGCATGATGGTCTTCATGCCCATCTTCCCAATGCTCTTGCTTTAGACAAACGGTAATTTGACAGCTGGCCTCATTGCCCAGGATCTACCGACCACTGTGGTGAACAATTCGCTCTTTGCACCGTTAACGGGCCCCAATACTACTCTTGACGTGTTTAATGTCACAGCGCGAGTGGGGACGGATGTCGAGTTCCGCTGCCTTGACCAGGCAACCGCGTGGTCTGGCTTGCAGCACAATTTGTTTGAGAGTATTTGGTTATATCAATTCAATCGAAGCTATCAACCTTCAGCGTACAGTCCGAATTACCCTGTTTGCAACGCCCCCGTCAACGCTACCCATCCGTATGGAGATCCATCGCAAGAATACTTCAAGTAAGCAGACTTCTCTTCTGTCTATACAATTTTCTGACATCCACGTAGATGTCACTCCAGCGAGCTCTATTATGTCTTTGGCACTCTGCCGACTTCCGAACCCTACCGTGATGCAGAAGACCTGCCGTTCATGCAGACCACACTCGACACCTGGACGGCATTCGCCCGCACGTATGATCCGAACCCCGACCCGCTCTACCTAGCTGTGCGTGGGTATTGGACCTCCTTCGGGCAGCTTGCACAACAGGCCCAATGGCTCCCTGTCACGAACAAGACGCTTGACACCACACCGCTACGGACGCTCCAGTGGCCGAGCTACATGACAGAATTTGCGGAGCAGGCACAGTGCGAGTTCTTGGGGTATCCGTTGGATTACTTTGGGTGAGCTGTTAGCCCAAATGACTCTCGTGTCGGTATCGCCAATGATTACGATGGATCATTCTTCTACATACATCATCCCAGCTGGTGACATTGCGCAGCTTCGAGTATCGGCTTCAGGAGAGGGCAAGGCTGAGATTGTCCTAAATCACTTTCAGCGCCCAGCGCTCGGCGCCATGCCGCTGATTGATCCCGAATCTACGCGTACTGCCCTAGTAGTTAAGTATGCACCTGTTAGACTCTGCGAACAGATCGCCTCTCTAGACTCAAGCTGGACCGTCGCAAGATGGGGCTCCGTGGATTTGCATTGACATGCCTGTCAATACCTCTTGCAGCACCCTTCAGCGTGCCGTCCACGTCGTCGATAAACAGCGACATTTCGTTGTTGTACTACAATGATCTGGATAGTAAGCGCACAGAAGTAGTTCTTATGTGCATGCGACAAACTGAGCATCGTGGTTTTTATTAGTCTACACTGCTAGCGAGCACAGAAGTGTGCTTCTTCTCTCCCCAAAATCACAGTCGGACTCAGCAAATGCCTGTGCTCAGCTGAATGAAACGTTGCTGCTTGTGAACGAGACGTTCTTTTTGTCTGACTTGGTACCTTTACTCCAGTACCAAGTCTACGAAGGTGCTTATGGGACGGAGCAATTATATTGGGTTGGCGCCAATGGTTCTTGTCAAGCCGTCGATGCCTTGGGCGTGGTAGGTGAGGCGGAGTGCAGTCAGTCATTGCCTACACTCTGCAGCCAGAGCTCGTCATTCGGTGCATCACCTGAACCAGTTAACTCTCTGACGGTACATGCAGGCAATCTATCAATTACTGGGTGAGGTATCTGCAAGAATACTTCGCGATATTCCGCATTTGATACTCCCTGCAACTGTAGATTCCGTGATCAACTATCGTTCCGATTCCAGGGAATTCCCTTCGCTAATTTTCTCGAGCGATTCACATACGCAACATTATACTCCGGGTCTGCGACTGTGAACGCTACGGCGTTTGGTCCCGCTTGTATACAGACGAAGACTCTTTTAATCGGGACCAGTGAGGATTGTCTCTTCCTCAACATCTGGACTCCCTTCATACCCTTCAACTCATCCACTTGAGTGGGAAATCGGCTCAAACCCGTTGTCTTCTGGATACACGGCGGCTTCTTTCTTCTGGACACGGGAGCAAATTCGATATATGCTGGAAGCAACATGGCGTCCAGGGGTGACATCGTCGTCGTGACAGTCAACTACCGTCTATCGACGCTGGGCTTCCTTGCTCTCAACGATGGCACAACGAATGGTAATTTCGGCCTAGCTGATCAAATTGTCGCACTCGACTGGGTGAAGGAATACATCACCGCCTTCGGAGGTGATCCGGATCGCATCACGATTGCTGGTGAATCTGCAGGTGCAGCATCTGTGCGAACGTTTCTCGCATCTCCTCTGGCTATTGGCAAATATGCTGGAGCCATTATGGAGAGCAGTCCCCGTAGACGATATTCGTCGTACCTCAGCATCCTAGAGGTGAGTATACTCGTGGAGCCGATCCTAGCTGAGATCGGGTGCAACCTTTCCGATGTGCTTGAATGCTTGAGAGCATACGACGCAAATGCCCTTGTTAATCTGGCACACATTGCAAGGTGATTCATACATCTTACCTTCGTTCCTCTCAGTCTTACACTTCAACTAATTACTCAGCTCGCTTGTGGGCGATGGGACCTACATTGTCTATACTGAGCTTTCCTTGAATGGATCAGGCGATGTCGCAGGCATACACGTCATGATCGGGAACCTGCTGATGAAGGTATGTGTCACTCCGATAATTGGCTGGCATACCGATGCAACTTCATTCTAGGTGCTGCGTTTATCACCTATCCAGTACGTTTTGATTCACGTCACTTGCCTGGCAATTCGTTGACATTTTACCTTAGACAAACGACAATTTCACCGCTGAGCTGATCGCTAATTCTACAGCGCGCGTTGAAACAGAGGTGGACATTCGGTGCCTCAACCAGGCGACGGTATGGTCTGGTGTGCAGCACGACCTCTTCCAAAGCATCTGATTCTATGAGTTTAATCGGAGTTATCAACAGACGGCATTCGACCCCAATCACCCCGTTTGCGACGCCCCTCCAGATGCTACGCACCCGTACGGGAACCCTTCGGAAGAATATTTCAAGTGAGTTAACTCCAGCATAGTATACGTACATTGATAACTATTGTTCTGCAGATGCCACACAGGCGAGCTGTACTTTTTTTTTGGCACCCTCCCAAGTGACCGCCCGTACCGCGATGCGGAGGACCTGCCATTCATGCAGACCGCTCTGGATGCCTGGACGGCCTTTGCTCGTACATAAGACCCGAACCCTGACCCGCTGTACCTCGCAGCACGTGGGTATTGGACGGCGATCGAGCATATCGCACAGCAAGGTCCGTGGGTGTCTGTTACCAAGGACATGCTGGATACTGCGCCGATGCGCGTGCTCTAGTGGCTGGGTTACATGGGGTCGTTTTCGGAGCAGGCGAGTTCCTTAGATACCCGCTTGACTACTATGGGTGAACGTGGTTGGTTTGTGAAAATGCTGTCGTTTGATCGCTGGATGTTCATCGAAAGATTTCCTCTTCAATAACCCCCCACGTGGGATATTTGAGGACAGGAGAATATAAACCATCTGACTTCTTTACGGTTCAAAACAGGTTCGGAGTCTGATGTAGGATTCAATAATGTCGTTCACTTTGCCTTCACTAAATATAAATATGCAATTCGTCTTTCCTTACCAATCTATTGACGCCACGGGCCTGCGAATCATATTATTGACTCTGTCCCATGACAGTATGTCCTTCGAGAAGTGAGTTACGGACATGAAAAGAATCGCTGGAAGGTAGGGAAGGTTCGTACCGAGAGATGTACACTGCGATCCCATATTCAAGACATGGCCACGCTGCCTCCGCATTGTCTCTGGAACGTTTTGAACGCGAACCACGGCCTACTGCTGGGCGCTGAGATTTTTGTCGTAGTTGATTTTTGCAGCAACAGCTTGAAACATGCTGGGTCTGTGGAAGTGTTCTTCTCGCATTCGACTGCCACTTCAAAGGGGGCCTGCGGCAGGTCTGTGGTGGTTTGTTGGCGGATGACATGATACTGATGGCTACCCAAGCAGCAACTTGTTCACTGTTCCACTCTCACCCGATTCTCCGAAAGCGCATGAAGGGCAATGATGCCAATCCTAGTTCTGTCAGCAATGCTTCCAGGCATGAATCAGACTCAGGTGAAACAGGCCCGACAGTCAGCGGCGACGACAACTTCAAGGAATTCATGCGTTGGGCTCTAAGCTGGGAAATGCGGGAAATCCGAGAGGTGGAACTTGAAAATGGATTGCGAGGAGTAGAAGTCAGAGGCGTCATCACAACCTACGTCAATCCCCATCCCACTGGTCGAGGTGACAGATATGTTGATCGGAGACTTGTCGATGACTATGGTGCTTGGCACATCGACGAGTTGACGGAAGGACAACTTGCTGATTACATGGCTGACATAGAAGGAGGGTGCGTCTCAGGTTTACACAGTGTCTTGGTTGCAGTTTTGACCTATTCTTGCTCCTCCTGAAGCCCCATGTCCCGAATGCCCTATTTCAAAGGCACATGGGAAAAGACAATCATCAGTGAAGAAGAGCTTCTTGCTGATGAGCATGATCAGGAACTGAAGGAGAACGACGAATACGCAGAGGATGAGGAGGTCGAAGAAGGGGACAATACAACACCCGATGAAAGTACCGATGAGGTCAATGGTCGACAGTCTCGGTGACCGGTGTAGATATTTAGCTAGACTAAGAAGGTTCAAACGTTCAAGTTAGGCCTCAGACATAGCTATAGGCCTAGGACTATATTACGCGTTCCGAGTACTGTGTGCCATAGATTGATCGAAGAAAACACATGACTTCCGCGATTCTACGTACCAGCAAACATCTGCAAACATCCCTGGTGCACAAACGCGGCAGGTGCGGATTCTATCGCGATGGCACATAAGGAATGCCTCCCGACTACTCGGATCTCGTGTCTTTACTCACCAATTTCGGTATTGGTATCTATGCACGAGCTATGGTATCTGGGTCACTGGATTCTCCCCCCCCTTTTTTGCTGGTTACATGTTGCAGCTGAACTTCGATTACCGAAGAACTTATGAGTGCGGCTCGAGGCACAGCGTGTCTTGTGCAAAAGATGCAGGTGCACTTTTGGCGCGGCTCGAGCGATGATTGTGCTTAATCAGTGCAATTTTATCGCCAATTCACGTTCTAGATATTGAATCTGCGTGAGCCGTCACGATGCTGTCCTCTTAGTAGAGTCTCAAGTGATGCTAAATGAACCCTGATCGTGTATACTTACTAAACAGCCTGTTTGTATGTCTGACAATTAGTGGCATGCTCAAGGAACACAGGCATGGTGATGCGCATTATTCAGCAGTTGCAAACAGCGGGATCTCCCACGCGACTTCAAGCATTTGCCGATACTAGTGGTCGCTCACCCCAACATGAAAATGGTCTACTCCAGCCTGCGAACATCCGTGAGTTGGCTGCTACCATCTTCGCGATCTGATGAATTTCGTCGACATATCAATATGATAACCGTTGATTGTGAGTCTCTTGTGTGGGCAGGATTCGCTCATCTGGTGCATACTATCATGATGTAGATCATGACTCAGACAAATGCGCAAGGCATGGCGATCTCGTCCCTTCTGGCGGGTTTTTTTCTTAACCAGAGACAGAAACAGGGAAATGCAACCTAGAACTTTCGTCATCCTGTGACCCCTGGTGCAAACACAAATGGATATTTCGTACCTCGACACCGCCGAAGAATCGCGGTTCCCTCTAGTGACTGTGAGATGCAGGTGCGAGATACCAAGCTACGACTAACTTGGTGATGAATGCAGTTAACTATATGCCGGAAATATGCATTCCGGAGAACATAGAGCATCATGCCGGGCATCTACCTAGTTGCGGGCTGGAAGAGCATGATGGTCAGTGACAGCAAGTCCATCAAAGTGTCTGCTAACTCACGTGGTTATGTCAGAACCACTGCATCGTTGTTGGTGTCCTTCGGGCTTTTAGGCGCGTCTTCTGAAGTAATTGACGTCGATTTGTTCAGAGAAAATGTCTCTTATCGCGGTATCGCGGTACTTAAGCCCACTTCCAGAGGGCCATCGAGTTTCCGTGGATGTGACAAAATCATTCGACTGGCGTGAAGTGGAAGCCTTTCCTCGACGACGCTGGACACTATTTGCGGTAGGTTCCCCATAGACTCCGAGGCTGCCCTAGTTGGTCGACAGCAGAAACATGTCAGTCAGTGGTCGAGAACTAATCTCGTGAGATACAATGCTGACCAGTGGCCACATTAGACCCAACGCGCCCTCCCAGCTAGGCGTGGGGATGTTTCGGCGCATATCTCAAGTGGCCAATGTCGGGCTATGAGAAATAATGTCTGACCCGACGCCCAGCTCCCATAATCCCAGCGAGGCAAGTGGCTGAATTTGTCGCGGCATGTTTGTTTGGTCACTTCGAGTTCGTGGCCATCGGCCGCGCGACGCTATTTAACCGCCACTTCCTGATTTTGCCGGCACTTTCTCATTGAACCACAACCACCACCATTTTGTCTCCAACCTTTGCTTCTTCCTTTAACATGTCAACTACTCGCAAAATCACTGCTGTGGTAAAAGTTCACTTCAACGAACATGGCCTTGACGATCGCATGGTCCCTGGGTTCCGCTGGAGTCAGATGGTGCCGATATCGGCCACAGTTATGGTGCGATGTATTCCTACCTTGCACTTGCGTCGCTGCTGATAGCACCAATGGCGCTCAGACGATTGAACTTTACATTCCCTACTGGTCTATGGCCGACCTTCGTGCTGGTCGTGACACCGGATTCGAGAAAGGCGTGGGACTGTCTCTTAGGGTATCGATCAATTGTTGGTTGTATCGTTCTTCTCATTTACCTTGTCTACTACAGCCCCTACAACGATTGGAAAGAAGGTTCAGCGGTGTGCTGATATCGGAGATGGTTGTCCACCGCCGCGATGGTCGCGTGAGGCCACCCATTATGATCGCCAACGATTTGATGCCGGACGCGGCAAAGGTGAGTCTTCTCCTCTTCGTATAACATCACGATTCACTGCGAGTGTCATTAGTATGGTTCTCCTGCCTTCAAGTACGAGAAGTGCCCCATGGAGTGGGCCACTGTCGTCGAAACCTTCGTGGTACGTTGCAGGACAATTGACACTTACTGTATGCATTCTGACGACGGAATACATTTCACAGCACGGAGTAGTCATCAAGATTGCTGCAGGGGAAGATGACTTCCGGACGGGCTCATCTTCAGCGTCAACAACACCTTCGTCTACAAATGGCAGGCATGCTTTGGAAGACAAGGAATCCGGCGAATCAGAGGCAGCTCCTCCAAGGCCTGCTCCATGGAACGATACTCCGAAAGTCCCATCTTCTGCACCGACGGCAAACGCACCTTCCAAGAGTAGGAAGCGTGCTCGGGACGATGAACCGTCTACGGAGACGGAGGCAGCTCTGCCTCACAAGAAGGCACGAACGCGAATCGCCATGGTCCCAACCTCCCGCGAGAACCGGAGGTCAGAGCGAACGACCTCGCGGAAAAGCAATGAGAGGACTCGCGCGGGCGCTGCTCGGATTGCTGGGCGGCTGACGACGAAAGCTACTGAGGTGGCCACAACCAGGGCCACGGCAACCACGAACGTCCACACCATGACGGTGCCAGTTGTCCCGCCAATGCCGCTTCCGTTCATGGCTCCGCAGCCCATTTACTATGGTCCTGCATCGGCAGCGGTAACGCCAATGCCACCCCAGTTCGTGGCTCCGCAGCCCGTCCACCATCGCTACCCTATCACGTCGATGTCGGCCATTGGAGCAGGCCCCTCGCGGTGGTTCCCAAATCAGGTGGCTCCAGCTCAGCAATTTCGTCCCGTGAGGCCCGCAGCATCGTTAGCGGGTATGCCTTCAGTTGCTGTCGACTGGGAACCCCGCAGGCCCACCACATATGCGCACACAACGTGGACAATGCCTCCATCCCCGACTGGCTTCTCGCAGCGTGAGTCTTTGTCCGTCTTCTTCAGTTATATTTCGCGCTCAGGGCCTCATCTGGGTTAGTTCCAAATATCGCACGGTCACTCCGGTCGCGAGATATGCGGGAATCGGCTGCGCCACCACCACCACCAACTGATGGTGTGTTCAACTCTCATCTGATATCCTAAGCCTCAACTGAGCTCTTGCGCTAATGTCCAGCGGCATATGAGTGGATGCCCGCTCCGCCACAAACTCATGAGGCTTTACCGTCGGGTTTACATGCTCACGCTTCTGCTATTGTCCCAGCTCCACTCGTGCTGCCCGGTAGCCCCATCGTTCTCCCACAGGAGTTTGATGTTAATGAGTTTGGCGGGGGTGAATTCGGCCCATTCACCGACGCGTACCTCTCCGCCCTAGGTGTGGGTATGCACCTTTCTCTTTCATCTAGTCAGCTTTCTAACTGAATGTGTTCATTCTACATTCAGGTATGACAGGGACCAGTAACCCCACTACCGGTTCCTCCCTGTAGATGTGCGAGCGAGAACTGACAATGTGGGCAACGCTGTCGCATGACCATACCTCTGCCTCTCCCCGCCAACGGTTGCGTCAGGTATGTGCCCTGTCTTTCCTTTTCACTCGCTGTATATCTGACTCCATGGAGTGCTTCAAGCCCTCGGTTTCTCTGCGTAGGTACGCGAATGAGAGCAGATCTCCCGAGCTGCTCATCGTTGTACGGCCTGCAGCCCACGTAAGCTTGCGTCCGGCCGTCGTGCTTAAAACTGGTGCTAGTGGTGGCTCCTCGTCCTCGTCTCAACCTAGGTATTTTTTGTCAATACCTGGCCGTAGCCGATAGTTGTCATGTCTGTTCATGTATTTTACTGTGTGTGTCACTTGGTGGATGTATTATTATTCTTGATCTTTGTCTTTCTTCTCTCTGTATAGCAGTACTGTTGTTGCTCTCACTTAATTGTTGTTACGTTACTGTCAGTTCATTGTAGTTGTCTTTCTCGTCATACATCAATAGTACTGGTGCGCTTGCGATCGTAATTTCTCTCTAAGTCGCCACTTACACGGATCTCGTATAAGATTCAGCGACTGTACAAATCGGAGTCAATAATAGGTGCCCGAATTTGGCATGTGTTGTAGTTGAAGTTTGGTCTCGTACACCACCGCCCTCGCTCTGACGTCTGGGGCATTTCAACCGTGACACCCCCCCTTGCTCTTATCAGCCCTAAGCGAGATTATCTGAGCCCGCGCCATCAATCATCCTGCCTTTTCGGGAAGGCACAGAGACTCGATGTCGAGATTCATACTCAACTTTTGGAGGCATTGCCCGCGAGGAGGCCATGTAATCATGCAGAAATATAAAAGTGATGCAATATGAGCTTCCTCGCGAGAGGAATAAGTAGGATTGAGACACCTCTGTGAGAAACCAAGGAAAGTAAGTAGAGTCTGCAGTTAGTTCATGTTTTCTGTGGCCGCAATCCCTCATATAATTCATTAAACTACATGTACATTGTCAAGATAGTATTTCTATGCTAATTACAGAGAATGACTGCTACAACAGTATGTGCACGCGGTGATATCATGGCTCGAAAGTCAGAGGAAGCGTAGAGGAATTGCCGATTTAGGCGGGATGATTGATGGCGCGGGCTCAGATAATCTCGCTTAGGGCTGATAAGAGCAAGGGGGGGTGTCACGGTTGAAATGCCCCAGACGTCAGAGCGAGGGCGGTGGTGGGGTGCGTTACTCGCTCACGTCGGGGTACGAGACCATTGAAGTTGTCCAGTTCAGCATCACGTCTCGGCCCTCGCGCCAGCTCTGGCAATGCTACTTCACCCTGGTGATTGAGAAGATCATCTCGAATGACAATATTAGTTTCTACCAAGTTCTACATGAAATGGGATAATTGCAGACTGAGCTCTGGTAACCAGGTGACGAAGCATTCTAGTCCTGGTCCACTCTCCTTAGACCCAGTTACGACCATCCCATTCTTGCTGCAGCGCCCACGACAGCCCACAACCCTTCATGATTCGAGAGACCTGCTCAAGATCAGGTTCCCGAACTTGCAAGCGCTTCCAATGCGGCAACGGAGCCAGCGTGCCAAAGGTCTGGCGCGCATCTTTGACCCGCGCAAGGTAGATGTGTAGCGGCTGCGGCAAGGGGCGCTGAGGCATGCTGTCGATCACGCGTTCGATCGAGCCGTATTTTCGGATGAGCCTGATAGCGTGTACAGGCCCGACGCGCTTGATACGGTCGGTGAAGTCTGTGCCCAGGAGGAGCGCAAAGTCCACGAAACTCGCCCGATCAAGGCGGAGCAACACACGCACATCCACCCCGGAGGTTACGACTAGTGGCTTGGAGCGGTCTGCGATGTTCTGAATCATAGGCACCTCGTACACCAACACATCCTGGAATGAAACATGGCCTTAAAAGTGCAGTGCCAAGAGAAGAAGAAGAGACAGACGGGACGAACGGTGTCAGTTGTGGCGACGTAGTCAGCATAGCCGTGTCTCACAATCGAGGACGCAAAAGCCTCGCCCTCGAATATTCCGGTCGGGTTTTTGCAGGGCACGCCGAGGGCTCTGAGAAGCTTTTTGATCTCTTCATAAGTTGCGCTCGTCGGTCGCTGCGTACCGAAATTGTAAGGCTGCGAAAACACGTGGCTCTTTTGTAAGGATGCCCCAAGACTGACCTTGCTGTTCGGGTCATCGTGGTTCTCCACAGCCTCAATTTGTGGTATAACTGGGTCATCGCATGGCGAGGAAAGAGACCGTGATAGGTCAAGGGTACTGTATTGCCTCGTTCCCTGCGCAATGCTAATTCGGCGTCAGAGAACTCAGTGGTGTCCCAAGCGCACCTTATTGCATTCTTGGAGAGTGCGCCATTGCCTGAACTTTGGAGAAGATGACTAGAACACTGCTCGATCAAGACTTCTGATGGAACACAGTCGCCTTACCACCGGTCTCTTCGCAGGATTGCGCTCGAAGGCCTCGAATGCACAGATAGCACGCACATTGTTTTCACGCAGTTCGCGTATGATGCGATACCATCCCAAAATGTGTCTGTACTTGCAGTGCAACTTTTCGGAATGAAGTTGGTGCGTTATGAGCGCGCCATCCCTGCATAAGCTGACGTTCAGGTAGGCAGTGTCTCATGAATGAACGGACTCACATGACGACCGTCTTTCCACTTAGAGAAACAAATCTATCTGAAAGCGTCTTGATCGCCCCTGGACTGGCAGCTCAAAGTGCGTTAATCGTGTCCCAATGTCTTATATGAAGACGCTACTCGCCACTCCTTTTTAATGAAGTCAGAAAATCCGCGAACGCCCATCTGAACCAGAAACTACAGCAAAATACAATATGAGATTCAGTGAGACACAGTGGCAACTACCCCAATTCACCGACGGCCAATCGACGGCCACGGAGAGGGAGAGGTGCAGGGTAACTGACTAAGCCCCCGCAGCGTTGACGTGCAGTCACCGCATGTTTGGCTTGTGAACTTCACATGGATTGTGCATCAGCTTCGAATTTATCTGGTTCGTGAACGTTTCTTGGATGGTACTCGCCCATCGTCGTGCATTCTGGCGAAACGTTATGCGGTAACATGATGCGCGTGAGGACAGTCTCCGACTGTTCATGCCTGAAGTCTTGGATGAAGGTCGTCAGTAACACAATTGTAAACGCACGACAGAGAAAATGGACTCGGTCTTATCTTGACTTGCAAATGAACGACACGAGGAGGCACCGAGTACTACACGACGGCCAACTTGAAGGAATTTCGGGTGAACAGCGAATCGAGGACGGTCAGGTGACCGTGTGCCGTCTTGAACTTAAACTTGACCGTCACGGTTTGACTGCATTCAACGTTCCACCTTGACGTTGTTCAAAATCACTGGATCGCGTCTCCTACGGCTGGAAATGTCCCCACACCGTACTCTGGAGTGCTACGATATTCTCGCAGGTATATTCCAGTACCTGTCGCTCGATTATGATCCAAGTGCAGTAGCCCGCGCACACTGCGGAGGCTAATTTTATTACAAAAACGTATCGGAGAGGGGCATCATTCTACGCGCCAGGTTCTGTTCGCGACCAACGCTAGCTCTCGAGCGTCGGACGGCGTTGACTATACGCCTTGTGGACGTTCTTGCGCGAAGACGTCTCCACCGCATCGAACTTCTACACGACGTCTAGTCTCTACGGTCGCGCTGCGATAGTAACGAATGTCTGAACCTCGGTCAGCAATATTACAGGGACTTGAACGTCATTGTATAGAGCGTCGCCGGTGACCTGCGTGAGCCGTCCGACCACCTTGTATGCCATGACCTCCCACCCTCCAGCAACCTGGGAGCTCTCTGCCCGCCGCATCTCGCGGGTTGGAAGCGCGTCGGTGCACGGTTCGGTTGGCGCAGCGGCCGGATGCGTGGGCGCGAGACGTCCACTTTCCGGGGCTCGAAGCTTGATTAAGCGGAGCACGTCGGGCTTGGTATCGCATCCCAGGTTTTGGTTCCCATGCGACGGCCAATGCTGTGTCCGCTTACTGTACGGACGGACGGCGGGTGCGGTGGGAGGGGAGCTGTGTGTTGTATGGTGCGACGGGAGGCGGCGGGCGCGGATGTGATTGCACAGCTGGATCGGCACGGCGAGGCGGGCCGCCGGGGAGTGGCGCGGGCGGGCGACACGCATAGGCATTTTCGAGATGGACATTGAATCCGCGCCAGCGTCGCTGTGGAGCGACGGCGTCGAGTACTACGGCGGATGTATACGTCGCGCATCTGGAGGACTCGAAGTGGTACTGCGTCGGGAGCGTCACAACGCAGTACAACTTGGAGCGTTCAGATAGCACCGACAGTGGAGGCGACGAGGAGTGCATGGACGGTGAGCACTTTTTTGACGGCAGGGGTCTGCAGGTCCAAGGGATGTCCACCGGCGGGGGGAGGGGGTGAAGGCTAGGGCTCCGCACGTCCGCCTCGCCAGAGGTGACGATACCGCCGGGGGTGTCGGGAGTGCGTTGAGATACGCGAGCGAAGACGGCGATGCGGTCGCCGCACCCCTCTCTATGCGTGAGTACTTCTCCCCGTAACCCTACGTATATAAGACACGGCCAGTGAGCGCCAGCGAGCATCTGCGTCACCGGCAGGGAAGGACGTGGCCGCGCGGACGACAGGGCGAGAGGGGGGCTGAGATGCGCAAGCGTTTTCAAGATGGACGTTGAATCCCGGCTGGCGTCGATGTGCGCGTTCTGCCAGCTTCCGGCGCGCATCTGAAGGACTCGAAGTGGTACTGCGTCGGGAGCGTCACAACGCAGTACAACTTGGAGCGTTCGGATAGCACTGATAATGGAGGTGATGAGGTGGGCATTTTTTTGTCTTGGATGAATATGAATGATGGGGAACAGAGGGTGTGGGTTGGCGCTGCGGATATCTAGATGAATTAATGCTGGAGAGACGCGATGGCGGGGAAGGACTGCACTCGCCGCTGTGGAGTGATATCTGCATCGGCGTTTGTGAAGCTTTGAAGGCTTGGGCATCGTGCAAAACCTTGGCTCAACTTGACAGCTTGACCGGTCCCAACTTCAACTCCCGCTGCTGGGTGATAGGCACCTGATGCGCCGGGTTCGTATAGTGATGAGCGAGACCGACAGGAGATAGGGCTATATCACGATGCGCCAGCGCGTGTCGATGGAAGCGATGGATGGGAGCGGACACCGATGAGGGCGGCGGTCGGCAGGTCTGACGAATGTCCACCGGAAGGAAACCTGTCTAGGGAAGAGAATGATAAACGCGCTGCACCGTCCGCTTCGCCGGAGTTGACGACGCCGCCGCGCGCGTTGATGACGGTGGGTGACTACATGGTGTGACGTCACGGAGTGTGAAGACGGTCGCGTATCGACGTAGGGGACGAACACCGATGAGGGCGGGGGTCGGCAGGTCTAAGGAATGACCACCGGGGAGACCTAGGGTACTGCATACGTCGGCTTCGCCGGAGCAGACAAGCCACGGCCAGTGAGCACCTGCATCACCACAGATCGCGTCAGTACACGAGGCGCAGTCCGACGAGGGCGGTCGGCAGGTCTGACGAATGTCTTCCGGAGAGAGACTCGGCCTGTCTTCATAATAGGGAAGAGCGGGCGACACGTGTAGGCGTTTTCGAGATGGACATTGAATCCGCACCAGCATCGCTGTGGCGCGCGTTCTGACGACGGCGTGGAGCACTACGGCGGATGTATATGTCGCGCTGGCTCCTTCCGGCGCGCATCTGAAAGACTCGAAGTGGTACTGCGTCGGGAGCGTCACAACGCAGTACAACTTGGAGCGTTCAGATAGCACCGACAGTGGAGGCGATGAGGAGTGCATGGACGGTGAGCACTTTTTTGGCGGCAGGGGTCTGCAGGTCTAAGGGATGTCCACCGGAGGGGGGTAAGGGCCAAGTCCGCCTCGCCAGAGGTGACGATACCGCCGCGGGCGTCGGGAGTGCGTTGAGATACGCGAGTGAAGACAAGGCACGGCCAGTGAGCGCCAGCGAGCGTCTGCGTCACCGTCAGGGGAGGACGTGGCCGCGCGGACGGGTGGCTGACATGTGTAAGCGTTCTCAAGATGGACGTTGAATCACCGCTGGCGTCGATGTGCGCGTTCTGCCAGCTTCCGGCGCGCATCTGAAGGACTCGAAGTGGTACTGCGCTGGGAGCGTCACAACGCAGTACAACTTGGAGCGTTCGGATGGCACCGACAGTGGAGATGATGAGGAGGCGAATGGACGGTGGCCACCTTTGTCTTGGAATGAAATTGATGGGGGATGGAGGACGTGGGTTGGCGCTGAGGATATCTAGATGAATTAATGCTGGAGACGCGATGGCGGGGAAGGACTGCACTCGCCGCTGTGGAGGGATACCTGCATCGGTGTTCGCGAAAGTCGCGCAGCGTGCAAAGACTCGGCTCGACTTGAGCGGTGCGAACTTCAACTTGGGCACCTCCCGCTGCTGGGTGACGCGCCGGGTTCGTATAGTGATGAGCGAGACCGACAGGAGATAGGCGTACGTATGTTATTATGCGCCAGCGCGTGTCGACGGAGGCGATGGATGGGAGCGGACACCGATGAGGGCGCGCGGCGGTCGGGAGGTCTGACGAATGTCCACCGGACTTAAGGAAACCTGTCTAGGGAAGAGAATGATAAACACGCTGCACCGCCCGCTGCGCCGGAGCTGACGACGCCGCCGCGCGCGTTGATGACTGTGGGAGACTACATGGAGCGACGTCGTGGAGTGGTGTGTCGGCGTAAGCGATGAACGAGGAGGGCGGGGGGTCGGCAGGTCTATAAGGAATGACCACCGGGGGAGGCTCGTCTGCCGCGCGAGATGAAAACTCGCGCAGCGGGGGGGTCTCTTAAGTCGTCAATCTCGGGGTTCCCCGGCTTCTTGATCTTAACGCGGCGTATGGAGGAGGGGCGAACCTCACCAATCGCCTCGTCAGATTCCCGTCGAGCATTTGCGGCTCTAGCACGGGCTGCATTGGCCTCACGAATAAACACGCTGCACCGTCCGCTGCGCCGGAGCTGACGACGCCGCCGCGCGCGTCGGGAGCGCGTTGATGGCGGTGGGTGACTACATGGCGTGACGTCATGGAGTGTGAAGACGGTCGCGTATCGACGTAGGGGACGAACACCGACGAGGGCGGGGACGTCGGCAGATCCACTGAACGTCCACCGGGGAGACCTAGGGCACTGCACGTCGGCTTCGCCGGAGCAGACAAGCCACGGCGAGCGAGCATCTGCGTCGCCACAGATCGCGTCAGTACACGAGGCGCGGTCGGCAGGTCTGACGAACGTCCCCCGGAGAGGGACCCGGCCTGGCTTCGTAATAGGGAAGAGATGGATGAATAAGCTGCACCGCCCGCTGCGCCGGAGCTGACGACGCCGCCGCGCGCGTTGATGACTGTGGGAGACTACATGGAGCGACGTCGTGGAGTGGTGTGTCGGCGTAAGCGATGAACGAGGAGGGCGGGGGGTCGGCAGGTCTATAAGGAATGACCACCGGGGGAGGCTCGTCTGCCGCGCGAGATGAAAACTCGCGCAGCGGGGGGGTCTCTTAAGTCGTCAATCTCGGGGTTCCCCGGCTTCTTGATCTTAACGCGGCGTATGGAGGAGGGGCGAACCTCACCAATCGCCTCGTCAGATTCCCATCGAGCATTTGCGGCTCTAGCACGGGCTGCATTGGCCTCACGAATAAACACGCTGCACCGTCCGCTGCGCCGGAGCTGACGACGCCGCCGCGCGCGTCGGGAGCGCGTTGATGGCGGTGGGTGACTACATGGAGCGACGTCGTGGAGCGTGAAGAGGGTGATGTGTCGGCGTAAGCGATGAACGAGGAGGGCGGGGGTCGGCAGATCCACTGAACGTCCACCGGGGAGACCTAGGGCACTGCACGTCGGCTTCGCCGGAGCAGACAAGCCACGGCGAGCGAGCACCTGCGTCCCCACAGATCGCGTCAGTACACGAGGCGCGGTCGGCAGGTCTGACGAACGTCCTCCGGAGAGGGACCCGGCCTGTTTTCGTAATAGGGAAGAGATGGATGAATAAGCTGCACCGTCCGCTGCGCCGGAGCTGACGACGCCGCCGCGCGCGTCGGGAGCGCGCGCGTTGATGACTGTGGGAGACTACGTGGAGCGACGTCGTGGAGTGGTGTGTCGGCGTAAGCGATGAACGAGGAGGGCGGGGGTTCGGCAGGTCTATAAGGAATGACCACCAGGGGAGGCTCGTCTGCCGCGCGAGATGAAAACTCGCGCGGCGGGGGGTTCCTAAGTCGTGAATCTCGCGGTTCTCCCGCTTCTCAATGCGGAGTATGGAGGAGCGAACCTCACCAATCGCCTCGTCAGATTCCCGTCGAGCATTTGCGGCTCTAGCACGGGCTGCGTTGGCCTCGCGAATGGCCCGATTACCGTAGCTGATTGATATAGCCTGCTGAGAGGCCACGTCGGACTCGTCGAACCTCGCCGAGGTCGCAGCGAGGAGGGTCCTCTGTGTGGTTCCACAGCGGGCTGAGCTGCTGCGGCTCATCCGTTGGTATTCTCGGGAACACGGCGCGGATCCTCAGCCGTGTCTTTGTCTCCAGCGCCCCGTGTGAGCTCATCACGGTCATCGACGACGCCTTCGCGCTCTGCTCTGCCCGATCGCAAGGGATCAGACTCGCGAGACGGGTCATCATGGGCGTCGGCAGGCGGTTACCGTTTTCGTTCTTGTTCGGTAGATTGGCCGCGATCGTCGACGTCGTCGCCGCTAGTCTCTAGAACGGGTACCGCGCCTCGCCTTCGGCGCACCAACTCCAGCGGTGACGGTCGTAGTGGAGCTTGCACTGGGGTTCCGCTTGCAGACCGGCATGTTGACAGAGAAGATGAGAGAAACGAAGGTTTTTTCGGGTAAGAAATGGGTTTGTTGCGTAGCTACATAGAATAGACTTGACTGATACCGAGGTGATATCAAAATGTATAAGGCTTTTGCGGCCTTTGGTGGTCCTCAAGTCGCGGGAAATGCGCTGAACTGTTCGGGTTTTCAGCGAGTACAGTAAAGACGAAAGCCCTTCTACGCGGTTGAGCGCGTATTCGACGCCTCGGCTAATCCCGAGGCCTCGACTTCTCTAATCCTCTAATATCCTTACAGCAGGTCCCACCGGGGCCTACGGCGGTGCACGTCGGCCTCGCCGGAGCTGAAGGACGCCGCCGCGCGCGTCGGGAGGGCGCTGATGACGGTGGGAGACTACATGGCGTGACGTCATGGAGTGTGAAGACGGTCGCGTATCGGACGAACACCGATGAGGGCGGGGAGACCTAGGGCACTGCACGTCGGCTTCGCCGGAGCACAGTGGCAGGATGGCAGATCGTGTCAGTACGCGAGGCGGCGCAGTCGAAACAACATCGGCAGCGCACAGCAAGCACTCGAGAGATCGACAAGGTGGTGGCTGGGGTTAGGGTTCCAGGAAGCGCGTCGGTCTATATGAACTTGCGACCGCCTCTACCGCCTCAAGAACGATGTCTGCGCCGACGGCGGCTCCCAATCCATACTCGCAGTACTACCGCCCTGCGCCTGCATCGTACCCCACCCAGCCGCTGCCGAGCCCGACGAGCCCCGTCCGGCCGACCGCTGCACAGCCGGCGTCCTCCGCCTTCCCGCCGCACTCGTACATACCTCCGTCCTCGTACGCGGTCCCCGCCCACCCACTCACCCCGGCCCACTCCTCGTTCCCTGGCCCAGCCACCAACCCATACCCGTCCCCCGACTCCCCCGCGCACAGGCGGCCGTTGCCCACCCCCGCGAGCCGCCCCGGCTCCATGGCATCGCCCCGCCCAAGCCCGTCCCCGTCCCACCGCCCGTCCTCCTCCGTCTCCTCCGTCTCCTCAGCCTACTCCGCCTCAGCCAGCCCACCACGGCCCCTTCCCCAGCCCGGTGCTGTGCCCCGCGCCCGGGACCACAGCCCGTCCCGGTTCGCGCCGTTCCCCCGCTCGTTCCCCGTCTCCGACCTCGCGCGCGGCGCCAGCCCGCCCAAGCCCCGCGGCGCAGTGCCAGAAGGTGCGTTCCCGCCGATCAATGGCAGGAGCGCGGGCGGCGGGCCGCTCAAGGCGCTGCCGACGCCCGCGATGGCGTCGTCGGTGAGTGGATGTTCTTCTATCTCCTTTCAACTGGCGTGTACTGCCGAGTCTTTCTCGGATGGAACTCGCTGACGTCAGTCGACGATCGTCGCTGTGCGGTCAGGTTGTGTGTGTGTGCAGTGCTAACGAGAGCGTCCCGTCGTCCCACAGCCCTTCCACCGCGCGTATGGTAGCCCCCCCAAGGCTCTCCCGACTCCTGCGATGAACGGGTCCGCATATGTGAGCAACCAACCCTGCGCCATCCATGGGCTTTGCTCTGTCCTCTTGCTTCCCGACACTGCGCTCCAGACGCTAACGCTAACGCTATATTACCCCCTTCCCTAGACCCACCCCCTCCCACCAGGCAGCGGCAGCCCCAGCCCGCCGCGCGCCCCCAAGGCGCTCCCCACCCCCGGCGTATACGCCTCTAACGGGAACGCAAGCGGAAACGGGAACGGAGCGGTGAGTGTCCTATTCATTTTTCGCGGCGTGCGCGTCTGTCGGAGCGTGCGGCCGTTCGGGAGTGGCGGGAGGCGCAACGTGGCGTGAGATGGGGGTGTGTCTGCTGCCGTGCCCCCCGTCGAACCCCGTCCCCATCCCTCAGACACCCATCTCTTCTCGTACTCTACTATACCCGCACGCGCTGACCCTCCCCCAGGTCTTCCCCGCGCCCCCGCGCGCCCTCGGCCGCAGCGCGAGCGAGAATCCGCCCGCCCCCAGCGCCCCGCCGGACCACCGGCAGAAGTTCGTCCCCCACTGGAAGCGCGCGCTGCCCACGCGTCCGCTCCCGCCCTCGCCCGCACCCCCCCAGGAGCCGCAGCACGCATGGCAAGGATCCCAGATACGCGTGCGGTCGCTCCCGCAGCCCACGGCGCGCGAGGGGGAGGGCCGTGAGCGGGAGGGGGCGTTGAGGCGGATAGCGGGGGCGGGCCCGGAGCCGCCACCGCACGATCGGCAGGCGGAATCAGCGCATAAACGGGAGGCGGAACCTGCGCATAAACGGGAGCCAGAACCGGAGAGCCCGCAGTACGGCATCCGCGACCTGCCGGCACGGGCGCGGGCGCAGACGACGTCTGCGACGCTCCGCATGGCTGAGCTCTCGTTGCGCTCTGGGGATCTTGCGCAGGCTCAATCTCACGCTCGGTCTCAAGTTCGATCTGCCCAAGGCGCATCCCAGTCCCAGTCTCAAGCTCAAGCTCAGACGGCGCCGCGGACGCACGCGCACACGCAGTCCCAGCCGCAGCTCCCCACCCAGTTGGAGTCGCGCTCGCACTCGCAACCGACCTCCGCGTTCCGCGTGCCCCCACCGCACCCGCGCCCCCCTCGCGTCGACTCGCCGCTCCCCAGCGCGTGGCCCGCGGGTCTCCCGCCCCTCCCCCGCGTCCCCACACCCAACGCCGGTCCCTCACCCACGCCGGACGCGCACCCCCCGCCTGCGCGCGGGCAGAGCCTCGGCTGGCGCGTGCCAGATGCACCTGCGTCGAATAATATCCATGTCCGCACGCAGGCGCCCCCTGCGCCCCACCCCGCGTCCCCGTCGCCACCCAGCAGCGTGACGTCCCCAGCGAGCGCGACGTCGACCTTTACGCTCTCGTCCTTCCCTTCGCCCCCCGAGTCTGCGGCAGCGTGGCGCCGGGGGAACGCTGCTGCTGCTGCGAGTACAGACGCGGGCGAGAGCGCGATCCCGAAGATGTGGGGTGCGAACGCGGACGGGAAGCCACGCAATGCTGCTGTCCCTCCAGCAGAGCCTGCCGTCTCGGTCCCGACGATCTCTCTCCCCGGCGATGCCGACGACGAGAACGACGACGATGGTGTGCCCACCATCGCGATCTCCGTCACCGACGCGGACTCTCCGCCGCGCATCGCGGTCACCGGCGCCTCGGCGTCCACGGAGAACGCGCGCACGGCCTCGCCGCCGCAGGGCACGGTGTCTTCGGGGTCGAGCCAGTCGAGCGCGTCCTCGCTGCGGCGCGCGGAGCCGCCGCCGCGCAAGATCTTCAAGCCCGCGGGGGGCTCGCTCGCGTGCGGCGGGTGCGGCGGCGCGATCGTCGGGCGCACGGTGAGCGCGATGGGCGCGCGGTGGCACCCGGGGTGCTTCCGCTGCTGCATCTGCGACGCGCTCCTGGAGAACCTGAGCTCGTACGAGCACGACGGGCGCGCGTACTGCCACCTGGATTATCACGAGGTGCGTATCGTCGCCGCGCGCTCTGAATGAGTGAAGGAGGGAACTGGGCGCTGATTTTTTGGGGGTTGGGGTGGGTGCAGCGGTTCGCGCCGCGGTGCTACCACTGCCAGACGGCGATCGTGGACGAGCGGTTCATCACGCTGGACGACGCGGAGCTCGGGCAGCGGACGTACCACGAGCAGCACTTTTTCTGCGCCGAGTGCGGGGACCCGTTCCTCGCGCCGTCGGCGGGCGCCGCGCGGCACTTTACGGGCGACGGCGCGTTCGCGGGCGGGGAGGACGACGAGGTCGGGTTCACGGTGTACGGCGGGCACCCGTACTGCGCGTCGTGCCACGTGCGGCTGCGGAACCCCAAGTGCAAGAGGTGCCGCCGCCCGATCCGCGATGGCGCGCGGGCGGTGGAGGCGCTCGGCGCGAAGTGGTGCTGGGAGTGCTTTGTGTGTGCGGTGAGCCGTCCTTCCTCGGGTCTGTCTCTTTTTAATGGGCGAAGCGGGCTGATGGTGTGGGCGTAACTGGCAGGGCTGCGAGCGGCCGTTTGAGGACCCGGCGTTCTTCCAAAGGGAGGGCAGGCCGTTCTGCGAGCATTGTTTCAGCGTCATGATCAAGAGCGAGATGTGAGGCCGTTGGGCTGGGGTGATGTGTTGTTTGTTGTGAGTGATACGGGCGACCTCGCGGCCGGTCCCGTCGGCCCCTCCCCTCTCCCCATTTTTTTGGCTGTTGTTGATTTTAACTTACTTTACGATTGGAATGATACGATGCGGTACGCTACGATACGCAACGCTATTTATTCGCCCCCGGTACTCGCGTCCGCACGTCTGTATCTGTCTCTTGCTTTCTGCGCTCCGCGTTCCGTCTGCGCTTAATTCTAATGTCCGTCTGAGAAGCTGGGTAGAGATGTAATTTGTAGATTGTATGTACGCGTCTCGAGGTTTTAGGCGTCGTGGGGGTGTCTTTTTCGGTACGTGATATTGATAATTGGGGAATACGGTCTGAATACACGGCTCGTTCGTCTGGGCCTTACCGTGGTTAATGGCACTTGCTGTGCATGGTGGGGGAACACTCACAGCGTCCTTGGAGATATTCCCGAAATCCTGGGCTATATCCCGATATTGGCACGGCTGTTCTCCACCTACGCAAGCCTGACTTCCCCTTGTTCCACGGACTTCAGTGGTTAACGCCAGTATCTGCGAATGAATTATGCAAGTCGTGGTGAGGCTCGATCTTGTCATCCCCTGCGTGACGTGTAGAGAATAGCGGTTGGAATCATTATTTACCATCAAACACGACGCACCTTAAGAACGTGAACGCGGAGCGAGTCCACGAGCGGAGGTCGTGGTCTAATTATTGCTGTAAAACGAGTGCTTGAGCACATAATCAGTCCTAACTCGATTGTAATGAATGGTTGAAGAAGAGCAGGTGGTCACTGCGTTCCACGACGTCGAGATGGTATCAGGAACTTGCTCCACCACCGCGGCCGACACATTCCGGGGTAAACACTCCTGGATAAATTCAATAGCGAGAGACAACCACGCACCAAAGCAGACATCGCAAGTTTATAACTTACTCACGCGAGTTCAATCTGTCTCGCGGCGGGCCTTTCAGCGCTACTAACAGTTTGAGCTAGAGACCACGTCCAGGTGTTGTCCCGCACAAACAGTCCAGAGTTTCGAGTGCTAGAGCCATGAAAATACGCGAACGCCGAGGTCTGATTATACTTGCAGATTCATCAATACTTCAGCGTATGCTAGCGGTCAATCAAACGCGACTACTCACCTATATATCGCGGGCCCAGTTTTCTCTCGTTTTGTGTTAGTGCAACTCATGCCATGCGGAATTTCAAGAGGGGGAACACTGATTTCAACCTTATGCATACGACATTGACAAGGTAGTTCCAGTTCCATGGTATACTAGATCACAGTTACAGCAGAAAGAGTGAGACAAACCTGGTAGTACAACAGCCAACGCAGTTCAAGGATGCCAGGAAGACATCCGTCATTCGCCTTCAATCCACACATTAGATTCACTAAGCATATCCAGTCAGATCAATCCAGCTTAGGAGACACACCACGTACCCAAGCGGATTCTGTGTCTCAATTTTCCCCGGTGAGCTCTCTCTCCCGACGAAGCTCCTTCATCAGCTCCAGCACCCGTTCCCAGTTGGCCCCAGTACCAGTGGCATTCTGCCTCGGCCACTTGAGCATCCTTAGCGCGCTGTCAATGGCAAGTTGCGGGAATACACTGTCCAGGAAGTGTGCCACCCGCGCGTGGTCGGTGATCGTCCGATTTGAATAATCGCTCATCTCGAGGTCGCGCAGACCATGTCCCGGGCCAGCGATGTGCGCATTTACTGAAGGAGGATTTTGGTAGTCAAGATAAGGTATATTAAGGCTCTCCAATTTCAGGCAGAGCCGTGAAATCTCTGTTAGAACATGCACAGCGTCGATTGAGGGGTCATCGCCTTGCAGTAGCATCGTACTTGATATGCTGAGCTCCTCCACATCAGGCCAGGCACTCGCCGCATCAACAAGCTGCTCGGCTGACAATGACATAGAGGAGGAGACGCCAAAATTTGCAATGCGAAGACTTCGCAATGACATGACCGGCTTGAACGCCCCTGAAAACGATATTCGTTCTACACCAGGATGAATGACGCCAAACTGAAGTTCGCGCAGCGAAGGGAATTTCGAGGCTATGAGTGAGAGCACAGGGCGAATCTGTGCATCAACATCTGCAGTTATAGATGCTATCAATTCATGGAGGGATGGGGAGAGGATCATTGACAAGAAGCGAGTAACAGCGGTGGATGATGACCCGCTGCGTATGTTCAGGACCTCCAGCACAGGAAAGCCCTTGCAATCGGTGATTTCGCCGATTGTTAAGGGGGGGGAGATAAGCAACTTGACTAAGTGTGGCAAGGAGGCAAGGGCCTTTATGCCCTGAAGATTGACATCCCTTGAAACCCTCGATATAGAGACTTCGCGCAGAGACTTGCACATGCCTATCGGCACCAGCAACAAAGGGTGAAAGGTGCCAGTTAACGCCAAGGTTTGCAGATAGGATACTCGAGAGAAGATGCTTTTCAGCACATCTTCAAAGACCTGTTCATCCTTCCCGAGTTTATCCTTCTCCTCCCCACCTATGGTAGGTATCAGAAGTGTGGGAACTTCATTGCGTATCGACAGAATTTGCAGGGACGGTGCAATAAGGTGGAGAATGCCCGTGCTGGACCGCAAAGGTTGTATCCACAGTAATTCTTCAAGGCACGGAAACAACGCTTGGCCATTGTTATGCTGAGCGAGTTGTTCCAGAACACAACTTGGAGCACTTGACAAAATGCCAGTGGTGGTTAGAGACAGCTCCCGGACGCGCTTCGCATACTGCAGGAACCGTTCCCAAGCAGCCTGGGATATCTCGCCAAGGCTTATCTCCTGTGGAATTTCAGTCCAAGGATGATTGAGATCATTATGACAATGTCTTACACGCTTGTCCTTCCCGTTCCCATCGGCAACCATGCTGATTGAGAATGAGGGGAAAAGCATTAATGCTGGAAGCATATCCTCCAAAGATCGCCACAAAACATTCAACGCAGGATCTGCAAACGCCCTACAAACCCGTGCAGCTCTTGCCAGGTCCCGGCGATTCTCAATCTCCCACATGTTAGCAGGAGAGTAGTATTGAAAGATTTCTTCGAGGATGTCGAGGCTTTCCAAGGCACGATGGGGAGACATTTTGTCAAGTAGTACGATGGTTGGCGCGTGAACGAACGCTCAAGATGCAAAGGAAGAGCCAGCAGTGGTTCAACAGACGTCGCGGACTCGCTGTTGGCGTGACCGGCCTTATCCTCCGCTTACGGTCCCTTGCTCCCAGCGACGGTCAGCGTCACGATCAAGAGCGAGATGTGCAGGCGAGGCTCTCTGCGCCGAGCTGGAGTGATTGTGATACTTATGGGCGACCTCGCGGCCGTCTTCCCGTTTTTGAAGTTCTCGATTCGAACTCACTTCACAATTTATATGTTATGATGCGATACGTTACGATACGATACGCAACACTATTTATTAACCCCCGCCGCCACTCGCGTCCGTTCTGCGCTAATGTCTGCTTGGGTAGAGATCGCTATATAATTTGTAGGTTGTGTACGTCTCGAGGATGGTGTCTTTTTGTTTTTTGGTACATTGATAGTGTCCTGTGTTCGAATATCAGCAAAGGATGCAAGATTATTCTACGAAATTTCGCACGTTGTCGGAACTGTCACCACCAAAGACGTCATCATATAGAGGAACGGACAGCCGATGCCGCATCCATCCTCACAGCATCTTTGACGATATTCCCCAAATCCCACGTCACATTCCAATATTGATGCCGCTGTCGTTCTCTACCTGACGGCCTGACCTCATATTCATCCATGGACATGAGTATCCAACGCGAGGTCTGCATCCTCACACAAGAAAATCAGCGCAGCCGTTGAGCAGGAGAACGACCCACACGTATGGGTAATGCGGAAGTGTAAGTTAATGGCCTTGACCTAATCTTTCGAGCGCACACGACTACATCTGTGAATGAACCGCGCAAGTCACGGTAATGCTCAACGTGTTATGCGTCATCGGCTGAATGACGGGCGGAAATAGTGAATAGTTTCATCAGAGTGCGTAGTGCCATACACGGCGCACCTTACCGGCTTGGATACGAAGCAAGTGTATTAGTATGCACATGATTACAGGCCATGGGCTGTTTTTTCTATACAATAAAATTCCACGACGTCGAAATGGTGTTAGGCACTAGCTCCACCGCTGCTAGGTTGCGACCGATGCCTTAGATGTTCAGAGATTAATCCGACACTGAAGGCACGACTACAAACCAAAGGAGGTGTAGTGAGTTTAAGAATTACTCACCCGAGCACACAGATCTGTCTCACAGCATGCATTTCAACGCCACTAGCACCCGTTCTCAGTTGGAGTCGTCGAAAGCGTCTGACTGGCGGATCAGCATCAGACGCACAATCAACATCCAGTTCAGGAAAGATGCATCCAGAAAGCTTGCCAACACCTGCGGATTATGTCGACTGTTGAGTGCTAGAACCATGAAAATACCCAAATGTTGTCTTGATTCCACTCTGCAGCTTCATTTGTTCAGGGCCAATCAGATACGATTACTCACCTGTATCGCAGGTGTGGTTTTCCTCTCGCTAACTTCATGTTAGCGCAGCTCACACGTCATGCGGGACTTCAAGAAGGGGGGACAATGATTTCAACCACGTGCGGTTCCAGTTCATGGTATACTAGATCACAGCTGCGACACAGATGCTAGAAAGAGCTCCGTGATTCGCCTTCAGTCTACATATTAGATTCACTAAGCGTATACGGTCAGATCAATCAAGCTTACGAGGCACACTACGTACCCAAGGGAATTCCGTGTCCCAATTTGCCCCGACGAGCTCTCTCTCTCCCGACGAAGCTCCTTCATCAGCTCCAACACCCGCTTCCAGTTCATTCTAGAATCATAGCCCTCCTCAAGTGGTAGCCAATTCAGTTGGCTGTCGATGGCTAGTTTGGGAAAGACGGTATCGACGAAGTGTGCCACCTGTGCGTGGTCTTCGATCGACATGTTCGAATAGGCGCTTACGCCGAGAGAGCGAAGACCATGACCCTTGGTGGCGGTCAGCGTGTCTAACGAAGGGGGATGCTGGAAATCAAGATAAGGCAGCTCGAGGGTTTCCAACTTCGGGCAGAGCCGAGCGAATTCAGTCAGAACGTACACCGCATCGACTGGGATGCTAGTGTCTATCGATGGTGTCTCGGCGAACAGTGTTACTTCGATTGCTTCAGGCCAAGCCATCGCCATGTCGACAAGTAGTTCGGCTGGCAACAGCATCGAATACAAGAGACGGATACGTATGATGCGAAGTACTCGCAACGATACGAGTGGTCTCAATACACCCGAGAATGATCTGGTGTCCGGGGCAGCATTGTCGACCTCGAGGGAAAGCACGCGTAATGAACGGTACTTTGAGGCTATTAGTGACAAAAGAGGTTCAAGCTGGCCATCCTCATCTGCACGTATGTTGGCTGACAGTGTACGGACCGATGGGGAAAGGATAGTCGACAATAAATGGGTGAGCTCGATGGACGGCAACCTATTAACTAGCTCAGGGGTGTGTTCCATTTGGGTGCCCCGGACACTTAAGTCCTTCAGCACGGGAAACCCAATACAACCAGAGTTATCGGGGATCGTGAAACGTGCATGGATAGAGAGCTCGACTAGGTATGGGAATGATGCAAGTACTCGTATGGCCTGGAGATTGATAATGCGTGAAACAATGTGGACTTGACGCAAAGCTGGGAGAGCGCGTATTGATACCAGTGCCCGGGGATGAACGATGCCAGATATGGCGAAGGCTTGCAGGCGGGGCGCTCTGGAGAAGATGGTTCGTAACAGATCTTGAGACGCCTCTAGCCATTGCCAGCTTGTCTCCCCGCCGGAGTCGCGTATGACACCTTGGATCGACAAGGCTTCCAGGGACGATGGTATCAAAAGAAGAATGTTCCTGTTACTACGGCTGAGGTATTCCTGTCTCCATGTCAACCTCTCAAGACGTGGAAATACAACCTGGCCACCACCCCGTTGAGCGAGTTGTTCCAGAGGACGACTTGGAGCCTCCATCAATGCGCTAGCAGGAGACATCACTGTCAGCTTGCGGACACGTCTCGCATACTGCTGAAATCGGTCCCAGGCGTCTTGAGGTATAATACCGAAGGTTACGTCCTTTCGACTACCGGTGAGAACGTAACTTGGAACAGTATTGTGATATCTTACAACTTGAAACCCATGTTCATCAAAAACAACTGCAAGCGAAGGAAGAAGCCTGAATGCTGGAATTATGTCATCCAGCGTTTCCCACAGAGCATCTAGTGCCGGATCTGCAAATGCCTTGCAAACACGAGCAGCTCTCGCCAGAGTCTGGCGGTCCTCTCGAGTCGAAGAGAAGCGTTGGAAGATCCCTTCAATGACATCGAGACATTCCAAAGCACGATGCAGAGACATATTAAATGTGGTGACAGTTCAGTGCAGTGGGTGGTATGAATTCTCAACAGCAGGTGGAGAGCTGATTCAATTATATAGACTGAGCTGCCATTCTTGAACAACACGAGCCATACTGGCTTGGGGTCTTCCGTTATTCACAGCGAGTTTGGAAGACCTTGTCCTTTCATCCCCCCTTTTTTTCCGGTGAACAAGGTTTTCCGAATTCACTATAAAGGCACACTGCTTCGATTTTGTACCCTGGGACACCCGCGTGAAGCTTGAAGATTCGGTCGGTTAATTTTGTTCATCATGCAAAGGTCTGCATGATCTTGTTCCAGTTCGAGCTCAATGTTTTTGCCGGCGTCTATCACCGAAGTCGTTTATACGGTGAATAGTACACTAAAGATGTGTTAGTAGCTCCGTCGCACTGGACAGCAAAGATCATCGCATTTGCGATGAAATTTGGTATCCTGGTCTCGATATGCATTGGCGGCCCGCCTCACTTCTATAATTCTCCCTTGATCCGTTCCAGGCAGTAGAGGCGCGCGGTAGAACAGTTGTGATCTACGTGTGTCATCGCATTGTAGAATTGTGTTATTGTTCTATGTAGCATTGGCATTAAATAGAAGCCACAGAAAACGAGCCACATGAGGCTCCCCAGGATTGTAAAGGTAGTTGCGGTCAAATATCGTGACAGGACTCCCCCTGCTAGCTGCCTCACCAGCGGCTCTCGCCAGCGTTTTTTTGCATAGAAGAGGTTTTGATAACTCCAACGCCCGTTTGAAGTTAAGTTCAGCATCGTTTCCCACATGGACATCGAGCGGCGTCCTGCTCGAGCTCGAACTCAACTTCCGGAAACAGCTCATCAAAGAGCGCGCCGTCTGCAAAGCATCTGTCATTGGCTCCAGGTTGTTGACTTCAAGCGTGCGCAGACGATGTCGAGCGGGTGTGGACAACTTCGAAGGAAGTGCCTGAAAGACTAAGTCAGGTAGACAGAGTGCCTTCAGGTCCACCGTCCAGGCAGTGACCTGTAAACGCAGCAACTGTGGGAAAATCGAACACACAGAACGGCGCATAGAACGTCTCGAGCAGCTACTGAGAATAATCTGCAGACGCGTGCAGCTCCAGTGTCCGCCGACATAACGAGGTGGCTGCATCGGGTATGCCAATAAAGTAATATTTGTAGATTTATGCAAAGATAGCGCACCCAGGGCGCGATGTGGAGGCATGTCAATGCAGAGGACGCGAGGACGTGGTTGAATTTAAGAATGATTTGAAGACGTGGATGTGTCTACATAGACAAACGCATCCTGTTGTGCGAGATTCATGTGCAAACGTAGATATTGCGGAATATGCTGTCCACGCACCAAATTCCACTGCGTCTGTAGTTAACTGTCGCAAAGCTCATCCTGAAGCGAAGTCGAGCTTCCCATTGGGCATGCGTCATGACTTGAGACCGTAAATCAAGCCAGCTAAATTCATATGTCGCACAGGAAGGACTCTCCTCGTGCAGCTCGGCACGAACGAGAGTAAGGATATTTAAGCTTAAATCATGCTGATCATGATGTCTGAGAATCTGTTAATGCACCAACAAGCTCACATGTCTGCGCGGGAGGAAACGTGCATGAGGTGTGAAAGTCTGTGGGTTTTGTGCATACAGCCATTACAAGACAATTCCAAACAGGAAATCCTGCTTTCCGATTTCTTTCAATACAAGGAACAGCTCGGCTGCTTCCGCTAAAGGATAGAGCTGGTGGTGAGTAGCAGTTTAAGATAACCGCGCTCGAGATATTACACACCTGAAATATACCACGGTAACTAATGCCGAACTACTGTGGACGTGCTCACGGGACGTAACGAAAATCGGGGGCCTGTAATAGTAGACATGAGCAGCCAGTAGCATTCCAAGCAAGGCCCACTTGCCATATCAGCCAGTTCTGACGTATCTACCATTGCATCCCTAATGGGCTTCCCAAACTTACCGTCTCTTCGCTTGTTCTCCATGCGATAATACATCTAAACAATTTGGTCAGAAAAATCGCGACAATCACTACGGAATGGAAGGCGTACGGTGAGAATAATAGCTGTTACCGCGGAAACGAACTCCAGGGCACATGAAACTAATACGGAAGCATTAAAAAATTTGGTGACTTGATCATGAATCGGAACTTGCCTGCAAATCCAGTGCTGACAATGCAAAATAAAGATAGATTACTTGTTGACCGAGCATGCAGAAATATCCTTCCTCGGTAACTCACATGAATCGAGGACCGTCTGTAGTTGGGAATAAATGGGAGCCCAGTACGCTTCCGCACTGTCCAATGGCAATGTACATCGGGATGCCCGTAGCCTTTTTAGTCTCCGACCCAAGATTATGTGTGACTGCGTTCGACATTAGTCGCGAAGATGTGCTAGAAGCCGACACACGCACACCAAGCAATGACAACGCCAATAATCGTGTATGTTCCACTTGTGATGCAGAATGTTGCAAAATACCGGACATGGTCGTTATAAGGAACAGCGAGTAACAGACTCGGGACGCCAGAATTTCAGCCAAAAGTTGCATGCGGAGCAGTCTAATGACGTACACATAGCCCAGAACGCCTAGCATACTCGCAGCGACGACGGAAAAGCCACGAATTTGCAACCTATCTGAGCAATATGAAGTACTGCAAAGAATAATGGCAGCAACAGCGTATGGAGGGACCGTGAGCAACTGTGCGAGCGCATTCGCTTCGCAAAGAACCTGAGCCTCAGAGATTTACAATGCATTATGTAGGAGATCGGACACGCACAGTATCCGAAGGTCGTGATGATGGTTGGGAGGAAAGCAGATATTGATGCCAGTGCACAGTTTGCACCAAAGTAGATCACACCTGCAGCGTAAATCTGAGGTGAAGGACAATGAGTCGATTGACAGACCCGAAGCGGCGATGAGATGCACACCTTCCAATCCAGAAAAGCCGCCGCAATGTGTTCTAATATTTAACGTGTCGATGAACATTTCACAGGTGGTGCCACTGATTGGAAGCGTACTTTTCTTAATTGTCCTCCCTATGTCTGCCTTGATTCCTCTATTAACTCGCTCCATAGCTAACTCGCGTTCTCGTTCGTTCAAGAATGTTGTCTCCTCGGGACGGTCGGGCAGGAGGAACAAGCACAGAACACCAAGGAAGATCGTCGGCAAACCCTCAATGATAAATAACAGCCTCCAATTCGCCAGTGCCGTGTGTGCATTCTGGACGCCAAACGCGATGAGCCCTCCACAGGCTCCTGCGACAGCACCGAAGCCAAACAGGTATGCTAATCGCATCCCGATCTCTTGCTTGGTGTAATAGAATGCTGATATGGCAAACCGTTAGGATATGTATAACTTGGTGGTGGTAAACCGCAGGTACACATGTAAAGCGGAATTCCTGGACCAAATCCTGCTTCGAACATACCGAGTCCGATCCTTGCAACTGTTAAACCGGCGAAGTTGAAACCGCAGGCCTTGGAAGACCTTCGTTCTATCGCAGTGAATTCATCATTAGAAGACCACCCACCGACAGAGTTGAACAAAGCCCCCATCCAAGCGCAGAGCAACCTAGCCATATGCGTGGAGGGAAAAGCTTCGAGGTAATTGTTGCCGGAATTTGGAAAATAATCTGTGGCTTTGTGAAACAGTCGATGGAACACAGTAGAGATATTGACATACGTAGGAGAAGAAAAACACGGAGTTGACCCATTCAAACAGAACACCCGTAGGGTCTCCATTTAGAGCGTCCCCGGGGAGTCCCTGCAAGCGTGCATTCCCTAGGTTTGTTCTGTCCAGATCTAAATAGTCAATCTTCAGACCTACAGTAGCAACCAAGTAATGGGGCATAGCACTCACAGGCGAACAGGTAAAGCAGGCAGACGATCGGCATGATCCGGGCGTCCAACCTCCTCACGAGTCTCCTCTCCCCATGTAACGGCTCGACAAGGAACGTCGCGGTCTGGAAAGCCCCAGCAGCTTTCTCTTCAACAGACGTCGTATCTTGGTGAGTGACTGACATGTCAGGAAAATAAATCGTGGACCAATATGAGGAAGCTGGAAGAGCACACTCCTCGGGTCCATGTCCCTTTATTGTGAACCCATGGCGCCCCTTCTTAACTGACGTGAGAGCTTTTCATGGTCGGATAGATAACCCTTGCATGTCGTGTTTCTGTATCAGAAGATCCGTCACGGGCTGACGACTGGCAATAAAGCGCTCGGGCGTAGAACGACACCAGTGCGAAAGTTGTGGACGAACGGACTGAACCTAGTACAAACAACAGTCAACTTCCAACCTCAGGAAGAACACTGACTGTTTTGCGAACAGGATACTGTATCAGCATATTCTGACTTCTATATCCCGTCCGCACTCCTAGGGCTAACATGGCCCTCATCTTACTGTTTTTGAGCTTTCGTAGTGCTTGCTCAGCGCCACAAAGCCGCAGCTTAGGTAACGCATGGCGCACAGAGCGTCTCTGTTGCGGCAGATAGCCGAACGTTTCAAGTCGGTGGGAATGCCAGTCTCCAGCCCGAGCCTTCGCATGTATTACAGCAATGATCGGCGGCAAATTCCTGAAGCTTCTTTCCAAAGCTGACAAAGGTCATCGAGGCAAAATCTGCGGTGCCCTTTTCCTGAATCGAACGGGATGCTCCTCATTCCAAGCTTTTGGATTGACAAGCATGGCGGTATCTCGGCTGGCCCTTGGGCTCCATGGATTACAGCGCTCCACCCATTTGGCTAGGACCTTGTCGAACTTTTCCTCCTAGGATATTAGCCACGCCCCTCGCGTAGGATGTCGCACTGATATCGCACTCACAGGTGAACAGATCGATTTATGCTGTGATTCTGAACCTTCTCGGCTTCCAGATGTCTCAGCAAAGGGATGTTCTAGAGGAGTCTCCATTGCCATTGTTCGAAGAGACAGATTCGGCGGATTTCATGATGCAAGTGCTCAGAGTGCTGATGTCACCAGTAATCCGATCATGGGGCATGTGGGCAGTCTTCGCAACTTCCATGATAAGGAGTAAGTTTTCGCGTACACCTTAATGCTGGAGTTAGTATTTCCAAGGCGTTTCATAGACTGCACTATAAAATGCGACTAACTTGAAGGCCAATCGAGCGTGCAGGTGAGTAGCACAAAATATTCATTTCTCTCCGGAAAGAAGCACTTATCGCGAATCCAGATGCTCGTCCCAAATTCTCTCAGCTATGGGAATACCAAGCCAAAGCCGTCCGACTTCTGGATGGTCCATCAGCACACCTCGCGGCTGGTCGACGTCACTTCGTCACTTTCTTTTGTGGGCTCACCAATGCTGGCGCATTACCTGAATTGGGCGGTCCAGCACTTGATGCTAATGTCTCTTCGAACTTCTCTCCGAGCACCTCCGGTCTGATCGGTTAATTCGCTCGGGGAAGCGACGAAGTCGGTCAGTACTGCATCCGTCGAGCTGTGACCACCTTCCAGTGGGGTTTGGAACGCGCCAGTATCACTTCGGAACGATCAGATTTCTTTGCAGGTCGGACGTGCCGTAGAGTTCGAAGAAACGAGAATTACCGTATTGAGAGGCCACGGCACGAACAGGGGGCCATCATCATAAGGAGCGCGGTCGGCTCAGTTGGCTGACACAATCGCGCTACCACTTCAGAAGATGTACCTATGGCCCGCGGGATATTTAGCTCTTATTAGAGCAGTGCACCGTTATTGCAGCATCCTGATAACAAGCATACCTTCTATTTTCAATCGAATATATTGACCATTCTTGTCGGAGAGTGCTGCCATGCAATGTATTTTGGTCCCTTCGAGTAATACTTACCAGGTGTCTTGGTTAGCCGCACCATCATAACTCGACATCAAGCTTCTATCCTATTTGCGGCCAGCTCGATACTTAGACATGTCTACGGAACCTCAAAAAATAAATGCGAGTGGATGATTGCAGCGTGCGCGCCGAATGAAAAAGAGTCAAGGTCGACTGAGTTCGACCGGTGCGGTACCTGGGCGCTTAACAATTTTTGACGCTTGTCGACGTCCTCTGCAGCTTGTGTCCGCTTCATGAATTCACGGACATCAACGATATTCCTCATTTTCGCATAACTTACCTATCTATTTGAATCTTTCGGTGCTAGCGGTTTATTCGGCGTATGGGCGTACTGGGATTTGCTCCTTTCATACAAAAAACCTGGTGAGTGGCATCTCGAACTCAAAACTCGTCGGACTGAATACGTTCTGACCCCCCTCCCAGTCCTGAGGTAATCAAAACACTCCCAAATCGATTGCGCTCACTCAGTGGGAAAACTGTCGTCTTGTGAGTGTGATTGTGCCTATTTGCTTTAACATTTCCCTCACTCGGTGGTATTCCTCAGAGATGGCACTCTTATAACCCAGCGTCTGCATTTCGCGCCGATGCCACACCGATACAGGCATGTCCTAGGGTGGTACCGCATCATACGCGAACTACGCGAATGTGATGTACATGCGATTTGCGTGTTCGATGGAAAGGAGCGTAGCCTTGCGAAGGAGATGGAGGTAAGCTGCCCTACTTCTGACGTGTTTAAGTGTCTGAAGCAATGCGATTATCGGTCATCTCTGAAGATCAAACGCAGACGTGCTGTGCGCAAAGTTACAGAGGCGCGAGGGGAGCTGGAGCTTCAGCGCTTAGGACGTCTCCAGCGACTGACGTCCCTGTTGCACTCGTGGCGCGCGTTGAATACTCCAGCGCAAAATAAAGCCGCGGATTCCCTACGGAGTCTTGTGGGTGAACATGTGAATCTTCCGCCCCTACCTTCGTACATGACAGGCACTCCAAGGGATGACACGCCTAATACTCTCCTCCATTACAATGCGCATCCATGGCATGTTGTCCCTTCAGAGGAGGCTATGGGCGACTTCAGCCAGTCTGACATGGATGACGTCCTCAAACATGCAGGCGTTCCGGTCAACGCTTCACAAGACGCGGACTCTATGCCATTCGCAGATGGACCGGGAACGAGTGAGTACACGACTAACCCGGTCATACCTCCTCTATCAGGCAGAGACGGTCCCGCGACAAATTCTGTCGAGACAGCCACGGCCCCGCCAGTGGAACAACCGACTGACAGCAGCGATGACATCCCACACCTCCGTGATCTGTCTTTGCATGATGTTCCCGATCTTGAAGAGGTTGTGGAACTCGACGACGAAACTTCCGCCATTGCATCAACAGCGCCAGAGCTAGATGACCTCTCTTCTCCGCCTATGCCGATACCGACGGATTTAGAAACCGAGTCTGAACAAGTCGACCCCGAAGACCTTTCCTCTGCGTTGTCCGAGCTATATCTGCAGTACCGCCAAAGTGTGCCAGAATTGACATCACTGCCGGAGCAAGCACCGGCCGAGGCAGTCACTCCCGAGGCAGAAGCGTCCGTGGACGAAGACGCAGCCGCCTCCGCTGCTGATGCGCAGGCAGAATATGCGATGTCCAAGACACAGCATCAATTAATGCTCGATGAGGGACAGTTGTGGGCGCACCTCGCAGAGGCTGACCTCGGCGACGCAGAAATCACAGCAGTGGCAGCCCTTACTCACAAGAGCAGCATAATCTCGGAATCCTACAAGCGTCGCACTCATCCACCGACGATAGAAACGTACACAGAGAGCAGAGAGATTCTCGAGGCACTTGGTGTCCCTTGCATCGAGCCCACGGGGCCGTTCGAAGCTGAAGCACTTGCATCCTCCCTGGTGATCAATGGATATGCGGACTACGTCGCCAGCGAAGACACAGTTCGTTATACCGTTCTTCGTACCTGAGTGTCTCACTAAGATCCTTTGTTGTGCTCAGGACGTACTTGTGTACGAGGCCCCCTTGATCCGGAACATCTCAAACCGTTCTGGGCCTTTGGTCGTGATCTCTGGCACAGACGTGCGTGAGCTCCTTGCGCTTGATCGGGCAGGCTTCGTCGACTTCGCTCTTTTACTCGGCACCGACTTCTCCTCGCGCATCAAGAACGTCGGACCCTCACGGGCGCTGGCACTCATCCGCGAACACGGCTCGATCGAGCGAGTTCTGGAACAAGCCCCGCAATTTCCACCACGCACTCCGCAGGACGTCTATCTCGCGCAGGTCGATCGGGCCCGCCTGGTCTTCGAGACACTCCCGTCTCCACCAGACGCGTCGAGTATAGAGATGAAGGACCCAGACGAGGAGGAAGTTTCCCGTATCATGAAACATTACGGACTGTCGAGCGCTCTAAAGGAAGAATGGGACGGGAATGTGGGGTTGGAAGGCAATTATTTCCAAGACGACCCGTCCGCTTCTTGAAGCGTTTGTGGGCTCGCTACTGCCTCGCCACGGGGTGTTGCATACTGTGTCCTTTGCATTCACGCATACCATCTACCCAATCATCTCACGCATTGCTTTGTGGACATTGTTCGTCGTAGATGCTTTCCCTTTCGCACGTCCAGTAATCGTATCCAATGATTTGTCTTCACTACTGGCAAGCCGAGGATCTGAGAAATATTGCGATGATATAACGCCGAGTGCTCTGCGGAGATGAAGAATCCGTCTGAACTGCTCTGCTGCAAGGCGACAAATCTTGATGGAAACGAATGAATTGTGGGAATGTAACAATCCGGAAAATCTGCCACGTTAGTGTCATCACAGTATCCAGCAACTAAAAATTGAGAGCGCTTATGCTTCTAACCGTAAATTATTTCTGCGTCACTGGAAAGGTCAATCAATATTCTACAAATTGATCCATCGGAAAAACTGCGTACCAAAATCTATTTTATTGGATACAAAGTAAGTGATTCCGTCTAATGTGTGGTCTGCCATTGTCTACTATTTTGAATGGCGACCAACAACCGGAGCACTTCGGACGTACCTTCGTCTCGCACGCGACTCAACAGGGGAGACAAATCGAGGTTCGGGAAGAGCGCGTTGATAAAATGCGCCGTCAGTGCAGGCTCTTTCAAGCGGTTCAAATCGAACCAGTTGTCAAACAGGTTGATCGTGTGGAGACGGGGTGCGACCACACCCTGATATGTCTCCGGAGGAGGAAGGGTATCGAAGTTTATGCGAGGTAGGTAGAGGGACCTCAGCTTCGGACATCGGCGAGCAAATTAGACAAGAGTGCGGGGTTGGACAGACAGAGGGTTGGCACCATTAGTGACAAGAAATACGAACTCCTTCAAGGCGGGCCAAAAGGCTGGTAAAGTCGCGAAGTCTCCATCCGCCATGTCATATGCCCTCGAGATGTATACACAGATGGTCTCCAGCATACACATTGAGGTGAGCGGTTCAAAGATTGAACAGGCTGACGTGGTAGAGTTTGTGACAACAGCTTTCAGGAGGCAGAGTTCAAAGTTGCGCAATGAGGGATACCTTGAAGACAACAACGACAATAGCGGGGCACAATCTTCGAAACTTTCGGGATCCTTGAAGTCTCCCACCATTAACGTAAGATAGCGCAAGCGAGAAGAGGTAACACTGGGCGAGAACTGGATGATAGTCTTGGATTTCCCATATAGGGTCAGCTTCTGCAAATTCTCAAAACCTCGGTAGCTAGCTATATTCTCTGGTAACGAATAGATACCCACAGTGAGATCGACTAGGCTTCCTGACGCACAGAGATAGTCTAGCAGAGGCGTGTTGAGGTGATCCGTGCCGAGCTCCAAAATCTGCAAAGCATTCCAGGCAGTGACCGGCGTCAACCACGAGGGATCTCGCACACCATAGACAGCTAACTGCCGCAAAGAGGGAGTATTTGCGCTAATAGGGAGCAGGAGGCTTGCAGCAACTTGCTCGAGGTCTGTAGGCAGGTTGCCCCCGATGCTGTTTGGATCATGTACATGCAAGGAGATGCTGCGAAGTGTAGGGGTGATAAGTGTCATGATACCAGTGTCGGAAGGAGGACAATGCATCCAGGACAGATGGCGAAGGAAAGGAAATATGGCACTCTCTTGACCACGATGAAACAACGTTTCAAGAACAAAGTTTCGACCTGGGACTGATCTTGCCATCTGAACCATGCGTACACGGCGTGCGTACTACTGAAATCGTGTCCAGTCAACCGAGGCGATGTTCCCGCACAGAGTCTGGAAAGGTCGTCAGGTTCGTCCCTACACAGTCAATGTATTCTTACATATGAATATTTTACCCTCCCAGATGTGTCTGACCCTTCCATCTTAAAGGCTGGCAGAAGTTAAACGCGGGAAGAAGGTCGTCCAGCGTTTCCCATAGAACGTTTAGAGCGTGTTCTGAGAATAGCCGGGAAACGCGAGTAGAACCAGACAACGTTCGCTGTCTCTGTATCATCTCCGCGGTCTCGTTTCCCAGATCGTCGACAGCAATAGTGAGATGTTGAAAGATCTGCTGCAGGAACATCATAGCACTCCAGTGCTCTATGACTGGACGACATCTGCCATAAGGAACATAATCAAGGCTCACGCGTGCACATGGAATGAGAGCATACGCCTTTACCTGCCATCGCCTCGAATGAAAGCCTGGGTGAACGGAAGAGCGCGGGCTGCTGGTACGGCGAAGTTCGGATACCCAAATAGGCTACGATCACCTGACCGCGATACCACTACCGTAGCAGTACATGAGCACATATGTACATCTAACATATATTTGAGATTAACATGGCTGCCAAGGCTGCCGTTATACAAGGTCATTTCGCAAGCGTAGCACGCCGGTGGCAACCAGGGCTACGGTGGCTTTACTACCCATTTAACTGCTCCCTCTAAAGACTCTATTTCAATGGGCCCTATACAGGGATATGTGAGTGGACTGTAGATATTTTTTGAAAACTGAATGTAACTTGCAGCGACATCAAGCGTACGCAGACCACCTTCAACTCCGTCAAACATGAACGTTAACATTATTATCGGCTCCAATCTGTTGTTCTCGATTCGCCTGGGACATTGCTAACAAATGCAGCACTTGGGCCCACTCGGTCTCGCCGTCAACATGCGGTACCATCCGCCTCTCCCGAGCCATCGCATCAATGGTATTGAAGTTGGGAAAAAGACAGCCGATGAAACGCGCGATGTGTACGGGGTCTTTGACTCGGAGACGGCAACGACGTTTGAAATTAGGAACGAAGGCGTGCACACCTGGCGCAGTTATGCCGAGATATGTCTCTGCAGGTAGGAGAGCCTCAGACCCGAAGGCCACACGGGGTAGGTGAAGTTTCCTCAGATTTGGGCAGCGGCGCGCGAACTCCACAAGCGCGCGGGGGCTGATGGACTGGGCTCTACCAATCCGCTCGACAAAGAAGATGAACTCCTGCAGCGCAGGCCAAGCGGTAGCCAAGTCCGAGATATCTGCATCCACTATACAAGATGCATCTGAAATGGTTACTGTCATCTTCTCTAGCAAATGCAGTGAGGTGAGCGGTCCTATCAGCGACAAGAATGGCATTTGAAGGGTGCGTGCTATGGTGAGCTCTACTTCACGCAACATCATGCACTTGGAGGATACCAAGGTGAAGATAGGGATGCAATTCTGATAATCATCAAGATCTCCACATTCTGAAACGGAGATAATGAGTGTGTGAAGCGAGGCGCATACAAGTGCAGGCATATATTGCAACATGCTCTTGGCTATGCCGCGCAGAGTCAGTTTCTGAAGTCTTGTGAGCCCTCCCCAGGTGGATACGTCCACCACTCTAAAGCCGTTCCAGACGTTCACACGAAGCTCGACCAGATGTTCTAATGTGCTGAGCTCTCGTAGGAGACGAAGGGTGAGGTAATCGCAGCTGATGACCAGTGTCTGCAGCTGCCTCCAGGAGGCTACTGCCAAACGTAGTCGAGCTGGGAGAGGCGCCCCGAATAGGTCGAAGTACCGCAAATTCGAAGTTGCCCTGCTCACAGACACCAAAAGACTTTTGAATATTTTACTGTCTTCTGGGGGGGCGTTTCTCGGGATGGCGAAATAGTCCGATAGAAAGAGTGCGAAGAGAAGGGGTAACGAGGGTGAGAATACTCCTGTCGGATGCCAAAAATTGCTCCCAGGAGAGGTGCTTGAGAAAAGGGAATAAGGCTTTCTGCTGGTTATGACGAAACAACACCTCGAGAATGTAACTTCGAGCTTGAAGCGTCGTTCCAGCCGAATATTGGATCCTGCGCACACGTCGGGCATAATACTGAAATCTCGCCCAGTCACACGGTGAGATCTTGCCCAACAGTAGCTTGTGACTTTATCAGATTCTCTTTCACTGTCATCGAGGCGGAAGTATCTTACATATGTCTGTTCTACTGCTGAAGGCAGGTCTTAAGGGATCCACACTACGAGGAACGGTGGCAGGAGCTTTAACGCGGGTAGTATGTCGCGACTGCTGGCGTCGAGGCTCTCCCATAAAACATCCAAGGCGTGTTCCGAGAATGCTCGGCAAACGCGAGCAGAGCTGGCCAGAGTACCTCGTATCAGAAGCCTCTCTTCGCGATTTTCGTTGCTGTATGGTGGAATAGAAAGGTGCTGGAAGATTAGGTGTAAGACGTCAAAGCAATTGAGCCTCTGTGACTTGATGTTTCAATCGATGGCATTTTGTATGAAAATCGTTAGCTAGTGAGCGGCGGCCTAATATCCAGTACCTCATATCCACAGGAAGCAGTTCATACCTACTTCTGTTGGGGCTCTTTAGGTTGTTGGGACTGGTTTCCGTGAAATTCATAACCAACTTTTGCGCGATGCCAGTCGCCTGCAATGAGCGGCGTGGCCGGAGGGCCCACGATGCGGTCACCTGACCGTTCATATTGACCGTGACAGTACTACGTGACCGCGATCGTCCGACTTCATGCCCTCAAAGGATATATACACACCAAATTTCTTGTCTTTTCTAAACGGATACATGTCTCTGCCTGATTACCACGCAAAGCGCATGTCTTTTAGCCATCGCTCCAATACCTGGCAGGTAACTTCGAGATAGAACAGTCTGGTCCAGTGATATACGTACAGTAGTCTTCCAACGCGAATGTCTTCCATATTCATCATTCGCTGAACTCACTTCTCCCCGTCCAGCTCAGGATAGTGTCTGAACAGGCCATTGCTGAACTTCTTCCTCCGACCACTTGCAATGTACTCCTTGATTCCCTCCTCGCCCGCTACACGCTCGTGCAAGGCGAATACGTCGTCGTACTTGCCGCTCTTTTTAAGTACCGCCATGCGTCTCGGGAAGGCGAACAGGAGGCCGTCCACCACCTGGCCGCACGAAGTGTCAGTACATAGGTACTTATGGTTGAATGCACACGTACGTGGAAGAGCACTAGGTCCGCAGTGGTCGTCTTCGCGCCGACGAGGAAGGTCCTCTCGGAGTCCATCGTGGCGGGATTAGTCGAGAGCACCTTCTCGAAGTGAGTCAAGAATGCAGGCATGCGCTCTGCGCGGAAACTCTCGGAACGCTCAAGCGCCGCATCCTTCTGCTCTTCGTAGTACTTCGATGACGCAATGGGATGATGTACGTCGTGGGCCTGGTCCACCGCAAGTCAGACTCTACATGGGACATGCGAGGGACCACCAGATACGCACCTCGACGCACAGATCCATCCCTGTGAGCACGAGCTGATTGACCGTGCTTCTCTCCTCTTCCGCGCGCTCCCTGTCTTCGGCGCTCAACTGTTCCTCTCCCGCAAGCTTGCTCCCGAGCTCGCCAGCCAAACCGAGCTTCGGCGCAATGTGGTTCAGGATCGCGGTCGTCTGAGAGATGACCTTACCGGACGGCAGCTCGAGCGCGGGCGGCGCGAAGTGCGGGGGGTGCCCGATCTTAGATGGGTTTCTGAGCGTGGACATGAGCGTGTTGCCATTGAGCTTCTCGGTATAGGGAACGCCGGCGTATTCGAAGGCCAGCCGGATGTATTCACCGCGACCAGGGATGCCTGGCCACTAAAGAGAGATCAGCGACATGTCGGATACGTGAGAGTGACCACTCGACCTACATAGTATAGAGTGTAGGAGTCCGTTTTCTGTTTCTTCTCGGGTGGAGACATGGTTAGTTTCCTCGAAATGACGAGAGAACTGAGACTAGAACGAAGTGACTTGGTATCTCGCACAGTATGCACACAGGTGAATAGCCAAGAGCAGCAGGGACGAGTAAACGTCGAACCCGAGTGTGTGAGCATGGGTGCTCGGACATTTTATAGGATGCAGCGTTTGGCCCAGTGACGTTAAGAGTTCCACGATCAGAACTCGATGAGTCTCGACAAGGTTGAACTAGGTTCGGGGAGTACTAATGTGGCTCGAGATTTACCAGAGCTTCCGACGACTGGGTATTAGTCTGCACATAACGTTCACAGTTCTAGCCTACTTTCGTCTAACACCTAAATCTTCCCTACGAGTATATTCCTAAACATTTCTCGTGCTGAGATCCTGAAGGTGTGGTACAGCGACGAAAAGTCCAACGTGGACGAGAGAATGTCCATCACACCGAACGGCAGCATCAACGGGATCCAGCCTGCACCTGTTCAGTACATACACGGTGAGAACACGGGCAGAAGGCACACCTCTAGCATACTCCAGTGCGAAGCACCCTTCGTGCATTTTATACTGTTTCACATGCCCTCTGGGCAGATGATGCACGCTTCCCGGGCCGTACCTCTCCATTGTCAAGTTTGGCGGGTTAAACGCCCACTGCTCGCCGACGAGGATGTTGAAGTAGTCGTCCGCAGTATGCATACCCGTGTGTCCCTCCGTGCCGAGGGGCGTTCCGAACACGATAAGGTACTCCGTGATACTCGCGTGAATGACGTACATCGCGCCCATCGCGCCGCCCGCGTTGCTCAGCACCCACTCGGAGCTGTCTGTGTTGATTGCGATGGTCGACGGTGGGTACGTCGCTGTGAGGTTTGAGACGATGTAGTTGATCATGGAGACCGTGTCATCAGGGGCAGGTGCATGTGCGATCGCAGCTTGTGCGAGCTCGTGCAGACTCTCCGGCGTGAGGACATACCAACGGTCCTACGGGAACCGAAGATTTAGCACAAAGAGCAAGAAGGTGCTGGTTGTGGGCGTACCTTGATACCGTCCAGGAAACCAAAAAGCAGAATTAGTGTGCCAAGAAATGCCGCACGCAGAGTCCACTTCGTCATCGAGTCGTTAACCTGCTCCCGGCGTGACTTTGAGCTCCCCATTGCAGTTATTTGAGCAGGACAATTTTACGGGAGCTGCTCTGATCTCTCAACAGGGCGGGGGAGACGGGAGTGACTGCCAGCGCCGTAGTCGTAGAGCAGCTGATGCTCGCGTCCTTATAACACGCGATGAGATGGTACGAGCGTACACAAGCGCCCTTGTTACAAGTGCATCAAAAGGTTAGCTCCATTTACAACAATTTCGCGGCGACGTATTTGCCCCGCGCAAACAACGCCATATGCGGTAGTCCGGGCGCTGGAAGTCCTCGGCATAGCCTGGTGCAGGCCTCGTAGTCACCGGATGCATCGGAAAGGAGTAGAACTTGCATGCCTGCGGAGGCCCGAGGCCCTCATGAAGCCAGCAAACAAGCCGAGCAGGCAAATGAGTTTTTTTGCCCGCCACCTGACATACCGTGTAACGAAATATATATTTGTTCCGAACAAACAGCTTGCCGCGAGGGAAGTTCTCTTTCTTATTTGGGCAATTAATGCCAATAAGGGTGAAAATGGCCTTATTTTTCCTTAATTAAGGAAATAACTCAGATAAGCAAAAGTTGATGAAATACGTTGCCACAATAGGGAGACTTCCCATTCTTGGGAGCTCGTCGAGCTGTCCCAGGCTGAATGTACAGCACAGCGGCGGCCAAACCCGCTGCTAGATCCTCCTCCTCCCCTCATCTTCCTCCTCGCCCGCCCTCTCTTCACCTCACCCACACCCGCTATCTCATCTTATCCACCCTCTCGCTGCTATCGTACCTTTTGACGCACGCGTACCACGCGTTTCACGCTCCCAACACCAATATCACATCCCAAAAACCTGCCAAAACCCCGCGCCCTCATGGCCACCCGCAACCGAAAATCTGACACCGCCAACGGCGAGTCCTCGGGGGCCACGAAGGAGCTGGACAGCCAGACGGACTTGAGCGTCGAGGGCACGATTGCCGCGGCGCTGGCGCCCTCGCAGGTGGAGCGCGATGAAGTGAAGGTGAACAATGCGAGTGCGACGGAGATGAAGCACGCGTGCGACGATGCGCTCAAACGCGTGAGTCCCTTTCTGTTACCCTGGCCCCCTTGCTGCGCAGTGTGGGTGCGCTATCTGAAACCGGCAGAGGTCGTGTGCCCTTTGGCGTTGCGTGTTTCACCACTGTGTGACATCATTCAGAGCTAGTTAGACGTACGTACTAACCCCTTTCTTTCAGTTTCTCTCTCGGCCGGAGCTCTTCAAGCAGATATACACACATACAGACGTACGGCTAGCCCTCGGCTGGGCGAGCGTCTTTGTTGCAGCTGGCACAGGGCTGTACGGCTGGAAAGTTGACTTCGAGAGGAGCAAGCCAGTCGTGTGGGCCGGTGTCATCCTGTGAGTTGTCACTTTTAGCCTTCACAGCGTGCCCTCACAGGGTCGATCACTGACTCCACGTCCCTGCTTTGCAGATATATGATCCTGACCAGTCTGCAAACGCTTTATGCATATTTTATCGAAGGGGATATCGTTTTCGTCGGAAAGCGGAAGACATTTGACAAACGGGTGCGTTCGCTCCTCCATGTAACCTCTCCGCCTCTCACGTGCCCTTGGCCTTGTGCTGTAGATTGTAACAGAACGGATAACCTTGACCTCCGCGACAAAGCCCTCAACACCATCAACCCCACCCGCGTACGCGCTCACCGTGTCGTACGTGCGCTCCACCTCCGGTGGCAAGTCTCTCCTTGGGCGCGGACGCGCCGCGACGGAGCGAGGCTACAACGCGTTCTTCGACGAGCGCGGCGTCATGGACCAGGCGGCGTTTGAGCGCTGGGTTGGCCAGCTCGTGGGGCGCGTCATGGAGAGCAAGGCGGAGTAGCTAGGTGGTGCCCTCGTTTTCTTCGTCTTTGCTCATGGATGGATTGTGAGACGTAGCAGTCACACATGTATGTTGTGCCCGTATAGGATGTTGCGTGTCATGATTGTGCTCGCCACCCGACTGTGACTCTGCACTGCTGGCCGTTCACAGTTTTTCCGGATCGCGGGGTGACGCAGTGTCCTACGTATTCACGTAAAATGAGCGCGCTGTCTGAGCGCAACATTAACATGCTCGAGGGGCCCATCTTTCGTGTAAACCGCCGAAAACTACCTCAGCTACCCTGACGTCTACATGCAGGTGCCGGCGTGACACTCTCCAGCTCTACGGTACGAGCGCCGTGTCTCATACAGACGCAGCTGCGCCATACAAACGGAGGCAGTGAGCGCATGGACCAAGGGACATTCAGCGGCAGACGCTGCAGTACAACTGAGTCGACTGTAAGCTACAAAATGGCAACATTCCACTGTTCGGAATCAGCTAGATCACTAATACTAATCATTTGCAACCACTGCCCTATGCGTTAGTTCTTCGCGATAGTAGACTCAAGATGGCCAAAGTAACACACGCGATAACGCCGAACAACCTCTAGGATAGAGTAAGAGTAAATTAAAGATAGAAAATACACCAATAGAATACAGCAGCAGCAGACCACCCAACAAGAGACAAACTACTTCGCCCCTGCACTGGAGAACTGGGAGTATAAAGTCAGTACCCTTTCGCGAGACCAAGGTAGCGAACATGCTTACTTTGGTTACCGACTTCGTCCCCTCTGAAATGGCGTGCTTAGCAAGCTCTCCTGGCAAGATGAGGCGGACAGATGTTTGGATCTCCCGGGAAGAGATAGTAGATTTCTTGGAGTACGAAGCAAGCTCTGCGAGTCACTGATAAGAATCCTATGAGACTGCAAATACAAGAGATTACTCACTCGACGCCTCCGTTGCGATGCGCTCGAAAATGTCGTTTACAAACGAGTTCAGGATGGCCATCGCCTTGTTGGAAATACCAGTGTCAGGGTGTACCTGCTTGAGGACTATATGCCCCGATTAGAAACTGACCAGTTGCAGAAGTGAATGAGTCACACACCTTTGTAGATGTAAGACGAATAAGTCTCCTTGCGAGCCTTTCTTCTCTTCTTCTTGCCCTCACCCTCAGCCCCAGTAGCAGCCTTGGAAGTCTTCTTCGCCGATTTGGCGCCCTCAGTGGGCTTAGCAGGGGCCTTAGAGGCGGTGGAGGCTGGGGCCTTGCCGGCAGTGGAAGCAGGCTTCGGTGCCATTGCGAATGATGTGGTTGTTGGTGGCGGAGGAGCGGTGGGGGAGCAAGAGCGCGATGATGGACGCGGATAAGGATGGATGTGCACTCAGGAGCTGGAGTGGCGGTATTTATAATGACGCGTTACGCTTGTTTGGTCAAGACGCGTCGACGCGTTGAACCTTATTTTGTTGATTCACGCTCAACAGCCCGGCACGTGACTCCGTCGACGCGTCGTGGCCATTGTGCCTATAAAGCTTGCTCTCCCTTAACGATGTCTCCCCCATCTTTGCACCTGCTCTCCGACCCCGACTCATCCCGTTAACCCAACTTCTTGTTACACTACAATGTCTGGCAAAGGAAGTGGCAAGTCCAAGTCTGGCAAGGCATCCGGCGAACCCTCTGGCAAGTCCCAGTCGCGTTCCGCCAAAGCTGGTCTCCAGTTCCCCGTCGGTCGTGTCCACCGTCTTCTCAGGCGGGGCAACTATGCGAAGCGTGTCGGTGCGGGCGCACCTGGTATGTCTTCGTTTTCCTTCTTGCTGCACTCGTCGCTGACTGCAGTTTTCAGTCTACCTCGCTGCAGTACTTGAGTATCTTGCAGCTGAAATCCTTGAGCTAGCGGGAAATGCGGCACGCGACAACAAGAAGCAACGTATCATTCCTCGACATCTGCAGCTCGCCATCCGGAACGATGAAGAGTGAGTCCACTTGTCGTTTACTGTTGCACTTCACGCTAATGCGTCGCACTTTAGGTTGAACAAGCTCCTTGGCGACGTTGTCATATCGCAAGGTGGTGTTGTACCATTCATCAACCCAGAGGTACTGTCTTCTTTTACTTGTTTTAGACTCTTACTGACGGCAACTTTACAGCTCTTGCCCAACAAAACACAAAAGGGTAAGAAGGACAGCCAGGAGGTGTAGAATTTTTATCTCTGTTGTATTGTTGGTGTACTATACTCGCCTCTTATCTTATCATCTACTAGCATTTCTATCTTCAATATCTTTGCGTTCGTGGCATCCTTCATGCCAAGCTGTGTGATGACAAGATCTATGCTTTACTTTGTCGAGGATACTAGCACCAGACAGTTGCTTTAGATACATTTGTGACACTTGATGTGCAAGCACTACACGGTCGCTGCAGAGACCCGCTCCGCCTCCCGGCGCACACAAATATGGATAACATCGTCTCCAGATTCTTCGGTACTTGGTGGGGACGGGGATGGAGTAGGCGGTAGTGTTCTACTACGAAGTGCAGGGTGTTGAGCGGCTAACACGTGGATGCTGTTGTCCAGCTTGTTGCGGAACTCGCGGCGCGCATTCAGCCTGTGTAGCTCAGGGATCAGGAAATACTTGCCATGTGAACGACGGGGGAGGGCGAGATCATCAAGGAACTTACGAAAGTAGGAATGAGTTGAAATACACTGGTGAAGAAAGACTGCGTGAGAACAGGGAACGAAGTGAAAAGACAGGATACTCACGGACGGCAGATACAATGTAAGTCGGAATGAACACGAGGGAGGCCGTTGTCGATGTCAAAAACTGTGCGCGCTCAACTTGAGGAAGACCGAAAGCGGCGCGATGTGGCTCACCAAGACCAGGCTGATGACGATGTCCACGCTGCCTCGCCATCCATCAGTGCCAACGCCGCATTCTCGAGCCGTGGACGCTCACACGACCAATAATCCTGTAATTACATCAGTTCTGCCGGGCGTCGAGCGGGGAATATGCGTACCGGTGTTGAATGTATACAGTGTCAGCTCACTCAGCACCTCATCCGTTCTACGCCAAGCACACACCACGAAGATCCGAATCAGTTCAGCGAGGCCAAGCATAGACGCGACACCTACTCCCTGATATGCGTACGCGACCTGTACAGAAAGTAGCACAACGCAGCGGTGAGCGAAACGTCGGCGGCAACGCTCGTCGCGAAGGCGGCTTCCAGGATCTTCTATCTCGCGAGCGCGAGTGAGTACGGGCGGGACATACATAGATGCAGCTGCATCCTGGCGCACCTTGAGGTCTCCCGGTCCGCTAGAGTGTAGATTCGTAATGCTAGAGGAGTGTGACTCGCTTAGCATGAGCCAGAGCCAGAGCCAGAGGGTGGATAGCAAACCTTTCCACTGTCAGTACTGCCAGGACGTCAATAAACATGAAATGTCAGGGCGTGACAATATAGGTAACTTACTGGTCAGAGAAACTACGACAAGTGCGCGAACAATGAGCATTTCAGACGACACGACGAAGAAAAATTCTCACACAGATTCGCGGCGGAGAGCGCGATCACCCCGGCCGTGATGGCGAAGTCGTACTGGCTCACTGCGGTGTGACTGAGAATTGTCAAAGGTCGCGATAGGGTAAGAATGACTGACATCGCCACAGGCGGCGCGCAAACATGCTGTTATGAGGTCACACCGCGTTATTCGTGGTTCCCCGATGCTGTCTGCAGACGTACCATCGCACAAGGAACGACATGAAGCCCTGTCAGTATCGAACGCTCAACAGCCCCACATATGTCTTGAGGGAATGACGCCACTCACCATAAGAGCAGATTGCGACTAACGATCTTATTAGCACTCGTTCTCTCGCGATTGTCTGACTTACCAGCAGAGTCCTGCATGCACATGTGACATGATCAGGTTATCCGCTGGGTTTCGATACGGTTGGCTTACCAAGGCATGTCGCCGTTGATGACGGCGGTGTTGTCGAAGTTGATCACGAGGAACCAGTAGACAGAGTGGATGTACAGCCCGATGGATGCGGTGGTCATCATCCTGCACATCCCTTTAATCCATCATTACGAAATTCTAATGCGCACGCTCTCACCACAGCACAACCAACTTGCATAGTAATATTCAGCAACAGGATCTCCAGTCCAAACGTCTCACTCACAAGGATTTTGAAGGGCCAACGGTCTTGCTTGCACTGACGGAAGTATCCAGCGATCAGCGTGCAAGTGTTCCCGTACAGCCTGTGCTTCGCGTAAGCAAAAACATTTGGGTGGGCCCTGGAATTGCGCACGCGGTGTAGAGAAAACCACCGAGCAGTAGAGCTCCCAGAGTTGAATTGTACATGTCACCAGCATGAGTTGCACATTCAGGATTCGGACTCAACACGGCCTCCATCTCTCAGAAACGGGAGTGACGCGGCTCTAGAAACGCCCACAGATGCTGTTTCGAATTTAATCGAAGGCAATAATAGAGATCCAGGTCGTCGCTGACGAGTTCGCGGACGACGTTGAACCCGGGCCAGTGCCGGGGAGTAGGCAAAAGATGATGGCCAGACCGGCGAGAGTAGTGCAACGAACAACCGCAACCGACCTACAAAATCCAGGTATCTTACATTGGCATCGGATCCGTCAGTTCCACCGAGACCACATGAAGCCATCCACGGGTACGCACCGTTCGACCGGCTTGTACAACAAGCCAATTAACACTTCGACAAGGGAATGAGAATGACGACCATGGATACAACACCACTAATACTAGTCCTGCTAGAACGCCTTGCGAGAAAAGCGAAGGCAGAACTCTCCTACAGGAGCTATGAGTTATATATCTCCTCCGCCTGCAGGCGGTGATGTCAGAATGGACGGTTTGCACGGATCATCATATCAATCAAAGAAGTAGATTGTAGTAACTCAAAAGTCAGACATGCGAAACTCACAGAGACAGAGACAGGCTCGGAGCCTCCATCGATAATGAGCCAATGAGAACGTCTCGGACGCATCGTGACAGATACGTGAACGGTGCTTTCCTGCAGCCAGCGGAATGTCCAAGGGCATGACGTGCTGTGCTGAGCACGTGGGCAACCAAATGACTTAATTCTGTCCGGATTCTGCAAACATCAGTCAAAACCGCCATAAACCGAGCTCAGCAAAAGTACGTGGTAGTGGCGAGGACAACGCAAAATTTGTGAGAGCAGTAAGGGATGTTGGCGGGTTAAGCGACTGGGATTGCGTCTCGTAGTTACTTGACAATTGCTATACGTGGTGTGTTTTACAGCAAACTTTCCTGTACATGCAGACAGCTTGATAACTGCTCAGTGACAGAGCATTCAGCCAAGTCAAGTGTGAGAGCGAAGCAGTACACACTCATGGCTACAGCGGATCAGTCCTCGAATTGCCCACACCGGAATGTTAGATGAGCTTTAGCAGATCAGACATCACCCCCATGGCGGTTACAGCGGCGCCTGCTCCAGCACCCTGGATAACCAATGGCCGCGCACCGTACCGCTCCGTGTGGAACATGACAATATTGTCTGATCCTCCGAGAGCAGTCACGAACGGGTGACTCACATTATACCTGCAAGGTGACACTCAACAGGCGTGTTAGTTACACGGACCACCAAGTGATGCTCACTCTTCTAGATCTGCCTTGATGACCTTCGCGTTCACGTCCACGACACCAGCAAATCGCAGCACCTTCCCTCTTTTGAACGCATCGGCTCTCATTTTGTCGAAGCGGGCATCGAACTCCGGTAGCCGCCTGATGAACTCGTCACCCGTGTCTGTCCCTTCCAGCTCCGGCGGAACTAGAGACTTTGTGATAACAGACTGGTAACCATCTTTGAGTGCGATTCGGAGAGATGGAATATAGCGAGACAGGATAGTGAGTTTGCGGGCGACGTCAGCGCCGTTTAGGTCATCTGCCGGATGAGGTTCCTGTCCAGAGTGTCAGACAGACTCAAGTTTCACCGCCATTTATTGATGTACCGTATAGCCCTTGCTGCGAGCGATGCTGACGACAGATGAGAACGGAGGACCTCCCTCCTTCGCAGTAGAAAATTCATTGAAGATGTAGCTCATCGTGCCGGAGAATACACCCTCGATCTTGACAATCTTAGAATGTATACGGCTCAGCACTAAAAGGGGCTTGCAAGATAGCGTTCTCATCACCTTGTCGCCTGTAGCTACTAGATCCTTCAAAGTCGAGATGATAGGTAGACCAGCGCCCACTGTCGCCTCATTCAGGAATCGTGCACCGCTTTCCAGGCTGGCAGAGAGGATGCTCTCATACAACGAGAGTTCGGCAGAGAAAGCCTTCTTGTTCGGAGTAATGACATGGATACCCGCCTTCAGGAACTGCGGGTAGATGGCAGCGACTACATTGGAGGAAGTGTTGTCCACGAGCACCACATCTTGGCCGGACTTCACCAGAGCGCACAAATCTCGACAGAGGACCTGGAAATCGGGTATTCGGCTGGACTGGGCCAACTCATCCTTCCACCCCGACGTGTTTATGGGAAGACCATCCGGGGAGAACAGGGTAGCCTTGGACGATGAGAGAGACACGATCCGGGATGGATTGGGAGCAGGGAAGTTGAGTAACTGGTTGATGAACTCTCCGCCGACAAGTCCCACACCCACCACCGCAATGCATAGCGTCTTCGGACTGGCGCGAGTCATGGATTGCAAAGCCATACTAACGTGTGCAATGGTGTGCGTACTAAGTAACGCAAGCGCAGGCCTTGTCGGACTCGTCAGGGCGATCCGAAGCGTTGGCGCCGCTGCTCACATTAGTGGAATCAAATTCATGAGCGCGTCGACTCGGAGGACGAGGTCACCGAGGCAGTGGTCAAAAATTCCCTGAAGCTTTACTCTTCCACGCACCAGCACAAACCACTCCGCAGAAACACACTGCCTATCGGAGAAAGCCACTCTCCTACTGTGAAGGCGGTTCTACAAAATCATCCCTGTTGAGTACTGAGTGGGGTGACGCATTGACTGATACACAAAGAAAACACATAGCGTGCCAAATAACGATGATGGAGTCGCAGGTTATGCAAGTGCGTGAAACTCGAGTTACATGAATATCGTACATAAAGTGTCTATCATATGGACCGTGGTGAGTCAATGAGATCTGCAGAGTTATCTACGTTCGACGGATCTTTGCAATTCCTTCTTCTAATCGCCGCTCATCAGGCGAGTCGTCTTGGAAAAGCCTGTCTTGCAAGTCAAACCCCTGCTGAGGCACGGGACTCCCGGTATATGCCCCATCGTACAGCGCTGGCGACGAGTCCATAGGCGTATTCGACGTTGTGGTAACTTGGCTGTGAGCCTCCGAAGACGCAGGGTGAGTTCTCTGAGGCCTCGGAGTGGTCCAGATTCTGACGGCACCATCATGACTGCCCGTGGCAAACATGAACGGCTCCACTGCATGGTTCCAAGCGATGCATGTGAGATCGCTGCCCAAAGCTTGTGCACGGATGTGATGCAGTAGTGTCGCCGACTCGCGGTCCCAGACATGGATATCGCCCGCTATTGCACGCATGAGCCTTGACTGGTTCACAAGTAAGCTGTGTCTTACCTTTCCCAGCACACAGGACTAGTTGGTCGTTCTTGCCCCCGAAGTAACTTGGTCCGGCAAAATCAACAGGAACCTTGGGCATATATGTATGTCGTAGCGATAATCGAGCAGTATCTTTGACGAGATCTAGCCTCCATAGTTGTGGAGGTGCCTGATACGCGATAACGGGTCAACAGCCATGACGGGACCATGCCTCAAATCATGACACACCTTGTTCTCATAACTAACCAGAGCTACATCATCCCGAGCTATAGTTATGTCACGTACATCGTGCAAAACCGGAACACGACTGCAAGCGAGAAATTGAGAAATTAACTGGATGGTCTGTAGTAAAACTCACTTTTCGATATCTTTCTTGTCAAGGTTGTAAGCTAGAGGGATGCATTCAGATCTGGCGAGCAATTCTGACAACGTATATACTCGCCTATTATCTGTTTCTCCGCCCTAGATTTCGATGGGTGCAAGCCATCACTGGATGCTAGTAGAGTTCCTACACATAACATGCGCTGACAATCTTGCGTGATCGCCACATCGTGGAGCTTCATTCGATCGAAATGGTAGGTTTCCAGGACCTTGAGCATGACATTCACCTTTCGTGTAGATATGCCTCAGTAGGATCCACTCACTTCACCGTTGAGATCCTGTATCATAGGTGAAGGATCGAAATTAGAGTATGCAACTGGCGATTTGGGGATTGTCATCCTTACCAGTTTGGTTACATCACTACCTTCGACTGACATGAAGGCTACAGGATCACGCATGAGCATCACTTGCTACTGTGGCAATTTCCAAGGTTACCTTCTCCACCAGGAAGCCACGCGATAGACTGTACCGTGCGCCGGCGATCTATTGTTTTCTTGCACACACCATCCTAGCATTTTTCAGAGCCTGACAAGCTGTCTACAATTCCACTTCGTACTCACCTCCGTCCATACTTTGACTCCGCGATTCAACTTCGTTAGTAACGTTTTACCGCTCGGTGACCTGAAGACACACGTAATCAGCTTGAGGATCAGAGTTTTCTCCAAGATGTGTTACCATGCTACTTGACCCACAAAGCCTTGAGGTTGTGCGAGAATGCGGTGCGAAACGAGTGGATCCTTCAAAACACACTGAACCACGAGTTCTAATGACGCCCGCTAGAAGAGCACTCACACCAACACGGAAAATAACCGATGTCCTGTCCCAACTGAAAAGAAGCGTCAGATCTGGAAGTACGGTGGAAATTTGAGAGCAAAAACCTTGACGTAGCCAAGAACTTTCCATTAGGTGAGAACTGCAAGTGTCTGACTAGGGCCTGATGAGCGGCCAGATCTTGGGTCGTGTGCAGGCTCCTGAGCTTAGGCACAAGCGCCGCCACACGCGAGCTCCTCAGAAGGCCCAACGGTTCGACGGAACTCGTTCCTCCTCGACCCGCGTCTGACGAGTCGGTACGCTGCCTCCTCAGACTGTGAGGAGACAGGCCGAACGGTATCGCGGCGGAGCGCAACATCATCACAGATCGCACTGCATTGACGAATCGACTCTTGGCTGTGACAGGCTCAGCAGCAGACGTGGTACTGTCGTCGCTCAGTACAGTAGTAGCGTCATACCCGTCCATCGACGTCGCGGTTGCAGGGCTCCTCTCATAAATAGGAAGCAGAGGCCCGAGGTCTGAGGTACGGGCCCGCACGGGGGATGGTAGGTCCGGACTGCCGTGTGGTATAGTCGGACTATTGTGCTCATTCTCCTCCAGCTTTTCAGAGCTGGAAGCCATCGAGCTGATTCTGGCGAGCGTCCGTGCACTCACTCGAGACAGATTGTCACCTGCGATGCGGCACTGTCGAACGATCCATGAGCTCGCTGTCTGCATGAGAGCGCGAGGCTCATGGATGATCCAGCTGATGCCGGGCACAGCGTACACCTGCACTTTCGTTTCAGAAAGTACATCTCCGAGCCACTTCTGGCCCCTGTGGCGGAGGAAGATCCACTTCTCAGATACAAACCACATCGATACAGCTGCTAGACCAAAGCAACTTAGTGCTGAGAATACGGTCGTAAGCGTCCTGGTGACGATGTCCTGAATGGCGGAGTCATATTATGTCAGACGTTCCTACCTGTTTAGCCGTGCCTTGAACATACCTGACCGGACGAGTATGCGAATAGGACGAGGCCTACTGAAAAACAGGCGACGGAGAGGACAAGGAACACCAAAGGTGACCTTTTAATCCAGATCAGCACCCACCATGGAACTCTATGGCCGGGCGACCGGCTTCAGAAAGTACTTCAAAATCACGATGATTCAAGACATGAACTGCCGTCACTCACTACATCGCCTGTTTCCACGTCAGCCCGAGCAGACTGTTAACAGCAGCTCCAATACTAAAGACGAGCGAGGTAAACCAGAAGGTGTTGACCGTCTGTGATAAAGGGGAGGCTGTCATATCATACGAGAACTGCATCGTCGTCGCAGTCACCGCGGAAAAAAATGTCGCCACCGTGGTCAGGTTGAGCAAATTTTGGCTCGCGTGCTGCTGCGCGAAACGGATCGTCGGGACACCTGTAGGGCAGAACTAGGTTACCACGTCTGATCCAATGCAGTACTTGTGAGGTGTGGCAGTGCACGGACCAATCTCAATAAACACGCTTAACGACGAGGTAATGCTGTCTAAGTGGTCGCCCATCTCTGTACTGATGTCGTGCAAGTAACGCTCCACAGCGGGATATCGGAACTGGCCTATGGAGAGTTGCATCAGTGGTCAGGTAAATGCCAGAACATGAAACTCGCCTTCATATGCCTTAAGGCAAGAAGCCCAGTACTGAATCGACGGTCAATACAGGAGTTGTGGACATCGAAGGTTACCTTACTTTCAGATCACCCTCTAGAGACAAGATGGACGTATTAACGGCCTCATCCGTAAACTCCGGGAACTCATTGAGGCAATCCAGGAAGGTCATGACGTCTCGTGCGAACATTTGCAATTGGTAAGGGAAATCCTCGGGATCCAGATTTTCTGAAACTGCTGGGTTTGCAACAGGTGGAGGTGCTTTGTACCGCTTGCTTTTCTGCCAATGCCGCATATTCGGATGCAGAAGGACTTCGCGTGGTTGGCGCGCAACCTTTCTTGGGAAGAGCTCTGCAGCATTTTCACGGAAGAGGTAGAGGACCTGCGCGAGACGTTCTCGCAGGTTGAAAGAAGACGACAAGATACCTACAGAACTCCCCAGTTGGCGAGCTGCATTCGCAAAACTGCGCAACTTGCCACTTGGTCAATATAATGAGACAGTTGCTTCATACGGGTGGTTCACCTCTCTGTCCAAATTGAGAATTCGCCTGTAGATGAAATGGATATAGCTCAGGGTAACTTCTATCTATCTGGAAGGCATACCTCTGAAACCTGTTAAACGCCTCTGCTCCGATTCTTTGAAAGTGTTCATCGACGGTGGCTACGCGCCATTTGGAATCACTCATGTTGCAGGAAAATGTAAATAATACTCACGGACATCTCTGTCGCCTTCGAAGCTGGGCTGGTCATTGATCACTTTAAGTCAAGGAATTAGCCGAAGAACTTGACAGAGACGAAGCCGACCCATACATGGAGCACCTAAATCATCTTCCCCACTCAACTCCTGCAACGCGTCGAGTAAATTCAGTAAAGTCTGTTTACGCCTACTCTTGCTTCTATCGCCGTCGAGCACCTGCGCGGCTACTCCAGGGAGCGGAGGGAAATCGTGTGACGAAGCAGCATCGGCTACTGCAGCTAAGCCTACGGAAACAAAATCGTGTCAGTGGCGCCACATATCAGAATATACTCAAACTTACTTACTTCGGACGCGCATGATGCATATGTATGTGTGTTATAGACGAACAAGATAAAGTAAATCTGACGCTACGCGTGTTCTAGCGATATGAACAGCAATTAGTGGAATGCGGTACGTGTGGCAATGAAACTGTGATTTCTGGCCACTCACAATCGTCGAAATCGTTGAAGCTCGTCCGTAAATCGTCAAACGCTCCGGACATGGAGTGATAGCATAGTAGGCAGAGGCGGGCAGAAATACGTATCATTGTTCCTGGAGACTAACGGGGCCTCATGGCCGGCATCAACGGCCGAATTTAGTCGATTTCTCATATTGTGGACCACAAACACCTGCTTCCGCAAGCCTGAAGGCGTCGCAAACTGAGAAGGTCGTTAGGAGAGTCCACAAATGCCATTAGGCAGTAATTGCAGTAGTTGGCATCTTATTAGACTCCTCATCGCACCACTACACAACTTGGCTTGGCAATCGCGGGCGCTCCGTGGCGATCGGGTTCCTGGTAGGAAAGTAAGAAATAAATCTAATACAGTAAGAAGCGGAGGTTAAACCTGGTTAACTCTGGTTTGTAGTATCTGATTACTGGAGAGTAACACTAGACATAGCCAAACTCTACTAACACCTTTATACGAAACCATGGCCTCCCTACCCGTGGCAGGTGCTACTTCGCTGAATGGCACCAGTCCTCGCCCTTCCTTTGATACCGAGCGTATACTTGCATCTCCTCCTCCAATAAATGGCGCGAACACTACCCCGAACGGTCAACAACATGATGACAACGAGGATCTTGACCCGGTGCAGCGGCTGCAGAGGGAGCTCGAGCGGACCAAGGAGGAGAAGGACACGCTGGCATCACAGTATCGAAATTTGCTGTCCAAGCTGACTGCCATGCGTACAAGCCTGGGTAATAAGTTGAAGCAGGATGCCGTACGTCCGCAATTTCTACCATCGCTTGCGTCTCCGTTACGACTTGTGCATGCGTAGGAAGAACTCGACCGTCAGGAGCAGCTAGTGCAACAGCTCACTGCCGAGAAGGAAGATCTTGCTGCCACGGTGGAAACACTCACGTCCGAGCTGATTGCCTCGAATGAGGAGTCAGAGCGGGCATCAAAGGAACTTGAGACTATGCGTAGTCGGGCTCTGCTGGAGAATGCTCAAGAGGTTAGTATGCGGGAACGTGAGTTGCGAGAGTTGCAGAGTGAGCTCGAGCAATGTCGGATTGAGAGGGACGAGTGGGAGCAGAAGGCTATGGAGGAGCACATCTCAGCAGATGAGGCGCGAACCACAGCGGAAACTCTTCGAAGAGAACTCGAGGCTGAGCATCACGACAGGGAACGAGATGTCGCACAACTTGCCGCTGAGCGGGAACGGTCTAGCAATTTGCAGTCGGTGCTAGAAGACTTCCAAGCAGGTAAGTCCACTTCCGCAATCGCCTCATATTTATTGAACGTCTGGCAGCCAAGGAGCATGAGTTACAGGAGGCAGTCAAGGGCTACGAAAGTCAGCTCGTTTCAGTCACGCAATTCCTTGCCGAATACAAGCATAGAGCATTGACCGCTGAGGTATACTTCTCATCCAGGTCGACTTGTGGTGTCCACTTACTTTCACGGATACGCAGCTCAAACTCGAAGAATCTTCGACTAACGGTGCTCGTACAGAAGATCTGGAGAAGGAGGTTAAAGAGAAACATCTTCTGATTGGTAAACTACGGCACGAAGGTAGGTGATGTGTAGCGTTGTATTTGGTACAATCTAATTTGCGTTGATGAAGCTGTGATAATGAATGAGCACCTCATGGAGGCCCTTCGCCGCCTGCGCCAGTCATCAAATGAGACGAATGTCGACAGGCGCCTGGTCACCAACGTCCTTCTGTCATTCCTCAATACGCCACGAGCGGACTCGAAGCGATTTGAGATGCTCTCCCTACTCTCTACAATTCTTTCATGGACAGACGACGAACGTGAGAAGGCAGGCCTACAGCGCAAGGGCAGTGCTTCGGTGCAAAGCTCGCCATCCGGAGTATCTGCTTTCTTCGGTAGGTCCATGTCCCCTAAAGGGAAGGGTTTGGAATTGGAAAAGACAGACGAAACAGAGGTCAGCCTCTCCATGTACTCCGTTATGTCTCCAGCTTATTGTTGGCAGTCATTCTCTCGCTTGTGGGTGGAGTTCCTCCTCACAGAAGCGGCAGCGGGGGAGGGATCACCACCACCTGTGCATTCCCCCCGTGCAAATAATTCTTTGCCAACTACTCCGACACGCGCCAACCATCTATCACCTCCAAGCCTTCTTGGGGGAAAACGCTTACCATCCTTTACTACTGCGGCTATGGCAAGTACGCCAGATCTCATGCTACACCCGCCACCATCGAGGAAGGGCAAGAAGAGAGTGTCCATTACCCTGGACTCATGACTGTATCCAAGCTCGGCGCTCATTTGTATTCATGCAAGTACTGTCTGGACATCTACACATCATCACCTCTCCATAATACCATCGCATTGTTCATCATTTCTCATGACGAGTTGGGATGGCCGGTCATTGCGGGCATGGCCTCGCGCCTTCAACGATTCTTTCTTCAGGGACTGTCACTTTTCTCGCAGAGCATCTGTATGAGTTGTTTAATGCACACATGCCAGCCAGTCGTCGGTGTGAGAAGAGTCGAAATTGATGGAGGAAGGCCCTGAAGCGGACAGGCACATGAGCGCTTATATACCCAACGAAATCGAGCGAAAATGAGGACGGTCATCACCGTCTTGACCTGCACCTGTGCACACTGCTTGGTTATACCATCACCATCTTATACCCTGTATAAACATCCTATCCTGCGAAACATATGACAACACTCATTAGAGGTTCCTCCTTATCGACAGTAGAGACGGCGGTAGACGAAGAGAAGCATTGGGATCCCCGGGCCAAACTTGACGCAAACATCCCCAAGCCTTTCCCGAGTCTTGAAGAGAGGGAACAAGAGGAGTTACTTGAGGATTTGGCAGCGGAGGAATTGCACTTCGAGGATGCTGATGCGTTCCCTGGTCGAGCCGCGGAGGGGTTGAATGCAGGAGCCGCTACTGCCGATGTCAAATATCACCCCGTGTACGACCGCCCTGCATCCGCAGCTGCACAGTCTCCACAGGAGGATGGTGGATCAGGCATAAGACATGCTGTAAGTATCCATTCCCAGCTATACTGATTCGTAGGGCACTGACATCGTCTTGTTTAGGAGGCGGAGCTCATGCCTTCCATTGTCCACGTCCAGAGATCATGTCTTGCGACTCTGAATGACCTTCTTTCGACTGCTGCTAACTGGCGCCCTATCATTCCAGACCGCCGTCATTCCATGCCTCCATGTTCCCCGGTCTCCCGTACCGTCGCCGACCAATCTTCATCGGCGTTACATACTCTTGTTCTCAACCTTCGTGCTCACGAGCCTGACGCGACCGCAGTACACCGTGCTTCTTTATCCGATGCCGACGATGCGGCTCTTGTGGGCGAGCTGCAAGAGCGCGTCGACCGCCTCGTAGATTCCGACACACTTTCCCAACACGACAGGGCTCTCGCCCAAACACTGATCTCTCTCATCGCACATTTTCACCGACTTGCTGCCCTGTATCCCCGTACCAGTGTCCCCACATCACCGCGTGTTGCATCGTGGAACCCGCATACTGTCTCTCCGTCTTTGTCTGCCGTCCACGATGGACCGAGCGATCCATTTGTGCACTTCCGTCGCCAGCTGAGCGACTTCCAACTATCGCGTGGGGAAGGAGTAGCTATGCCAGCCGTGTCACCAGTTGAGCTAGTTGAAACTACACTGTTGTGGGCCCGCGTGGACGAGGAGCTGGAACATGTCCTCAATCTATGTAGGGCCCGCACGACCGAAGACCCCCAGATCCTTGATACTGAGCTACTCCCGCCGGAATACGATGCTGCTGGGTATGATGATGAACTAGACTTTACCATCGAGAGTGAGGGGCTGCCTGAATATGAAGTAGGACAGTGGTCAGCATTAGATGCCAAGACGGCTTCGCCATCCTCAAAAGCTAACGAGCCAGAAACGTCTAGTCCAGTGCTTGGGGGAGCGGGGGGGCTGAGCGAGAAGATGCGTTTGGATCTGGACGCTGTCACTCTCGCGATTGACCGGCTCTATCTTGTGGCCCCTCAGTTGCACAACCAACGTGTTGAGCTGAAGAAGGCGAAGGTGGAGCAAATGGAGAGGGCACGGCTCGAAGGGCTGTCTTTGAAGCGGGCGCGGGTGCGCGAGGGGAAGCAAAGAGCGGTGGACACGACCGACTCGCAGGATTTGGAGAGGATGCTGGAGTTGATTGGACGTGCATCTCAGCGCAAATTGGTCAATCAAGCGGTTGCGCTAGAGGACGGGCTCAAGGCAAAGCTTGAGAACGCAAGGCAACGCGACCTTGAGAAGGTGGGTTTCAGATATTTCTTCCATACTGTTCGCGTTCTCCACGAAGCGCTTACACGTCAATGTGACAGCGTGATGCGTTTGTCGCACAGCTAGTGCACCACTCCGCAGTAGGCCGGTTACACTCGCAGGACGCTGTTTTCCCCACGTCGAACGGCCGACGCAAAGAGAAAGATCCCGAAGCTCTACTTTCTCTGCCTGAATTCATGCGTGAAGCCGTCCCGGAACCATCTCGACTAAGAATGCAGATGGCAGATTCGCACGCGTTACTCAGCTTACCCGAGTTCATGAAGGAGCCCACACATTCAGCTCTAGAGCCTCTGACTCCTCCACCGTGTAATAAGTCCTCGAAGGGGTATCGCAGCAGGAGTCTATCTGCACCTCCCCTGTCGTGGCTTTTGGCTTCTTCATCAAGACCATCATCTCCAGGACAGCTCTCAGAGTCGAAAAGGACGAAGGCCGCTGGGAAGATGCGACGGGTAGGTTCATCAGTAAGTCGCATGCCGGCATTGCAAAGTGAGTCTTCTAGCTATAGTCCTAAACGTAGTCTTCTGACCTAGCAATGCAGCTGGCCTAGACGTTCACTACGTTGCAGAATACCACGAGAGTCTCCAACATATCTTGATATTCCTGACAGTATACGGCTCAGAGCCCGACGTTCCTCTTGAAGCTGAAGTCGTCCCATTGTCCGATGTCCCAGGATTCGAGCGGGAATGTCTTTGTCTCCGAAGTGGTGCCAGTACGTCCCCATATCTGAGCCTTCCCGCACGGGTGCACCCAGGGAAGAAGGAGGTACAAGAGATAGGAGGACATTATCAAATTAAGCTCGCTGCTGCTCCCTCTACTCCCACCGGGACTCCTACGAGCAGTGCATATCCTTCCATGCATGCGGCCTTACTGGACGCTGACCAACTCTCCGAGCTCACTCCGACGGGCTTCGTCTGCGCGTCGTGCTCTCTGCCGCTTGTGCACTGCTCCCAGGTGAGCAAGTTCAAGGACCTGCCGTCCGAGCATTGGGCCGAGCTTGTAGATGCGTGGATGTGCCATTCGGATCAGAAGCTGCATGAAAACGTTACGAGGCATTCCAACGAAGGGTTCTGGCCTACCAAGGGTCTTGCGTTTGTTGGCGGTAGTTACATTCTTTTCGACGAATCTGCTGTAGTGAAAAGCAACTTCTGGCCTTCCAGCCAGGAGACGAAGGTGAGTTCCTCTCGGTCCCAAAGTTCTTAGTATGGAAGGATAGGACGGAAAGAAGGCCGACATTGGATGACCCACCAATGGTCGTCTGTACGTGTGTCAGCGGGTGCTCTGGCTGGATTTCAGAAGCCCCAGTTGGTTTTGTTTTCTCGGCTGAGCCATGTTGGCACACGGGCGGCGACAGGAGCATCTCCTTTGGCTGATACAAAGCGTCCGAGATAAACGGGCACATGTATGCCCAGTCACTCGCTCAAACAACTCTCGTGTTGCTGAGGTCCACGTCTCGGGAGCTACCTGTGAGAGCACATCCTACTATAGATTTCTTGCTCTCTTTTTATGTATGTTGATTGTCGCAGCAGTAACCTAACACTTTGCATCTGATAGTCTACAGATGATTGGCAACGTGTTCATTGCATATGTGGAGCAGTCATTGGACGATGTCAAGATCATCAGCCGAAGGATGCACCATGTTCTATCGTTTATAGGCTAGCGAAGTATGCCGTTCGACCTACGAATCCCGCAGCTGAGTGAGCAACAATTTGTCCTTGCTCATAATGCCTTACTGATATGACTCATAGACCTGCGAGAGTGCCTCTATCCGCCTTTATCGCAGAAGACATGAATGAGTTTGTTCAAGCTCACGCAACTTATCGCTTTGTCATTCTTGATGAGGAAGATGAAAGACCCCGTATTCTTGTCTGTTGTTGTCTTCCACTTCCCTACGTGGCACTGACTCTGCATTCCACTTGGGACAGATGTGGTTGTTCAAGCCGAATATGCGATTGGCATACATCACGCCCGCGCAGTATGTCATACCGAAGAGCGGATCCATTCATGCAGCAAAGGTGCTCTACAAGGTCCTGAAGCCGTCCATAGCATTCTCAGATCTTCCAGCGTGCGTCGCGATGCTCTTGCGCGTCCATTTAGCACGCTAATTTTCAGTGCAGGCTTACAAACAAGTATCCCGGGTTCCCTCAAGCGGAACATCTCTACTATCCCATAGATATATGTCGGCGACTGGGCAACTTGCTGAAGGAAAGCACGACAGCTTATCCGGAAAGCCTGCGGACCATGACTGGCTTGAGCGTTGGCTGGCTCCAGCGTGCATAGTCTCCCGAAGGTCTTATTCTCACTCTTGTGACCAGTTATGCTGGTTATTTCTTGCTGTCCTCTGTCTTTCCTGGACCCCATCAACACATCTCCTAACGTAATCAAGCATGACGTGTAGTATCTCATTGAGTCTATTCTATATATCTGAATCTATCTTGTCGTAACGGCTGATCGAGGCTTGGAGTGGATGCTTCGTCGTTGAGCCTGACGCAGGGGTTCCGAGTCCACAAGCGTAAGATATTGCAAAGCCGTGCATTGACAGTGCGTTGACTGGGCTTTGTGATCGATCGGGATCGATCGTGCACTTGTGGGTTTATATGGATCCTCGGTCCTCTTTGTTTTCATGACTGTCTTTTCCGCAACCCTTCGACATTACAGCGTATGAGTATCAACTGGACTCTTACGATTGTGGAGTTGGTGCAATGGTTCCCGCGATTTGTCAGACCTCTCCATTATCGGCTGCTGTTCTCAGCTTCCTCAAATTTGCCCACTTCCGAATGTCGACGCAGCACACCGTTCTCACATCCAGCGCTGACCTTGGCGAGTAAGAGTAACCCTTTTGATTAACCCTTTTGATATGCTTGTGGCAGTTTCCTTAGTATAACGAGCCTGAACGTACTCCGGAGTAATCGAGCCAAGTACAGGACACTTTGTTGATACCCTTGGCTATAAACTACAGAGCCGTCTCGGCCGCTCGCTATATCAAGTTCAATATCGACGTTACAGAATGCAGCTGCGAATGCACTCGGTGCAGACGATGCATCGAGTTTTCAGGTATGTACCCTCTTGTCGCGCAAGATTTACAACCCGCTTCGAATTCGGAAACAACGCTAGGTTTGCGCAACAAAATATTCTGCTTGAATCTTGACAATAGTGAACGAGCAATAGCTAACATTCTACGTCCTCTTGATCTCCTCAGGCCCCTCATCTTTGCACGATTGGCGAGGTCGCGACCTTGCATCGTGATAGGTCTATCTGTGGCGGAATTTTTCATGAAGCGGTGTTCGCGTGGCCATCGCACCTATATTGGTGCGGAGTATATCATCCTGTTTAAGAAAAGCAGGTTCCCTGCTCATAGAGGCCATTTCCCCCTATTTCGCCAGACCAGGTACGTATCCGCCATATCTTTCTCGCGACTTCGATCAACTGCCCGAAGATGGCCAGAAGCATCTCCAGACGCAATGACGGCTTTTAGGTATTCAGATGCTGCCAAAGAATCCAGCCAGGCTACTCCTATCATATTTTCCCTGGAGCGCACTGTGCTGCCCCTGCTCAGCGCTTGACGAATCTGACACTAGGACATGCATCACGTTTCCGGCAAGTCATCATCAACGTGCACGAGATACGGTACCATACAGCTAATTATGTCGTCTTGGGCCCCGCACCCCGGCCAAGTGGAGCTAGATCCACCGGAGTACGAGCAACACCTGAGAGAGGACACTGTCCGTCTGACGTCAGCTGGGTCGACCGGCTGATGAAAGGGATAAGCTGGAAGAAGCCTGCTGTGTCCAGAGCGCACGATATGAACAAGCCAAGGATAGCTCTGACGCCGAAATGAAGCTGGCCTGGAGGCTTAAAGACAAGTGCTGGAGGCCACTGTTCTCTGCAAGACGGCAGTTGCCCGAGGTCTTGGTTCTTAGACTTGAGCCAGTTTGTCTAATGCAAACTTTGTTGACGATTGGTCTCCGGTCAATGCCGAGCCAAATCTATCGGTGAGACTCGGACTCTTGAAGTGGAGAGTGCCGCGGTATAATTTCCTTTCTTGGTATCTTCCCTTCCCCTTTGGGCACCCCACTTTGTAGGAATATCCCGAACTGAGTTTGCGTGGAGACAGGCGGTACGTATACATACAAGGAGCTCTTCCCTCTTTCCGATTCGCATGGTTCATGTTTTTTCCTGTCGAATTTCTCTTCAGACTCTCCGTTTTGCCGCACATGTTGCTCTTCATACATAGAGCCATAGAGGTGAAGCTCAAGCTATTGAAGGACTTAGATCATAACGCTCGGTTGTTTCTTGAGATGATCTGTATGTGCTTTCCCCCTGCAATAATCCTGACCCTCGAACGCAGCTGGAGCCCGACGATCAGTGGGGTGGAGATCGACTTAGAATGTCGGTACTTCTGCCTGTGGGAGATATGAGATATTCTTCATTCAACTGTAATGTCTATAGAAGTTCGCTAACTTAAGCAGCGGTCAACATACCGTACACTGACAATGCCCCATTCCACGGTATTTTGACCGACGTTAAAGTTTTTCCATTCCTACTAGTGGCGTTCGTCCTACTGAAGTTACCTCCGAAACATTTTCGCAGTTCGGCGTCCTTGCCAGTATGGTCTGTTGTGTGTATTCGCCACCTTGTGTTTTCAAAGCGACCCGCTGTACCCCACCATTTTTTGCCATGGTCCTCATCGTCTCCTCCAGACAGCTTGTGGCTCGTGCAGCCAGTGTCGCCCCCATTTCACACGTCAGGAATGGTTATAGTTCATCAGTTTACGGTTGCACCCTCAGATTTGGCTTGGGTGAATGGTGGGAGCATACAGCGAAATTACACCATGAATTGCGTCATCTACTAGTGAGCCGGCCTGACTAGTGCTCACGAGCGAGAAAAGGACACTCGACTACACTGCTGCTAATTGTGAGGGGCCGTCAAATATACAAGGTAAATGATATGGCTAACCCTTTGCTTCACCTTCAGCTGTAATCCAACCGCTCGCATAACATGAAATGATACCGGGTGGTCCATTGAAATAAAGGGCAGCAGTTCGCCCCGAGAATTCATTGGCGCGGTCATACAAGATCTCTGCGACGTACTAAATGTATGAGGCTCATCACACGTGCTGGCCATCTCCCCCCACGACGCGCCCAGTCGTATGCTCGTTCCGTATGAAGGCGTCGTAAGAGGGCCGGATTACAGCACCAACGCTAGAGACAGTGTGAATAAATGACACTGCACACCGAACCTGTAGCTGTTCCGCTCTATATCCTCGACGCTAGCGATACGCTCCGAGAATTTGGCACAGCAGAGGTATGCGGACCGCAGCGCGGCTTGCCATGCTTTAGGTGAATATTCCCGAAATGCGGAGTATTCGGAGTAGTCGGTGACGTTCCCTTTCGTCTACAAGGGAATTAGCATCGGCGACGCAGTCTAACGTACGGGGAGAACAAACCTCAGCTTCAGTTCTCACAAATCCGAGTGCGCCGCGACACCCTCGACATAGCCGCGGGGCATCACGCTGAAAAGCTTATTTGCCACTACGCGGCATCAGAAGGAGATATGCTAGGTGATCAGCTATTTGACTTACCATCAATCATGTCGGTGCAATACCACTCACGCGTAGGGTCCACCCGCATTTCCAAGTCAAACGCGAAGCGGCGCGAGACGGAGTCGAATCGATAGCTGTATCAGTGTACGTTGACGTCGTCAGTACAAGGAAGACGGACACAACAGGTGGGGAATCGTACCGAGGAAGGCGAGAAGTAATTCCTCGACATAGGTTCTATCTTGGAACACTCCCTCGCTAAGCTTGTGCTTCATTTCCACTATAATGAAAAATGGGCCGAATGGATCGCGAAGCCTTGTAATAATGCAAACTTGGTGAGTCATGGCCATGAAAGTACAACGAAGCAGACTCGGTGGGCAATCTGCACTCCGCGAAGACATAAATGATTTCGCACAGTATGTTGAACTTATCATTGATGATGCGCCATGAAATAATGAGCAGATAGATGTGAAATACTAAGATCCAAAGGTAAGCGGTAATTCTCGATACACCTCTATCCAGCGCCAAGAGGTCTCGATCATTAATATTGTCCGGTGGAAGGGGAGAGGTGGCAGACGGGAAATGAGAAACGATGTATCCATTCCGGTGCGGGCACACTTTCAGGCAAGTTGATCTCCTTGACAAGACGCTCCCAATCGTCGAGACAGAAGGAATGGAGACTTGTTCTTACTCAAAATATGTGAAGGTGGGAGATAATCTATGCATTGGGCATCTCAATACACCTTTAAGATTCCGTATTAGTGACTGCTCCACGGTTGACAGCCTCTCCAAGAGCAAACATCAACGATCCCAGAGATGTGACTGTCGAAGTCCCGCGCTCCCGATGATTGAGACCTCAGGCTGGTCCGCCTTGGCCGATGTGGATATGTGAAACCGGGCATGACTTCCCAAGGGTCTCGAGCCACCATGGCATCCGCAAGCGTTTCCGCGTACGCCGAATGAAGAATTACTGAATAGTCCAAAGCTTTCTCTCGAGGAGAACCGCTCGACGCGTTCGTGACAGCGCAGTCACGCAGGCGTGCTGTGCGCCAAATAAATAGTAACGTCACACTATATAGCCGGCAGTGAACGACTCGGATTGCTCTGCCAGCTTGCATTCAACTACGTCGTTTATCCGCTATCTTTGACGTGTTTACCTCTCCAATAACACACTAAACATGGCCCCTAAGCCCGCAAGCACTGCCGGAAAGGCTCCCGCGTCTACTGCTTCTAAGGCGCCTGCCAAGACGACCAGCGACGCGGCTAGCAAGGGCGCGAAGAAGACTAAGAGTGCGGCGGCAGGCGGAGAGGAGGGCAAGAAGAAGCGCAGAAAGGCGAGGAAGGAGACGTACTCTTCTTACATTTACAAGGGTTCGTTCCATGCGTACGTGGCGCGCTCGCGTGCTGACCGGTGGGATGTGTTGTCGGCGTGTGCTGTATACAGTGCTCAAGCAGGTGCACCCTGATACTGGTATTTCGAACAAGGCCATGGCTATTCTCAACTCATTTGTAAACGATATCTTCGAGCGCATCGCAACAGAGGCATCCAGTGCGTATTATTTACCTTCTTGGGCTATTAGAGTGAATTGTACACAAAATCACAACCCGAGATATTCTCGTTCTTGATCTGAGAGGAAGGAACGGTTCTCACACGGGCTTATAATGTAGAGCTTGCATCCTACTCCAAGAAGTCAACCATCTCGTCGCGCGAGATCCAAACTTCTGTGCGCCTCATCCTCCCGGGTGAGCTCGCCAAGCACGCCATCTCGGAGGGAACTAAGTCCGTGACGAAGGTACGATAATTCTCTCTTCTGATGTTCTAACTTCTGCTGACTCCCCGATCGCTGTTTAGTTCTCGAGTGCGGGCGCAAAGTAAACATCTGCCTAATAGGGAGGCGATGCGAACGTTTCTGAGTCTATGTTCTCGGGATGACGTGTATTGGTAGTTACTCGGCTGTGGTATATCTGAGTCTTGTATTCGTTCTGTTTCTGTTTAAAAGGGGATGCGTCAAGCGTGTGCACAACTCATGAACCCCAGTGAAAACGTCGAATTTTGAGGTCGATTCCTAGCGAATGATGGCGGAGTATTCGCTGTCCATCGATGGCATTCGATCTCAGCAGAAAAAATGAGACTGAAACGTTTGAGATTGAATGTGATCGAATGTGGTCAACCAAGCTGCGAACATTCTATAGCAATCGATGTTGTTAGACGGCCTTTCCCAGCCCTTGCTGCGAGCCGTCGAATCTCATCGAGTCTCATCGAATATGGTCTTAATGGGTGCACTACACTGTTGTACGGCGGGATCAAATACAATTTATTTATTCATTACTATAATACGAGCTGCACGAGAAATACCGGTTGAAGACCAGTACACATCCTGGAATGCCGTACTGACTCTGGTGGGGTCCACAACGCATCGCAAAAACCCTCGGAGTGCCGCCCGACATGTTCCCTTTGCTGCGAGAAAATTAGATGTTCCAACAAGCGCGGATGCAAAACCTTCATATCACAAATGTCCACCTGCTGGAGTTGACCTGATCAGCACAAGGTATCATGCAAACATCCATGTGACATACTTCAGAAATAATCAGGTCGTGAGACTGCACATGAGCCGAAGTAGGTGTGTCGCCGTCCAAGCTACACTTCAACTGCAAGTGGGATCGTGCATCAGCGCTAGTGGTAGGTGTGAAATCAAGAAGGTGGGGCGCACTGTTTAGCTGCCGGAATTTCGACGCGGACTTCGTAGCATTGCCGCAGCGCTTCCCGCCCGCACTCCTCGACATCGCATTCACTCATCAGACCTGCAGCACTCGCAGCACCGGCAAGTGGGGGCCGGGCTTTCACAGTCTGCCACCTGCACTTCACCACTGGTAAACGGCGAGCTAGCCTCTATCCCCGCCAAACTCACCTATGGACGTACGTCTTACGTGGCAGGTAGAGACACTCACCTCAAACCCAGCATAGTTATCGCGCCAGTTGTCGAGGTCTTGTTGACGTAGGAGGGTGTGCATCAAAACAGACTAGGAGGGCATAAGAAGCCAGGTCGCAGGATCCCTCGGTGGAGGCACATGCAAGACGCAAGAAGCAAGAGTTAAGAGAAATGAACTTGATGGCATACTGTTCACGTGGGAAGACTTGTGGGCGCCAACTTGAAGGGAGCGGCAGAACTGGCATGGGCCCAGGAGCTACTAGGGAAAGACAGAAGGCAATGGGCTGTAGCCCAATACGACGGGATACGACAGGACGCGATGCATTGGCATATGCATGTGCCGGACAATCGTGTTCAACACGCTCATCAAAACTAGTTAGACATAGCTGCCACTCATTCGATCTAATTCGACCTCACTCGTGGGATTCGCAGGCTCATTTGATGCCACTCGACCTTAAAATTCAACGTTTTCACTGGGCATGAACTTCGGCTACTCCCTTTGAGACTTGCTATGCCTCGGGCGGATGCGATTCAATCGACCATAGTTGGCGCGATCGGTGAATTGAGTAGACTTCCGAATTCTCGATGAAGACTCTGGCCCCAGACACTTGCGCTCGGGCTTGTGATTCCGATCTGAAGGTCAGGCCTTCAAGCTTCAAGCTTCAGGACGGAGTTGTTGCATGTGTGCCCGCGGCGATAATGTTGCAGAATAAACCTGACGAAACTGAGGACTATGAACACAAATGCAGATAACCTATGACGCTATCATCATGCGAAACTGCACAGGCAGTAGCTGCTGCATCAAGGACAGATTGTTCACGGGGTTACGAACCAGCAAATTGAACCTTCCGTGATGACGGCCGCGGCCGCGGCCGCCCGCGCGAGAGCACACTCGTCGAATCAGCAGAGTGTTCCCCCCCCCAGCCTCATGAAGTCTATGACGAAGTCGGCTGTCGCATCACCTACTGCCACTCTCCCGTACTCGGAAGAAGGCGACGAGACGATCGTTCCGCTATTCCTTGAAAAGCGTACGCAGGACATTGGGTCAGCACTCCAGAAAATTCTCGCCAAAATCCCGAGGTTACCAGCGGATGCACGCGGCGGACCGGCAGATAGCGGCCTGCCTAACTGCATCTGGGAGGAACTGATGAAAGAATATATTTTGACATTCCCCTACGACTCGGACACTGACGCAGACATACTGTATCGTTCACACTGTATCACTATTACTCTTGTAGCACTTTGGATTTGTCGCACTGTAATAGACTGTTGGAACATCCTGAAAGCCTCACGGAGGTCATTAAGCGGATACACCGCCGCCATGCGCCAAAGCATACAACTTCTCCTTGTCTCCACTCCCGTCAACGAGCGCCCGGAACATGCCCTTTTCGGTTTTCAGCAGTTCCCGGGGTGTATCAAATTCAACCTAAATATATCATGAGCCAACAACAAGCAAATGGAGATCAAGGCTTACAATGCGACCAGCATCAAGAACCATCTGGGACAGGGGGAGGAAATATTTGGTCATCGCAATAGCAGTTACAAAAGATGCGCCACTGACTATCCTATCGGCGTCCATGATGGTCTGGAGTCGATGTGCGATTGTGAGCAAGGTCACATCCTTGCCCAGCGCCTTACGCAGCGACGATTGGATGGCAGCATCGGTTTCATAGTCTGACGATACTTCATCAGTTAAGCAAGATAAAAGAGTTTCAGCACTAGAACTTACCGATTGCAGATGTAGCTTATCACGAGTCCACAAAATTAGCAAGTCAGAAGCTGCTTAGGACGGCGTCAAGACGCACCCTCGTCCAAGATTAGCACCCTGCTCTGCCGCACAATCGCCCTGGCCAACGCTAGGATCTGACGTTGACCAACCGACAAGTTGCCGCCCGCGCTGCTGACCTGGCTGTCCAGCGCGATCCTCCCTTCGTCCGTCTCGCTCTGCACAGAAAACAGCCCTGCGGCACGTAGCGCGTCATTCAACTCCGCATCGTCGTGCTCCTCAAATGGATCTAGGTTCTGTCGCAAACTCCCGCTTAGCAACTCGGGCTTTGCAGTGGGATCGTCAGTTGGGGTGCCAGCATGTAACGGAGTGGCCATAGTGCGTACCACTTGCGGAATGATGGTGATGTTCGACCGCAGAGCGTCTAGATTAATCGAGTCCGTCGGGATGCCATCGTAGTAGACTTTCCCCTCGGTGAGGATGCAGCGCAGAAGGGCAAGAGTTAAAGAGCTCTATAAATCCTGGTGAGCAACTGTGGAAGGGGGGCGGCTATTCCAGGCAAACCTTTCCACTTCCAGTACGTCCAACTACCGTTCACTTTTAGAAGAGGGCCAATCAATCATAATCCAGACTTACCAATGCCAATGTGTTCTCCAGAGTTGATCTCAAACGAGATATCTTGCAGAACCCGGGGGCCATCCTGCTGAAGCATAAATCATGGGCTGAGCTCAGACACATGCATGAACATACAGAAGAGTAGCGAGCGGTAAGTCCTTCGGCCTTCAGGGAACCGCTCGCTGGCCAGTAAGCTGGGGGCACACCAGCGTCGGTCGCTTTCGGCTCTTGCTCGACGACTGTGTATTGATGAATACGCTCCAGGCTACACAAGATCGTTTCAAGCGGATGAAATCGTCTGAAACAATTAACCTACCTATTGGCTATAGTGCCGTTCAGTAAGGACGGATGATAGACTAACAGGGACTTGCTACTTACCGCTGACCTCGGTTCGCATTCCCATTAAAGTCCAAAAAAGAATCAAGGTAGAGAATGCAACTAAATACCACTATCAAACCGGTGACAGAAAGTCGGCATCAGCAACCACAAACCTGCCATGTTCAATGTATAGCCGAGGTCCGAGGCGTCGAATGACGTGGCGTATACCAGATATGTCGCCAAGCAGGTGGAGAACAATGCTCCCAGTATTTCTATGCGGGTACATACCCATCTGACAGTTTACTCAGTAAGACAACGCGAAACATTTTTTGGAGCCCACCGATTGAGGTTGGACAGAGTCCGCTTTGACCTTATGTAGGTGTCCATGCGATGGTAACCCTGCTGCCTGAACAGGTCCTGAGCGCCATATGCACGAATAGATGCTGGCAATGGTGTCAGCATCCGCCATGCGAGAATATGAATAAGCACAAACTTAAACCCGAAATTGCAGAGCCGAAATTTTCCAGAACGGGCGCGTGAGCAACACCCATTTCACGCTTGACACACAATTGTGCCTTCACATACAGTTGGCCGCACCAGCCACCGATCACCGCAAGGATCACTGAAGGAACAGTGAAGATCGGGGACATTACCAAAACTGCGACCAGTCGCATGATCAGCGCGGCCGTTATCGACATGAAGTACGAGGTGTGGTCTGATAAAGGCCCATCCACTGTAATTCTCATGAGCATACGGACTCCGTGAGCGGGTGACCTGCTATACCAGTATTCACGTCCTCAGTGCAGCGAGAGACAATGCGTGAGGTCGGAGTCACATCAAGCCATCTGAATGAAAGTAAGTCAGGCTTGAGAAAGACCACGCGAACAAATTCACCTCAAGGTTGCGCCTAGTACGGAGTTCATCAGCCTCTTGTGAATGATCCGCGCAGCTCGTAAGGTCCCGTAGAGGAACACGACGTATGAAATGCTATACGCCGCTACATTTGCCAGCACCAAGAGAGAGTAGCCGCTCATATAGCTGCAAGCACATGTGAATACCAAGACAGCGCATATGCGAAGACAACGACAACGCTTACTATGTTATTGACACCTTCGAAGACGGATGATCTTCGTACTGACGTGCCCATACACCGAGGAACCACGGTTGGAGAACCTCGCAGATTTCATCTACGAACAACATGCCAATGGTTACGAACCAGAAAATGGCAGGGAACCTTCCTCCCGCAGTATTTATAAACATGCTGACTGCATAAATCGAATCTTCAGC